AAAGTGTAAACCCGCTCTTCCAATTAAAGAAGCGACTTTGCAGAACGTGTGCAACTGCTCTCTCAGATCTACAAAGGGATGGATATTTATGTCGTCGGTAAGCGAACCACTCCCATTACGTCGTGCCTCCACGTGTCCCTTCTTCTTCTTCCTTCCCTTTCTTTCTCTCTCAAATCATCACCTAACAATAAATATTTAAATTTCTAAAAAAAGGGACAAAAAAATACTTTCTCACTCCATTGATTTAACAAACATAAATCAAAAATCAAAGAGAAGAAAACTTTCAAATTCACCCTTCGTTTCTGCAGCAGCAACAACAACCGAGCCCTGTTCGTTAGGGTTTTCGGTTTTTGTTGGCTTTCTTCTTGCGTTGCTCAACACCTTTTCTCATTTCCTCCGCCTGATTTGTAACCATGGCGGAGAAAGTATCGGATGATGTGATGCTTTTACACGGTGACCTCGATTTGAAAATTGTTCAGGCGAGGAGATTACCTAACATGGATATGTTCTCAGAACATATGCGCCGTTGCTTCACCGTTTGTAACTCCTGTACTACACCTACCGATGATGAAGATCCCAGAGACAGAGACGGTGGAGCGAAATCCGGTGATAGGAACATCCGCGGCCACCGGAAGGTTATCACCAGTGACCCCTACGTCACCGTCGTCGTCCCGCAAGCCACTCTTGCTCGGACGCGCGTTTTGAAAAACGCCCAGGATCCTCTTTGGGACGAGCATTTCGTCATTTCCGTCGCGCATCCGCTCTCTTATCTCGAGTTCCAGGTCAAGGACGACGATGTCTTCGGTGCGCAGATCATCGGAACCGCTAAGATCCCCGTTCGGGATATCGCATCCGGCGAACGCATTTCCGGTTGGTTTCCCGTGCTCGGCGCCTCGGGAAAACCGCCGAAGAAAGAAACTGCTCTCTTCATCGATATGAAATTTACTCCCTTCGATCAGATCCACACCTACCGCACTGGAATCGCCGGCGATCCGGATCGTAAAGGTGTTAAACGGACTTATTTCCCTGTGAGGAAGGGAAGTCAGGTGAGGCTTTACCAGGACGCTCACGTAATGGACGGAATGTTGCCGGAGATTGGGTTGGACAACGGCAAGGTTTACCAGCACGGCAAGTGCTGGGAAGATATATGTTATGCCGTTTCTGAGGCTCACCATATGATTTACATTGTTGGCTGGTCTGTCTTCCACAAGGTGAAGCTGGTTAGGGAACCTACAAGGAAGTTACCTAGAGGTGGTGATTTGACGCTTGGGGAGTTGCTGAAATACAAATCGGAAGAGGGTGTTCGAGTTTTGCTACTTGTATGGGACGATAAGACTTCTCATGATAAGTTCGGGATAAGCACGGTGAGTGTTGTTTCTACAAGCATATTTGCCACGTTAGCTTTCTTGCTGTGTGCCAAATTTGCAAGAATTCAAGTTTCTTGGTGAGGATAATTAATGTTTAGACAGGCTATTTGGTATATTAAGATACGTCGTATGGCATTTATTTTTGTGCAGGCTGGAGTTATGGGGACACATGATGAAGAGACTAGGAAGTTCTTCAAGCATTCTTCTGTGATATGCGTATTGTCACCCCGCTATGCCAGCAGTAAGCTTGGGTTGTTCAAACAACAGGCAAGTCTTAGCTCTTGAAAGTTTGTGTTCATAATAGTTTGATGTTGATATTTTCTAGCGAGGGGGTTTAGCGCCGCATCATAGGAGTTATTTATTGAGCTGGGACTAGTAAATGTGATTTGTGTTCAATTTTAAGAGATGCCTTATCTCTAAGTTTGCCATCGTTTGTCATTGACTTAGTTAACGGCTGTTTTCACATGTGTGTATCAAAATGTTGTGACGATTTGTCTTGGCATAGCTCTTTTCACAAGTGTAATTCTTTTGTTTAATTCCCAGGTTGTTGGCACTCTCTTCACGCATCATCAGAAGTGTGTTCTTGTAGACACTCAGGCTGTTGGTAATAATCGCAAGGTCACAGCTTTTATTGGAGGTATAGATCTTTGTGACGGCCGCTATGACACACCTGAGCACCGGATATTACGCGATCTTGACTCTGTATTTAAGGATGATTTTCACAATCCTACATTTCCAGTGAGTATATGATTATTCGCTGGTTGTTTTCAAGCTAGAAACCTCATTCCTTACATACTCCTGATTCACATTCTTTCTCTACTTCCTCAGGCTGGTACCAAGGCTCCAAGACAACCTTGGCACGATTTGCACTGTAGGCTAGAAGGACCTGCGGCATATGATGTTCTCATAAACTTTGAGCAGCGGTGGAGAAAGGCAACACGATGGAAAGAGTTTAGCTTACGTTTAAAGGGGAAAACTCACTGGCAAGATGATGCGTTGATCCGGATAGGACGCATATCATGGATTCTAAGTCCAGTGTTTAAATATCTGAAGGATGGTACTTCAATTGTTCCAGAAGACGATCCAGTTGTTTACGTTTCCAAAGAAGATGATCCTGAGAATTGGCATGTTCAGGTATTTCCAGATTCCTTCCATAACAATATTTCTCACGCAATGAATTTTGTTGATTTGATTTAACCATGCGGTTTTCTTTGACTTTCAGGTATTCCGTTCTATCGACTCAGGATCCGTGAAAGGATTTCCAAAATATGAAGATGAAGCTGAGGCCCAAGTTAGTAGATCAACTTTTTTGCTATTATTACTAATGATCCTTGACAATGGAATTGCTGTTTATAAGCCATTGTTGCAACATGTTATTAATTGCACTACTAAGTCTTCAAAATTATTAATTTACTGCAGCATCTGGAGTGTGCCAAGCGTCTTGTAGTAGATAAAAGCATCCAAACTGCATACATCCAGACAATCAGATCTGCTCAGCATTTCATATATATCGAGAACCAGTATTTCCTGGGTTCTTCTTATGCTTGGCCTTCTTATAAAGATGCAGGTACGTCGTAATGTTTGAGTTGAGAACAGTTCTTAGACTAGGAATTAAAATGCTCACTCTGCAGAGGCTATAGTCTAGAATTGTTCTCAATTGGTAGTTTTGTATGCCCCGGCTTATTTTTCACTTGACTGTTATCTGGGATGTATTCTCCATCTGTATAAACGAAAGTGAATGAACTTTTTTGCCGGTGGATTTTCTGATCTTTCGTTCTTTTGAATGAGCAGGAGCTGACAATCTAATTCCTATGGAGTTGGCTCTAAAGATTGTTAGTAAAATCCGAGCTAAAGAAAGATTTGCTGTATATGTCGTCATACCACTGTGGCCTGAAGGCGACCCAAAGTCTGGACCTGTGCAAGAAATTCTATATTGGCAGGTAAGACTTTTAGCTGAGTGTAAGATTAGCATTGATATTAGAATTGGTTCTTCGATTTCTTTTCAAGAGAAACTAACATGTCTGGTAAAAAACCATCTTGTTTGCAGAGCCAAACTATGCAGATGATGTATGATGTTATAGCACGGGAACTGAAATCGGTGCAGTCAGATGCTCATCCTCTCGATTACCTTAACTTTTATTGCCTTGGTAAACGAGAGCAACTTCCAGATGACATGCCAGCCACCAATGGCAGTGTGGTATAATATTCAAAGACTAAGAACTGCGTCGTGCTCAAAAACTCTAGCTTACAGATAGAAAAAAATCACTCATGATCTTTTTAACTGCATTTTCAGGTATCGGATTCTTATAAATTCCAGCGTTTCATGATTTACGTGCACGCAAAGGGGATGATAGTAGATGATGAGTACGTACTCATGGGATCTGCTAATATCAACCAAAGATCTATGGCGGGCACGAAAGATACCGAAATAGCCATGGGCGCATATCAACCCCACCATACATGGGCTAACAAGGGAAGACACCCACGTGGCCAGGTTTGCCTTCCTTCTACTATCATCATCTATGCCATAACCAAACTCAAAAGGGTTTCTATATCTGATAGAGTCTATATAATATCTACATGGGGGTTAAGTTTCAAGATCCTGAATCCTAGATTACAGACAGATAGTAAAGGAAGGAAAAGTTAGGTTGAGATAGCATTAAAAAGCCATGCTTGAGAAGTTGTGTTTTTCTGCTCTTTGTAATGTAAGCAACTAAAGAAAATCTCGAATAACACATTAAGAGGTTTGCTGAAATATCTATCGGACAGGTGTATGGATACAGAATGTCACTATGGGCAGAGCATCTAGGCAAAACTGGAGATGAATTCATGAAGCCTGCTGATCTAGAATGTGTGAAGCACGTGAATGGAATCGCTGAAGGAAACTGGAAAAAGTTCATAGATTCGGAATTCGCAGAGCTACAAGGTCACTTAATTAAATATCCTCTTCAAGTAGACATTGATGGTAAAGTGAGCTCTCTTCCTGATTACGAAAGCTTCCCAGATGTTGGTGGTAAGATCATTGGAGCTCATTCCATGGCTCTCCCTGATACTTTAACTACGTAAAACTGTTGATGTTAATGTAATTCTTAGCATTTTTCTTTCGATCCTTGGAGAAAAAGCTGAAAAAGTGTTGTGTGAGTTGTACATTTTTAACTGTGTTGTTGTTTTATTTATTCTTTTGTGATCGTCGTCCAATGCGGTGCAAAGAGTAGACTGTGGAGGCAAAATATTATAAGGATATTTTCTTCTGAGTTTTTGTTAATACGAGTAACTATGCTCTGTGTTTTTTTTTTTTTTTTGACTAAATAAAGAAACTGTTATTTTAATTTCAGATGGATCTCTCTAACCAGAGAAGTACATATTCCGTTCTGTTAAACCGAAGATTCATAGATATAACCATTTTAATTCTGTTTGTTGATTTCGGCTTTATTTCGGTATTCAGACGAAAATGCAGCCAAAATCAAATCGAACCGAGGTGGAATGAATGAACCAACCACAGACCAAAATTATAATCCGGATTAGGTTACGAATTTGTTGAAGAATGCACCATAAGAAAAGTGAGTCTTGCCACATGTAACTATTACTCGTGTAATATAAAATTTAAAAGAATTAAAAAAAAAATCCATCTGTATAGACAGTTAGACACTAGACAAGGGGGAAGAGAAAAACTGATTTTACGCTTGCTTACAGTAAAACCCTAATTCTCTCCGTCCCGATCGCAATCTGCGCGTTCTCTACTGCTTCTTTTGCAATGGTAAGCTTCGACGACTATCAGTCATTACGTTTTTCGTTGATCTTCATTTGGTTTTCTTCGAATAAATTGAGCTAATTAACTGATTTTGCAGGCGGATTCTCCTAAAGAAAGGTTAGATTCAAGTTTCTATTGCTTCGCATTTTTCATCGCTGTTAATTTCAAACCGTTCTCTTTCTGGTTTTACGCGTTTCTACAATGTGGAATTGCAGCACACTTTGCGTAGGATGTGAATCTGATGGATACATTTGAGAATTTTGACTTGTTAAAGATCTAGTTCTGGATTTTCTTCTTTCTTTGCACTTGATTTGTATGTTGATGCCTTCTTGCTCATAGGACTGTTAAATAAGCCTAGTTAGATGGTGTTTTGAAGTAAGAAAGTCTTAGTGAGAGATGTTGCAGATAACTTATTATTTCCTGTAAACGATTGTGTAATCTTTTGCTTGGTTTCTCCATCAGGGATTCACGATCTCCGTCACCCTTACCCCGGAAAGAACAACGCAGGCCCCAGTCCATATCTAGGTCCAGGTCCAGGTCCATGCCGAGGGAAAGGTCTAGGTCGAGATCTTTGCCAAGGCCCATATCTCCATTAAGAAGCCGTGGAAGGTTAGTTATTGCATTAAGTTTCTTATGTCACTACAAAAGAATTTGGAAGGATGTCTCGTGGTAATCTTCTTTCATTACTTTTTCTAGGTCAAGGTCAAGAAGCCGTGGAAGGTTAGCTCTAGCTTTCTTTTTCCATCTGAGTTTGTATTGTTTTGTAGTCTGCTATTGGATTTGATGGTTTCTAATGTTTTGTTTTTCGTTATTTGAATAAATTTTGATTGATAGGTCTGAAATTGAAAACCCTGGTACCACTCTCTATGTGACTGGCCTATCTACAAGGGTCACTGACAAGGATCTTGAAACACATTTTTCCAAGGAAGGAAAGGTGATATCATCTAAAGCTGATTCTCTTTCCTCATATTGCAAGGTTTCTGCATTTTGAACATGTGGTTAACTAATTTCGTATCCATAGGTTGCGTCGTGCTTTCTTGTGATGGAGCCTCGCACCCGTGTGTCTCGAGGTTTTGCCTTTGTTACAATGGATAGCCTTAAAGATGCTGAGCGGTGCATTAAGTATCTCAACCAGTCTGTTCTAGAAGGCCGATACATAACTGTCGAAAGGGTAAATATTCCATGCTCTACTGATTTTGGTGGCATTATGATATGTTCGATATCGTTATTTGTTTAACTTGGAGGTTTTCTGACCATTCAGAAAAATATTGCATCAAGCTAGTGTTGGCAACAATTCAGAGATGATACTGATCCTTACCACACCATCATTAAGTGAAACACAGCTTGATCAATCCAATCGCCAGCTTAATCAGCTATTCCAAATGATCTGATCCAACTAATCATAAGCAACTATATTGCCTCAACTCTCAACTAATCAAAGGACATTATCAAGTTTCAACAACTATTAGTCAAGTGTTCGTCAGCCTAGGATGCATCTTATTTCCTTGAATATGCATGGGGCTTTTGTAACTTGGAAGTTGTGTACCATTACATGAGGTTTATTTACTTTGTGTTATCCTCAGTCCCGAAGAAAGCGCCCGAGAACTCCCACTCCTGGCCACTATCTTGGCTTGAAAAGCTCCAGAGAAAATGGTAAGTGAACGTTTGAAACCTCTGTTCAAAATTATTGAGTCTTTTAGCAAAATGAAAAGATTGCTAACTGTTCCGTAATATTTTTCTCTGTTTTGGAAAAAGACCGAGAAGGCCGTAGCACTCGAGGGAGGCACTATGATCGTGAGGATTATGGACACCGTAGGTCACCAAGACGGGACTATTCACCTCGTGATGCAAGAAGGTCACCAAGGCGCGACTATTCACCTCGTGATGGAAGAAAGTCACCAAGACGTGACCATTCACCTCGTGATGGTGGAAGAAGTTCGAGAAGAGATCGGTCTTACTCTCCTTATGGAAGAAGTCCAGAAAGAAAGTCAGAGAGAAGGTATCAACCCCGTGGCTCGAGATGACCTGTTTAGCTCTGTTGACAAAGGAATTCAAGAACTTGTATGTTGATTTAGGTTGTGTGATTGATCATCTTAAAATACCCCAGAGATTCTGTCGGTTGACGCTTCTGGTTTCTATGTCTCTTTCTCTTGTTTGCTTTTTGAATGTATGTTGCAAAACGTAGTGAAGTAAAATCAACAAAACTCAATGTTTTTGAGTGAATCAGAATATCCTTTAATGATCAGAATCTTGAGATTGTACGCAGATATTTGTTTGAAACTAATCGGTAGAGATACCAAATAAAAGGTTGGTTATTGCGTTAAGTTTCTTATGTCACTACAAACAAATTTGGAAGGATATTGGGTGGTAATCTTCTTTCATTACTCTTTCTAGGTCAAGGTCAAGGTCAAGAAGCCGAGGAAGGTTAAGCTCTAGCTTTCTTTTTCCATTTGAGTTTGCATTGTTTTGTAGTCTGCGATTGGATTGATGGTTTCTAATGTTTTGTTTTTCGTTATCTGAATGAATTTTGATCGACAGGTCTGAAATTGAAAACCCTGGTACCACTCTCTATGTGACTGGCCTATCTACAAGGGTCACTGAGAATGATCTTGAAACACATTTCTCCAAGGAAGGAAAGGTGAAATCATCTGATTCTCCTTCCTCATATTGCCAGTTTTAATCTATTTTGTCTCAGCATTTTTTAGCATACAATCGTTTAACATGTGGTTGACTAACTAATTTTGTATCCATAGGTTGCGTCGTGCTTTCTTGTGACCGAGCCTCGCACCCGTGTGTCTCGTGGTTTTGCCTTTGTTACAATGGATAGCCTTAAAGATGCTGAGCGGTGCATTAAGTATCTCAACCAGTCTGTTCTAGAAGGCCGATACATAACTGTCGAAAAGGTAAATATTTCATGCTCTACTGATTTTGGTGGCAATATGATATGTTCGTTATTTGTTTAACTTGGAGGTTTTCTGATCATTCAGAAAAATATTGCATCAAGCTAGTGTTGGCAACAATCAGAGATGATACTTATCCTTACCACACCATCATTAAGTGAAACACAGCTTGATCAATCCAATCTCCAGCTTAATCAGCTATTCCAAATGATCTGAACCAACTAATCATAAGCAACTATATTGCCTCAACTCTCAACTAATCAAAGGACATTATCAAGTTTCAACAACTATTAGTCAAGTGTTCGTCAGCCTAGGATGCATCTTATTTCCTTGAATATGCATGGGGCTTTTGTAACTTGGAAGTTGTGTCCATTACATAAGGCTTATTTACTTTGTGTTATCCTCAGTCCCGAAGAAAGCGCCCGAGAACTCCCACTCCTGGCCACTATCTTGGCTTGAAAAGCTCCAGAGAAAATGGTAAGTGAAGTTTCTGTTCAAAACTATTGAGTCTTTTAGCAAAATGAAAAGATTGCTAACTTGTTGCGTGATATTTTTCTCTGTTTTGGAAAAAGACCGAGAAGGCCGTAGCACTCGAGGGAGGCACTATGATCGAGATGATTATGGACATGGTAGGTCACCAAGACGGGACTATTCGCCTCGTGATGCAGGAAGGTCACCAAGACGGGACTATTCGCCTCGTGATGCAGGAAGGTCACCAAGGCACGACTATTCACCTCGTGATGGAAGAAAGTCACCAAGACGTGACCATTCACCTCGTGGTGGAAGAAGTTCCAGAAGAGATCGGTCTTACTCTCCTTATGGAAGAAGTCCAGAGAGAAGGTCAGAGAGAAGGTCAGAGAGAAGGTATCAACCCCGTGACTCGAGATGACCTGTTTAGCTCTGTTGACAAAGGAATACAAGAACTTCTATGTTGATGTAGGTTGTGTGATTGATCATCTCTAAAATACCCCAGAGATTCTGTCGGTTGACGCTTTTGGTTTCTGTGTCTCTTCTCTTGTTTGCTTTTTGAATGTATGTTGCAAAACGTAGTGAAGTAAAAACAACAAACTCTCTACACTTGATGTTTTTGAGTGAATCAGAATATCCTTTTTTGATCAGAATCTTGAGATTGTACGCAGATACTTGTTTGAAACTACTCGGTAGAGATTCCAAATTAAAGATTGGAACTTACAAACTTTAAAAGAAAAAAAACTCTAAGAAAAATTTTAAAGCTGGGAACTTTGAAACTTAAAAAAAAAACTCTCAAAGAAGAAAGCTATAAACAGTGATAAAAACAGTTATCCAAAATCGTATATAAATATATACCTTTGTATCTTTACTTGTAAGAAAAACACAAACCTCATCAAGAATTGGCGTATTTGTGCCAACAAAGCAACATAAGAATACATCTTCTGGCAATATAAAACCTAGAACGCCTCTCTTTCACCATCGCTAAACATCCTTTATTCCTCTCCATCGATTCACTGCAACCTCCTTCTTCCCTTTTCCTCTTTCTCCTCATCTTTGTCGTCGATGAACATTGCCCCATCGTCTAACCCTTTTTTTTGGGCCTTTTGTTCTCCCCTCTTTACTTTCGTTTCTTCACACTTGCGTGTTTTCTTCACACTTTTGCGTTTTCTTCTTTTTTGTTGTGTGTTGTTCTCTAGAGACGGAAGCAAAATGAAAGAAGAAGAAAAAGAAAGAGGAAGAAGCAAAATGAAAGGGACCAAATGTGAAAAGAGTGGAGAGGAAAATAAAGAAATGATAAAAGACTATAAATAGAGGAGTGGTGGAGCAATGATGATGCGATGACGTTAAACGTCATTAACCTCTCTTTCTTTCTTTTTTCACGAATTCTCCAAGAAATTCCATTAATTCCTTTTGTTTGTGTACTTACGCGATCAAATCATTCTGTACGCTACGCTTTATCATTGTTACTTAAAAGTTAAATCTTTTATTAATTAATAGTGGAAATGTGGAATAATTATCTTGGTGTATAGGGCACAAAAACATACTAAAGTCTCGTATGTTACTAGAGTTGAGTTTCTCTTCTTGTATATTTAATATTTGTGTAATTGTGTTCAGATATAATGTATGGAGATCCATAATGGTATAATGTAAAGAATAACAACACATCGTCATATTGTTGATATTTTCTGTTTTCCGTTACTAATTTATTGTTAATTTGATCCCCCGAAATCAACAAAAAAAAAAACGCGTCTCAGGTGGTTCTATCATACATGACGAGACAACGGCTTATCTCTTGCTTACACATATATGTCCTTCTCTGATTGTTATCATATCCTACGCTGTATTGTAATGATCTTACCTTTTCCGCATCTTACGGCCATCAATCTTAAGCTAATTATTTTATTTGTAATACATTATAATCTTTCTTACTAGCATGGAATTTCTAGTCGTCTACTAATTTTTGTAGACAATTTTTGTTTTGCACCGGTTTATATTGGAAGGTGCTTGGCATGAATTGTTGTTGTAGAATTTTATTTTTGATTTAACTGTAAAGCCTTTATTATTAAAAATATTTGACTGTTATTATTTTTTTTAATAATGAAGACTTTTAGAAACTTTTTTGTGTGGCTAACATCTGCACAGTTTTAGAAGCTTTAATGGGATTTTTAAGTTTCTGAAATGATTCAATTAAGTTTCAAAATTTGATCGAATAGTTTCAGAAATTTCAATGTCTAATTACATAAATTGTTCAATGTAGGATCTATCAGAATAAACTTAATTTGTTTGTTAGTTATTTGCTAATTTATTAAGAGCGGCCTTCCTAACAGACGCAGAAGAACGTCAGCATGAACAGGTGGAAGGGAATAAAGTATCTGGAGGAGGAAGAGAAGCAGCAGTACTGACCAATCATTGATAGTTGATTGGTTTTTGCCACGTCAGCTGCTTCCTTTGACAGCTGTGTAAATATTCCTCTCTTCTTGTTTTTTTCTAACAAAAAAAAGAATATAATTTTTTAATTTTTTTTATATTCATATGCATTTTATTTACCGAACCAAGATATGGATATTGATATTGTTATGGGTAAACCAAGATATGGATAGATATTGGATATTGTTATGGATATAAGTAATAAGGTTCATAGGATATTCGTTCACATTTTTTTTTTGTCGCCATTTCATCTTTACCTTTGCGAATGGTGCCATTTTATGTACTTGCGTTAAGAGAGTAATGGAGTTTTATTTAATTTGCATAGATCTCTCGTGGGTCAATTTAGTGGTAGCCTAGTAGCCGCACCAAGTTAATTTGGGCCAAACGGGCCTTACAAACGAATGATCTGCTTCGTTGAGATTAAAATTAAAAAGGCCATAATCTTATGATTAGAAGGCCGTTATATTATTATTGATTTTATGGGTTTTCTTCTTCGTAATAATGTTTTATTATGGGTATGACAAGACATCAGAAAATATGATGATCCTCATCAAGAACCGAAAATTTTATGTTATAAAGCGTGAAACAAAAACAAAACATTTCCCATAACTACTTGACTACGTCATCATATTCATATCGTCAAAGTCTCAAAGAAAAGAAGACGCACCACTATCCTCTTTTTTTTTTTTTTTGTCGCCTTTTATTGTTCTTCTTAAACATGAGCACCACCCATTTTTGTCAAATGCAAAAAAGCAACACTGTCCATTATCCATTTAGAGATTATTAGAAAAAAAAAAAAACAGGGAATCCCGTGACCCACACTTATGTGGACCCCATATGATGACGTGGACAATCTCTACGTGTTACACAACGAAACGCTCATGTCCTCCCTGGCTTTCAACCGAAACATCCCTCTCTCTCTCTCTCTCTCTTCTCTCCAGTTTCTTCCTTCCTCTCACACACACTCTCTCTCTCTCTCATGCTGAATCTTGGATCATTCTCCTTTTTCGTGCTTTTGGATCGAAGAAGAAATCGCCCTGTTGATTTTTAACTGGAGTTGTTTCGCGTTTCTGATCCGCCCGAGAATTTTGTCCCGATGGCGATCAAGGAGGAGACCGAGGAGAGTTGCGGAAGCAGAGCCGTCGTGGCTTCTGTGTCCAAGGAAAACCCTAGGCAACATCGTATGAAACTCGAGGTGTACGGAGAGGTTCTACAGCGAATTCAGGAATCGAATTACGAAGAAGCTAATCTCCCTGATTTCGATGATCAGCTCTGGCTCCATTTCAATCGTCTTCCCGCTCGGTAAATTAGAATAATCTGTGGGGTTTCGTTTCGATCAATTATAATGGTTTGCGACTTGTTTGTCTTAGTTTTCTGTGTGTCTGGCTTAGGTTATTGGATCTTTTTTTTCATCATTTTGTTCTAATTTGGTTTCTGGTATGATCATGGACATCGGAAAATTTCTGTTTTAATCTGAATTTGATTTGTAATTTTATTGTTTGAAGACAATTGATACTTCGTCTGCTCTGTCTGCGTGTAGTTGTTGGTCTGCTAGTTTAGTTGCACCATTCACTATTTCTCGATTTGGCATTTATCAGTATTGATGAATGCTTTCTTCTTTTTTTCATAGATATGCTCTGGATGTAAATGTTGAGAGAGCAGAAGATGTTCTCACTCATCAAAAATTGCTGAAATTGGCCGAAGATCCTGCAACTAGACCCGTCTTTGAAGTTCGTTGTGTACAGGTAGTTAAAGCATCTGCCACTTTCTGGCTTGCTTCGTGTTCCATACTGAAATCTTTGTTCGAAACTGAATAATTTTTTGCTGACTTAATTGGTACTTGCGTTCCTCTTTCTTACAGGTTTCCCCTACATTTAATGGACATTCTGCTGACGCTGATCCTTCAGATCCCGCCGTGAAGGAAGATGCTCAAAGCTCATACCACTCGACCAGGTATGGCTATGCACTACTATAAAATTTTGGCTGATCTCTAGGCGTTTCTTTATTAGCATTTTCTCCTTTGTGACTATCTTCTTACTTCCTGTTCAAAGGGTTCTTGCACCTCCAACTTTTGGTTCTTCTCCGAATTTTGAGGCTCTTACACAAGCCTACAAACATCATGCTGAAGACGATGATAGTGCGGTCAATCCAGAGTTGCCTAATTCTCGGTGAGAGTTCTTCTTAAAAATTATTATATATGCTCCAGTTATGTCTGCATATAATTAAAGAGGAAATCTTTGTAGCATGGAATCGTGGTCCCATGTTTTTCAGGTTAACCTGATATTATTATACAACCATGAGCGGTGATATTATCCTTTGTTGCCTATCTTATAGACCTATGCATGAAATCACCTTTTCAACCATCGACAAGCCGAAACTCCTTAGTCAGGTTGGTAAATTTATTTTTCCGTCGATTTCTGTATATCACCTCTGTTGTTCTTTTACTATTGTGCTAAAGTTTCTCCTCTGTTGAGTAGAGTGATGTTTATGATTACCAATATACAAATTCGTTCATTTCGTATTTGCTAATTAACTGCGCAAACTTCATCGGTGTAAATGATCCATTAGAGACTGTCATGTAAGAATGGGTGGGTAATTTTGGCATGTGCCATCATCTGAGCGAGAAAATATTTTTTTTCCAGTTAACTTCCATGCTTGGTGAACTTGGATTGAATATTCAAGAGGCTCATGCTTTCTCTACGGCTGATGGTTACTCTTTGGATGTCTTTGTTGTTGATGGTTGGTCGCAGGAGGTATGCTTTCTGTTTTCTGCATGGACTTTATCTTTTATGTATTCATTGAATGACTTACAGAGATATTGGCAATTAACGACGTTTGTGTCCCTATCATCACTAAACTGGTTAAAAACCTTATGACTTTGGAAATACAGGAGACAGAAGGTTTAAAAGATGCGTTGAGGAAGGAGATACGGAAGCTTAAGGTATCTTCTATATTTTTATTGTCATGAGCATTTCTTATCTTCAGGAGATTCCTCATATGCTCTCCATGTCTCATTCTGTATCATAATCTAAAAATGCAAGCAATGCTTTAGCATTAGCTCGCCCGAAAATTTAGTGAGACACTGTACTGATGTTTTGTTGCTATGTTTTGCATCAACTCTTGATAGTTGTCCTCTCTCCATATTCCACAATGGCTGCTCTGCAGGATCAACCTATTTCAAAGCAGAAATCTATTACTTTCTTTGAGCATGACAAATCAACCAACGAGCTGGTACCTGCTTGTGTTGAAATACCTACGGATGGAACGGATGAGTGGGAAATTGAAATGAAACAGCTCAAGATTGAAAAGAAAGTGGCATGTGGATCATATGGGGAACTGTGAGTCTTCTCATTCCAAATATCTCTGAAGTTTATGATAGGAAGTTAACAAATATGTGATTTGTGATGTCTATGCAGGTATAGAGGAACCTATTGCAGTCAGGAAGTAGCTATCAAAATTCTGAAGCCTGAGCGTGTAAATGCTGAAATGCTCCGTGAGTTTTCTCAGGAAGTGTATATAATGAGGTATGTTACATTCGATTATCACTCATACTCTTAATAGTACTTTTATTTAATTCTCTAAAATTTCCATTTCGCGGTCTATATTCAGTATTAAGAAATATACATGAGTTTTCTCTCATTTTTTCTCTACCATTCTCCATCACTAGGAAACGTTTTATCCAGGGACTTGCGCTAATTTTCTCAGTCAGAATCTCTATGCTGTTTAAAGCAATTAACATGCATATTCTAGATGCTGATTTTCTCTGGGGACAGTTGTTCGTTTCTAGAACTAGTTACTGATATTTTCTTGTTTGTAGGAAAGTACGTCATAAAAATGTTGTCCAATTTATCGGAGCATGCACACGGTCACCAAACCTCTGCATTGTGACGGGTATGTTCTCAGTAGATTCTGAATAAGAGTTTACTTTCATCTGGATTATATTGTTTACTGCCTGTTCCGTATCTGCATACTTGGTTAGAAAGTTGACTCAGCAGAACAATGAGGTTCTTGTATTGCTATGTTATTCTCGTAACATTTCAATTGCTAGTTTTGGCTTTCATATATATATGCACGGGGGACTGATTTTTATCCTTTTGATCAGAGTTCATGGCTCGGGGGAGCATTTATGATTTTCTTCACAAACAGAAAGGCGTTTTTAAACTTCAATCTTTGCTCAAAGTGGCCCTAGACGTCTCGAAAGGAATGAACTATTTGCATCAAAACAATATTATTCACAGAGACCTTAAGACTGCTAATCTTCTTATGGACGAACATGAAGTAAGCCATCTTCTTTGGTTATTGATTATGTAGCCTTTCAGCATGCTTTGGTCTCTGATTATGTAGCCTTTCAGCATGTAAACCTTTGGAATTATGAAATATTTGTTGTCTCTCCACAAATACTGTTCACTTCATTATAATACAGGTACATGTCTTTATGTTTTGCATTATTTTTAACAGGTTGTGAAGGTTGCTGATTTTGGGGTTGCCAGAGTGCAGACTCAGTCAGGGGTCATGACAGCTGAAACAGGAACCTACCGATGGATGGCACCAGAGGTATGACTGCTTTCGTACATCTTGTTTTTTTTTTTTTTTTTTTTTTGGGTTTTTGGAGTGTATGAAACTAAAAACATGTTTGTGGAGAGTTTTAACTGAAAATAACCGAGACACAGTTGGCCCCATTTGAGAAGACATGTAGTTTGAAATATGACATTCAGCTGTGTGAAGATCATTTGTTAATTCCTGAGTTGGTCGGTTTCTGTATTTCTCTGCTTTGACAATATACTTTTTGAACTCAGGTTATTGAGCACAAACCGTATGATTACAGGGCAGATGTCTTCAGTTACGCGATTGTGCTATGGGAACTTTTGACTGGGGAGGTAAGTCTCCTCTCTCGCTCTCTCTCTGGATTTGAATGGTAGAAGTTGCTAAACTCAGTTAACATCTGCATTTGACGCACTGTTATTTATTTAATTTTTTTTCTGGCGTAAAATGAATAAAAACAGCTCCCATATTCTTACCTGACTCCACTACAAGCAGCTGTTGGTGTTGTCCAAAAGGTATATATTTATAAGGACTATACATTTCTTTTCCTCGTGCTTCGATAGCTTTTTGTACATTGAGTTCTGAATTTTTGTGCAGGGACTTCGACCGAAAATTCCGAAGCAAACACACCCAAAACTGACTGAACTTCTTGAGAAATGCTGGCAACAAGACCCAGCTCAGAGACCGAATTTTGCAGAAATCATAGAAATGCTTAAGCAACTACTCCAAGAGGTAACTGCTACCAGAACCGGGCCTGGGTAGAGACCCATGAAGCATGTGGAGATTAATAAGTTTAGAAAGTTGTTAGGGGCCAATTTGTGAAAAGATGAGTTAGCTCATGGTTTAGGAGGTGGATTTAATTACTCAAAAGTTCAAGTCTATGAGGCTATGTTTTGTGTTTTTTTTGTTCTTTATCATTTGCTTTAATTGACCTTTTGACACGAGAATCAATGAGGGAGCTATGAGTTTTCGTTGTCAGTACATTACTTTATTGTATGAGATCTGCCTAGAAGTAAAACGAGTAATCGTATTATTTGGTAGTGCATCTAGATGCATAAAACACTTGTGTTGAGAAATTTTACATTATCCATGTATTTACAGATCACAAACGGAGTGGTCTCGTGTTTGCTTATCACTCTTCTACAGGTAGTTCATTCTCTGTCCAGGCAACGTATCCTCCAGCAATGTCTGTGACCGCGGTGAAACCCTGTAGACGAGGAAGCACTAAACCGCTTAATATCTCTGTTTTAACTGATAAAATGATACTATCACGAAGCTCTATATATAAGTAGAAGTGAATCGCACTTACAGCCGTGAGAAGATCAGTTGACGCCATGAAAGACCTTTGCCCGCTCTCACAACCCTGCATTATTTATTAAGACGTTAAAATATAAAAGAAAATCGCAATTTTTTTCATCGCGTTACTTGAGATTTTGCCAAAATTTTAAACTTACGATGATGATTTCGTCGTGTTTCCTGAAGTGGGACGAGACCTGCCTTAGAAAACTCGGGTTCTTGACCATCCCTGCAACATTTTTGGCTTTGGTGTTAGTTTCAAAGTTTCTTTTTTTCAAGTAGAAGAATCTATTTATTCTAACGGTTTGTGATGGGAAGAACCTGATCCGACTCTGTACATGTAAGGGGCGTTGATGGCACTAGAAGGATGTCCGATGCTGAATTCATCTGGTGTCCTCACGTCGAGATATCGATATCCTGCTTGAGCTAGCTCATGCGCCACTCTTACCGGTACCGATGTAGGAACTCTGCCTGCTTCTGCTGCAACATTTCCTCTGCTCGTTGTTGCTCTCCGCCTTCAACAGAAAAAAAAAACAGAGTTCTTAGTCATTTCCTCTAATGCTAATTCATAATCTGAAAGCGGCAGAGAGTTTCCTCGAACTTCGCTCACCATCGGATATTTGAAGTTTGAACATCTGCAACAATGACACCTCTTCTTGTTGAATTTGCCGTTGGTAGTTTCCACTTGAAAGATCCACACGTTTGTAGAGGTTGAGAAATAGTCGATGACCAGCTTCCAATTCGTGTCGGTGTGTTAAAAGTCGTTGTTTCCATTTCTTTTTTTCTCTCTTCTTCTTTCTTAGATACTTTGTTGAAGATTTACTTCTTCTCGTGAGTGTGTATATATATACAGACACAAAGGGTATTGGATAGTCAGTACCACGTCAGATTTTATGTCCGATTATTGTAGTCTCTATCCTTCTACGGATATTATTCAATTTTGTAGCGCAAGTCGATTCCAAAATGTAAGCCATGCGTGGAATGGGATCAGCATCATGATAAGTCCTAACTCGGTTGCCTCGTAAGTCGTAACTCGTGAAAGAATAGGATAATGCTGACTCGGATGGATTCTACCGTACGTCTCAAAATAGGCCCAATTGTAAGCTTTCAATGGATCTGAATAAATATTTATTTGGGCCTTAGGCCCAACTGTGAAACAAGTGGCTGAGATGGAGGCTGAGGAGAAGATGAACTTAGTGAGGCTTTTAACGATGGTGGACTACCGATTGCTCGACGACGATGATGGCGAGGTTCGTTTCAGTGTCGTCTCCTCAGTTCCATTTCAGCGTCCGTGATTTTCCTCCTCCGTCTTCGAATCTTCAACCCAGACGGCTCGAGGTAAATTTTTGTCATTTGTTTCTTCTGTGATGGTAGTATTGATCGGTCATTTTAAGTCAGATGCTCTCAATTAGGTCTCGGACCGGAGATTTCCGGTGGTTCCGATCAAGTGTTCTTCATCTGAGCCGGAAGATGGTGGAGATTCGGCGCCGTCGCTGCTGTCTTCCTCCTCATCGTCGTCAGCAACTGAAGTATCTACTAACAGCTGGACATACAACTGGTACACCGGAATCGGCGGTGTTGGGATGTTAGACACCGCGTATTTGACTTACCTCAAGCTCACTGGCTCCGATGCGTTTTGCCCTGTTGGTGGTGGCACTTGCGGAGATGTTCTAAACAGCGACTATGCTGTCGTTTTCGGTATTATCCATCGCTTTAATGACTCTAGCGTTTGATTTAAACGTATTTCCTGATTGGATTTTGCAATTGATCTTTGAAAATTGTATGAATTTAGGCAGTCCTGAGTGTATATTTTGATGTGTGTATTGTCTGTTGCCTTTGTAAAAGATTCACCTGGAAACATATATGTAGCTTAGCTTAGTTTTTTAGATTTGTATTCGTGTAGATCTCTTGAAGTAGGAATGCATTCAAAAAAAAATTCATGATACGGCCAAGGTCCAACACTCGCATTTGAAAATGTCTGTAAATATGTGCTAGAAGCTTCATTCCACTCTATGTAGTTCTAGTTTATTTTGTTTTTCCTCTGCTCCGGCATTTTTTTTTTTTTTTTTTGTGGGGCAGAATTTTCTTATGGACTGGTTTTACAAGTTTAATGTGTTTGAAAGCTGAACTCAATGACAATACTTTATCATTTTTTCTAGGTATTCCTCTCCCAGTGATTGGATTTTGTATGTATGGTTTAGTAACTGCTCTAAGTACACAGCTCGGGGAAGGGAATCTACCTTTTGGAATCAGTAAGACCAATGGGCGTTTTGCGTTATTTGCGACCACGACTGCAATGGCATCTGCTAGTGCATATTTCCTGTACATCCTTAGCACAAAACTCTCAGGATCATCGTGCCTGTACTGCCTAGTGTCTGCTTTCCTATCGTTTAGTCTATTTTTCCTCTCTTTAAAGGTATCCATTTATGTCCGTTTCTCTTACATTTTAGATTTATTGTATTTCGAGTGAAGATGACATCTGAACTTCAGATTATTTGATGTGGTAGGATGTGAAGTTGCAAGAGATACAGCAAGTTGTAGGACTACAGATATGCTTAGCAATCATAGTAGTTGCCTCCTTGACTGCTTCCTACAGTACTGCTCAACCAATCCCTTCACGGTAATCTAGGTTTCATAGTTTTCTTTCGCAAGGCCGATGGCAACCAACCTTATAGCTGCCTGAGGATGAATGAGTCAAGTCAGGGGGTCTCTTTTAATCACAATATATGTCTTTGGTTTCACTCCTTGCAGCTCAGGTGACATTGAGCTGCCATATTTCTCTACAGAGATCACTACATCATCGAGCCCTTATGCTATTGGCTTAGCAAAACATCTAAACTCAATTGGAGCTAAAATGTATGGAGCATTCTGGTGTTCTCACTGCTTAGAGCAAAAAGAGGTAGGTAGTTCATTCATCATCGGTATACCTGAAACCAGGTTCATGGATTTACGATGTTCATGTAAGTTCCCTCCATCTTTATAGATGTTTGGAAGAGAAGCGGCAAAACTACTAAATTACGTGGAGTGTTTTCCCGAAGGATATAAGAAAGGAACCAAGATATTCAGGGCATGTTCAGATGCTGGTATCGAAGGATTCCCAACATGGATAATAAACGGTCAGGTGAGTAAATCCTCTGAATCCTTGGTACATTTTTCATCACACGTCAGTTCCTATTTCACCTCTTTTAATATTTAGGTCTTAAGCGGAGAAGTAGAACTCGCTGAACTAGCGGAGATGTCTGGATTCAGCCTTGATCAGGGAAATGAAGCCAATCAACTTCAGTAAATTTTTTTGTATTGTTGCAGAAAATATTAGGTGAATCTGTGAATGTTCTTTGCTTGATCCTGATAGTTATAGGGCATTCTATGCAGTTGCAAGTGATTAAAATGCTAATTATTGCCATAAAAGGCTGAGAACTCCATGGTCTCTCTCTCTTAGCCTTTACTAGAGCATCACTCTCTCTTAGCCTTAACTAGAGCATCACTCTTTCATCATATAAAGATTTTAGGTTCATAAAAATGGTTAGGTTCTACTTGTAATTTGAGAACCTGCAGTCTTGTAGTAGTGTGACATTATGTGTCTAATGCCTAGAAATGAGGTTTATGTAAGAGTCAGACATGGATGTATTTGTATGTATAAATGATTTATGCGTGTATATGTACATGTACTATATGTATGTTTACCGGTGTAAGGGATAGGAATTTATCTATATTATTGTTATATGCAGATGACATATGCAGTTATTATCCGTTTGATACGCAGTAGATAAAGTTTTATTTTTTCCTTTTTATAAATATTTTTTTGGATAGATATGAAAATCAAGTTATGTAACTCGATTTAGTTTTGCGTAAAGAACAGATCAGCCAAAATAACAGTTATCTAATGATGTGATGAGGCGTAGCGTAACGTAACGCTTTAGGGCAGCGCGGGAAAAGGAGTAAAAGAAAAAGCAGTAGCCGTTAGATGTAGAGAAAATGGAGGGGTAGGATTAGTCGCTTAGCAAGAAAGATCAAAAAGGAGGGTAATGAGTGTAGGACCCATAAGGAGGTAAGAAAGATCATGTTGAAAGGAAGATGCCATAGAATATTCGTAAGAGACCGTCGTTTCTCACATTACCCTCCCCCAATAAATACACTTATTTTTTTTTCTTGAGTTTTTGCCTTTTTAAAATCATCACTTCATCACCTTCACTCGCCGCATTTGCTAACTCCCCATCTTCTTTTAATTCAACTCCATTTCACCGACGAAGAGAGAAGCGATGAGCACTCAGATTTCGGAGATCGAACAGGAGCAGCTGATCGAGAAGCTCGAGATCTTCAAGATCCATGGCAGAGACAAACGCGGCCGTAAGATCCTTCGGATTATCGGCAAATTCTTTCCAGGTAGTCTTAAAATCGGGTCTGATTATTTTGTATCTTTCTTTTTTAAATTGTTTGTTGTAAGGATCTAATTTGAATCTTCTCAAATTAGCTCGGTTTCTGTCACTGGATGTGTTAAAGAAGTATCTAGAGGAGAAGATCTTTCCTCGATTAGGAAGAAAACCGTTCGCCGTACTTTACGTTCATACTGGCGTACAGAGGAGCGAGAATTTCCCCGGAATCTCAGCTTTGCGAGCGATCTACGACGCGATTCCGGTCAACGTCAGAGACAATCTCCAGGAGGTTTACTTTCTCCACCCAGGTCTCCAATCACGTCTCTTCCTCGCCACTTGCGGCCGATTTCTGTTTTCCGGCGGGTGAGTGACCGCCGCGGCGCGTTTTTTTTTGGTCTACAGCTTCTCGTGAAACTTTGAAATTGAAAAACGTCGATTACTGATTGGTTGTTTGGTGTGGTGATTGGCTACGGTAGGTTGTACGGGAAGCTAAGGTACATAAGCAGAGTTGACTATTTGTGGGAACACGTGAGGAGGAACGAGATAGAGATGCCGGAGTTTGTGTACGATCACGACGACGATCTAGAGTACCGTCCGATGATGGATTACGGTCAAGAAAGCGATCACGCGAGGGTTTTCGCCGGAGCCGCCGTTGATTCCTCAGTCTCCAGTTTCTCAATGAGGTGTATCTCTTAGCGGAGCAGAAAATCCATACCCACCAGATCTCGGATATCCGTATATTATAAACTATATAATATACGATTAAAAAAAATAAAAGATTACAAATAGGTGTGCGCTTTTTAAAATCAGTGAGCGTTTTTTACGGAAAAAGAAAAGAAAGCAGTTGGCTTTTGGATAAGGAGATAGTGAGAATCTTTAGATTTTTTCTTAAATCTTTTCTTTTTTTGTTTTTACTTGTAGTGGTGGTGGTGTGAGTATATGTTAATATAATATGTGAGCTTAAGCCATTGTCAAATTAAACAAATCAAAAGAAAAGCCATTGTAAATTTTGTATACAAACAAGTATCAAATTTTAATTCAGTTTTGGTTTCTTAATGTTGTGTTAACGATGTAAATGATAAACCTTAGGACCAAATAAAGTGTTGCTACGGTTTTGTTTCAAACCAGCTTCGGTTACTCATAAAAAAAAATGGCGCGAAATCGCTCAGCTGAACCGACAAGACGTTTGAATACAGTATTTAGCTACAACTATTACTGTATTAACCTAAAATCGACAAGACGTTGTTGAAATGAACAAATATCCGAGCGATTTAGCTACAACTATCACTGTAGCTTCATTATCTTTGCCGGTTTCTTGTCATCAAAACTTTCAGAAGAATTGTCTAAAGATGTGCTACGCTTCATCTTTCTCCGGTTGACAAACTCTGAGAATGACGGAATTGGTGGGAGCCTTATTGGCGAACGACTCGGGCTCACTACGAGCTTCTGTTGTGTTGGTTTCTCGACCCATGACTCGGCTGTGTATATCTTTCCGTCTTCTTCCTCTATGTTCTCTGCTGGTTCAGTCGACCGCAACGATTCTCCTGATGGCTCTTCTTCTCTAGCCAAAGTGACCACTGAGCTTAGTCGGGCCATTAGCTCGTCTCTGCTTGCCGTTCCTAACCATCTCACAGTACTCACTATCTGCGAGTAGTAAAACGATTTCCCTGCTTTGCTATACTTTCTATAGCACTCGTTTTCAAGAAACTCAGATGCGTTTTGGGGATCAATCCTGCAATAGTTATTTCAACGTTCCAATTAATGAGATAAGAGAGAGGCACATAAGCTTCTTCAACTAAAATACTTGAAAGAGGATTCAAGAGATTTTTACTCCTCTAAACCGGCGAGCAGCTCAAGTACTCGTGCCAGTTCATCCAAGAGTCGCTTCTTGCTCGATTCCCTTAGTGTTTCAGATATAACATTCTTCTCAAACTTTTTGACCTGCAAAAAGTTCGAATAGGCTTTTTTTTGGTAAGTTAAACTGGAAGAAAGATGTCAGGATTTTGTTTCTAAAAAAATAAATAAAGTGAACCTGTTACCAAACCTGTTTATTGCTTTCATAGTATTTTTCCTCAGCCCGCTCCAGTAAAACCATTTTCTCTTCTAGTCCCAACTTTTTCGATAGTTTAGGTCCTGCTAGGCACTTGGCAGCCTCAGCGCCATCTGGGTGTAGATGGATCAACACGTGAGTTATAAATTTTTAGGCTATATACGAATGTTTTTTTTCTTGAAAAGTTGGATCTGCATTATCACGAAAGTGAGTTACCATCTGAATCTGATATTTCGTCATCGGAATTGCTTCCATCTTCATTACGATTCCAGAACTCGGAGTATTGTCCCTCATTGGTCTTATCGTTCGAGCTTGCAAAAGAATGGACACCGAGTTCAGTTAGACCTTGTATACCTCGCTGCTTATTTAGATGCGGTTAAAGGCAAAACCTGGCAATGAAAATTCGAGAAGAATTGTGTCTTCGGGAGGCAGTAGTCATGAGCTCCTCTAAGCAATGAGCAACTTGATTTAGATGCTTACATGCATCACACGTTTTTTTGCATTTCTGCACAGGAAACTGTTTGCAACAAGATAATCAGAGGCTTAATTTAACGGAACGTCAAGGGATTTGATTCAAGAATCAGTAATATACAAGTCATACCTCTTCACCAAAGCTCTCAAGAATCTTTCTTCTTCGGCATCCAGAACCTTCACAGTATGTCACAATCTAAAAGCATACAGCATGAAAAAGAATAACTTTTCAACTGAAATACACAGACACAGAGAGAAACAAGTAAGCATTTACCTGCTGAAAGTCAGATATAGGCGTCTTTGAGGATGGGGAATTCTTCTTCTCCGAATTCCGTAGTATAAATTCCTAGTAATGAGTTGGTAAAGTGAGCTAGAGAATTAGATATAGAATGAAAGTTGTGTAGCCAAAAACTATCATAACCAGAGTAACATTACCATTTTCTTTCTATCATCTACACCATAGTATAATACACTTCTCGAGGGTAGTTGATCCCGACCTGCTCTACCAGACTCTTGATAGAAAGATTCCATTGATTTTGGAATGTTAAAATGGCAAACCATTCTGACATCCTTCTTATCTATACCCTAGAAAGTCAGTAGTCTCATCAGGCGATAGTACATAATATATAAACATATATATAAAAGATGCAACATGAGAAAGAATCTTAGTTGCATACCATTCTGTAGAAAAACCATTAGAGCGTTTACTACGTGCACCCGAGAGCTCCCAAACATCGTAAGACACAAAGAAGATGATCATAACAAACCCAGAATCCAAATCAAAATTAATTCACAGAGTTCTTCATACCCGAAAGCCACTGTGGCAACAATAACTTGCTTCTTCGAGGACAGCCAATCATCTAAAACTGTACTCCTCAGGTTACTATTAAGTCCTGCATGATAGGCTGTAAACATATATATAAACATGCGTCAGCGGTTGTGGCTGAATATTGAAGCAGACAGAGGTAGAAGGGACGTTCTTTTACCAGCAGAAGAGATCCCAGAACTGGAAAGATGAACAGACAAGTCATCACAAGTTGTACGCTCAAGGCAGTAGATAATTGCACAAATATTTCCACATGACTTGAGCAATTTGCACAAATCAGTATACGCATTATCTAAAAGATCTTTATACCGAACTGCACCAACAAAAACTTGCATCAGATGATAGGAAATCAAATCTAGAAAATCCATTCTTTTATAGTAATGAAACATTCTCAAACAAAACAGTGTTGGAAACTACTCAAAACAGTTTACAGAGAGGAAATATCAAACACAAATTAATAGCTCAAAGGGAAACCTTCATAAAAGATGTTTGGGCGATTAAAAGAAGACTTCAAGACCAAAGGATTCCGCAAACTCAAGGAGTCAATAACATCCTTTTGTACCCTGCCAAAAAAATTGCTGTTTGAGAAACGGCTCTAAAATTTACACAAATGTTCTTCTAACGCACTGAAATAGAAGATCACTTAGGAGCAGCAGTAGCGGTTAGAGCCAACACTGGAACATCAGCCAAAGAATCTCTCAAGGTTGAAAGTTGACGATAGCTAGGTCTGTCTTATGACGAAACAAGTTAGACTATATAGTAAGGGCCCATGGAAACGAATATGGACACAATCACGAATTATGAACCTGAAGTCGTGGCCCCATGATGAGATGCAATGTGCCTGAGATATAGATAAACAGTCGAGAGAAGTTAAATCAACTTTCAAGTTCAAAACCTGAAGCTTTCCTTCTTACTCATGTTTAGGCATTACAAGGATTTACCTCGTCTATGGCTATAAGATTCAGTAAACCCCTGGAATGGAGTTTTCTCAGCTTCAACATAAATCCTTTGGTCGCAATCAACTCTGGAGTAACATACAACAATCTTACTGAGGGTTTTCCAGAATCAAGGTCTTCATGGATCTAAAAACCAAAGTCAAGAATAACATCAAAGGAAATTACACGATATAATAAATACAAGAAGTGATTCGGCTCATCCAAGATATTACAAGGACATAGCATGAATTTTGAATTTTGCTGAAGAGTTGAGATAATAGAAAAAAGCTTAGAATCAAATTGCATTTACGCATATATATACACATAGACCTAAAACACAATATAGACAAATCACCTTGTTTTTAACATGTGTAGGTTGCGTGGATGAGAGATACTCAGCAGCAATACCTTTCTCCTTCAGAGCAATCACTTGGTTTTCCTTAGGCAAAGAGAATCACTTGATTTTCAAAATTCATTAACACGAAAGCTTAAAAAGGAGAAAACAAAAAGGAAAAGAACAATGCACTTACCATCAAAGCTGAGAAAGTGAACATAAGAGAAGAAGAGAGAAAATAGAGAAGATAGTTAGAGACCAATCAAAACACAGATTCTCTATTCATGAAATCAGGAAAGAAAAAGATTACCGATCAAAGGAGAAACAACAAGCACAATTCCAGGTTTAGCTAGTGCAGGTATCTGATAACAAATCGATTTTCCTCCTCCCGTAGGCATCAAGCAAAAGCAATCCCTTCCTATTTCAATCAAACGATATACATAGAGAAGCGAAGAATTCAAAAAAGGAAAACTCAATTCCAATTTTCATAATAGTAAGGAGAAAAAAAGCGTGTGTTACCACTTACCAGATACAACAGCTTGAATCGCCTCCAGTTGCTTCCCTCTGAAATCTGCATGACCAAAATGCCATCTCAAAAGCTTCACTAATGCTTCTTTTCCAGCAACATTTTTATCGGAGCGGTGCACATTCTGCATCGGTAACGGCGATTTCTCCATATCTCCGATAAAAAAAATTCTTCAACGCCTTATGGAAACTTCAAATTTTTCTGAAGAGATTTCGGATGTTTGTGATTGTTTCATTGATTCTGGGAATATTTCAAGGTATGTGACGACGCTTCCTCAGGACGCTGCGGAAAGTGAAGAAGGCGAATTGGAAAAACAAAAAACGTCATCATTAACCATTACTTAGTTAACCGGCCTAGAATGAACGAAAACCATCCCGGAACAACGGTTCATTCCCGGTTCACTAATCGATTTTAGGTTTTCCGATTGGCAATTGATATGGCGTTGAGCAAGAATGGCGCGTGGAACTTGCCGCGTAGTTTTCAAATATTATTAATGAACACCGCGTCGTTTACTTTGCAAGAAAACGACATGGAAAAGACGCCAAAGAATTATGAAAACGTTTGCCAATCTTGCAGATGACTTGATATAGATATAGTTCTCCAAAGAATTATGAAAACACCGCGTCTTTTCCATGTCGTTAATTCGTTTGTTTCTCACTTGACAACGATTTACTTCTGCTATTTCCTTCGAAATTCTCAATTTACTCAGAAAATAATCAAGTAATAATAACAAACATAAATTAACTTTAAAGAATTTCGACTGGTCACACACTAAGGAATTAGCTTCGAACACTTAAGAATCAAGGAACTAGCCAAAGCTCCGACTGCTTCTACTGTATATCTATTTTCAAATTTTATTTCGGTTGTATTATGCATTCTACATAATCTTTTTCTTTTGTCTCTATCAGTTAGTCTTTGTAGCAACGTGGATGTAAGTTAACTGTTTTAAGAATAAACTAATGTATCCTGGAATCCAAAAAAAAAATAACAAGCATAAACTTGAAAACAAGGAGTATAATGAACAAAACAAAATAATTCCCAATATACTTGACACAATTTCCCATAGATGAATTTTCCGACCATATACCAAAAACATTGTCAGACAAAAGGAGGAGAAAACATCTGAAAACAATTTTCAGAAGAAGAATTGACGTTCTTGATAATACTACCATCAGGTCCATCTCCAAACTTAAACACTTTAGCATTGTTTATATCTTCCTCATCTGTGAAATAGATGGAATTCTCCAAACATGCATAATACTCACTAGCCAAGACAGAGAAACAAATATCTGTTGCCATAACAAAAGCCTTGTCTCCCAAAGAATTAACCTGAACCCATTTAACCAATTCCTCGTCCATCTTATAAACTTTAAAACCAATGGTCCTCAGGCTATAAGGTCTCTTAATTAATATCTCACAGAAACGATAAACAATGCATAGATCTCCACAATGCTCCACGAGCCTCATGTCTTTCAAATACTCACGGCAATACTCACTGTCGTAGTAGCCCGTTGGTGTTGAATTAGGTCCGTACTGATAAATCTTAAGCTCAGATAAACTAACCCACCAAATCGCGCCCTTTAGGTCCAGTGCATAGACTTGACCTTTGTGGACTATAATATCCGAGAAATACTCAGCTTCTTCATCTGACATCCTTGTCCAGACATGATCATTGTTACTTTCTTCCCCACTATTGCACCACCAGAGTTTCTTGTAGCGATCGACCGCGAAAACCAGGTTGTCCACGAGAACAACTCTAGCGAAACCATACGACTTTATACTCGCAACCGAATCTTTTTCCCAGTATTCATAAGCGTCGTAAGACTGATGAATCTCTGAGACAGTAAACTCCAAGAGATCTAGGGTTTTGTGGGAAGAATCTATGACGAGACGTGAGAGAGGGAAAAGGAGTTTTTTACGCAAGTCGGAGACATCTTGGGTTTTGAGAAGCCATCCTTTGTTCGGACATGAGGAGTGAATCACACGGAATAAAGCTGCGGGAGAGAGTAAACACTTTTTTTCATTACTAATACCGTAAGGATGAGAAAGGAAGCGTCTGCGATTGCGGTTGCGGCGGTTTGGGAAACTTTTATTGGTCGCAACCGCAGAACGCCAGGATTTGCATATGCTTCGGACTCGGAGAAGCTCGACGTTGGAGAAGACACGGTTGGCTATTAGATCGAGCAGCTCTTCGAGTAAATCAGACCACTCGACGGATTTACTCATCTCTCACGTCTCTTTCTTATCTCTCTCTCGCTTTTTTTTTTTTTTTTTTTTGTTACTTAGGGTTTTTTATTTTTTATTTATCTCGGTTGTTTGCTAGATCAATGATTGAAAGAAGATTAAGATATGTATGTGTATATATACTCAAGATCTGACGTGGAAAGAAACTCAATTGCTTTTAGGAAATATATATTTTCTGTTCAACAAAGAAAAAGGAAAAAAAGGAAAAAAAGGAAAGATATTCCTCCTTTTTTCTAGTCAACTATAAAAGATATAATTATGGGGCTTTAAATTAATTAAAGCGTTTCCTGTTACCTATAGAATTTACACTTCTTGACTTGACCAGAATTTGATGGGTTTTATTTGAAACTATTTATTGTTTTTTTATATTTAGATGTACTCTTTGTAATGTTTCCATCAATGTTAAAGTCTTAGATGTACTTTTTGTAATGTTTCCATAGATGTACTAGGCGCTCAACAGCATCAAAGCGTTCAAAATTCCTAAAATCAGTTAGTCAAAATCGTTGAGACCGTTTTTATTTGGTTAAAAGTTAAAACTTGTCTAGCCGACCAATCGCCCGGATTAGCACTTGGATTAGTATTTCCCAGGTTTCTTATAAATCCCATGACGTTTAAACCAAGTGAAACAAAATAAAATTAACGGGAGAGAATCCTAATAAGCGAGTCCAAGGGCAGATATCTCGCTTAGATTACTAAAAAAAGAGTATTTCGGTTATATAGTAGTAGTACAAAAAAAATTAAAAAATGCTTCATGCTTCTTCATACACAATAATTGTTTTATATTAATGGCCCTTTACTCTGTCTGATTGCGTCAAAACGTGCCGCCAACGTATCGTAGTCAGGTAGTTTTGGGTGAACATGGAGACCGCTTGAGTCCCGTCTCGATTCAGCGTACTGAGGAGCCTGAGGTGGTGCTCGATTTGGCGGGAGGGAAGAAGTACGACTCTGAAATGGACCTTCTTCTGGCTCTGCCTCTTCCTCGTAGTAGTCTGACTCATCAAACTTTATATCAGAAGTTGCAGGAGGAGTAAGAGATGGAGAGTTGTAGCTGTGTCTCCTCCTCATTGTTTCCTTTGCTTCTGCTTCATCTTCTCGGTCAGATTCATTTATACACGGATTGTTGCAGCTGTGTCTTCTGCAGATTCCTCTGTTTCCTGCACAAGGTTTTGCGTAGTAGGAGCTTGTTTCAGAATCTTGGGATTGTCTTCTTGAACCTGTATCCTTGTGGTTTGTTGAATGATTCAAAGACGAGGAGGAGGATACAGAGAACTCCTTGGTGTTGTCTCTTCTGTTAGCTAATAAGGCGGCTGCTTGTGCTGCTGCAACCGCCTGCTTGGCTAATTCAGCTGCTGCTTCCGCGGCTGACTCGGAGTCATGATAATGCGTGTTGATGCTCATGCTACTACTCGATCTGATAAACAAAACAACAACAACAAAAAAAAGACTTCATTTCTCTGAGCCCTTATTCGGAACAGACATTGTTGAAGCAAAAGATGGAAATGCATGTATACCTCGGCACTGCTTTGTTAGGATCAATGGACTCGTCGTGAGCAGCACGGTTTACGGGTAAGCTTGAAGCGCTAACAAACACACGTTGGCCGTCCTGTTCATACAAGAAGACCACATGTTATAGAATTCTGATTCAACGGAAAGAAAAAAAGAGACGAAGTTGTGAGATGAAGAGACATACTATGGCTTCTTCTTGAGGTTTGAGAAGTTCTTGCGCTGTCTCTGTAGTGTCCCAATCGACCTGGAATTCCTTTGCGATTTCTTTCATGATTTTCAGTTTGAATTCTCCAACCGGTTGCCTAACCGAAAGCTTATCAATCAACTAGAAACACACAAGAGAAAGAAGAGTCATTAAACAGAAACCTAGCAAAGTTGTTGACAAATCATCAGAAAGAAGATAATTTCCACATACCATCCGGTTCACGCCGCAGGTAGGACGCAAATCAGTAGCAGCAGTTACAAAATCTCTTCCATATTTCTTCTCAAAGATGTCTTTCAGATCTCCAAGCTCCGGGATTTCAGAGCACCTTGGCGCAGCGAATATCAGACTAGAAATACCTTCCTTGAGATCCACAGGGCATTCCCTAAAACAAGTCAAAAAGAACACATAAATATAAATAAGTACGCAGCTTGAAGTGTGAGTAAATCTATATAATTGAAACTTGATATGGACATATACTTCTGCTTGGTGATGATAGTGAGACGGGAAACGATGAGCTCGCAGAAAAGCTCGATGATTTCGTTTGCCGCCAGAATGTTCTGCTCCCTAATCACATGCTCAACCTGAATTGTTCAAAAGGCAAGTCTTCATTGAATTGAATTGCTTGTGCTAAAGAAACTTCAAATCAAGGGATCTGATTTGCATTTTTAGACAAGAGAGCTTAGAAAGTCAAGGAGAAAAGTGAAATACTCTGATACGAGCGGTGGCATCTTGACCAGACTGAAGAAGAACTGCGATGTCACGCCTCATTTGCTTCACCACTACTTGTCTCTTGTTCCTCAGAAGCTTTATCCGGGCCACAGCCATCTTCGCCGCCGTTTTGCTTTTTTTTTTTTTTTCCAATCAAATGCCCAAAACAAAAAAACCAGACAAGTAAAAAAGGAAAAGTTCATCAGATCATAGAGAAGAGTCCCAAAATAGTAAACATTTCTCAAACACATACCAGAATTATAAGAATGAACAAATCGATTCTCGACATTAGAAGTATCATTACACTAAAAAGAAAAAACCCTAACTTTTTTCATTTCTACAACCCAAATCGAGCATGGATAACAAATCTAGATTACATTACCGATACTAAATCATTCGAATCATTTTCTCAGGGAAGTCATTAAAGGAAATTAGGAATCGAGAAGCATTAAAAAAAAAACAATCGAAATGAGTACCATTTGGAGGAGTTGAAGCCACGACGGAAGAGTGAAAGACTAAACTTGATGAGCTTCTTCGTCTGAACCGAAGCTACTCCGGCCGCCGTCATTCTCTCACCACGGCGTCTCTTACACAGCAGAAGCAGGAGATGAATGTAGAAGAAGAAGAAGGCTTAGTGGTGTGAGAGTGTGTATGTAACGGTCCAATGAAATTAGGAAAGTAACGCTCTTTCGGTTTCGGGTCCCACATGAACACCACCGACTTAAGTATTATTAGCTGGGACCAATTTGACATTGTCAAAATATATAGCCGTTGTGTCTTAGACACGTATAATTCTCCTCCAACCCAATCGACCATTCCTTAGCAAAGCATCCTAAGCAATTTTGTTACACATACAGCACCGTCGCAGCGTCGCTTGATGATCAGGTGATTCATTTTATTCTATAATGGGCTTGATGGAATGGGCTGGATTTTCTTCTGGGCCTTGTTGAGTCAACAAAATAAATCCTGGGCTCTCGATATTTTGAAGGTCTTCCTTATCCTCTCTTTTTATATGTTCTTCTGTTAAAACGTCTTCCTTATCCTCTATATAGATATTTTAGGAAATTATGTTATGTGGATAGATTTTTGACTAATTGATAGTCTATATGATTTCTTAGAGATTTTAGATTGAAAATATGTAAAATTTTACGATGTATAAAGATTTAGTATTGTTCTTCTGGATTTTTTACTAAAATAGCACACTTTTCTAGTACTCTATAAAAACGTTATTCATTGCCCAGCTTAATCCATCTCTTTGACAAAATTTACAAGGCTATCGAAAAACCAAAAAAAAAAGACAGTTTTCTACAATGATGGGTCAAATTTCATTGAAGTCTGCGTTCATCGTCCTTTTAGCTTTTACTGGTAAGTTCAATGTTTTATTATTTCGTTTATATAATATGGAAAACTCAACAACCTCTAAACTTTATACAACATTTATTTAAATATATATTCACCCAATTAATTATAATATTCATGATAATAAACAATTAGATCGCGTTACTTATGATTATTAATCTTGTGTTGTAGTGATGATATCCGTAACAGTTCAGAGTGTTGAGGCGAAACGTATGTTACATGAAGAAACTTCTCTGCCCTTGTTGCATCTTGAAGCTTCACCACCGGTTGAGCCTCTAGGGTTTGGTTTTTGTAAGCCACCATGCAAAGAATTATGTTTTGGTGTCAGTTGTTACTGCGTATGTCCAAATATATAAACTATGATCGCAAATGATTGACAAGAGGGTTACTTACTTAAATATCATATGACAATTGTGTGAATCAGACTACGAAAGATAGTTTCTTGAAATTTAGTCAGGGACTAACAAAGTTTTTTTTTTTAAACAAATTTGTATGATTTACAACAATAAAAATAAATAAAATAAAAAGAGTTAGAACGTATTTGAGCATTGGTTTTATACCTGAATGAAATTGTCTGTTTGAATCAGGCTGACTGCAATCCCTCCATTAATTTAGTTCGGGTATGTTTTTGTCTCATGTTTATTATTTCTCATATCTAATATCATTTATATAAGATAAATATTAATGGTATTATCAAAAGATTAAGTGGTCAGAAATTCAAAATTAGGAAATCTTACTTAGAGCAGTTTATAATAGTTTTTTTGTCAACTAGTACTTTATAATAGTTTTCTTTTAACATTTACCCATTATAGTTTTAAGTTAGAAATGATCCCAAAAGAATAGTCTGGTTCATTTCTTAGTTTGGTTTTGAATGCCAATGTGAATATCAAATTCTGGTTTAGTTAGTGTGGGAAAAAGGAAAAAAAAAACAGTATTGGACAAATAAACAGGCAAACGCTTGTTCAAATTTTCTGAAACAACCTATTTACGTAGTTGACCCCAGCATCAACCTTCTTAATGTGCATGGGGCCACTCCTGACCATTTTTTTTCAACACTCAACTGACTATAGATTGCTTTCTACCACTTTTGATCATTTGAACGATTCTGCCATAATTAGATTGCTTTGAACAATAATTTGTTTTTTACTAGCTATCCTCTCTACATCACTCTTTTTTTGCTAAAAAAACATCTCTCTTTATGGCGCGGTAAAACTAAGTTGTTTATAAATACATAATTAACCTTTACAAGAGTTGTTCACATCTGAGCGAGTTACAAACTTACAACAAACACACATCCTCTAATACATGGATGCACGTTCAAACTCTCTTTCAACACACACGAAAGAAATAAATAAAAAAGAAAACCAAAGCAGGATTTAAAAATCAATCGACCTGGTCAAGAGCAACTAATTTCCAAATCAGAGCAAGAAACTCGAATCTGGTCCCATTTTTATTTTAAGTAGATAGGATGTTAAGAAAAGAGACTCTAGCTTGTATCATCACCTTGAACAATCCTTCGAGTCCCTCTTCAAGCTCTTCCATGGCTGCCTCTACACCTTTCGACCTATCCAATGCACATTGAACCCTATCACTTACCTCCTCACCAATCTCTTTCTCTTCTTCTTGATCTTCACTTGTATTCATCACAACGAGCTTCCCGATTTCAGCTTCCATAGATTCAAGCTCGAGACAAGAAAAGCCCTTTTCATGATCTCTCTTCTCCTGATGATGATGATCTATTCCTTTCTTCACAAGCCTCATAACAATCCCCCAACCTTTGTGATGATGATGGTTCTTAGTTTTTAACCCCTTAGGCGAAGACAGGAACGACAACACCTTCCGTAAGACGAAACAAGTGATCACACTTGTTTCTAGCATCACTCTAACCAAAGCACTCATCTCTTGATCATCATCACCACACCAAACAGGACTACTCTCCAAACACGCGTCTGTCTCTTTCGACATTACCATATACTTCTTGATCTCCTTCTTGATCTCTTTCCGTGATGCCACATAAGCATTCACGTCACTCTCAAGACTAAACTCACCTCCCTTCTTGCTCCGTCTCAAAGCAGACTGAAGCTCAACAACACTCTTCTTGATCCTCGATGCACCGTCTTTAGCTCCTCCACAAACCTCTAAGTACTTCAGCGACACCTCAAGAAGCTCATCCATCAAACCACCACTAAGAAAAGCTTGTTGAGTGTCAGAAGAAGACTTGAAGAGATCTTCACTTAAACATCTATAAAGCTCAGTGAGACTAGAGAGACCGTCACGGACCATCGCTCTCGACTCTAACGAAGACAACCCCAAAGTTCTAGCCTTGGAAAGTACTTCTTGAATCCTCCTAAAACTCGGATGGGACCGAACCGGTAAGCTAACACATCTAGCTTTGTATGCTTTGTGGAGTCTCGGAGACAATGAAGACATATACATCTCGAGTAATGAAATAATGAATGATCAAATTGGGTTTCGAATATGGTTGTTTAGTCCTTTAGTTCTAGGGTTTATATAAATACACGCAATGACATAAATGTCAATGAGTAGGGCCTAGCTTAGCATATAAAGCGTGAAGACCATGTGAAGTGAGTGTGGGTACTTCACTAGCAGGAACAGAACACGTAAGGCTTATTAAATGCTATATGTTTGATTTTTAGTTGAATCGTTGTCGAAGTTCGATGTTTCGGTTTCGGTTACTAAAACCGAAACTTTTTCACACCTCTTTTCATGCACCAAAGCCACCGTCCATTTTACGATTCTTTTATTATTATTGTCATTACTTAATTATTTTGCATCCTCGTTGGATTTTGTTTCTTCTGAAGGTTACAGATACAATGCTCTTTTTTTTTTATGTGTGGGTACCTCGATTGAATTTAATTTGAAAGATCTTGGAAGATTTTGTTACATTATTTTATAAATAAATAAATATGGAGATATCTTTGCACGGATGATTTGGTCCCACGCAATGCAAGGGACGATGCCTCCCTTAAATAACACCGTCACACGTCAGCAATTATGTTACCATGAATTTAGGAGAGTCTCCATCAGGTTTCCCATTGATCAGGTTTAGAGTCTTTAAGACCTTTTGGATTTAATTTTGGGAAAGCTTTATTTTTGCCTTAGGAATTAATATAAAACTGAAGTGAAGGCACTTTTGATACAAGTTGACGAAATACTGAGTGAATTTACACCAGATTTCAAAATGTAAATTTTATACAAGTGATTCCTGATTATACTTTTGTGAATCTTTGGAAATCCCTTTGTTTAGAATTCCTGCTAAAAATTTAACAAGATTTACCATTTAATGATTTGTTAAATTCCATGGTGAAATCAAATCCCATTAATTAAAAAAAAAAAACAAATACTGTATAGATTACACCACATTTCAACCATTTGGAAATAATCAATTGAATGCCGGCCAAAAAAAAATTATGAATGGAATAACCTTTTTCTCCTTCTGTTTTAATTTGTGAGAGGCATAAGTGAGAGATTCCGATTTCTGTTCAAACGCAAAATACATTTCGGAGGTGCATTCTCAGTAAGAAAAGGGATAATTACTTTGAGAATCCTAAAACAACATGACAATTTTTTTTTGTTCAAATGTTTCCATTAAATTCAGTCTTGGGCCAACAGGCTCCCTTACATTCCCGAAATGGGCTAGAGAAAGGGAATAAAGGAACTAGAGAAAGAAAATATGTTTGGTGTGGCCCATAAAATTGGGCTCATATCTATAGCAAATGAGGCCTTAATCAAATGCGCAAATATCGAATGAAATAATACATTAAGAAAAATAACAAAATATTTTTTATTTAATCATGAACTTTTTTACAAAAAAAAAAACTAAAACTTAGTGTTATCGATTAAAATTTGTAAATATTTTTTCTTAATAGCAGTATTATGGAACTATTAATTCAAATCTATTAGTATTGAAATATTATAATTAAGTTTTAATATGACGTTCATTCTTTGTATTATAATACTAGCATAATACTAGCATGCATAAAATTCAGTAGCGATGGTTCATAATTGTATGCACGTTAATCTTTTTTTTTTTGTATGCGCGTTAATCTAGGTCAGTGATTTCATACTCATTGTCAACTCTTCTCTCCTTTTAAAAAATCTTCTGTTTAACCGATCATTTGCTAGTCAATTTTCGAGCCATCTGTAACATGTTTCTTTACATAAGATATTAAGACATGAATGTATAAGTTCCAATACATCGATTTGAGTTTATGATTTTCTACTTAATTAAGTCATTTTGAACTATGAGTCTTAGATTGTCTGATAACATTTATGGGTATATAACTGCAATTCTATTTTACAAATTTCTCTCTACATTCATCAATTTCATTAGTGTACAAAAAAACCTTATAGTAGTGCTTTTATAATGTATCCCTCCTACGAGTTCTCTAAAATCGAATGCCCATGAAGGTTACATTACATACCATACTTCTAATTTCTAAATTCTAATGAGAGATTATATTGAGAAGAGAGGCTCGTGTTCTTATCAACCTTCGAAACAACCCTTCTAGATTCTTCTCGAATCCACCAATGCTCACTTCAACCTCCTCAAGCTTCTTTTGCAGACCATCACGAGAGCAAAAATCTCCGCAAATCGCGGAATCCAATGTCTCCAAATCGTTCTTGGTCGCCTCATGATTATCCTTCTTCTTCTTCTTCATTAGTACAGAAGCCAACTTGCTCTTTACGTTACTTTGTCGTCCGGACAAGAACTCCAAGAAAGACTTCAACACCTCGACACTAACCGAAACTACTCGTCTCATCGCATTTATAACCGCCACAAGATGTTCATCATCATGATCATTATCATTCTCATATGAACTTGAGCCACAATCGATTTTCTTCGAGGATCCTAGAAGCTTCTTAGCTTCTTTTCGCATGTTCTTTCTGAATCCGACATATCCCGAGATAGCGACATCGAACTGGTCTCCTCCTCCTACTCCGGCTACTTTCTTTCTTCTAACACATGACTGAACACCACGAACATGCTCGTGAGTTTCCACCATGAGATCTCTCGAGACGCTGCATATATCCATCAGCCTCAACGAACCATCGAGCATCTCCTCCATAAACCGTGACCTATCAGACGACATAACACGTTGCGTCGAGTCCATTTTCAGAAAGTCCTCCGTACAATTGTAGAGCTCCTCCAAACCGGCCAAGCCCATCAAAATCGATTCGGATGAATCTGTCGTGGTTGTAATTATTTTCATCTTATTAAGAGCTTCTTCGATCCCACTCGTGCTTGGATGCGATCTTGAAGGTAAACTTACAGATCTTATTTGTTTCTTAATGATCATATTCGCCATCGTTGTTCTTTTTTTTTTTTGAGTTTTTTAAGAAAATTTTATGTAAAGGTGTTTTGAGGTTTTTTTTTTCTTCTTTTTTGGTTGTTTTGCTCTATTCAAGTTGCCCTACTCATGCATATATATATATAACATAGGGTTTTTATAACGTCATCGGCCAAAAAAGACTTCAACAGTATTGAAATTTTAAATTTGATTGGTCCGATTATTACTGGCAAATCTGTGACTCTCTGAGCTGTCGGGCTATTATTTTGGTCAAATTATTTAGCCACAGAGATGAAGCCTGATGAGTCATTGTATGTGTTGCCTCCGGTGTCGCCACATTATCAATTGACCTTTCGAGCTTTTGTCTTTTTTTTTTTCTAATTAAATTGACCTTTCGGGTTATTAAAATTTTATAATACGTGATAGTCTTTAAATCGTCTCGGTAGGTAACGAGATCCAGATCTTCCTCCTATTATCCGAACATCTTATGTGGTTTGGTTTGCTTGTTACGGCTCCTAAAGAATTAAAAGAAGTGATCGTAATGAGAGATTATATGCAGAAGACGACACGTGTAAGAGGGGCACGGGATTTAAGTTGATTTACTTGCGAGTTGTGAACATTCACATATCACTGATGTATTTGATCTGGTAAATGCTAGTCGTGGATTGGTCTTTATAACATTTACATTTAGTAGTTATTACCAATCATTTCGCCAAACTATAGAAGTAACAGCGTTTCTTGTTGCAGGATAATCTGGACGAAGAATAATACTGTTCTGTTGCATTCATGTTCTTACCTGAATGTGCCAGTTTCAATGATATCATTTTTCATGCACAATTAAAAATATTCACATTTCATTGCTCTAGTATGATATTAATATCAAGTGTTCATGCTCAAACTGAGATTCATATATTTTTCAGACAACGTTGTTAACACGTTTTAAAGTTCTTTTTTTTTGATAAAAATTGAAGTTCTACAATCTTTCTTTCTTTCTTTCTTTCCATCAGCGTAGGTGATAACCTGCTTCCTCAGGATTGTATGAAACATATATACTGTATTTATTGTTGAATTTTTTTTGTTTTTTTTTATGTATTCATGTTATCAAAAGAAAACAAATTTCACTACAGATTAAGAATCTTATGTGAATTTAACCCAAAATAACAATAATGAAAATGAAAACAATGAGCGAAAAACAAAACAATTAGAGTCTTATAGATTCGAAACATATAATCGAATTGTCGCATCCATCCTACAAGTGCTGTCAAGAAAAAAATTTAGCAGGAAATCAACATTTGTAGATTTAGAACTTAATATGAACATTGCCGCATGCCTGCTACGAATACTGTAAAGAAGTACCAAGTATAGAAGGAATATAATTCCATCCAACATGTTTTTATTTGAAAATGTTATTACATTCGAAGAAAACAATGCAACGTCCGGGAAGAATACTTGCATGCATACACGTATGCTATCATAACTGAAATTAAACAAGAAAACAGAGAATTCTAATGTTTTAGTTCTCCCAAAGATTACTTCATTTGGCTTTATCCTCCTCTTCTTCTTCTTGTCCCTCTTGTGGTGGTGACCTGTTGAGATCAAACTTTGGAATAAATCCCGATACAGCTTCCTCTTCTTCTTCCATCGGATCAAGATTCAAATCAATCCCTGAAGAGCCAAAACCAAGCACTCCACCACGGGAAGAATCAGAAGCCAAAACGACCGCACTAAATCCTTCCTCGGTCGCATTGAATGTGGGCGGAGGAAGAAAGCCTTGATAACCACGGTCCTTGTGTGCCCTTAAGTGGCCAAATACAGCCTTCCAAGAAGTAAAGTTTCTTCCACAAATGTTACATTGAGGAGGACCTTGAGGTGGTGCATGCAACTGAGAAGATCCCTTCTTCTTTGCTTTCTTCACCGGTTCATCTTCTCCGCCCGACCCGATCGCTGTAGAACCGGAGGCTCCAGCCGCATCATCCAATTCATCTATCCTGGGCCGACGACCTAGCGCTGTGTTCTTGGCATCATCGTCGATGGCATCAACCGTTTGCATATTTTCCTTTGAAACAGGAGCTTCTTCGGAGGCAACCATAACAAACTCAGCAGCAACGACAGCATTGTGGAGGCCTGCTTCCTCCATATTAAGACGCTCAGTAACATTCAGTGCGGGAAGGGCGCAGACAAGTTCACGGATTTCCCCTTCTTCACCGCTTGAAAGATACCCACTGTCTTCAGAAATCTCATTGATCTCTTCCTCGGTAACCATTTTTGTTTTCTCGGGATTACTCATATTCTTTGCACACCGAAATGGTGTATATGTAGTTTCTTTGATCACACGGCGGTTACACGGACCGTTATTTACTTTCTTTTGTTTTCTGTCTAATGTGTTCGTTTAGATCTCTCTCCCGCCTTTTCATTCGAAACGTTGCGTCCGTTGGATCAAATTAAAATATCTTTTTGCCGAAATCCCCTCTTAGAACTTAATTAAATCTGGGGATAGCGGGGATAATTCCGTGTGTAAGTGTAACCCACAATTAATATTTTTTTTTTTTTTGAAAAACCGAAAATTGTACCAAAGATTGATATGAACCGTTAAACCAATATACAACTTGGTTGTTTCAATAGATATGAACCGGAAATTGAGAACCGAAATCATCAATTAAAGTAATTGTAAATGTTATTGTCTACTAAAGTATGCTTAAAATTGGTAGCCTACATGTCATCGTATAGCGTTCTAACGAATTAATTCCAATTAATATATAGTGTTTTTTTAATAAGAACATATATGGCCACTGATTTAGTCATTTGATCTATCGATTTTAGATCGTTCCATAACATTTATCTTACAAAAAACTTGTATGTATAACTGCAATATTTTAATTTATATATGTTATCTCTACATTTATCTGTTTTATAATTAGTGTACAAAATTTTATCTATGCGTCAATAATATGTATCCCTCCGGCAAATTTTCTAAAGTCGAATGCCAACGAAGGTTAAATTACATATTTACATGCACACTTGAAAGTCTAATGAGAGATTATGTTGAGAAGCGAGGTTCGTGTTCTTATCAACCTGCGAAATAAACCTTCTAGATACTTTTCGAATCCATCAATACTCCTCTCGACCTCCTCAAGCTTATTTTGTAAGTCATCACGTGAGTAGCATATAGCGGAATCCAAACTCTCCAGCTCGTTATTTGTCTCCTCTTGATGATCCTTCTTTTTCTTTAGTACCGAAGCCAACTTGCTCTTGATGTTACTTTGTCGTCTCGTCAAAAAGTCCAAGAACGACTTCAACATCGACACACTAACGGAAACTACTTGCCTCATCACATCTATAACGGCCACAAGACATTCATCTTGCTGGCCATTATTTGCCGATGATGATGAAAATGGCCCTCCATCTATTTTTTTCAAGGATCCAATAAGTTTTTTAGCTTCTTTTCTCATGTTCTTTCTAAATCCGACATAGCTTGAGACAGCGACATCGAGTTGGTCTCCTCCTCCTCCTCCGGCTACCTTCTTGCGTCGAACATATGACTGAACAACGCGAACATGCTCGCGAGTCTCCACCATGAGATCCCTCGAGACGCTGCATATATCCATTAGCCTCAAAGACCCATCGAGCATCTCCTCCATAAACTCCGATCCATTAGAAGACATAACACGTTGCGTCGAACCCATTTTGAGAAACTCCTCCGTACAATTGTAGAGCTCCTCCAAACCAGCCAAACCCATCAAGATTGATTCTGACGAACCGGTCGTGGTGTTAATCCCTTTAACCTTGTCAAGAGCTTCCTCGATCCCGATCGTGCTCGGATGCGATCTTGTAGGTAAGCTTATAGATCTTAGTTGACTCTTGATGATCATATTCGACATATTTTCCCTTTGTGTTTTTGTTTCAAGTAATTTTTTTTTAATAAGCTTTGTTTCTTTCTTCTTTGATCGATCTGCTTTACTAAAGTTCCCTTACACATGCATATATATACACCATTGGGTTTTGCCTCTCAACCAACAAAACTTCAACAATAATTGAATTTTTAAATTTGATTGGTCCGATTATTGCTGGCAAATCTGTGACTTTCTGAGCTGTCGGACTATTATATTGTTTAAATTATTTTGGCCACAGAGATGAAGCCTGATGAGTCATCGTTTGTGATGCCTCCGGTTTCGCCACATTATCAATAGACTTTCGATCATATAAATCTAATAATATTAATTGACAGTCTTAAAACTGTCTCGGTAGGTAAAGAGATCCAGATCTTCCTCGACCGTATATTATATACGCCCCTCTATTATGTAGGTTACTTATTACGAAAATATCTTTTAAAAGAAAATTAAATATTGTTTCTTCAAATATAACTTCCACTGCATGGCTTCTCTCATTACGACACGTATAAGAGGTGCATGGGCTTTGAGTCTATTTTCTTCCGAGATTTCACTGACTTTTTATACATTATTATTGACTGACTGATTCCCATAATCGTGGAAGGATCTTTGTTAACGTGTTTACTTATAAGCAATCGTAAGAGTTGGTAGAAACGATATATTGTAACACAAAAAATATTGGACCCAATACATTTCTTGTAAATTCTTAAATGAAAAATTCAAGGGTGGTGCAAATGTCTAGCTTTTAGCAAAAAAAATATAAAAAAATAAATAATGGATGAATCGTAAATTTTATAATTATATCGATTATAGCATGCAATCTAGTGATTTATATTAATTTTAATATTTGTTATAATCTGAATTTAAATTCGTATAATGTCTATATCATTGAGAGAGTTAAAAAAAGGTTCATACGTACTAACAAAAAGAAAGAAAAAAGAATAATCGTACATATAATGACAAAGTTTAGACTAAGAGATATTTTTCTGACAAATGAGACTATATGTTTAAATTTACCAAATTCAAGTAAATTTTCCAATAATGGCTACTCTCCAGCCCGAGAACTCTGTTTTTTTCTTTCTTTCCAATGCATGAAAACACGTGTAAAAGGCTATGATTAATTTGTAGATTCATTTCACAATCTAGTCATATGATTAGCCCCATCGTATTTTGTCACAGTCCCCTGCACCAGATACACGTGTAGGCAGCTTTTTAACTGTTTTTTTTAGTAGATTTGTAAGCATTATTACATGTTCCATCACGTTGTGCTACTGTTCTTATTATAAATTTTAAAGAAGAAAAAAACATTCTTTTCTAGCAATAGCTGAAGGACAACTATTAGGCTCCACGTCATCGCCAATGATCTTGCTAAAACTATAATAATGTTACACCAATTAATCAATTATCAGAGGGTAAGAAGTAGCTAGAAGAAAGATGTCAATGATCTTACAAAACATATAAGATGCTTACACCAATTATCACTCGGATAAGATCTAGCTAAAATAAAGAGGTGTCTAAAGCAAAGTTGTATGTATCAGAAAATGTAGTTCAACAAACAATTAAGTTGTGCTGAATGATGAACAACGAATCTTGCCACTATTATATTTTCATATATAAACTTACGGACTTTATGCACATGTTTTTTTTTTTTTTTTTTAAACCAAAATTCATCAGTTTTTTTGTTTGTTTTAATGTTAAGAAAAATCATCAGTTTAACAGCCGAAGGCAAAAATAAAAAAAAATCTAAAAATCAGGTTGGGATATAAATTGGTAAAATCCCAAATAGTCACATCTATTTGACAAGGAACAAAACTCTGTTTTTGCAAGCAAAACACTTTGAGGACAAATATGTAAATCTGATTGACAAAGAAAGAAACTCGGAACAAAAAAAAAAAAAGACTAGGTTTCAACAGTTACTAAGGATGTTGAGGAACAAAACTCTGTTTTTGACTAAACATTTGAAAGCAGAGTCCAATTCTGTCTCCAGATCACGAAAACTCTCTTCAACAACATCTCTCCTCTTCTTCTTCTCGTTTTGCATCGTCTCGACTCCAACAAAGGTTCTTCTCGAATCCACAATAGAACCCCAAATATCATCAAGACTTTTCATTCCTTTGATCTGATCCAGATATTTATCTGATAATGACGATGATGCAAAAGGAATCGAAAAAACCCCAATCTTGTTCTTTATTTTCTTTGCTGGAGATGGTGATGGTGGTATTGTCGATAGGAACAGCAAAAGATGTCTGAAAATAGACACAGAGATTTCGATTGTCTCTCTCAGAACACTCGTAGATGCCATCGCTGGATCATGATCTATGTTCGTTGAAACAACTCCAGTTTCCATTTTCTTAAGTGCAATGATGTGTTTAGAGATGTCTTTCTTTGCCTTCTTCCGCAAGTTAACAGATGCTTTAACCTCCTTCTCTACGCTACCTTTCCTACGAAGAGCTGATTTGAGTTTCGTCACGTGCTCTCTCATCGCTACAATCACCTCCCTTGCAGCCTCACACACATCGAGCAGCACAACGGATCCATCTAAAAGATCTTCTAGAAGTTTCCCTTTCTGGTGATGAAGAAGAGTGTGTTTCAGGTAAGGGGACACAAGAAGCTCATGGATGCAGCTGTAGAGCTCGGTGAGGTTCACAAGTCCAACGAGAAGCGTCTCGGACCCAAAAGAAGCGGAAACAGAGATCGAGGAAGAAGATCTCTGCCAGATACTGAGCCGGTTCAAGGCTGCTCTGAGTTTAACAGAGAGGGGATAGATTCTTGATGGAAGACTCACAGATCGAACCGCTTGGTGTGTGGTTTGATCAGACGACAACACAACACCCTCCATAAGTTTTTGTTTCAGAACTCTAAATTTGATTCAGATGCTCTGCTAGGGTTCTTGACCATTGCTATATATATTGCAGAGAAGCTCAAGAACAGAGGAATCCTCGCGTTAAACGACGTGGAAACATGTGAGAAGAACATGGGTCACTTAATCTGATCTGTTTGTTTCTAACATGAATAAATCATCAGTTATGGTCAGTGACTCTGTAACTCATGTTCCTCTTTGTCTTCTTATGCATCGATTCTACTTTGGCTACATACTAATTTTTAGTTAAGAGATCTTAATAAGTCCAGCTTCAAAGAACCAAGTCCAAGTTTCATTAAAAAAAAAAACAAATCTCGTCTTTTTCTCTTAATTAGTTACAGATGGTTTAAAGTTTAAACCCTCCCAAACAGCTCAAATGCAAATAGAGGAAGATTTCTAATGGCATCAATTAATTTATTTCCTCCATTTCATTATAAAGTAGTTTAATTTCTATTTTATCTCTTATTAATGCATTGTATAATATCTCTAATTAATGCATTGTATAAAATATAATCTTGCTTATTAATAAGTAAAAAATCTAGAAATAAAAATGGAAAATTATCAAATAATGCATTGAAAATATAAAACCACACTTAAAGTTAAAGTGAAACAAAATTAAAATTCGAAAAGGACAATTAACACGAAACTGAGGGAGTAATAAACAATGTTAAGCATTCTGAAAACAGTCACGCATTAAAATTGTGTCTTCAGATTTTCCATCAACATTCTTGCATTCAACTTTAGGTTTTTCTCCATCCGCCATGGTGATATTGATTCCATCCATAACGACATCTTTACAACGTGTGGTTGCACTACAATCAAGCGTTATAGCATTTTCATTTGGCGTCGTTCCACGAAAGCCGATGAATTTTATACTACTAATCGCCACTGCCGAATCCTATTGAACATAAAAACGTACATTTTTCACTTTAGTCATACTTCTCAGAAATATATTATACAAAGTTATAATTTTTTACCTCTGCGGCGTCAAGACGCTGTGTATTTACATAATGTTGGTCAATTATAATTGGATTTTTTGCGTTAATGAGTGTAATGTCCTCAAAACTTATATTGCGTGCATATCCTTGGCCACCCTAGAAATAAAGTTAAAATATAAAACAGATAAAAATTATCAATATACATAGTTAAAATATAAAAGACAATAATTTGTATATAAGAAAACAAATCAATACCGGAAATGTCTTGATTCTTGCTCCATTCGTCGTCTGATTGAAAGTGCAGGAAGTGACTTGAACATCACTAACTATAGCGTTTTCTCCGTTGGCTCCTAAACTTCCCACACTGTTATCCAGTCATATGAAAATTAATTTATTAATTCAATAATATTTTATGTTATTATGATAACTCAAAATTAATTGATAATAAGTACAGAGACATATATTCCTTACATACCGCTATATTGTTTCCACTTCCAATATGGGATAATTCAAATTGTGATAATTATTTTTTCGTCTCATTCATTTTGTACCAAAACCCCACTTTATGTTTGATCGTTATATATACTCGTTTGAATTTGCTAGGCTATGATACTATGTAAGTTATTAACTTATAATTGAAAACCAATTGACAATAGAGGTTTATATCACATATTTACTAGTGTTGATTTATCTTCACATCAAATTTAAAAATATTCTAAAATAAATTATTACCTTTATCCCATGGCCAGGTCCACAATTAATCCTCGTAATGTTGATATTGGTATTTCCGGTGTTGATTGCTATACAATCGTCTCCTGATAATTCAATGAATATAACAAAATTGATTTTTGTGCTATATTTGACATTCAATAATATATGCAAGAAAAAATCATACAAGAAAATCAACAAATGTATAAATTTTGTTGAATAAGCTATCACTTCGTATGCGATCTCTATACAGTAAAATAAAACACAAATGATTTGCAGATAATGCATACCAGTTTGAATTGTAGACTCAAATATATTGACATTAGTCGAGTCACTTATATCAATTCCATCTGTGTTGGGACTTTCCTCGGGAGCCAAAAGATTTATATTTGATATTGCGACATTTTCGCATGCTTTGATTGATATGTGGTTTTTTGGACTATCAATCGATGTTATTCCACTTATCCTAAGGTTGTCACATTTGGTAAAATGCAATGCCTGCAATAAATAAATATGAGTGATTTAATAGCAAACTTTTGGCTATCAAAATTGATAAAAAGTAACAATAGTAAATTTAGTAGATAAGCTTACCGTAGGACGTTGAGAAACTTTTTGCTGAAAATCAAAAGAATTTCAATGAGTTATAAATGTTACGATGATTAAACTATATTGGAAAAAATAATAAAAAATTATAATATAGTAAATTGTCACCTCCCAAAAAGACGAACCACACCCATTAATCTTTCCTGAACCAACGACTATTAGACCAGACACCGTTGTAAAACTGATCCACATTTCGAATTGGGAGTTGGACCATGCTTTTTGGTTGCTAGGTGCAACGATATCGCCATCCAACTTCAAATATTAAGACAAAGCTTAAATTTTTATTGATTTTTTTTTAATTAAAAATCAGCTGTATTTGTCATTTAAATTGTAAATTACGATTACATACCTGAATTTTTATAGAGGTAGATGTACATGGACCTTCGAATGCAACAGGTTGGAGTAACAATGTTTTGTCAGTGGGAATAAGAAGTGTTTTCATGTCACCTTCTCCACCACATGTAGCGTTCCATGCTTCCACAAAAGCCTTTGTACATAAACATTCAAAAATTAATAATTAAAAAATAGTAAAAACGTGATGGAAAAAGTGTTTTATTAGTTTTTCATAAAAAACAAATGTGTTTGGTAAAAAAAAAAATATCTTTTTGCTATAAAAAAATTACAAAACATATTTTACATATTTTCTGATAAAGAAATACAATATGCCGCTGTTAAAAAAGAAAAATAATAATAATGATTTACCTTTGAATCATCAGTTTGCCCATCCCCTTTCGCACCAAAATTAAGTACGTTGTAGTTTTGACCGTTTACAAAACCAAAACAGAGGAAACTTATCAAGATCAAAATACGTAGTTTGATTGCCTACAACACAGTAAAAAAAATGTTAGGATAAACAAGTAATAAAAAATATCACCAAAAATTAACAATTTGATTGATTTGATAGGTACCATCGTAAGATGAGAATGCTGGTAATTTGTTTTTTGTTAAATAGAATGCTGGTAATCTTTTTTTTTTTTGTTAAATATAATGCTGGTAGTCTACTGAATGTAAAGTAGTGTAGGTGTATGTATGTGTTGTTCATATATATATCAATGATATTTATCTAGGTACATCTGAATCCTGCATATTGATCACCCCTTCCACATATCTAAATTGTGCCTAGATCGTTTGCTTCCTTATTAGTAATATATTCTTTTTCTGGTTTCTGGATACATGAACGAAACTATGCATCTCCCTCTTATTAGATGTTGGATCAATTCTATAGCAAAACACACATTTTATCTACTAATGTATCTCACAAGATTCTGATATGTGATTGTGTTTCACAATTGCAGGTTTTTTTAATAATAATAATAATAATAATAATAATAATAATAATAATAATAATAATAATAATAATAATAATAATAATAATAATAATAATAATAATCCTAAAGGTAGAAGCTTAAATAAATAGTATTCCAAAATATTTGGTTATATTAAATGCCGATTAATTTATTTACGTACATCTGAATAATCGTGAATATTCTGCCTAAATCGTTTGCTTCCTTGTATATTAGTTATCTTCTCTTTCTGGTTTTTGAATACATGTAACTTTACATCTTCCTCTCATTAAGTGTTGAATACATGAAGTCAAACAAAAATGTTTAATACAATATATTTAAAGCAATACATGCGTTTTATTTATTACAAGAATACGAAATGTGATTGTGTGATCATGATTCACAAGTTACGCGGGAAAAAAATGAATTTAGAGATTTAAAATCAACCATAAAATAATACTATTAGAAAAAAACAAGCTCAAATTTTTATATGTTAAGCCTATTCTCAATTTATTTTTTGTATATGTTATAAAAAACAATATTCATGAATTATAAGTAACGACGTAGCAGCTTGAACAAATACTTTTTTCAAATGAAGATGAGCCTTGACGCAATTAAGGATGAGTTAAGCTACTATATCAAATGAAGATCGAAGTTATATTTTCCATTCTTTAGTTCCTAAATCAATTTCTAATGTATGATTTTATGATATGAAACATATATGGGTTCTACCATAAATGAATAGAAATCAGTTTGATATTAAAACGAAAAAAGGAAGCACATCCGTTTTTTTTGTAAGATGAACCAAGAAGTAAAGAAGCTTTTCTTTATCAAAAAACAAAAAAAGATAGAAAGAAGCTTTTCTAAATTCTTTAGTTAAATTGGTTTTCCTCGGGCCAGAAACAAATAATAATCTCTGAGTTGTGCTCTCGTGGATCATCATCGTACACAATAAGAACATGTATTATAATAGAAGATGATATAATGTAGAGCCAAAAAGAAAATGATAATAATAAAACTCTGGTAAGATAATTTCGCACGACAAGCACGTGACGTGAGCGACACGATACTAGAAGACAACAATAATTAAGTTTGGTAAGTTTGTTCAGCATGTGAAGGATGATGATGAAGAGTTTATGATGATGATGGTGATGACGCACCACATAGGATCATGAATCTAAATACATGCTTTTTCTTATTCGGTGTGATATGGTTTAATTCAGCGTAAAACTTTTGAGAATTTTTGTTTTACCGTATCAATTGATGTAGATTAAATCATCAATTCCAAACCACAGAAGATACAAAACTTTTATAATAATCTCATCTCTACAAAACTTGGTTTTTACACAAAAATATACAAACTATTTTGTAATTGTTTTCAAGGAGTAACAATGTTCAAAAGAGACGCTCTTTGTTGAATAAGTCGTCTTGACAAGTAGCTTAACTCATCCTTAATTGCTTCAAGGCTCACATTAAGCATAGCTAATATCCCGAGCATCGTCTGCACATTAGTGACTTTTGCAATCTTCTTACCAATGATTCTTCCATAAAAAGAACGGATCATAGAGTTATCTACACATCCAATTTCACCATTCTTCTTCCGGTTCTCACCCAAAGAAGAAAGAAACTGCAAGAGTGACTGGAAAATAGAGATCGTCGATGTGTTTGATCGCCTTAGAATGTTGGACACCATAGAAGAATGTTGATCAAGACTATCGGATTGTTTGATCACCAGAGGTTTCTTCTTCTGTGTTCTTGCAAGGGATTTAAGTTGCCTAGTCGCTGCGTTCTTGAATTTCTTCTGAAAGCTTATGTAAGCGCGGATCTCGGGTTGAATGATCGAGAGATCTCCTCCGCGTCTACGTAGCGTTGATTGAAGTTCTTGGATTTGCTCCATGAATGTTCCTATCAAGTCTCTAGTGAAGTCAGATACATCAAGTAAAAAGATGGACTCATCAAGAGCTTCTTCCACAAGTTTCCCGTTGTGAGAAAGGCGAAGAGCTTGTTGGCCTTGAGGAGAGCAAATGACTTGGTCATTGACAAAGTCATAAAGCTCGACGAGCCGGGCAAGCCCAAGTTGGATTCGTGAAGAAGCTGATGAGGAAGAGTTTAAAGCTTGAATCTTTTTCAGCTCTTCTTCAACTCTTTGTGCTTTTGGATGGATTAGTCTTGTAGGCAAACTAATAGACCTAGTATGTACGTGCGTAGTCGCCGCAGAGGAAGATGATTCTGCCATTTTCTTTAGCTCTGAAGCAAAAGAAGAAGAAAAATTTAAACTTTGAAATGGGTTTTGGTAAGTTAAGGTTCAGAGACTCTAAAGATATATAGCAGAGGAAACGTTGACATATAAATCCAAAAGAACGCTTTAAAAGATTTTAATGAAAGAGCAATTGGGCATGTTTTAAAACCTTATAAAGTGAGGATCTTTGCACAATTATCCCTTTTTGGTAATATAATTATCTCTGTGTGGTCATGAAACCAGCAACGTCAAGCTTTCTTGATTATTATGATTATATTGTCTCTTTTTTGCCTCCTCCATCATCGCTGGCAAACTCAAAGATCTGTTTCATCCGGAAAAAACACGACAACTAAGAGAAACGTTTTCCAAGAAGAGATTTAAGCATATAAAACATATGTATATTTGCACAAAAACTTAGGCCATTATAGGTCCAAGAATCTAGGGTTTTAAACAATAAAGGTTAGTAGGAGTCTTGTTCAACGAGGTCGTGGTCCGATTCATTTCCTTCTCATGTGTGTATTTATTTCCGTAGCATTTCTATTATTTAAATGGGAGACAAGGAGACAGAAGTTGTACTAGAAAAAAAAGGATGGGAACATGACAGAAGAGAGAAGAAGAAGAAAAAAGGAATTTAATTTTGCAAAATGATTTAAAGAGAGTCACAAAAATATATAGAGTATTACAACAATGTTGACCACTTGTCCTTTGAAAATCTTCCCTGATTGATCCCTTGAACATTGTCCTTTCATTAGTCTCTCAATGATTAGCAATCTAATTACACTGAAACGTCTCAATACTCTGCATTTGGCTACTTAGTGTTAAAAATAAATGTTCTTTTAGTCTTCTTTTTTCCTTGAAGAGAGTAATTAGTTGAGATTACAGTATCGTTTGCCTATTCTTCCTGTACAAAAAGAGAAGAACAGAACAATATTTGATTAGATATTGTTGTCTTATTTGCTAACATATCAATTTTCCAAAATTTTGGGTGAGATTTGCATATTTACACTAGGAAATGATGATTGAATCCTGATTCATCCACTTTAGAGAAATAGAGCGCTTACTTTGCCACGCAATTTTGGAGGTGGGCTATTTTCAACAAGAATATCGACTAAATCTTGTCTTAAACTTCAAATGAAATAAACATCAAACATCGATTTACAAGTGGCTATCAATTTTCCCTTCTCTACAACATTTTACATATATATATATATATATATATATATTACTATACATGTTATAAAAAGAAATACACTAAACAAATGGGGAAGATTTCTAAGACAAAAGTTTATCAATGCTATTTCTCAAAGGGGTTGGCTAATCAACATCAAAATCATGAAAATGTAAAACAGAGCCATTTCTTGGCCGTTGGTTTAACCCCGCCTTGTTTCCTCAGTGAAGTTGCTTTGCTGGAGCTCCGACCCGTTTTTTTATCCTCTCCGGCTTTACTAAATATAACGGTGAATCCCTCCGCCGTCGCCGGATCATTCACATCCCATTCTCCGAATTTGGGCAAAGGCCTTGCCTCATTATTCGATGACATTTCAATCTTCAAGATAAAAAAAAACAGAGCGAAATTTCTCAGAAACAAATTATCTTCTTTTTTTTTGGTTTCTTCTTTTCTCTAATAACTTTTCTCAGAGATCGTTGTTATTGATCAAAATATGAAGGACACAGAACTTGTTTTATAGTTGGGAGATTATAGATTAAGCGGAAACAGAATAGAGAGTAAAAAAACAGAGAAGTATAAGATTGGGGTTCTTAAAATGTTCCTACGGATTGTACTCGTATGAGACACGGGGACGAGCATGTTCTGTTTTAGCATGTCTTCTTAATCTGTTTGAGGTGCAAAATCGTTGGTCTTTGCGCGTCGTTCACGGTAATAACCTAAATATAGTTTATATACATGGCTGCTCTGTTTTCTTATTTGCTTTCGATTGTCATCTTTGTATGTTTCTTTTACCTATACGTGAATTAGAGACCATTAAATTTGAAAGTATCCTTCTGGCCCAGTGAGTATCCGCAAATCTGAAGTTAAATCATATTTTGGAACAGCATAAATTACTACTTTCTTTTGCCTTCTTCAGCAAGTTATTTCATTAGTATCTTTGCTCACATTGATATAAAAAAAATTAGCTTATCTCTTTATTGATCTTATTCTGTAACCATATAGGCTCGTGCTTAAACGCGAGATCGAATGTTGTCAAAAGACAAAATTGAATGAGCAAAAAACAATCAGTAAGAAGTAATAGCAACTGAAAACAGAGGAACCAAAACTTTTCTCTTAGTTTAATTTAAAAAGGAAGAAGCAGCAGGCAGAAGCACAGGCTCACATAGGGCTTAATTTCACTCAAGAGCAGCGATGACCGCATCAACAACTTCCTGCGTGGTGCAATCTCCTCCAAGATCTTTCGTTCGACATTTTCCTTCTTGTATCACTTGTTTCACTGCGGTCTCAAGCCGGTCGGCGAAAGTAGGAAACCGGAGATGTCTAAGCATCATAGCCGATGAGAGAAGTAGAGCCACAGGATTCGCTTTCTTCTGCTCCACTATCTTATCGTTTCCCACATTTCCTGCTGATGCTCCTTGCTCGAATATCGCATGTTCCGCACCAACATTTCCTGTAACAACAACAAAACCCAAGAAATGTCATTTCTGGAGCCAACAATTAAGAAACACGATAGGATGATATTAAGTTATACCTCCAGGCATCACTCCAGTGCCACCGGCTATTCCAGCCGCCGTGTTTGCAACAAGGTTACCATACAAATTAGGCGTCACCTGAAACAATCCAGAAGCACCAATGGTGGGTTTTTACTTTTCTTTGGTTGTTACATTTTGAGGTAATGAATCGTCAAGTTTGGATTTTTTAACAAGGAAGAAGAAGAAGCCAAATACCATGACGTCAAATTGTTCGGGCTTAGCGACAAGCTGCATACAACAATTGTCAACGATGATTTCGTTGTATGTAATGCCCGGATAATGTTTAGCAACCTCTCTGCAAGATTCGAGGAAGAGCCCATCGGCTAGCTTCATAATGTTGGCTTTATGAACAGCAGTCACTTTCTTCCTATTGTTCAGGTACGCATACTCAAATGCATATCGAGCAATTCTCTCAGAACAAAACTTAGTTATCACCTATATATACCAATTAACAAACAAAAAAGATCATAACTTTGCCATCAAAACTCTCTCTTTTTCAATCCCACAATTAAATCTCCATCCAAAGAATCACAAAGAGGGGAAATTGATTTACCTTAAGGCTCTCGACAACACCAGGAACAACCTCGTGCTCGAGACCCGAATACTCACCTTCCGTGTTCTCTCTAATGACGACGATGTCGACATTCTCGTGCCTCGTGGCTAAACCAGGGACGTTGATGCAATTGACGAGAGAAGCGAAGATATCGAGCTCTTTCCTCAATTGCATATTCAAGGAGCTGACTCCTCCGCCGACGGGAGTCGCTAATCCACCTTTGAGGCAAACCTTGTTCCTCTTCACAGACTCGATGACTTCCTCTGGGACTCTCCTCATGTGCCCTAGAACCTCGTACCGCTCGAAGTGAACCGGCGCGTGCATCGCCTCCATGACCTGTTCCACCGCACCGGTCACTAAAGGTCCGATCCCGTCTCCCGGAATCAGGGTCACGGTGCGTGGGGCTCCGTCGCCGGGTCGAGGCATGTAGGTGATGGATCGGGTCGGTGCGGTGAATGGAGAAGGCGGATTCTTCGCCAGAAGGCGATTGAGGATCGAAGCGGATCTTCTCGCCATCGGTGGATTTTTAAGCTGAAAATTAGGGTTTTCGGAGAGCGACGATTAGACGGGGACGTTGGTCTCGTTTTCGTTCTCGGGAGATTGCATGCGGCGTTCTGATTTTCTTTTCTTTATGCCTTTTTGTCAGCTTTATTTCTTCTCCCTTCATATTAAAAATGAAAAAAAAAAATGACAGATAAAACGATATTAATACACCCCATCATAAATCGTTCTTTTTGTTTTGAAAATTTTCAAATATGTTTTTGTGAAAAATTATGTACGTCTGACTATGTTTAGAAACAAAAATTATAGACATACGTTACGTATCTAATTTGAGTTTGAGGGTAAAAGATAAACATATAATGTATAATCGTAAACGAAAATATATAATGTATCATCAGTTTTAGCCCTATGTCCAACGTAACTGTCATTTTTCTAAATCGTCGTAGTAAAACCTCTGTTCAAAAAATAATAATAATTACATTTGTCGAACGAGAACAGTGAAGAATTGGTATTTTTTTTATCAAAAGAAGAACAGTGATAAATTGATGGCCAAAAAACACTTTTCAAACTTTTGTAAATTTAAGCCACTGAAAATCTTTATTTTTAGATTAAAAACACGAACATATTGAGCAAAAACAACATTTGTAGTCGTCTAATTAAGAACTTCATTACATTAAGTAAAGACATTTGTTAGATGGTGTTAACTTAATAATTAAAAATGTGTTGTGTAATCCTAACGTTCACGTCCATTTCGTCGTGTGGTATTTTTTTATTTTGTTTTTATATTAATACTATTCCAAAATTTGGATTCTCTTGCAATGGTATTACGAACTTGGACTGAATCACGGTCGCAAACAACCAACAGCAATGAGGAAGAGAGAGAGAGAGGGAGAGAGACAGACCACAACTGATGTCTCTCATGAACCTTTCTAAAACGGTGTATGGACACAAACACTTGACTTCTACTTTCACCTTTTTTTCCTGTCTTCTGATTGTTGCTACTTCGAATCCAACACAGAAAAGAGAATCTCAAATCATTAAACACTCTGTGTTTAAAAGCCGAAAAAGGGTTTCTCAGCTTTCTATCATTTCCATGAAAGTTCTGTTTTTTTTTTTTAATTTTTCTTTAATAATCCTCTCTACTACTCTTCAATTGCTGCCCTCTTTTCCGTCATGGCTTGTATAAACAACGAGAATTGTAAGTTTTCTTCATCGTCATCGTTCTCTAAACTTCCCTTGATTGACTCCCGGAGATTTTCTACTGTCGAATACGATGAGACAGGCGACGAGTTTCCTATCGAGAGGGTTTTCCCGGTTTACGCTAGAGGAACCTTTACTCCCGAGCCCAACCCGGTTTTGCTGGAATTTACCATTTCTGGTTATGACCCTATTTGGAATGCTATTAGAGAAGAAGCTAAGCTTGAGGTTTCCTCCTTCTGCTCTATAATCACATTCTTACTAAGGATAATAATTCTAATGTGCCTTTTGTATCAATCCAACAAAACAGTGGGGTCAAGTCAAGTGACCACTGAATGAGATCTTTGTCTCTTTAACTACTAAACGAAACCTTTTTAGATGTTCCTTGATGTTACGTCTTGCTCTCATATAATCATTTATAGATGGTGTTGAAATCTCAATCCTATCAATTACACTGATTATAAACAGATCATCAAGGACAAGTTTACAGTGTTTGTGTGTTTATGTTCCTACTATAATTAATGGTAGAGTGTTGTTGATGTGTTTTACAGGCCGAGAAGGAACCGATTTTGAGTAGTTTCTTGTATGCTAGTATCTTGTCGCATGACTATTTAGAGCAAGCATTGGGTTTTGTTCTGGCTAACCGTCTACAGAACCCTACTTTGTTGGCAACTCAACTCATGGATATATTTTGCAATGTTATGGTACATGACAGATGTATTCAAAGCTCGATTCGCCTTGATCTTCAGGTAATAACACTTGTCCTGTATCCGTGAAAAAGATGAAGTACCATTGTATGTTTCAGACAGAATCGCCTGAGAACTTGACTGCAATGTACATTTTGCTTTGTGGTTTCTTGTAGGCATTCAAAGAAAGAGATCCTGCTTGTCTATCGTATAGTTCAGCTCTTTTACATCTGAAGGTAGTTCTTTAACCAATTATTTAAAGACAATAACATATCTTCGTAACGTTATAAGAGTTTTTCATATGCATTTTTACCAGAATAATTTGTTCCACAGGGCTATCTTGCGCTGCAGGTATATAGAGTTGCACATAAGTTGTTGATTCAAGGACGAGAACTATTAGCATTGGCATTGCAAAGCCGAGTAAGCGAGGTAGTGTAGCTTCCACACCTTCTTTTGTTATTGTTATAGTCTTGGTGTGCAATCTCTGATCCATGTTAATGGTGGTTTCATCAGGTTTTTGGAATCGATATTCATCCGGGTAAGTTTTGAGTATCATATCTTGCTTATGTTTTTACATCTTTCAAATGACTAACTTTATGTTTCTTGCTCAGCTGCAAGAATTGGGGAGGGAATATTGTTGGATCATGGGACGGGTGTGGTCATAGGTGAGACTGCTGTGATAGGTGACCGTGTCTCAATTTTACATGTACAGACAGATCTCTTCTCTGAATTCATTTCTCCAAAAAAACATGGATAACTTTTTGATGTTAATAATGCTAGCTTGTATTTTCATTACACAGGGTGTGACATTAGGAGGAACTGGGAAGGAAACCGGTGACCGTCATCCAAAAATAGGTGACGGTGCTCTTCTTGGAGCCTGCGTGACTATACTCGGTAACATAAGGATCGGTGCTGGAGCAATGGTAGCTGCTGGTTCGCTTGTTTTAAAGGATGTTCCTTCGCATAGGTATGCGATTAAAATGCATCTGAAAATATCATCTTGAGTTACTCTGTTAGAGTAGCTCTGGAATGGACATTTTGTTTTATGGTTTCTGAAGCATGGTGGCTGGAAATCCAGCGAAATTGATCGGTTTTGTCGATGAGCAAGATCCCTCTTTGACAATGGAACATGGTGAGTCTTGATTCTGACAATAATATTCTGGTTTTGTTCTGCCTCACTCAGGTTTTAAATATGCAGATGCTACCAAAGAGTTCTTTCGAAATGTAGCAGTAGCTAACAGAGGGACAATGCCAAATGGTAACTTACTCTCTTACAGTGAACTCTGGTTTTTCTTGATCAGAGTTTAATTTGAGATCTGAATCGAGTTATGCTTCTTGTCAAAATACGATCTTTAGTTTCAGGAGTTGCAGAGAGAGGAGACATTATAAAGAGAATATGAGATCATCAATTCATCATCACTAATCCCTTCTCTCTGTTGTTAACAAACTTGCTTTCCAATTGATTGAGAAAGATTTTGATATATTGCTACAAATTATTACTGGAAAATAATGGAAATAAAGAAGAAAAACCAAATCCTAAGCATCAAAGCTCATATCACCCAACAAACAACCAAAATGCAAAAGAAAAGAAAAGAGAAACACTTTAAAACTAAGCATGCTTTGCCTGAAAATCCTTCATGAAAGCAACAAGCTTTTCGACACCAGCTAAAGGCATCGCATTGTAAATAGAAGCTCTCATACCTCCCACTGATCTATGCCCTTTAAGCTGCACCATCTTCTCTTTGGCGGCTTCCTTGATAAACTCAGCTTCCAATTCAGATTTCTCCAATGTGAAGGGCACATTCATCAACGACCTCACTGATTTCTCAACCGGACACCTGAAAAAGCCTTTACTTTCTTCAATGGCATTGTAAAGCAAATCAGCCTTCCTCTGGTTCTTCCTCTCCACCTCTTTCAACCCACCTTGCTCCAACAGATCTTCAAACACGAGACCACACATGTAAATCCCGAAGCAAGGAGGCGTGTTGTACAGCGAGCTGTTCTCGTCGTGGATCTTGTAATCAAGCATCACAGGAGTGATATCTCGAGCGTTTCCGATCAAATCTTTCCTGATTATCACAATCGTGACACCAGATGGACCAACGTTCTTCTGCGCACCACCGTAGATCACACCAAACTTCGACACATCGACTGGTTTCGAGCAGAAGTTGGAAGACATATCAGCGACCAAGATCCCATTCGGGTTTTTAGGAACAGGGTAATCTTTGAACTCGACTCCATGGATAGTTTCATTGGCGCATATATGCAAATACTTGGCGTGCGGGCTCTGCTCCAACTCATCAAAAGATGGAACCTTTGTGTATTTCTCAGATTTACCAGACCAGATCACATTGGCTTTGCAATACTTCTTCGCTTCCTTGACAGCTTTGTCTCCCCACGAACCGGTGACAACGAAATCGACTGTGTCGTCCGGTTTGCAGAGATTGAGAGGCAAAGCAGCGAATTGAGTCGTTGCACCACCTTGTAAGAACAAAACGGAATATTCCGAAGGAATCTCCAGGAGCTGACGGAGATCCGATTCCGCTTTCTGTATAATCGAGAGGAACTCTTTCCCTCTATGGCTCATCTCCATCACGCTCATCCCGGATCCACGCCAGTTGTAGAGATCCGCCTGCGCTTTAAGGAGAACGTTCTCCGGCAAAGTGGCCGGACCCGCCGCGAAGTTGAAGACACGTTCTTGTGACCCGACGGAGCCGGATCTCGCTCCATCTTGAACATGGGTCGTCGCGGCGACGCATCTAACCGCGACGGGTTTGGATTTTCCGGCGAGGTTCACGGTGTTTGGTTTGCTGAGGTGGAGAAGAGACTGAGATGTGGATTTGGGTTTCAAAGAGGGGATCTGAGTGTTGTTTCCGACAAGGAAAGAGTTCGCCGACGTCGCCATGATTCTTGTGAGTGAGTTCCTGAGAATCTCAATTTCGCTTTTGCAAAAAGATCTTAAGAAAAAGAGTTTGGTGGGAGAGAGATATAAAAATAGATTGCAAATTAGACTCATTTTGTGTTAGGTGACACTGGCTTGTCTGCTCTTTTGTAATTAGACTCATTTCAAATGTGTGTTTAATTTTTATTTTATATAAGAAAAGAGTTCAAACTAAAACTCTCATTTCTTAATATATTCATATTTTAAGATTATGTGTCTACTGACAAAAGTCTGAGAATTTTCCAGGAAAAAGAAAGGAAATGAGAGAATGTTTGTAATCAGAAGAATGAATATTAGAGAGATTTATTGCTGAGATATCAATAAAAAAAACGAACTAGAATCCAAATTACAAATTGAAATTCAGAGGAACTTTTGAACTTATTTTGTTGCTGTTGCTTCTGTAATTAAAAAAAAAAAATGAGAGGGAAAATGTCAGTAGCTGTAAAAATTCCTCTCTTGCTATAGCTTGTGAGACTGTGACACAAGAAAGTGTGCAGCTTCATATTTTGTTGCTATGTATCCGAATTTAGAGGAGCTGTATTTTCTATGTACTCCTGTTAGTTTATCCGTCGCAGCCTTCTGATGCAGGCTCACCATTCTTCTACAACATTCTCTGCAAAAACAAAACAAAACAAAACCATGGTGACCCATTTCGATTTAGAAAAAAAAAAACTGGTCTTTTTGGGTCTCTCTTTTGTGTCAATGGACAAAACAGACTTACAGGAGTTGATGTTCAGAGTAGTGACTGTGGAATTCACAAGTGGTGTTCCATTCACTGAAGCCATAGATTGTACATTGAGCTGTGTACACTGCAGTGGCGGCTAGTAACGATGGCGGATACCGAATCATTTCGTAATCCACAAGAGCAAGCTCGATCAAGAACGACGCCAAGGTCTCAAGCTGTTTCAATTAACAAGGTTAAGTTTGATGATTGATACATACTGTGTTTGATGATTGTTATTATGTATTGATAGATCAAGGTTAAGTTTACCTTCTTGTCTGATTGCGCTGCCTTAAGGAACCTCTTCAAGAAAGGGTATTGCGTCGGTAACGACATATTGAATTGCAAAGTGTTAAGCATAATCTTCTCCTGCACACAGAGGTTTTGGAATCAGGTAAATATAATCATCGTTTTTGCAAGTTTCGGAAACAAAAATAAGAAAGAACCTTATGTCAATTATAGTTATACCATTTCTAAAACATCGTTCCTCGTGTAAGCTTTGTCCGAAATGACAACTAAATCTTCAACAATAGGTACGGAAACCTCTTCGTACTTGCAAGCTAAGAGCAACGCAACTAAACCAACAAGCTGAAGCTTCTTTCTTACAACAGCTTGCTTGGATAAGAATCTATCTATCAGATTCACTGTTAGAAACAATGTCTCGTTCATTAGCTCAAATTTGTCATGTACCTGCAAACATTCATTAAACCTATTAATTAGCCTCTCTCTCGATATATATAAAAAAATCCATTACCATTGAGTTTCAAAGAAAGATTATGAATATACCTCAATGAGCCAATCTATTAGTATTGCTCTCATTTTGTCGGTTATATCAAACTGTTGCTCCATGTAGTCTAGAGGAACACAACTAAATCTCTGCAGATTACCAAAAATCAAGTAAAAAATTGTCTCAGACAAAATTTCAATTCAAGTCCTCTGGTTTGCTTAAGCAAACATAAAATGGCACCTCGTTTTTACGGTAGAATTCGTATAGATCTTCGACATATTCCACAACTGCAAGAGAGTTGTTTGCATCGTAGCCATCAATATCCAAAACTAGCTCTTCTTCTCCTTCATCCACAATTATATCCTCCATTTCAACTTCTTCCTCCTATCCAAATTTTAAAGTTCCTTTAGATACTACATTAAAGATTTTTCTAATCTGATTATTAATCAATTACCATTGGATCAGATTCAATGTATGGTTCCTCCAATGACATTGGCATAGGTTGGTCCAATGTAGCTTCATTTTCTTCCTCTTCATCATCAATGAATATACAATCACCAAACTCGTTCCCGCTTGGAATCGATGATGGCTTCAGCTTCTTCGTCTCTTCTTGTGGTCTGCAGAAATTCAAAAGAATCTCAGATCTACCTCTTTTCTAAAAATCAAATAAAAGAGAGAGAGAGATAGAAACGTTTTTCAAAGCTTTATTAACCTTGAAATTAATGGATGTAACGAATCGAGCTTCTTCTTCTCACAGCCTTGTTGCCGCCTGTTTTACCAAAAATCAATAAAATCCCAAAATTAAGATTTTTTTTTTTAAAACAGAACCGAAATAAAGATACGAGCTTTGAGTTAGTAGTTTACTCAGATAAGCCTCTTCTCTTGTTAACGACGCAAGGATAAGCTTTTGCACCAACGAGATTCTGGTTATTCACACCCAATGCTCTCCTGTTCTGTCTTTTCATCTCTAAACCGAATTTTCTGCTTCTCGTTTCATCTGACAAAACCCAGAAACAACAAATAAAGAAAATATCGTACTTTTCAGATTCTCTGTTCTTGAGACCTAGATTTTTTCAGATTCTAAAATGTTTTTAACTACCTTGAAGAATCTCTGTAATGGGTTTGGCAACGACATTACGATTGTTCTCATCTGGATTAACCATTTTTTAATCTCGGCTTGATTGTTCCTGGAGAAGAACACAGGAATCTCTAGAGGAAGAAGAACATTAAACGAAGAGAATCTCTCTCTCTCTCTGTCTACGTCTGGTGCAATTGAATCTGGAGGAGTCAGAACAAGCGATGAAATAAGGGAGAGACAGACGAAGAATTAAGGGGAAATCAAATTAAAAAATATTAAAAAAGCAAAACTTTGATTTTTTATTTATTTTTTATTAAAGAAAATAGCAACGGCTAGGTGATTAAGATGACCATTGGATCATGAAATAAACGATTTGCTTCTAACTCTGTCTCTAAGCCAACGGTAACATTTTTTTTTGTTTGAAGTTGAAGAAGGCATGTGGCTTTCTTTCTCATTTCAAATTTATTATTCCTTTTTGTATTCTTTTTTGTTTTTCTTGCCTTTTTCAGACAAAGAAGGCTCGTTGCCACTAGCTGGCGCGTTTCTAACAACCTATAGTCAACATATTAATTATTAAATTCGTAATCTTTGCTTATTAACCTGTAATTATAGAGCTAAGAATTGCTCTCTTTCCAAAGAATTATTGTTTCCGAGAATTATGCTGACCTTCGTAAGTGTTTTGCCATTTGTAACTTATCAATCATAAATTTTCCTGTGAAAGTTTTTATATTCAATTTAGAGATATCCAAAATTTAGGTTAGATGAGTTTTGATCATAACTACTTTGAAATGAATTTATTCTCAATAGAATGATATATTATGTAAAAAGTGATTATGTTTCGATTTTGTTATTCAATGGGTGTGATAAATCTTACATATTTTAATCGTAGATATTTTGTATCTGTATTTTTTAGAAACCTACTAAAAGTTGGATTACAACCTAGATATTATTCAAAAGAATTACTAAGATTCTACCATAGCATAAAAATGTATGATATGTCATAAATCGGTAACATAATCTTGTTGAATATAACGTGGTTGAATTCTTCTTTCTTTTTTTGTCAAGATCGTCATTGTTCCAAGTAGTTAACATTTCTCATCAATGAAAATATTAATTTTTGTCTCTTAATTTTGTCACCATCCATCAAAAAAAAAAAAAAAATCAAAGAAGTTTTAGAAAACTTTTACTCATTTTGCATGTTTTTGGCTGTTTAGGAATGTAACATTCAAGTATGAAACGTTAGGGATGGACAGATTATTAAGTTAATCGAATTGAGATATATTCGGATTTGTTCGATTCTTTTGAATATTGGGTCAATCTTTGTCATAAGTATGAATGGTATACAAGTGTCGAGAGAAGATATTTTTTTTTTGTCGTCAATAAATAAGTTCTTTTTTGCCATAAATAAGTTTCAAAGCGGTAAAGTAAAAAAAAAAAAATTGTTACAACCAAGAAGTCGACTTTGAAAAAAAAATGGTTTACTATTGACTCTAGAAATATGGCTTACTAAAGTTACTATTGGCTCTTAGGAAGAAGTAATAGTGTAATACTGCTAAATTAGCGAAATCAATATACATCGAATATCGATGGATTACATCAATATGCATTGGCAGCATTGCATTTAGTGGATATTAAGTTCAACTAGTTATACCTTTACCTCTTTACATCAGACAATTGAGTAAAACCAGATGACCAGAAAAACGTTAGACGAGTTGAGTAAAACAGAATACAATAGAAATTGCACTACACAGGTAGTGTCTACACGTGGGTATTAATTGCGAATTATTAATTAGTTTGTTAGTGCAACTCTAAATCACTTTCAGTTCGTCCCATTGCATTTAGTAAACTAGCTTTAATTAATAATTGATACAGTGGATATATTACTTTTTTTGCTGGTAGTTATTCGGTAATAGTTAAACCAAGAAAAAAGTTTCAAGTATGTAGCACACAATACTCTATGTTTTAATGTTTATAATCAGTATTAGTACAAAACTGTATGTTTGAATGTATATAATCAGTACCACATATCTTCAAAAGCTTCCTTCTGACAAAGAAAACTAGGTATCTATCATTGCGACTGTAGATGGCAGTATAACATTAGTGTTCAAAATTTTGAAAAGAGAAAACATATAGGATGAAATAAATATTACCATTAAATAGTTTATTACTGTAATAATAAATTATATGCCGATAAGTTAGTTTACAAGTCACGTCACTGTCAGATGTCATCACATGCATAGAAAATAAGGGTATTTAAAATTTGTTATTTAGTGCAACGATTATTGCAATCTCTATCTCCGGTCGGATGAAAAAACACAATGGTAAACGAATTTTTTTTTGGAAAAAATAAGTCTCGTACTCATTACTTCGTTAGACGCTAGAGGTATTTCTTGATTTTGTTGTCTCGTTAAGACTTAATAAAGTGTATGAATCATGAATGTTTACATTATTGGTTAATGTTCTGATTCAATTTTGTTTTTCCAACTCTAGATTAATACTTGTGAACCAAAAAAAATTAAAGATATGCGTTTATTCAAATTACAATGGATATGTGTTTTGGACAACAATTATTATTTGTTCTTTTTTTTGCTTGTATATATAGACTTCCCCCAACTTTAAAATAGTTATATACATTATGTATAAATCGAGTCCTCCAATTTGAATAAGATCAAGAACATTATTTTAAAGTCTATATAGTTTTACATAGTTTGAATTTGAGAAAGAAAAAAATTATTGAACATCCTACGAATTACGAAATAGGAACAAATGGGCTTATTACGTCGTTAGGCCCACTGAGTTAACGCGATTTAAAATCGAACGAAGTCCACGTGGATTTTATAATTGAATCCGACGGACGCAAATCTTCAAACGAAAAGGTGGGAGAGAGATCTAATCGTACGAACACAGCCATTTGAAATTCGCGGTTATAAGTCTAAAACCGCCGTGGCTCACAAGAAACCTGTATAAGAGACTTGTACTTCAACAGCGTTTCAAAACATATTTACAAATCCCAAACGTCAAAAAATGAGTAATCCGGAGAAAGTGGATGACACTGAGGAAGAGAGAGAATATTCCGATGAGCAATGGAGCGACGATGAATCCACTATGAGGGATATCGTTCTTGCCCTCCCTGCTGCTTTACGGATCAGTAGCGAAAGCCTTGGTGTTAGTAGCGTCGTTGAAGAAGAAGAAGCGCGTTTGAATGAGCAAGCGGTTGTTGCGGCGGAGTTAGTTATGGCTGCGGCAGAGGAAGCGGTTATGAAAGAGAAGAGTGATGGCAAGAAGAAGAAGAAGAGGAAGAAAGTGAGTAGACCGAGGAAGACGATGAAACTCATCAACGATGATGAAGCGAGTGGTTCGGGTAAAGGAAGAGAGACGAAAAAGCCGAAGAAGAAAGCCTCGGAATCGACTAATCCGCCGAGAGGACCACCGGTTTGTGACATCTGTGGAAGAGGATTTGGTTCTTGGAAGGCTGTTTTTGGACACAAGAGGACTCATAAGGGCAGGAACTATCAAGAGATTAGGTTTCTTACTTTTCCTCCTCCTCCTAAATTTTCGTTGGCTGAAGGGTTTATGATTCCGGGACCAAACTCTGCTTTTGTTCTTTTTACTGCCGGAGGAGGAAGGTCCGGCGGTATTGTTAACCGCGGTGGCGGTGGTGCTCCGGAAGGTGAAGCGGGGAGAGGGTTAGGGGTTGGTTTGAATGTGGATCCTGTGGAGGAAATTGATCAGGAGGTGACTGAATCTGGATCGATTGCAAAGTTTGATCTTAATAAGTCTCCACCAAATGATGCAGAGGAAGATGATGAAGCTAAGTGAAAGTTTATTTAACTTATTAATTAAACACACTGTGTGATCTATGTGATATTTACAACTTTTAAACATAATCTTAACAATTTGATAGTTTCCTTGGAGGAGGTTTTGTTGCTGTTCTTGATTACTGCTTTATAAACATATTTATAATTAATTTACTGTTAATTAATTTACTGTTTGCAACAGTCTGGTGTTGTTTCAATAAATATATAGATTATTACTCGTAAATTAACGTAAAAATGTTGGAAAATGACTAATTTCAATATTTTCAGTAACGTAGATTAATGTATATATATCATATATGGATATGAAACTCCAACATTTTTATTTTTTATTTTTTAATTTATTGACATGATATATATCCACTTTAAATTTTTTAACATGATACAATTTTTTATTAAGTTACATATTTTCACTATTGTAACGGTAGATTAAACCTAGTATTAACATAGGACATATAGAGCACTTGAAGAATAAGGTCACAAAACAAAATAATGATTACTCTCATTTAAATCTGAATAGAACAAAAAAAAGACTCTAAAACCGTATACGGTCCACATCATACAGCTTGTTTAAAAAACAAAAATCATCAAGCAACCATCGCTTTTCCTACTCCAAACCGTCCAGGCGATGCCCTCCTCCGTTCAGCCCCGGCTCCACCAGCTCGATATCCATACTGATAGTGACTTGGCGACGATTGAGAAGAGCTAGCAACGGCCGGTTTGGTGGAAGACCGGTCCTGAGCGACGTTAATGCGTTGGATGTGTTCGAGTGCGTCGAGTACTTCCGTCATGTGCGGTCTGTTTTTCGGGTCTGGCTGGATACAAGAGAATGTGATGCGTCCCATTTCCGCTGCGACTTTGGATGAGTATTGACCTTTGATTCCTTCGTCCATTATATGTTTCACTTTGTGTTTGCTTGAGAGTTCTGGTCGTAACCAGTCGACTAGGCTCTCCTGTCCGTTGGGCCGTTTTGGGTTGTGTGCTCTTAGTCCAGTCATTATTTCTAGTAGTACCACACCGAATGCATATACGTCACTCTTAACGTATAAATGGCCTGAGGATGAAGAAAATAAATTAACGTAACCATCCAAAAGATAAATCTTGAAGATGACTAATTTGTGTATTTCGGAATGTACCTGTTGCCATATATTCAGGAGCAGCGTAACCATATGTGCCCATGATCCTAGTCGTAACGTGTGACTTCTCATGTGAAGGTCCTAGCTTTGCTAAACCGAAATCTGAGAGCCTTGCATCATAATTCTGCGTAGATGACGAAAGTTTCAAAACAAATCTTATATCATTAGCAAGAAAACGATTAAATATTCTTCAAATTATCATGACTATCATATAAGGAGATGCTTTAATATAAATAGACTAACCGAGTCGAGAAGTATATTTGAGGCTTTGAAGTCTCTATATATGACTTCTCTTTGTAAGCCGTGTAGAAACGCAAGGCCACGAGCTGCACCGATGACAATCTTGATCCTTAGGTCCCAAGGAAAAGGCTCGCTCCCTGAATCAAATAAAGATCATGCCAAGTAAATCAAAGTTTTTCTTCAAATCAATATTTGTTATAACGTTGGTTGGTGCTTTGTGGGTTTAAAAGATCTTAATTACGTCGAAAAAGATGATTCTCAAGACTTCCTTTGGGCATGAACTCGTAGACAAGCAGAAGCTCCTTGTCTTCACGACAGTATCCTAATAACTTCACCAGATTTGGGTGTGAAAGCATCCCCAAGAAGTTAACTTCTGACTGTCCAAAAACAATTAAAGCCACAAAATTTTAAATTAAGTTTAGTCAATTCCGTCAAAACAATACAATAAGTGAATAAATCAAATGAAACATATAAATAATACTTTGACTAGAATATTACAGGCTTACAGCTAATAACAGGTAACAACGTGTCATCAACTCAAGTCCGGTAAATTTAAAAATATTAACTCTAAATCATAGTGCAAAACATCATTTATTTACAATAAAATGATTTATTAATATTTGCTTTATTGATCCTGCAAGACTGCAAGTCTGCAACAGAAAGTCAAGGTCGTTTCTTGATTGGAATAGTCAACTCTTCATCTTTATCAAATTACGTAAAAAATTGGTTTTTGTTTCTTATTCCGACAAAGAAGAAATCAAAATCGACAAAACAATATGAAATTAGAGATTTAGATCTTACTCGCCACTCTGCAAATCCTTGAACACTCTCGGAATTCAGTCGTTTAACGGCGACGATCATACCGGAACCGGCTTTAGACGGAGCAAGAGTCTTGGCATCGATCCAACCTCTGTAAACTTTGCCGAAACCTCCTTGACCCAACATCGAATCCGGTTTGAAATTCTTCGTCGCCGTCGTTAGATCCAAAAAGCTGTAGACATGGAGACTTGGCGATGGCAATATTTGACCGGAATAACTCATAATCCCACCGGCACTCTCGCTAGCCGCCTCGGAGAATTGGCTCCGCCGTTCAACGCTGCTGTTTGTTGTTGCTGTGACCGTTGACGACGAGAACTCTGTTCCATTACTGTGGTTGTTCGTAGAGGCTGTTTATCACAAAGGCAAAGAGATCAGAAAGTGAACATCTTTCAAGGTTTTATGTGGAGGGTTGTGAAAATCAAAAACAAGAACTTGCTTGGAGTCATAAAGTGTAAGAGAAAATTTAGGGAAGTTAGAGATTGATAATTACCATGACTGTGGAGGCCTGTTTTGGAATGAGAGGAAGATGAAGGGAATGAAATACAAAGACCCATTTCATTAGTCTTCTTCTTCTTCTTCGTCGGCTTCTTCTTCTTCTTCTTCTCTTTCTGACAAGAGCTACCTAGTGGATGATCAACTAGCTATGGAGCCTTTATTGCTTGAGTTTCGAGTTAATAGATAAAAAAAGAGGGGTTGCAATATAATTTTGATTTAAGGGGGAAAAAAAAAGAGGAAGAAGGAAATTTGTGGGGTTTGTTAGGGAACTAAAAGAAAATTGAGAGTTTTTTTTTTTTTGGAGGGTATTGAGAGTTTCTTCTTAGATTGAAGAAGGGGATAGCTAAATTATTAAAGCAGAGGAGGTCGATGAACCCACCAACATGTTTTGGTATTATTTGTCATTTCTTATGCATTCCTTTTTGAATTAAAATATTTTAAAAATATGTACGAAAATGCCAAGAAGACCGACCGAATAAAATATCCCAACAATTTTTTTTTTCACTCTATGATCATCTGATCTGAAAATAAATTATTTGAAAACTTAGTTTTACTTTGGAAATTTACAAGTGTTTACAGTTTTTTTTTTCACATTTTCAGAACTAATGTGCACATCATAGTGGTCTAATTCGATTACTTAAACAAATAATGAGTATGAAATATATATATATATATAGTTGAAAAAATAATCAGAAACTTAATTTGTTGACAAAATACAGTACTATATATGTTGTAACAAAATTTAGAAATTCTACTAAAAATACATGTCGTACAGTTTCTTAAACTATGCAATCTGATGATTTATATTAGAGATTCTGGAGTCATTCGTTTTTTTTTTTTTTTTTCTGGAGTCATTCGGTATCGTAGATGTTTTACAATGTAAAAAGTCATTTCCTTTTTTGGTCAAGAAAAGTCATTTCCTTTTTGCAAGCAATATGCTTAAAAGTCAGCCTACACGGCTTGGACGTATCACGTATTTGTCTTTGTGGAATTTTTTTCATTTGTTTTCCACAAACCTAAGTTATCATTCAATTTCTAATATGGGTAAAAAAAAAGTGAATGGCGGACCAAAATAGAAAAAAAAGTCCAAAATTAGGAAACATCAAATTCTTCAATGACAAGAAATAATATGAACTTGTTTACCACCGTCAGTAGGTGAACTTTTTCTTCTTTACTCTGTCCAAAATGTTCATATGTTAACCCTTCTATCAATATTAAATTTGTTTAAATGATCATAAATCCATATACGACGAAAAAGCTTTGAGTGATGTCATTTAAAAATAGAAGTTATTTTAGATCAGAGGATAAAATGATGTCATATTATTTTTCACTTGTATTTTTACTATGGATAAAATAGATTTCAATTTCTGTAAATTTCCCGGAACGTCCAAGTTATGGCCTTGAACGTTAAACACACAAAATTTGATGAAAGACATTGAAGAGGACTTGGAAATGATACTCGACCGCGTAAAAATGTCAGATTAGCTGAAAGTGACATTTCAATCCACGTATTCACATTCAGTCATTCAGAGATTTTTTTTTTTCTTTTTTTTTTCTTTTCAACATATTTTCATTTTCGTCATTATTGACGTAGGAACACTCGCACACATACACACACACTTGAAGTGGTTTCTCAAGTTTCAAACCTCTTTGTACGGTACACGTTAATTAATTGGTCTTTGTTGAGTGGACATAGTCGTTGTAGATTTTCAAAGCACGAGCTAACAAAAGGGACCACTCAAGAATACACATACACTAATTGCATTAACTAAAATTGTCATCACACTTGAGAAAGTTTTGAATCTTGACTATGGAATGATTCGGATCAATTAAGAAACAAGGAATATATGAATTCCGATTTCCACAAAAAGTCATGATACCAAAAAAGATATTCACACCAACATGGCTTACGATCTTGTTAGACTTTTGACTAACATTTCTAGATACCAAAAAACACATCCCAGAAACCCTGAACTAACTAATATGGTCCATGATTTTGTTAAAAGACCTAAAATCTTTAGCTGGAAGAGGAAGTGACAAGAGATTCTTGATTCTTCTTGGCTCTGGAAGCTCTATGTCTTTTTTTAAAGTTGTCTTGTCTGAATCTTTTGGTTTCTATCTGTATCTCCATGAACGGTCTCTTCACTATATTTCTCTTCTCTATCTCCAGTATCTTCTGTCTCTTAGCTACCGCCATTGCTGCGGCTTTGTTCTTTTTCAGCTGCTTCTCTGCTTCTTCCTAAGCAATACAGAACATAGCAATGCTTGTTGTTTCAGTGTGAATTAAAGTATTAGATTGAAGAAGAGAGAGAGTGAGAGAGAAAAGACCTGAAGATCGTGGATGAGAGTGTCGAGAGATTTGATCTTCCTATGAGGCCACCGGGGAATCCCAAACTCTCTGCATTTCTTTTTCAAGACCGTGAGACCGACGTTGAGATGCCGAGAAGCTTCGACGATAGGAACACAAAAGTATTTGGAGAGATCTTCTAAGGAAAGTCCAGCAACAAGTTCTGATGGTGTCCTTTTCTTCTTCAGTATCTCTGACTTAGTATCTGTGCTTTAACAATAACCCGAAATTAGCCAATCAAATGTGTAAAACTAGCCTAGAGTTATCTATACAGAAATTAAGTTTTATTAACACTTTTTAAAAGAAAGTAGGATGGGAGAAGATACCTGATTCCGAATGTTCAATTTGGTCATCTTCAGTTTCCTCGGATTCAGTTTCTGAATCAGGAAGGCAGTTGAGATCTTGTTTGAGGACGAGCTTTCGCGGTTTAGGCTGATCAACCTCACAATCTGAGACTCTTTCTTCTTTGAAGTGAAGCTTTAGCGGTTTAGACTGATCAAAGTTACAATATTTGACTCTACTGCATTGTTCCTGGTCAGAGATCATTGATGGTTTCTTTGGTTTTAACCCCGAGATAAACTTGAGCTCATTGGCTAAATTAGGGATGTCCTCCAGCTTAGAGTTTCTGTCAATATAAGAAGTGCAACATGTTTAGTTTCTCAAGATGCACACGTCATGAACACTACAAATGTGTTACTGTTACAAGCCTATTTATTTACAACTAGAAAATCTTAGCAAGTAAATCGAAAGATGAAACTGATTATATAGACACAAGTTGTTGTCTAATCAGTAATATGAACAGCAAAAAGTAATACAAAGATATGTGCAAGTGAAGAAAATATGTAAAAATATGTTGATTTTGTGGTGTTGTGTGGTACTAAGAAGAAAAAGTTACAAAGTAAGAGAGATAACTAAAATACATAATTCTCTTCAACTTAACGACAAACCCATAGAACAAACTCTTTTGAAATGATAATTCCAAATCCAACATAGGTACATTAACGTGATAAACACACTTTTTTGTACTCAGTGGTTAAATTAGATCCTAATAATACCTCCAACTTTTTTATAATAGCCTCATTCAAAGATACAGATTCCATTACTAGCTATTTTTTTTTGTTGCCATTGTCGTCAAGTGGTTATATGAAACATAAAACAGTAATGGTTATATTCCAATACAAATATTTTTTGCCTCCAACTCTGTTCCCTCTTTCTATTTGGCAAACTTGACTGAAACCACTATATTGTCTATGAAATACTAAATCAATAAAACCGATTCAAAAAGAAATTAATATGTGATGTGATTTAATGTAAAATGTAAACCCATCAAAATTAAAATAAGGAAAACGGCCAAAGGAGTTAAAACTCAATGCTAAAAAAAAGTTTTAGAGAGGCCTTTACCTTGAAAGGCAAAGAAGAGTAGGGAACCGAGGAAGGAAGTGATTAAACCGGAACACGAAGATACATCGCCACGTGCCAAAAACCCAACCTTCCGAGATCTCCGGCAGCCGAAGACCTTCCGAACGAAACAGAGGCTCCGCTTTCTTCTCCACATAACGGCTTTTCCTCTCGAACAAGAACTCTCTTTCCACCACCACCGATCCATACACATGCAAACTCCTAATTACCTCTGCATTAACCCCAACATCAGAAAAAAACAAGACCCACTTTTAAACCCGACCCGACTCAATCCGACCCGAATCGAGATTCTCTTGAGTGTTCACTTACCTTTACGGAAGACGCTCTGGAAAACAGCGAGTGAGGTCAAGGAATGTTCCATTGTCCGAAGAAGGCGAAGAGTCGCAAAGACGGGAGATTTTTACAAGGAGACTTTTTCTTTTCTCTTTTTATAAAAATATTTCCTTTTTAATGTAAACAAAATCTGCAGAAGAATCCAAGGTTTTTATTATGAGAGAATAGAAGCGTTCGTCATCAAATGAAAAAAAAAAAGAAAGGACTAAACAGAGAGTTTGGTAAAATGCCCTTGGTAAACTCCTAGAATTACCAGTCAAGCCTCTGAAATGAGTTACGTATACTGTTGTCCTCGGTTACCACAGAATATTCGCGAGCGCACGTGGAAGCGTGCGGAGCGTGCGAGGGTATTTATGTAAAAACAGCAGCGTGAAGCGTGTCACACCGATGAGACCATTTAGCGAAACACTCACACGCGCGACCCGTCGCATGTCTGAAAAGTGGCAACTGATATAATTTTCAGTAATTTTGGTTTTTATTTTGGTCAATTATTTTTCAGTAATTAGCTATTAGTTTTCCTTTACGAAAAAATAATATAATAATACTATAGACGTTTAATTTGGTAAATAAATTAGAGAAATATTAGGCATTTTGAGTATTTGTTTCCAAGTTGGTCAATTATGATATCTGACCATGATTTCGTTCTCTCATTTTGGGTTTTCCTTTTTCTATTTGTAAACTCCTGGGCTGAACCAATTTTTACGGTCAATATAATTTTGTTAGGCCTGATCCAATAGTTGGAGTTCCCTCAAGCTTTTCTTCCATGTTCACGATGATAGTAAAGCTTTAGTTTATTGTGAAGGTGTACAAGTGAAGCTTTGGGTTTATACTTTATCACTGATAGCCATTACTGTATGCATTTACAGTCTGATTTTCGCTTCCATCAATAAACGATTTTCCTTCGCATGTGGACCTACCTAACCAATGTCTATTTTTATTGCCGTTTCTTCTCTTCTCATATCCGTTATAACAATTTGATTGGATAGTAGTGATATGAAGACGATTAGTAAAGACGATGACCCTAACTTTAATCTTATTTTTTTGAAAACGTGCTTTGATAGTGATCTCAAGACGATGCCCCTTAATTTTAATCTTTAGTTCTCGGAAAATAAGGCTGCATATCATGATATCAGAAGTTGGTCCATTGTGGCCAAATATTTTTAGCTACAAGAGTCAAAAGTATCCCATGACTTGTCAAACAAAAGAGGGCAAAAAGCTTGGCCAGCAAGCTAAAAGGTCATTTCCAAGAAACTTGTCCAAGAATATTCAACCTTGATTTTTGTCTTATAAATACATGACCTTCTCAGTTCTCATAGTTATCTTAAATTAAGCCTAAACATCATCCATCGTTTATAGACTCTACTCACGATTTTCAAAATTCCCATCATGTCTCTCTTGGCGTCATTCTTTGATTGCTTCTTTCCAAAATCCGGCTCAAGGATCAGCTCAACCGATGATAGTAACTCGAAAGTTTTGTCTTTGGAGAAACCAAAAAGCAAATCCAAATCTACCAGAGCTCCGATCATAGTATCTTATTTTCCAGTAGGTTCGAATCTATCGCGTTTGTAAAAGAACAGGAGAAGATGAAGTGTTGGATGTTGACATATTTGTTGTAATGTAAAGCCTTTCTTTTTTTGGTTCATTTTTGTTTGTTTGATTATGTGTAATAGACTATTTAGTTTTGATAACAATATATAGAGACCATAAAAATAGAAGTGAAAATTTTGGCAACAAAAAATATGCTTTGTATTCAGGCGGAATGAAAAATTAATGCATAAATACATGTTTTGTATAGAAATGATAGAGAGTCCGAGTGTTAATGCATAGTGTTTTCTAACGGAGACATATAAATGGTCCTGGACATATACAATTTTAATTAGTAGATGTGAGTTGATACTAATTGCGATAAATTATTGGCGCGAAATATTATGTAGCCATTACATATTGCGTGGCGCAAGAAATGAAATCAGATTTACCAAAAACAAAGAAAGGAGTTGTTAATCTGGACAATTGTTGAATAAATGGACGGTCAAGATTCGAAGTATCGCATCTAAATGATCTACCTGGCAAATCCCGCCACATCACGGAATTTTCAATATGTTTTTAATATATATACAAATCTTTTGGAAATCTGGATTTTCTTTAAATACACGAATTCACAGCGCATCAAACTGGCAAAAAAATTAAGGCAAAGCGGAAAAAAAAAAAAAAAAAAATTCTCAATCGTCTCTCGTCAAAGCAAAACCCTAAAGTTCCAAAGGTAAAGCTCGCACTCACCGCGTCGTTTGAGTCAAGTCCGAGTCACCGATTGATTCTCCTTCGACTCTTACTTGTTTTCTGTTTCAGATCTTCGAGATGAAAGGTGGTGAAACCAAAGCTCAAGCCAAGGGCACTGATGATAGGTATATCTTATCCACATCGCGAAATCTGAGATTCACTTGTTTCTGCGTTTTTCTCTTCTTAATTTTTTTTTTTTGTTTCCTTCGACTTTCAGATTGAAAACCAGAGGTAAGAAAGCTGGGAAGAAAACCAAGGATCCAAACAAGCCTAAGAGGCCTCCGAGTGCCTTCTTCGTCTTCCTGTAAATTTTCACAAATCTCCTTTTTCTCTGATGATTTACTGTTCCCGGATTAGTAGTTTTGCTAATTAGTTTCGGTGATTTGAAGGGACGGATTCCGACGTGAGTTCAATGAAGCTAACCCTAACAACAAATCCGTCGGAGCTGTAAGTACTAATCTGAGATTTACAACGCACATCACGATCTCTCTCTCTCTCTCCCATATGGATCTTAGTTTGTTAATTTCAAATTTGAATTTGCAACATTAGGTTGGTAAAGCTGCTGGAGCGAAATGGAAATCGATGAGTGATGAAGTGAGTGTCGGCTTCCTATTTTTTTGTTGAAATTCCTGTGTTAAAATCTGTAGATCTGTACTCAATTCTTTAGGGTTTTCCCTCAATTTCAATGAAACAGGAGAAAGCTCCTTATGTAGCCACGGCAGAGAGCAAAAAGAGTGAATATGTCAAGACTATGCAAAAATACAACATGAAATTGGTATAATATTTGTCGTTGCTTTACTTTTTTTTTTTGTTGACCTATTTTTTTTTGGCTTTTTCTGCTGTAAAGCCAAAGTAATATACGTTTTTTTCAGGCTAATGGAACCAATACTGGAGATGATGACTCTGACAAGTCCAAGTCTGAAGTCAACGATGAGGAAGAAGGTGGAAGTGCAGAGGTATTTTTGATAGGCTATAATTGTGTTGGCTTCAATTGTTGCCAGTTGCTAGTGTAACACTCATTTGATCTGGTGTGTTATTGTTTGTTTTACAGGAGGAAGATGATGATTAGAAGATGGATCAGTGATTTGTCTTTCAAGTATCTTCTGTTGTTATGTTGTTAGCTAGTTTTTAGGGAGAAGAATAGTTACACTGCTGCTATGTATTCCCCTTTATGTTAACTGGGATTATTCATATGTATTTCCAACTTCTCGTGATAACTTCGGATTTAGCCTTTGAGCTTCGTTTCTACTTTTATGAGATGGTATCATGTGTTTGCATTCTTCTGATTCTATATATATTGCTCTCTACTATTGGTGAAACGTATAGTAGTACACTTGTCTACAAAGTTAGTCGTTTCCCTGATGGAATATTCGTTCTGTGTGTTATGCTATCTTTATGTGATGTTTGTTGTTTCGTCATTTTGTGGCATTTTTCCTCCCTCGAATCATTCAATATTGTTACATCATCTATTTTGAATTGAATCACTGGTTAGAGCAACTTGACATTTGTCTACACAAACGCTTTTAGCAAATACATAGTGAGATTAAAGTGAGATTACTTCTTTATATTATTTTCAATTACTGGGTTGTTGAATAATTTCGGTTTTGTACATTGGCTAAGATGCTCACAAGAAGTTGAAAAACGGTGTATTATAACTTTGGAAAAGCTATTTACAATATCGTTCATCAATATGGTCAAACAAAATGGATGGTATGTTTTCACATTCAGAGTTCTTTAAGATATAGTTTTGAGTAAAGATTGTTCGAGCAAGAGAAAAGAGGCTATGATTTTGAGCTCTGTTTATTGAACTCAACAGCATTCAGCAATTCTTTTGCTGTAGAGGAGAAAGACTTTGCAGTATCTTCCATTTCCGTCGTCCTCAAGCTAATACCCTACAAAGATACAAACGGATTTTTAAGTCTCGAAATGAATCAATCAAAAACTAAGGGGTAAATCTGAAAAGGCTATGAATGAAACCATAAAGGTTGAGTACCTGTAACTTTTTCACGTTGTCTTGAAGTTTGCACTGAGCCATTTTGGCAGCACCCATTTCCTGCAAAAAAAAAAAAAAAAACAGGAGGATGAAACCGCGTAGCGAAATTACAAAACTTCTTCGAGAAAGCCATAGAAGCTTACCTCGGACGAAGCAAAACCATATTTCTTCTTGATCTGGTCGACTGTGGTGCCGCTTTTCTCCTCATGTTTCTCTTCATTGCTCACAACACTCTTCTCACTCTTAGCCGTCATCTGCTTCAGCTTTCCTTTGAAGCTGCTAAACTTATTCGCTAGCTTCTGCTTACTAATCCCTGACATTATCCCTTGTTCTTTCGGCTGCTCTTGTTGTTGGTGATGATGATGGTGATCATCATCCTCAATGTCAATGTCATCTTCAAATGTCAAGAAGAAAAAGATCAGAGACGTACGCAGCCGACTCAACTATTACATCACAAAGGATATCAATGTAGACCGTACCTATGCCCAACTCGTCTTCATGGTCAACTCTAATGACTGTATTGCTCTCTCTACTACGCTCGACATTGTTGTTCCACGGGAAATTAGCTGTGGTAAAGATTTTAGACAGCTCCTCCATAGTTTCCTTGGTGCTTTCTGTTTCTGTATCAGTTGTGCGCTTGGCTCTCGTCTTGAAGACAGAACCAAACATACCCTGCAACAAACATTATATACAACATGGATTAGTACTCATTGTGTGTTACAGAAAGTTATAGAGACAATATTTGTCTCACCTTCTTTTCCTTGGGAGATGATGCAACCCCTGATGTGATGTTGCCTTCGTGACAAACTGCACTATCTTTTTTGTAAACTCGGCTCAAGGACTCTACAAGCCTAAAACAAGAGTAAAGACAGTTTCAGACTTTTCAGTTCATCTCTATGTTATAGATGTAATCAAACTCTCATATAGTCTTAACCTAAATGTGTCCTTTTGAGGTAAAACGGAGCTGACAATAAGTTCTTCGTCTCCATTCACCTGCAAAGAGAACGATGATGATGATACTCAACGAAAACCCATCTCTAGTACTTGCTACAATGCAGAGTTTGTGTTCTGAAGAAGGGTACCATGACGAGGTCTCCATCCCAAGAAGTAGATATGGTAATCTCTGGTAATGAATTTGGTTTTGGTGAAGAATATGTGAAGCCTCTAATGGAAATCTGTTTTAGCAGCGAGAGTTCTGGCAAAGACCTGAGAAAAGTCGAAGCATTGATGAGCTAGTTTTCACGGATTTGAAGAAAGATAGTAAAAGGCAGAAACTTTCACCTTATCTCAACAGTTCCATCTGAGAAAACAAGTGTAAGACCAACACCAGAGGTTCCATAAAAGGTAGAAGATGAGCAAATGGATGGAGAATTAAACTTTTTCTTGTGAAGGACCTTCTTCACTCCCTGAGGGAAACATAGAAAAAGGCAAATAAGTATAAGAGGAATATGACATGAAGAGATCAAGATGGAAGATAATATACCTGGACAACTTGGGCCAAGGAGTAGATATATATAGCTTTCTCTGAACAAAGTAAAACCGAAGGCTGCCTTATTGAGATATCCTCAACTATGCTTTCTCTGCTCAAATCAATTCCATTTCCAGAAGAGTCTTGTTTTCCATCTGCAAATGAAGATATGAAAAATCATTGAGATCTTGCTTTTTTCTTTTTTTTTACAAACTTAGAAGGGAGATGTGGACCTACCCAGGATCTGCATAAATAGAGCCTTGAATGGCTTTTTAGGCTTAATCATGTTGGTTCCAACCATATTTCCGGTGTCGCTGTCAAGAGCAAAAACAGATGAGTCCTTCATAGCAACCACTAACACGTTCTTCTCGAAGCCTTGCACACTGCAACTCTCAAACTGCAAGGAGATGATCCCTGAGCAGATATCACTTGCAATGTGTTTTGTGTATAGCACAGTTGCTTCCTCAATGTCAACCAGAGAAACCTGTAAGTTAACAGGTAGTCACGCCTCAGTCACTTCAACCAGAAATCCTCTAAGAAAATGGAAGAAGCAAAAGCTTACATGTCCTTGATCTGATCCAATAGTGAGATGTTTCGAGTTTTGGCTCTTCTGGATACAAGTTATGGAACCAGTAAGCTTTATGTGCTTAACACTTTGAACAATATGGTTATTCCCTTTCTTTGAAGTTCCTGCAAAAAACAAAGAGTATCAACTTATGAGGACACAAGATAGTAAAGCCAATTTCGTTCTGCTTTTAACCTACCTTGGAAAGGGATAAAACTGTTCTCTGTTAGGTATGGCTCAGGTTTGAACCTATAAAGGCGAACCTGTGCATTGTGAAAATCAATTATAAGCCTCTAACTTTGGAGGAATTCAACAACGTATATTATTAGGTTGAGATGCTTTTTACCATTCCGTTCTGATCACCAGAAGCTAGAAGCCTTGAGTTGCTGTCAAAATGCAAAGCTGTCAATGCAGCTCCACGTGAAGAAATATCTTGATCAGTCTGCTAAGAAACACACAAGGAAGTTAAAATACTTTTTCAAAGATCTGCTTTCTCCAAAAAAAAGTGTCCGAGGAAGTTTTACCTGTTCTTTCAGGGATAAGACAGGAATGAGAAAGGGACAGGTCATGTCCCACACACCAATGGTTCCATCACTATGCCCTGTGATGTAAACATTCTTAACCTTTGAGAAACCAGGAAAATGTGCAGAACGGGAACATTCTTTTGAAACTGTCTGAGAAGGAAGAAACGGCGTAGCATCTTTCGCCAGCTGAGCATAATCCTGCAGCATAAGAGAAACAGAACCCCAAGAATGTTCATTTCTTTCCAAACTTGGTAGATCAATCTCACAATTTAGATTTACCTCGTCTGAGAGATTCAGCAAGTGTGAAGGGTTTGTGAGGAACTTTCCAACTGTGATGCTGCTAGAATCTGAAAATGGCAACTTAACCACAGTTTCCTTTGGGAGAGAAGGAGGTGATTTGGATTGAGATTGAATCAGATACTTCTCGATCATGTTATCATCGTAAGCGTACACACGTCCAGACTTTCCAAGAACAAACAGATAATCCTGTTTATGTTTGCTTTGCTCATGAGCATCAGCTATGATCAGCTCCATATCAGCACAAGGCTCAGATACATGAAGCCCCAGCTTAATCATCCGAGTTTCGGTTTGCTCATTCAGTAATACCACCTGCAACAAGTTTGAGGATGATCCAATGACATAAACCCGGCTTGCTTTCCCTTCAGCATGAACCCATTTCAGAGAAGCTATTGGTGTCTTCTCGGATTTGTACCCGAGGTTAAGCTTGCAAATCATAGCAGAACTCTCTGACGAGCATTCACTTTTTGAAGGAATGCTCCAGACTAGAATATCTCCATAAATAGACCCAACTGCAACTCTGCTTCCATAAGGGCAAACCCAACAAGCACATGTCACTTTCTTTGCTTCCTGCTTTACCATCCCGTGTGCTCCTGTTTTCAGAATCGGTTTGCTTTCTTTGATATCCCATAATGCTATAAACCCGCTACTAAATACCAGTAGAATCCTTCATAAATTGAGAGCAAAAGTGTAAATGACTAAAGTGCCTTGCTCTCTTGCTTTTTCACCACAAAGATTGTGTTTGATATGTTACCTTTGGCTTTCAGCTGTTGGCTGTGGTAGAATGCTCACAACTGAAGTATCTTCAGAAGCTTCAACGGGAGAGCCTACACAACAACAAGATGTTTCAAGAGGCGATTCGACCCAAGTAGAGTTAACACTGAGGAGACCTTTCTTTTTGGTATTTGGTTAGTTACCGTTTGATGCTAGATAAGGTATCGTATAATCCATTTGTATAACTTGATTAGAATCTTGATCGATCTTCAATACCGTTACATTACCGGAAGAATCTCCAACGTAACTGCCAATTCGAAGTCACACTTGTTTTCACTATCAGGAACTCACGACTATGCAAAGCTAGTAACCATAAGAAGATTGAGAACTGAAGCATACAAGTAAGGTGTATGTTGCATAACCCGGAAAGAAGTGATCTCTCCGTTGAAAACATGAACATGAGACAAAAGCTTCTTGTCTACGTCCCAAACCTGCGTGAATTTAGCTTTCATACCAAAGCTCAATTGCTAGTAGAGCTACTTGAAGGATTCAAAACATGTCTTACCTCAATCTGATTTTTGGAGTTCACATTGAGAAGTATTCCTTGGTTCTGAACAAACTGGAGAATCCACACAATAGAGTTAATGTCTTTTTTTGTCAAACTATGTGATCGTAATAGAGAATCTGGATAAAGAGAAGAAAGATATAATGAAGTGAACACCTCAAGAAACCTGCTTGTGGAAGCTTCTTCTGACACTAGTAAAGCCTGAGTATGATCTTTTCCAAACAATTTGATTCTACCATCCCTGAGAATTAAAAAAGCCAAAAATTATAACAAATGAAACAACTTGAATCTGCAGAAGAGATGAATGAAAAAAGCTTCTATCTTTTACTCCACTCTTACTTAGTGGAAACTCCGAGGATCTTCTGAATTGGATCATAAGTAAACAAGTGAGATCCTGATGGGATTCCATAATGTAGAGTGATACGTGGCTCAACGTCATTAGCTCTGAGCCCTTCCGACGAGCTTCCTCCAGGCTGCAACAATGGAAACAATGGTACGTAAGAATTTGCAGATTGTTGCTCGCGTGATTGTGTTCTGTTCTAGCTAGTACTAAACCGGCCGGTTTAATGTATGGATAATAAGAAAAGTCAAAAGATAACTGGCGAATGGGAAATAGTATAAAACTAACTAAAAAGAAAATTGGATACGCATTTAATGGAACTTTTCAAAAATTTCGGACACGAAACATGCGTGTCAACAAAACTCGTCTGACGTCATAATTGTTTTTTTTATTCCACTACAATATCTAACTGGATTAAACGCCGACAAAAAAAAAATCTAACAGGATTAAACATCTGGGCTAACCACGAACCGACACAGAGTCAACAACAGTCACATTCAGAGAAGTAAAATGATCTGTGTTAATAATCCGACAAAATTACGAATTTAATCTTTAACCATCACAACAAAAAAATTGTAATAAACGGACTAAAGAAAAATCTATAAAATAATTTAAGACCCAGGGGGAGAACAAATCAAATATTATTCTTTAACGAATGGATCTCACATCGATTTCGGCAAACTTCAGGATTTCGAAATTTGATATTTTTTTTCCAAAATAAAACGAATCAATCATACAGAGAACCTTTTTCACCCAATCTCAGATGAAGATGAACAGTTCGAAAAAAAAGGAAGAAGAGGAATCGTATGATTGGATTTGTACCTTCTTCGCTGCTTTCTCGACCAGCTTCTTCACGAACATCTTTGTCGAGCCGTGAAATGAATCGTACAGTGAATTGATTTCTCGAAAATGATCGAAGCGATCAAATGAAAGTAGACAAATATCAAACTTGGAATGTCTCAGAGAGTTTGGGAGATCAGCAAATTCATGGTTCCACGATAGAATATATTGAGAGAGAAGAGGAGAGGAGACAGAGAGAGAAACAAGATGGGAGTGTTGAGATTTGAGAAGTAACGGTTCCTTGACGGTTTTTTTTTTTAAACGGCGACCCCCTCCAAAAAATAATATATTCACATATATGGAAACTTATCAATATACCATTTACCTACATATCACCGAAAAAGAAAGAAAAAAAAAACTATATTACTTCTGAAGTCAAAATTTTACATATGGTTATAAGTGAGGAAGTAAATTACTCATTTCCAGTTTTTTTTTTTAAAGATTAGTCATTTCATTACATTTTTAGTTATTTCAAACAAATACACATTATTTTCCAATTGTGTATTTCAAATGAGTACACTGAAATTTATGATATTTTCTATTTTGATAGATTGTGTATATCAAAAGGACAGAGTCATACTTTTTTCGTGGTAATTTTGAAGAATTTTTAAAACATAGGTAACACAGTAGTCGTGAGTCGTGAGTACTCGTGACTCAAGTGAAACATAGTTATAAAATCATATCTGTCTGTCATAGCAATTAAAGTGTTAACTGTTAATCATGAAACAATGTCTTTCGCCTTTTCATCAGTCTGTATAAACTTCCTTTCACATATATATTAATGAAAATGTTAATCAAGATTAAACAATTGACGGTAGTTTAGTTCGGACTACAATGTCTTATTCCAAAAATCGAACCAGTCAAAAGAAAATTAAACCAAAATTTACATTAATTTGTTTCAAAATCTTGTAAACTCACAATATTTTTACAACGCTTTTTATTTACAAATCAAGTTCAAATATTCCGTATTTGATATTAATGAATTCCAATTACACAAAAAACTAATGTCGTTAGTAAGATATTATATTGTTCAAAGCATTAATACTACATAAACCTTAATCCATGCGATATTACGTACATGTAGGGGCAATGGTCCTTAATAATGACTCACCAACACAAGACTTCGAGATTTTGTGTGTCAGTATGTCATTCTGTTAGAGTAGAGTGAAAGATCGATAAGACGAAAATTGAACAAAAAAAAAAATTATTATTTCTGAATCTAAATAAACCTCAAATGTATTTTTGTAACAATCTTATAAATAGTGATACAATTTGCTATTAAAAAAATAGTAGACAGAATATTCATGTCAACCCAAGAAATCTTGGTTTTAATGAGATTTTTTTAAAAAATAAACCAAAATATATTGACTAAATAAAATGAGAACAAATGTGAATGGGGCCACGCATAAAACTTTGATGATAAAAAAGCAACGAAAAGAAAAGAAAAAGAAGCTTTGGGTCATGGTAGAGCCAAAGAAGGGTCCTGAGACAAGATAAAACGGCACCGTACGTGGCAAGCGTCTACCTCTTGTATGGGTCCCTCTAGCTGAAGTTGGTGATCGACTCCGTTACGTGATGTCACGAGAGACGTCCGATTTCATGCCGATGGACGGTGAGAGATCACGCTAGGCGCTAGCTTTTCCTCTGAGAGCTCTGACCACCGACCACATCTGGATCAATAAATTACAATACTTGGACATAAGTCACATAATACTTTTTTTCTTGCACGTATTGTCTAATGCGATTCTTAGCGTAATAGATTGGGTTATATATATAATAGATATAAGAGAGAAACTCATGTTTTTTTATAGGTGCATTGGAGAAACTCTGATGGATTTCTTTAAAAAAATTTTTTTAAAAAAAATTGATTATTAAAAATGAAATTTTTGATATTACATTCATATAATTTGAAAACATTACAAATTTAACATAATTATTGAAACAACACAATTTTAACAATTAAACTTAATTATCCACCAAATGACCAAACGTTTGCCATATATATTCAACCAAATCCTTTTTCAATTACTTATGAATGTGTGAATCCCAAACTCTGTTCCGAGCATCGAACATATTAGCGATATTTGTAGGCTGGTCTGTCGAGTAATCTTAATCCACTTGTGCATTTCCGTTTCCGTCTCCTTGTAGGAATTCAGAGACATTACTTAGCGTGAATCCATCCCGTTCATCCTCTACTATCATGATGCATGCCCTCATAATCTTGCCAATTTTTGCTTTATCCCAACAAAGTGCCGGATTTTTGATAATGGCAAATCGAGCTTGCAATACACCAAAAGCACGTTCGACATCTTTTCGGACGCTCTCTTGAGTGGTAGCAAATAATTTTGACTTTCGACCCTGGGGAAGTTTAATGGATTGTATAAAAGTAGCCCAGTTCGGATAAATACCATCAGTGAGATAGTAAGCCATATGATACTCTCTTCCGTTGACAGAAAAAGTAACTTGCAGAGCCCGACCTTGTATGATATCATCGAAAACAGGTGAGCGATCAAGAACATTTATGTCGTTTAACGTACCTGGAGGTCCAAAAAATGCATGCCATATCCACAAATCATATGAGGCTACAGCCTCTAAAACAATTGTGGGCTTGCCAGAACCACGGGTAAATTGTCCTCTCCAAGCCGTGGGACAATTCTTCCACTCCCAGTGCATACAATCAATGCTTCCTATCATCCCGGGAAATCCTCTGGACTCTCCTATTGCAAGTAGTCTTTGAAGATCCTGAGGGGTGGGGCGTCTTCGGTACTCATCCCCAAAGAGAGCAATTATACCTTCTACAAAATGTTCCAAACATTTACGAGCCGTAGTTGCACCGAGACGTAGGTATTCATCAACCGTATCAAAAGCAGTGCCATACGCCAAGAGACGGATTGCTGCTGAACACTTCTGAAGCGCAGAGAGACCTGGCCTTCCAGAACCATCATTCCTCTGTTGAAAATAGGGAATTTCAGTGGAAAGCCTCTCAACAATGTGCATGAACAATGGCTTGTTCATCCTAAAACGCCGGCGGAATAGATTTGCGGGAGATGTTGAATTTTCTGCGAAATAATCATTCCACAAACGGTTGTGCCCTTCTTCACGGTTTCTTTCAATGTAAGCTCTTCTCTTTCGTGGATTTATTGTCTCTTCCTCAACACCAAATGCAATGGAAAGATTTTCAAAGGTTTGATCACACACTTGATCAAAATATTGATCAATAGTTTCATCGATGGCTCTATCTAAATCATTAGTGTATGAAGAAGAAGCCATTATGGAATAGAAGAGGAGGTGAATAAGAATATGATTTAGGAAGTGTGAATATGGAGATGTACACAAGAATGAAATTTGTATTTCAAACAAATCTAAATGAGAGAAAATTCTGGAGTTTGTTTTCCAAACAAAGCTAAATGAGAGAGAAGTGTATTGCAAAAAAATTTGTGTTACTCTACTTATATGCGAAGGTATATACAAAATTCTGGAGTTGTTGCCTTTAAAAATACTTGTGGACATAATTTTTTCGTTGACAAAATCACTAAACGCCATTTACAAAACCCCAAAATAACTACAGCAAAACGACCCATTTTTTCTTCATGTCTTTGTTTTCTTGTGTCACGCGATGGTACTCCCTGCATAAGTCCATTGTCTTCTTTACTGCCATTGTTTCTTTCTGTCACGAGAAGCCTTTGATGCCATATTGGTATCCTGAAACAGAATTTGTACCATTTAAAACATATGAGAGAAGAATATGCATAAATATGAGAGAAGAATATGCATATAGTTACAAAGCAATGAAGAGGAAAGAGAGACTTGATAAACATAAATATACTAACCTTGGTAATTACGCATAAGAAGCATTTAAGACATATGAGAGAAGAATATGGTCAGATCAGCAACACTTAAAGGTCAATAGTTCATAAAGTCCATACTTGTTAAATCTAAAACCAAACATAAAGACACACCAACTTCTTAAATACGTTACAACTACTAAAACAGATAAGCACTTAAACCACAGATAACAAACTTGACATAGAGAATAGACGATTTTGACTCAAACTTGACACAAACTGGAAGACTCAAACAACAAACTTAGTACTCGGTCAGATCAATTCTGTTATAAGATTTTGCTTCAAAACTTCTTCAGACTCAGTCAAGGGCTCTTTCTTGGCAAGGAGATTGTCAAGCATGGACATTCTCAACAGTCTCTCCCTGGTGACCATATCTTTCTCATTCATTTGCAACATGTTCTGAAACTGTGAAAAAACTATTGGATCCACGGTAGGACTCTTCCCTTTCGCCTTCGCGGCCTTAACCCCAGCAGGCCTTTTTGCGGTTTCAACATCAATTGGCTCAGCATTGATGTTGTGGGACTGACCTCCATCTTCAAACCTTGGTCGTTTACAACTGCCTTCTTTTTTTGCACTTGTTTGATCACACCATTTTTGATCAAAACGCAGCTCCTTCCAAGCATGTTCCATTGTGAACTTCTTCTTGTTGTCATTGAAGTAAATCTCGTGTGCCATTTTGAGAATATCATTCTCGTTTTGGCCTGAAGTCCTCGCCCTTGTTGCAGCATCGTAGCAACCACTGAATTTACATACAGCTTCATTAATCTTCTGCCAACGCTGCTTGCATTGAATGGCTTCGCGGTTAACAGTTCCTGATGGCTTTTGACTTGCAGCAAAGTAGTTTGAGATTCTCTCCCAAAAGGTTCCTGATTTCTGCTCGTTTCCAACAACAGGATCTTTTGATGTGTTGAGCCAGGAGCTGATCAGGATTATATCTTCAACCGGCGTCCATTGTCTCCTCGCAGTTCTTTCCTTATGGGAGTCTTCATCGAAGCTTGCATCACCCTGGGAAGCTTGCGAAGTGAACACTGGTGGCTGAGACGACCCAAGCGCAACACATGGGTAGCTAGAGATGCTATCTTGTTGACTGTTTAACAGTTCAACAAGAGAAGAAGGCTGAGTGAAAGGATATGAAGACATCTCCGGGAAAGAAAGAAAGAAAGACAAAGAAGAAAGAAGACAAAGACAACAAAGAGGAGAGAAAAGAAAGTGAAAACAGAACAAAGTTGGAAGAAGGACCGAGAACAAAGAACACTAATGAGAAGAAGAAATAGACACGATGAACTAGTTTTAAGAGGCAAATGTATGTCTTCAATGAAGAAGAAAGAAGTTGCAAAGAAAAAGAACAATGCCATTTTGGTGATATTGCATTGATCACAAACACAACCATACAGACATGACAAGCATTCATCACACCTTCCTCTCTATCTAACCAGCTCAAAGCAATTACTACTAACTCACCTATAAACTAGTGATTACACATTTATTATAACCAAACTAACTAAATCCAACTGACCAAACCTATACTAACTAAAGCAGTTAAGAAAACTTACCTTAAAAAAACTAGAGGACTTGACACTCGTTTGTATGATGAAGAGGAGATGTACCTGCAACCAAAGCTGAACATCTAAAGATCAGAACCAAATATACCATCGATATAGGCAACCATACCCAAACAATCGATATCCCACATCAAACACAATCGATGCTCAAATCCGAATCAAACCCACATCAAAAACCTAAATCCCAAATGATACCAAGCAACAACCAAATCGGAACCCTAAACACAAACGATTTCAATAGAGAATAATATGCATGTTTAAGAAGAAAAAGAGTTGATTGGTTTAACAAATTACCTCTTCATCGTCAAAGCTGAAGTAATCGGCCTCTTCACTTCACAATTTGCATGTCTCGCGGTTCAAAAGGAGAAGCTCTGCTGCTGTTCACGATAAGCCTGGACGACTCCGGCGGCGGCAGGGTGCCGATTACTCTCTTCGAAGCCGGATGTCGCCGATGATCGATGAGATGATCGCCTCTGTTGGTGTGGAAAAACTTTCTCTCGTGAAAAAGAAGAACAAAACAAGAATCCAGAAATTTTTTTCCAAACCACATAATTCATTTCTCTCCAATAGAAGCTAGCCACGTCACCAAGCAGAAACGCTCCTTCCAGTCCCGGTTTTGGGATGGATCCTGTAAAAAAAGTTAACTTTTTGGATTAAATTAGGCTTTTTTATTAGGAGAAACCCACCTAAATTTCTTTGATAAACTTGGTCGCAACGATAAAAGTTGGACCCATCCTCAATATTTCATTCCTCAGGTATTGTCTCTTAATTTAACTTTCGTAGGGATTTTTTTTCGTGTTAACGTATATTATAGAATTTTTCTTAAAATTATGGATCCACTCGGAATTAATAATTATAGCCAGCCTAACGAATACATGAAACTAGAGATTAAAAATTGAATTTATTTTCCCCTCTTTAAGTGAATCGTAACGTCAAAAAAGAAGAAGTGAATCGTAGCTTTTACCATCAATAGTGTTATAATATGGCAATGCACATCTAAGTAATTACTGAAGAGATTTTTCTTTATAAAAATATAAGATTGATTACATGTCGAGTGTTGAAGTAGTTTTTGGACATCATTGCATGGTTGAGTAATTTTTTTTTTATATTATAAAAATTTGCAACCCAAACCAGGATCTACCGGATTTACAATCAAAATATATTAAAATAAAAATCGAAACCAAAACCTAATCTTCAATCCGGTCTACGGAGGAAGCGGTGCGACGTCGAACAACGAGCAGTTAAGCTCTCCCCGTCGCACGAGCCGGACACCGGCTCCCACAAATCCCTACGACGTACAGTGCTTTCCCTCCGATCTGCCTCCTCGCTTTGCATGGTCGAGTAATTGATGTACGGTTTTTTTGTTATTGTCAAAAGGCATAATTCATGGACGCTAGAACAATCAAATTAAGGTAATGACTAGTGAAGTTAGAACATACGAAGAGTACTTCACGAGACTATGGTCTACGGTTGTTGCATAATAAAGATTAAAGAATAGCTACATGAAAGTATTAGTTATCCCGTTCTTGGTTGATTAGATATCTCATAATATTTATTTCTTGAATAAGATCTTGATAAAATATTGTTATATTAACGATTTCTGTAGTGACATTTAAAAATCGTGACACCAAAAAGGCAAAAACGTTAGTAGAGCTTTAACAGCTTTAACAGTGATTCGGTTACTTAATATTAGTCTGAAGTTCGAAATTTTAATCAGAATCAACAAAAATGTAACGTCTGCGTCTGGTAACTAAACATTTTACCTATAAAAAAATATATATGCCAATGTCTCATCTACTATGTTTTAAATTCATGCTAGTCATCGTAAATATTAAACATTTTATCAATTAGTCTGCTATGATTACAGGTTTATCGACTACGACAATTGATCCTATCAAACTAATAGGTTGGGCCTATTAGGATATATTATTAATCTGGCCGTCTGGGCCTGGATGGATCATGTTAATTACGGGTGCAATTAGCGAACACCCAATAAACTTATGATAACGAAACATGCTAAAACTCTGCTAATGTACCCGTTTCCAGTAAATTAATTAAGTACCTAATGCAATAATTAGAAAGGAATCTGTCGACAAAAAAAGAAGAAGCTGTCGACAAACATAAATAAAAAAGAAGAAAGGTGTCCTCATTGACAATAAAAAAGAAAGAAAGCGGAAGATGTCTTTACTTTGAAGATCAAGGTTTTATCAAGCATATTCATAATCCAGTTTTCTCTACCAACAACTGTTTAATTACCGAAATCAGTATGATGTTTTTTTTAATCTTGCCAGACAATAGAATTGTTTTTCTGGATTAACAACATAATTAATAGTAAAAAGATTTAGATATATACAAAAACAAAAATATAGAGAAGTAAGCAGAAAATATGGGTAGAAGACTAGGGAAATTATAGGTACACCAAACTCTCCAATCTAAAGGAAGAATCCAAAGAAACTTGGCCAAAGAGTATCCAATGGGTTATATTATAGATAATCGCTAAGTCACTCAAGCAAGAATATATAATCTATATTTCTATACATTCTGGATCATCACTCAGTCACGTATTTAGAGAGAGAGAGAGAGAGAGAGAGAGAGAGAGAGAGTTAAAAAAACAGAGCAAAACATGTATGGGATATGATTCGATTAAAAATAAAAAAATTGTATGAATATGGACCTTTAGGCGTTTATGTATACAGTTTGGCCTCGATGATTGACCTAGGGTCGCACATGCAAACCTCATTGTATTACTTCCATAATGTTGACAGTTTAGAAACTTAAACGGGCAAAAAAAACGAACTAGTAAACACAAAAAAACGAAATACTAGTATTTTACTTAAATAAAAACACAGTCGGGAAAAACGACGTGACTAACTAAATAATCAATTGTTGTAATAATAATAACAAAAACTGAAAACTAATTAATTATGGAGTTCTTAATTTTTCAATTAATGTTTGGTTAGTAAATAAAAAAATCATAATAAGAAGTTAAAAATCTTTAACGTTGTGTTTGCCATTAGTTCATTAGTCGAAATAATTAAATAAACAGTACTTCTTTTTTATGTAAATTACTCTTAAAGTTATAGTATTCGGTATCAGTCTAGTAGATGTCTGATCAAACGACTTTGAATCCTCCAACTGTAGATGTCTGATCAAACAACGTTGAAGTATGGTCCATCGTAGTTTAGGTAAGGCATTGGCGAATTGCGCTTGAATTAATTAGTGAATAGAATTGTAAAGTAAGCTCATCTTATGGTTAGCAAAAGTTAGAAATATTTTCATTTTTTTTAGTGTAATAGAGTCGCAACAGTATGTAAATTGAATTCAATCATTTTAACAATGTAAATTGAAGACTGAAGAGTTAATTATATACGTTCCGACAACACACAACCCCGAAAACAATACGGCATGACTCATGAGTCATGACCACGTTTTATTCTTATTTATTTTCATATTTTTGTCGACCATGCACACAGTTTATTTTTGTCGACAACTATTTTAAAAAATTACTGATCGGGTATACAATTTAATTGGTTTTGCGATTAATGATTATTAGAAGTATATTAAAATCTAGTGCCCGTGGAACATGGGCGGCGGACACCGACCACCTACAAATGCTACTGTTAGATGACACGTGGAATCTAATTTCTTAATTTCGAACTAGATTGATAGGGATTGCAAAGACAGTGTAGCTAATACACTCTATAGAATAATTGTGAAAATATAATCTGGAATGTGTCAGAAAAGTTAGATCGCAACCTCGATCTATTACTTAACGGATGTCAGTTAATCGGTCAGAAAAAGAGGAAATTAAAGTGTAATATTTTGTCACAACAGTAATACGATTTTGACTGTTGACCACGAAAAAATAACAAAGAATTGGACTAAAAGCAAAACTGAAAAAATAATATTTTCATAAATAAATTACAAAGTATTATATGCCACATATATACTGAAATACCGGTATAGCTAAAACGGAGCAATTCTGATTGTGTTCTGTTTTTTTTTTTTTCAATTTTAAAAAAGCTATTTGAAAAAACCACATTTAGTCTCCATATTTAATCAGGTACTGATCTATATCTCGGCCAAATGGATGGTTTAGACAATATTTGAAAGGCTTCTTTGCGTCCAAGGCGAAGATAATGTCTATTATTTGCGCAGATCACAAACACTTTGCATAGCTCTGATCAAACTATAAAAGTTCGTTAGTTATAACTTTATACGAAGTTTATAAAAAAAAATTGTTTACCAAACAAAAAAACTTTACAGGAAAGAAACAAAAATTTCCCATCTCAGTTATCATCCAACGAAAATTAGTACTAAACAAAAATTTGCTACATTGATAGACAAGCGATCGTATCAACCAAATTCTTTCAATGGTATGGTAATTCCATAAATAAATAGCAACGAATATATCCCATAAATAAATTAATAACGGCTCTTTTCAACTATAATTCGAAATAATGAATGAAGGTAATATGAACATCTAATTATGGAAGTAACTCATATTGCATAATAAATTTTCAAACGGTCACATTTTTAGTTACCATCAAAAATCACACAACTAGAACTAGTAGTATTCTTAGAATTTGTAATATAAAAAATAAGCTTCTTTTGTCCTTTTCTGCCTTTAGCTTTCCGTCTACTCCCGGAAAAAGCACTGACTTCCTCTGTTTCCTTCATTCACACAGAGAAAAGAGAGAGAGAGAAGAGAAGAAAAGACGAAATTCTGACAAAAGAGATGATGGAGTGGGATAATCAGCAGCAACCCAATAACCACCACTCTTCTAATCTTCAAGGGATCGACGTTAATGGCGGCTCCGGCGCCGTCGTTGGAGGAGGAGGAGGAATGTACGTGAAGGTGATGACCGACGAGCAGCTTGAAACTCTGAGGAAACAGATTGCTATTTACGCCACCATTTGCGAGCGTCTCGTTGAGATGCACAAAACCCTCACTGCTCAACAAGATCTTGCAGGTTTTCTTTCTTCCTCTTCTTCCATTTCTCTGTTCACATAAAGAAGAAAAAGGTTCATTTTGTAATTCTAATTCGTCAGATTTTTTTTTGGTGTGTTTGGATTGATTAAAAAAGCGATTTTTCTTCACTTTGGTGAAATGGGCAATTGAAAATTCTCTGCTTTTTTATCATCTACTGGCCTAATTAGTGGTCTAAATCTGATGCGTCGACCAAACCCTTCCGTGGAATTTTGAGCTAAAGAGAAGGGAAAGATAAATGGTTTAGCTTAGGTTTTTGAGGAATCCAGAATCGGCTTAGTAGAAATCCTCTAATTGAGCTTGAATCCCTCTACTAAACAAGTGTTTCTGCTTTTGATGCTTGTTCTTGAGATATATAAAATTTCAGTTTTTACTTAGTTCAACTTCAACTACTCTGCTTCAAATATTTTTGGTGTTAAACAGGAGGGAGATTGGGAGGTTTGTACGTAGACCCAATGATGTCATCTATTGGTCACAAGATGACTGCTAGACAGAGGTGGACTCCTACGCCGGTGCAGCTTCAGATTCTGGAGCGTATATTCGATCAAGGCACGGGAACACCGAGCAAGCAAAAGATCAAAGACATAACCGAAGAGCTGATCCAGCACGGCCCGATTGCTGAACAAAATGTCTACAATTGGTTCCAGAACCGGCGTGCTCGTTCCAAGAGGAAACAGCATGGTGGTGGTTCTTCTAGCAACAATAATGGTGAGTCTGAGACTGAAACTGAGTCATTGAATGAGAAGAGAAAGAGGCCAGAGGGTCTTCCTGTTCTTCCTGATGGAAACAACAGCAACAATGCCATTGGGACAACAACTACTAGTCCTAGACCTGAAGATCTTTGCTTCCAGAGTCCTGAGATGAGCTCAGATCTTCACTTGCTAGGAGTTCTATCAAACCCAAGTAAGTAACAAAAAATGAAAAACATTGGGCTTTTAGAAAGATTATGAGCTGTGTCAGTACAATGATCAGAGAATTTGTTGTGATTTGTGTTTGCAGGGGATGAGCATCTTGTGGGAAAGATGGGATTGTCTGAAAGCTACAACCTTTATGATCATGTTGAAGAGTATGGCATGTCAGGCTGATAAATACAAGCTGAGGAACTAATTATCCGATGTTAAAGAAATGGATTTCGTAGTCAGTCATAAGCAGTTTTAGACTCTTTTTTTTTCTGGTTTTTTCAGAGATTTATTAATAAACTGCTAAGCAGTTGATTTCATCTTATATTATCAGTTTGAGAGAAACTATTTTTACATGGAAAGTTGAATTATCTTAGAGCTTGTGATGCTTGCTTTGATGTTTTCTGAATTCAGAATGATTCCTATCTCCTTAAATATAATTTGAAGTCGAACAAAAAAAACTGATCCAACTCTTACAATTTCTCTTCTCTACCACAAGTTCCAATATCAAGAGAAGCATTTTAATTCAAGCCTCCCCAGAGTTGAAAACATGCAAGTCTTGCAAAGCTTCGTAATGTCCCTTCTCGATTTCTTCGTCGCTCACACCGTGTAGGACCAGAGTCTGTATAACCAAATCCTCCCAATTAATTTCAGATCCTATCTTCCTTTTCTTCTTGATATGTTTAAGCTCCAAAGACAGCTCTTTTCCACTAACTATGTCAGAAGGATGTTGTATCGCATTAATCCGTAACTTAGCCGCTTTAATCTTTTCTCTACGTCTTTCGACTGCAACGCAACCTTTTATGTAAGAAGGAGGCAAAGCATCAAGCCCTACATCTTTCTCCAACACTTCCTTAAGTGAAAGCCTTTGACTCAACTTTGATTTCCCTTTCCACCAATCTTCAGACGAAACCATTTGAAAAACCGATCTCCCTTGCCACAGACTATTATTATTATCCTGACTTCTTTTCCCAAGAGTCCCACTGCAAACTCCATCTTCGAACTCTTTATTCATTGTAGTTAACTGTTGTAGCGATACATTATCATCGTTGTTACATAAAGTAAGCTCACTTTCACCTCCAAAATCAAAATACCGAGACAAATTATCTTGACCATCATCATCATCACAATACATAGCTTCTTTTCTTAAGCAATCCCTTACTATATCCTTCAAACAAAATCCATCACTTCTAACCACTTCATCCCCTTTCCCCTGTATTATCTTTCTCATGGACTTATTTTCCATTAAACCAAGCAAATTCCCTGAATGTTTCACAACATTCTTCACAGTAACATCTTCGGCCCAAGCCAAACCCATCTCTTGAGCAACCTTCACAAGCTTTTCAGATAACTCTTTATACCGCGTTTTGCAAGTAGTCAACGAAACTTTAGCATCTTTAGCCAAATCATCAATCTTTACCTTCACACCATTCACTTGACAGACAAACGCCAAAACAGCCACAACCAATGGCATTGGTCTCCTCCCCGTCGACAAAAACCACTTCAATGAACAATTCATCAGAAATGCTCCTTGCTTTGTGATTCTCTCTCTCTTTTCACTCTCGACAACACTCAATCTCGGCGAATTACTCGTCGTTTTGGTGAACAAACCAACAAGATCAATCTCTCTCAATTCCAATTCTAAATGCTCCACAACACGCTTAGCCATACTCCCTAATTGATGCAAATCACATCCAACAGCAACAGCAATCTCCTCCATAGGCAAAACACACTTGCCTTCTTTTCTTACCACAGCATAACAACATGCCCCAATCAAAATCGGGAACCACTCGCCTTGCCCGAATTCCCCATCGGTGATTTTATTGATCATACTCTTAATCTCTTCAGCTTTGTAACCCAGATTCAATCTCTCTGTGATGGCCTCAATTAAATTATTGGCTTCAAAGATCTTCTTCTCTTTATAAGCGAGAACAAAGCCTTTACCAGTGGTGCCTACTTTGATATACGTTCCTATGTCGCTACGTGGAGCCTCATCATAGTTATCGTACCCTTGTAATGTCCCACATCCGCCGCAAAACGAATTCCCTGAGACTTCGTCGCGCTGAAAGTTGCTCCCATTGCATCCCTTGCAGCGCATGATTCAAATCGAAAAGTCTCACACTTTCAATTTGGGTTTTTTTGAACGAGCAGAAGGATGAGGTTAATGGTAACAATAGCGAAACGCGAGATCGGAGCGACGGGCGATTAGAGAAGAAGTACCGGGAGAGATCAATTAAGTAATGGAAAGTTAGATTTGCGGCTTTACTTAAAAAAGCTCAAGCGTTAAATAGGTGTTTAAAACGGCAAGGCGTTCATATAGTAAAACGAGAAACTGCAGATCGTTTCTATATCGGAGATTTTCATTGAAACGGCATACAGTCTGTATATTTCGACCATTTCGGGGTCTCCACTCTCCACCGCAGTTTCGTCTTCTTCTCTTCACCGGTAAGGAGAAGCCGGCTCAGATTTGACCCCTTTTTGCCGCTTCACTCCAATATCGAGAATCGAGACTCTTGATCGTCGGCTCCAGGAGAATCCTTTCTTCTTCCTGTTTTATATGTTTTCTCTTTGTGGGGATTAGTTGGCGAGATTTATAAGTCTAATGGTTCCTAAGGGGATATAATGCACGCTGGTTGCTCGACAGAAAGCCTCAAAGAAATTTGTTTGCTGCCTGATTACACTGAGACTTAAAAGTCTGAAGCTTTTTCTTGGGTATTGAGAAGCTGGTCTTAGGCAGGCTCCTATGTGGGTTGGAGTTAAACGACGGTGTGTTTTCAACTAAAACTAGCCTTCGAATGGTGAGCTTGTCTCTTTCGAATAAGAGATACACTTACATACACGAAAGTGAAAGTGAGCCAACTAGTGGAGCCATTGACATTCACCATGTGATCATCAACGGAAGCAGAACAACTGGTTATGGCCGTCGTAGGGGGCTTGCTTTCTTCCTTGTGCTTTTGGCGATTTCTATCTACTTTTTTCTTGGAAAGGTAATGATACGTTTAGGTGATGTTTTGTTATCTAGATATGAAATTGCTTGTGAGTAATTCTGAGTCATTGTTCACAACAAATGCTGCTAGTGCATAGTATGAGAACGGTTTTGTATCTTTGCTTACGGGATCAATCACATGGCGTTTAGAGATATGGCTCCAAAGTGATTGATACATGGATTGTAGTTTGATATTTTCATTCTTTTGAGCAAGATGTTAATCAAACATTGACTAGTTTTGTATAAAGCACGTTTCTTAATTTGTGTTACTTTACAAGGTTTGTTTTGTTGATGTTCCATCTATATCTTCTTCACACTGGTATCTGAAAGGGATAATTCACATGAAACAGGAAAATCCAGTTAGAACTCTTTCTTGGAGCTGCCTTTTCAGTGGGTTCTTTGTTATGGTTCAAAGTCGGAAGTTTGTCAAGAAAGGTGAGACCTTGTTACACTGTTTAAAGTTTCACCAAATGATATAGTCTTCACATCTTCTAAACTGATTCTTTTTTTTTTCTTTTTTATTTGAGTTGTTCAGAATCTGTTATAATCATGCCAACCTTCGGGATCCAGCTTGAAACTCAATATTTAAGGTACGCTTTATTCTTCTAGTTAGTATATATTGTCTGCAATCCATGATGACTTAATGCTTTGAACTACAGCATATTAGTGGCCTATTAGAGAGGTGTTAGTGGTGGAATTAGTTGTAATTTTCATGAGCTATTATCATCTGTGCTTTTACCAATCATACAAAGTACTTAATTTTTTGTACGTGTTTCTGCTTCGCTGCTTCGCAGTGGAAAAACTGTCTCCAGGTTTATCCCTATCGGCAAGATCTTGAAGCCTGTGCTTGTCGAATGTGTCACCCCCGTTACATGTTATTGGAGTCTCTCTTTATTTCTGCGTGGCGAAGAGCAGCTTACGTTGGTGTTCAAGGTAATGCAACTAGTTTCTTTCTATACATTGTGAGATACAGTTTTGCATACAATCACGAATAATAGCAATTTTCAATCTAAAAACATTATATTGTTTCTTTTGGACATTGATTGTAAGTTCAATGTGAATAGGAATTGCGTCCGTCATTGAAGATGTTGGTTCCCATTTGGAAGGCATTGTGTGCTGTTATTGGCACAGACGAAAGTGAAATGATAACTGAAGAAGAAGAACATGTTGTATCTGGTGAAGCATCTACGTGAAATATTATCTACTGCCAGTACAAGCAGACAGACATGGGAGCACAGAAATTGTGAGCTCGCAGAACTTGCTGACATTTTTATGTGAAAGATGATAGCACATATATTTATGTAGTGATAGGATATTTAGTTTTATAAAACTCGTGACAGGCTAACTTTTTTTTTTCAATTCCACACTAGCTTTTCATGACCTTTGGATCATTTCTCGAACTGTTTTTTTTTTTCTTTTATTAATCGAATGCAAAGATTACAATGAGTTATATAGCAGCATGGAAACTCAGTGTGATATCAACCTAACTACTATATATCCAAGGAAAAGATTTACAGTGTGACTAAGATTTACAATGTAACTACTATCTATGGGATCAATGGCTTGATAGAGGTGCAACTTTTTTAGCTTTTAGCTTCATCTAAGCGTGACTTGGCACGATCAAGTGTGATTTCACTGCGTTCGAACCCGTGCCACGGTTGTCTGGAATCGAGCTTCGCTATCTGTTTGTGCAATGCCTTCAAATTGACTAGAGGAACTGTTGTTGGTCGCCCATGAGCACACTATACACACAAGAAACGGGTTAATTTCATAAAAGATGAATCCTTTTGGTAAGATTTGATGTTTCTTACTAACCTGGAAACAAAGTGAGGTCTGCTTCAGTCCTTCGATGATTAAAGAGCACTCTGAGGGTAACAGAGAATCTCCGAACATAATTGCACCTTAGCAGTTGTATAAAAAGACAGAATTAGCAGTGAAGCCAAGTGCTGAATGGTAGTCACTAACTTATCTTTAAACATACAAAACAGTTCTGGAGAGATCAGGAATATACCTCTACATGCCTTGGAATTTAGGACTCGAAGAACAGATGGAGGAATTGTTGATGATCCGTCAGTATCAGCAAGCTGGTTTGGCATAAGTTGAGTCAGAATCTTAAAGGAAAAGAAAAGGCAAGCCATGTGCTTATACACGATTCTGAGCGTACCTGCTGAAGAAACTCCAATAGATCAACCTCTGATAGATTTACACCCAGAATGCATGGGACCTACAAGTGGTGTAAACAGAGAGATCATTCAAGTGACCCATATAGAATCCCACATAATATAGAATCAAAGGGAAATAAAGAGCTAGTCTAGGCGCCTAACCGCATTAAGTGTGATTGGAGTTGGTTTCCGTTGGATGATGCTCATGTTCCTGCAGAAAAGGAAAACATTAATCACCCATTCAGAGAATCATGGTGGGCAATCTAAAACACATAACTGCATCTGCTGCCTCATAGATGGGACCGCAAGAGAAAATTTACTTCTTAAAGGACGTTGATCCTTCTACATCAATGTTGCAGATCCAACCCCAGTCTCTTATCTCCTCTGAATAACTCTGGAGTAACTGATAACCCATCTCTGGCAGTACCTTTTATGTCAAAATCAATAATTAATGATCCATCAAGACAGAAAAGACTACTCTGATCAAGTCCAGCAGATGATGATGTTATCTAATATCAGGTTTAAACATACCAACTCCTTGTCTGCACTCAAATAGGTGACTGTCCTTGCTTCCCCAGCCAGGACCTAGTAATTTCATTGTTTTGTCAGTTGATAGAAGCACAATGTTATCCAAACTGTGAAACATTAAAAAAGAGTAGTTATATGAAATTGAGGTTCCAAGAGGCTCTTACCTTTTTACGCAGCTCTTCTAAACGAATTCTTTCATCGGCAGCATGCTGTGAAAAATGACACCCTCAGATCAACTTGTCGCAATACGTTTATTAAGAGCAACAGATTTACAGATTAGGTTGTCCTAGTTTGAAGATATCTAGAATTTGAGATAGATATGATGAAAGAGATGATATAGGATGAACCTGATCAACGATGGCAACTGTTCCACAAGCAACAATTGGGATATATTTTTTATCAACCTGTTGTAGAACTTTGGCATCTTCAAGGGAGTGTCTGTTTATAGATTCAGGAACCAATGATTCATCGGATCGGAGGTGCAAAAAACCTGAACATATATCAAGTACACTATCTTGATCATGAAGCTCGTGTGATTCTTTGGCAACCTGGCACAACAATGGAAAATACTATAGATACTCAGTTATCTTCCATGGAAAAGGAGAGTCAGTCTATTAGGCAAAAAAACGCTTTCAATCTGCTTAACTTGAGAGACTGAATAGTTATGGCGCCATTTCGTTGTGGATTTAATTGTTTCCGGATTTTCCTCTGAGCTGAAGTCTGCGAGATAAGTAGTAATATCGTTAATTACTCTAGATAGAAGATGGGAGAAAAAAAGAAACATCGTGAAGACTCCCATATACCAAACTTGTTAAGAGCACGTTTGATTGACACCTACACCGACATGGGAGATACGACATAATATAGTGTGTACTCTTTTGTAGCAGTGTTTTGGAGATGATTTATCTAGTAAAGATTAATAATTACCTTCGTCTTCATCCTCAACTCGGGTCTCCGACTGCACAATCCTGCAACCAGCAGATACTTTCAAGTCTGAGGCCGAACTCAATCTTTTTTCTGTTTCTTGTATGTGGTCATTTGACACTTCATCAAGGATGCTGCACTTAAGATGCATATGAGATGCATTACAAGGTTGTGTCAAGCACTCCAAATCATCAGGTTCTGCAGAAGGTTATACTCGTTAATTTCTTTTCTACCACATTCCCAAAACTAATTAGCAACAAAATAACCACATCTGACAAAAGACCAATAGTATGAACCTGATGGAATAGAGTTCTCTAATTTTGTGTCTGATCTACAACTTAAACTGATAAATCTGTTTTTCTCTCGATAAAATGGAGGAGCAGAGCGGCTTCTTTGTGACCTTCGTTTACCAACATTATTCTGTATGCCATCCCTAAATCTGAATTTGTCTTTCCTGATACTATATTGTTCAATATCAACATTATCCGCATGCCCCCACAATGACTGGAATTTTTTTTCATCTGACTGAGTGCAGTTCTGAATATCTGAGAAAGAATCTCTGCCAGTTTCCCGGCAATCGATTTGAGGTATGACCTCATGATCAAATTTGATGCTATTAGCGGCACTGAAAAAATCTTCAGGGTCAGGCATCCTTCCCAGCTTCAAACTCCCTTCAAGAATTTGACAACCTTTCTGAAAATCAGACTCCCACCTGGTCGCAGAAGGAGGTATGGAGAACATTGGAGACCACTCAGAACTCAAACGGAAACTACCAGCACCAGAGCTCCCCATATTGACAGAGGAAGCGTACTTTTTCTTGACAATTATGTCTTTAGAAGAACAAAATTCCGCAGTATCTAAGGGGTTGATGTTAAAATATTCTCTAACCCCAACACTTCTACAATCTGAAAAAGGTTGTGGAGTAAACCAATCAGTATCCTGCCATGAACTCCCAAGGGAACAAGTAGGAGTCCTCGTCATTCCATGAAGTTCAAGAGTATCAGAAAAAACATCACAGTGAGAACCACCTTCTCTGGTCTCTAGGGCATGAATCAGTGAATTACTTCGTTTGTCATTAAGTATCTGAGGCATGACTGATTCAGTGCCTTCAACATGAGATAGTTTAGGCTCATGAAGAATGAGGCTTCCTCTTGAGGAGCAACCACGCAAGAGATGCTTTTCAATGCAATTGCTGACATCCGACTCATCTTTAAATCCTCCAAACTGAAAACTTAATACGTCTGAATCTTTCAGGACATCATGGTTAATATTGAGAGGTGTGCTAGTCTGGCATCTTGTTAGAAACTGTTTGCTGCACTTAGCGCAAGAAACCAATCTTCTTTCTTGAAGGTCAGTAGCTAGTGGAAAGTCTTCATTCTTTTGCATTTCTATGTCACATGACTGTAGAAGATAATCAGTCTGACGGTCAAATTCAGCTGCAGTGTCTTCCTCTTTGAAATTCTGAATTTTCGTTTCAAATTCATATTTTGGAGACCACTTGTCCTTTATTTGAGGCATACTATCATCATCTCTTTGAAAGTCAGCAGACGGGGACAAGAGAAAACTACAAGGTGCCTGATCATTACATCTCTTGAGCTTCTTTTTTGTAGGTTCCATACCTTCTGGCCACTCTGCATCCATAAGATGCAGCATTGGTAAAGGCTGCCTGGAAATATAAAGCGAGGAAAAATAGATGCCGGCCCATTCCACTAAATAATTATATAATGGTAACATTATGAAAATTTGTGCACCTTTTTGAAGTCTACTCATGTCATCACTCAGGTCTTGTCTATCACCTTTTGCCAGTAGATCAACTCCCTCATCAAAGAGTTCTAAGAAAAGAGCGTAAAAAATTATTGAAAAACTCATAAATATTAGGGATAATATCAGAGCTTGACAAAGGCGTGGCATACCAAGACTTGCATCCTTCTTCCAGTTGGCTAGAATGATTCTTCCTATTAAGGCAAGTATATGTTCCCAATTCTGCCACAGATAGAGATATCAGCAATCATTAAACTATCAAAAATATAAACTTAAGTTAGACCACAAGAGATATCTAATACCTTGAATTCGACGTTCGTCTTTGATGGTTCAAACGAGAATTCATAAAGATGACGGGGACATGTTATGCACAATATGTAACCAGGACTGGATTGAAGTCTATTACGTCTTCCTGTTTGTAGCCCATCTGTAGGCTTCCAGTCATCCGTACACTCGAAACCAGCAGCCAAGTTGTTCAACAGCTTATGTATGGGACCTTTGCTTACGAATCTTAAATTGATATCTGTCACCGTGAAGGCCATACAACCATATACATAAACTTCCTAACTTGAATCGCAGAAGATAGTTGGTGTATTCACATATAAAAAAGATGCAGAAATGTGGATACATATATACTGCAACGCCTGCAAGGAGAATACCGCAATAATACACAGAGGTCAGGCTCAACGTTAACGAACAAGGGTGATAATTTTGAGCTAATAAGTGGAGCAAGTAACCTACCTTGAAACTATCTCCAGGACCAGATATATACCCAGAGACATTCAGCATGCCATCTGTAACGTTTACTTTACAAAGAGAATTCAAAGCCTCGGTCCCTGCATCTCTTATCAGTAGTGAAAATGCTGATGAAGAAGGATTGGTTTGCAAAAGCTCTTCATCACTGTAACAAGGAAACTATCAGAACGACACAATTCATAAGGATCTTAAAATGAAAATAGGAACCCACCTTTCAATATCAAGAACACTGAAGGAAACATCAGAGTGCACAAGGGCAATCCGGAACACACACTTTGTTATCGAGTCCAACACTTTCTTGGGGCTTCCATTGCAAAGAAAAAATAAATGATTTTAGACAAAGAGAAAAAAACATAGTTGCATTTCAAGAAACTTCAGACAAGGCGGATATGAATGCGGCTGTCTACGTGTCTAAGAAATGAACCTGGCTTGCATATATTTTTGTCTCACTGGTTGATTGTAAAATAGATCTCGGACAGTTACTGCATCAACCAGGTCAAAACCAAAAGTTAAACATCTCCTTGTCAATGTAAACCAAAAATTGATCAGACGCATTTCTCGTTCGTAAAGGACAAATAGTTTTTGTAAATTATACTTATGGCTTCACTTTCACCATTTTATAAGCGTGATAGAAAAAGCAATGGTGACAAAAGACACAGTACCAGTTGTGCCAGAGTGTTTTCTGTCATCATCAATTCCCAGATGTAGACACTTGGATCCCTGGAAAGCATTGTGGGAAATTTTAAACCACAGCCAACGTCACACAGGTTACGTAGGAGTGTTGAGTTGCGTCAAAATTCATCCCATACCTTCATAACTTTTCGATAACCATTAGGCTTCCCAATAGCTTTTGTCGTGATTTCCAGTAACGAGATATCTGATATCGAAGCTAAGGCCTCTCCTCGGAAGCCAAAACTTTCACTGGCTGCCTCCGCATTGTTGAAGTCGTGAAACTTTGACGTAGCTGTTTTCGCACAATGTTCATGATAAGTTTCTCAATCGAAAACTAACAAATAGCTTTTACCAAAGCATAAGACATAACTAAAGACTCGTCCTTTATTAAAGGTCAGTTTTGAGATAAGAAATACAAGCCAGAACTTACCATATCTTTCTCCCAACAAAACCAAATCATCTCTGGAAACGCCCGATCCTGGAAACCAAATCAGAAAACATTTCCAAATTAGCATTCAATCATTTGCACAAAGGTAAAAATAATCATCGTGCAGCAATGCTCACCATCATCCACAACTTTCACAGAGCATGTACCAACACCCACGAAGATAGAAACCTGAAAGTAGAGATATCAATCGGCCGAGCTCAAAACATGTTCCAGAGAAGAAATCGACGGAGGGGGGTTTGATTTTGTTGACCTTGGTCGCACCAGCATCGAGACTGTTGAAGACGAGTTCCTCCACGACCCTCGCCATGTCGAACATGATGATTCCGGAGCGCATAGAGTGACGAACACCTTCCGGCAAGGGCTTGATCGTCTTCATCTCCGAATTACCCGACTGAGACTCCGAGAAACAAAACCCTAAACCCAAAATCAAGAGCAATTCGGCGAGTATCAATTCTGGGAGACTACGAGATTGTTAATCGCCATTAGACATGAGATGGAGAAGAAGGCATCGCCTCTCGCACCATTCTCTCACGCACTCATAACAGGAATAGCTCAGCAACTGTGGAACTGGAGGGAAAATCAGAATTTGGGGGTTAGGGTTTTTTCTAAACGACGACGTTTCGCGGATATATAATCATACAGTAATAGTTTTGTTTTCTTTTTGAAAATGAAATGGCACGACAAGTAGATGGTGAAGTTGACTATCTCGGCCAAACAAATTAATTGTCATTAGTAGGGAATAATAATGATCATGAATTTATCAGATTAGTTTAGTAGTGTGGTCTTGTTTTTCAAACTAGTAATTAATATTGGTAGACCACGTTGCTTTAATATTCATTCACCATAAATTCTAATTCACGTCAATAATATGGTAGCTAGTACATGTTCTTTCTTCTTTTTTTGGGTGAGAAAAAACTTGTGTCACAAATTGAAATTTTATTGTGCAACTTTTTTAAGAAAAATATCGAAGCGAGGCGAGACTATTTTCAGAGAAAAACTGTATGTAACGATTAAATTTTTGAAACTCGATTCAAGTAATTAGAACTCCTTTCGTATAGATCAAGATCCAATCATATCATGTTTGTCTATTAGCATGGTTCCCAATCGTTGATCTTCGTATCTCTTTTTTTTTTGGGGTCTAATTTAAATCTTGTGTGTTGTTTAAAAATACTAGCTGAAACTAGGTGACAGACTATCATTTTCCAAAATGTTCGAATATTATGCGGGTTCAATTAAAAATTATGTAATATTTGTCTGTCGGCAAATAGTGTAATTGTATCTGTCAAAGCCAAATGTGTTCACATTATCTTTCAAAAAATTAATAGTTATGTGATTGATATTTTCAAATAAAGATGTAGGGAAATAAAAATAAACCCCGACCGCAAAAAAAAAGGTAACACCGTGAGAAAAAAAAAAACAAAAAAAAAGACATGACAGTCGTTATTATGGTTAGACGGAGGAATGTATGGTGAATTTTCTGCGGTTCTTGTCAACGCCATAGAAGAGATCGATAACTGTAAAAATGCAAATTTATTAAGTTACGAAAATTAAAAAAGTGATAATAAATGTAATTAAAAAAAAAGAGACGAAGGAGAGTGATTTGTAGGGTTTGCATATAAAATTGAAACTGGAACAAACTCTTCTTCTCTTCTCCATTACCATATCTCTCCTTCTTTCCCCTCTGCAAACCCTAATTTTCCTTCTCCTATACTCTCTCTCTCTCTCTCATATCTCCTCCTCTGTTTTTCCCTCTCTGTTTCTTTTCTCGAGAGAAACAGAGACGATAAGATAACTTAAAAGCTGTGGCAATCCACCTTGTAAAAATTTCTGGAAAGAAACGCAGAGGTACAATCGAATTGCTTCTTCATTTGGCACTCTGTTTTTTGTTTTTGTATCTTATCTGATTTATGATTCTTGTTCTTTCAATGCTGCCTAATTCCCTTATATCGATAACCTGATGATCGAGTAATTCAGCTATTCATGTCGATTCTTGCTGCTAATTCTGTTGTTGATTATGAGAATTCATGAGATTTTGAAATTGAGTTTACGGATACATATTTTAAAAAATGGGGTTTTTGAGGATCGATTTTCTGTTCTGTCTTTACGATTGCAACAAGTATCGATCTTTGAAAAATTTTGATTTTAAAATATGAATCAGCGAATGATTCAAATGTAATTACACTCTGATTTGCTCATTACGGTTTTCCATCGAGTTCCGATCCATTTAATCCTCGAAATTAAGACACTAATTCGTGTTCATGTTTCTCCGATTTGTTCTTTTTAGATGGAGACGAATCCGTGTGATATGAATCAGCTCGATTGCGATTCGCATCTCCCTCCTCGAAAGCGATTACTTGCTGGATTCAAGAAACTAAACTCCAACGGCAACGGATCTTCTTCTTCTCCTTCAGCTTTCGCTTCTTCTTCTTCTTCAACTTCAAACTCAAACGGATCCTCCTCCTCTGCTTCAACCGAAGTCCAGACCCATCTCGACTACTTATTATTAGCTTCCCGTTTCGACAATGGCCAGAATCTGTCACCTGAAGAGCTCGTTGAGACAACGAGATCCGCCGCTGCTTTAGCGGTTAAAGCTGCAAAGGCGGCGAGGGCAATGGCGAACGAGAAGGCCTTGATTTCCGCAAAGGCGATCGCTGCGGCCAAGAGGGCATTGGAGCTCCTTGATTCTTTCCCTAAAGAAGCAATGGATGCTGTTGGTGATCGCAAGGAGAGATCTCCTAAGAAGAACAAGCAGAAGAAACAAGTCCCCGTTGAGCTCTTGTACTCAAAGGGACAGTTAAGAGACGAGGAAGAGGATTTGGCGCGTAGGCTGCATCGAGCTATAGACGATAGGTATCTTAAAGTCTTCGGAGCTAGCTCGGACATTGGTGGTCATATAAACAAGAAGCAGAGGAAGAACAAGACCGTAACTGGAGTTACCGGTTCTGTGAATGACATTTCTGGTGTTGTGGATTCAGACAGCTCGTATGAGGGATTAGAATCAAACAGGAAAGCGACAAGAACGTTCGAATCGGATGGGATACCGACACCAGGGAAGGAAGAAAGTAAGTCATTGGGTAAAAGAAGAGGAAGAGTGAAACTTAAGAAGCTTCCTTTGAGCATTTGTAACTCTAGGGACCAAGAAAACGGAACTTCCTCGGCGTCTCCATTGCGGATTGCTCAGCCGCGGGAAGACGGTGTGATCTCGGTCATACCGGGAACAGCGTCATGGAAATGCCAGGACCTAAAGGCTCCGGAATGTGGGAAGCAGAACAAAGCCGTACGGTCGTAGTGACTCCTTTTTTTATTCAAGATTTGGTCAGCATTGCCATTTTCAGTAGAAGAATCACATTGGTGTTTCCTTTTTTGGATGTGTTTGAATTTATGTTATACATTATACAATTATATAAAGAGTTTATTGCACTTACAGTGTTGTAGAATTAGGTTTGGATTCATAAACGAGGAAGTAATGTAATAGATTGGTCTATTTTTTTGGTTGAATTTTAGGTTTCTTTTGATTTCTTCATTTTTTTTATTGTGCTTGAGAAACACTTGAGTTAATTTACAAAGTTCTGACCTAAAAGAAGGGGTTATGGAATTCAACGAATCGATACAGGGTGTCTCGTGTAGATCCACGTGCTGATATGGAACGTGTGACACAGAATGAGAAATATATGCAAATCACCGAAAGCTCAGTCATGCTGACCGCACTTCACATGTGGTCTGAAAGTTAAAATCATCTGGCCATGTCGCTTTTGAATTCACTAATAACTCGTTTTTTTTTTATTATACTTTAAATATCAGTTTAAAAAAATATGTTTAGTATTTTATATTTGTTATGTTTATATTGACTACATATTTTAATAGATTTGAAAAACTACCACCAAACCTGAACAAAACCCGAACTAATTGATATTAAATAATAAAAATACCAAAATTACTCGAATATTACGGGCTCCAGAATAAACCGGATTAAATAATAGAATATTTGCATCCTTTAACGCAAATTAATCTCGTATTTGCAAAACTAACAAAGAGAAAATTTGGTTACTGTTTATTTTTTTAAAATCTCATTATGCCCTTTTTCTCCTTCTCTTTCCTTTCTCTCCTTCCATATCATTGTTCTCTTTCTCTCTCGCTTATCTCTCTTCATCCTTCTATCGTTTCTTTTGCTTATTTCTCTCAGAATTTTTTCTTCTCAATCAAATTCAATCTCTTATTGTTTTCTAAAGAGATCTAATTTATTAAAAGAAACAGTCAATTAATCTTCAACCCAATTTATTAACACAGTTCCAGAATAAAATTAATTTTTCGAAAAGCTTGAAAAAAGCTTTGGAAACTGCATTGAGAATGGTCAGAGATTTCCACGACGAAGAACAAGACGACATGGAGAAACGACATCCACAGAGACAAGAGAGGCAGATTCCGATGAATCTCTCCTCCAGGTGACAGTCAATGTTGGTTGAGAGACGACGTAGCTGCAAAGCTCGAGTTACTGTAGCAGCTGCAGTGGTTTATTACCACGGTTCAGATTTAGTTGACTGATCAATAATATTATTAGAGAAGTAACAATTAGAATCACTTATAATACTTTATATTAACATGTTAATGGTTTATTTGACTGAGTAGTAAAATTGTTAGAGATACAACTATATTGTTATCTTATCTTGTATGCAAAAATGCAAAGTCTATTGTCTGGTTCATCTCATAACTATACCTAGATACACTAACACATGCATAGATCTCATTTTTTTATTTTTATATCTTTCTCTCCCTTGTCTCTCTCTTTCTCCCATCTTTCCCTCATCCGAAGACAAGCATTTCTCTTTGAAAATCTGGTTAAGGAAATAAGTTTTTTTGTTTCTGTGAAACTGAATTAGTCTTTCAATTCATTGTTAAACCGCTAACATATTCAAATAATGTGTTATATTTATCTATATCGCTCTAAGCAAAATGTACCACCTTCCAACAATCTATATAATTCAGTATTGATTGATTTTACCAGGTACAACAAAACAATTATAGGTAAACTTATATGTAACACGCTAAACAAATCAATAACACCTTTAACAATCCATACGACTCATTATTGTTATCAAACTAACATATTCTTTATCGTGAAAATAATAATGTTAGACGTTAACCTACTTGTTCATATATAATACAATAATTGTTAATCACTAACTTATTTGAATCTGATGCAGTTTTTTTAAATTTAACATAGAGAGTGCTAACATGTTTAATAGTTGATAACAAATAATTTCTCAGTAGTATCAATTGTTGCACAACTCGAACAGAGATTAGAAAAGAGAGAATAATATATATATCAGATGTTCGATGCAACTTGCATAAGTGGAGTCTTCTATTCTCAAGAAATGACAGATATAAAGAAGGATATATTGGTCATTTGTAATAACCATACAAATAGTAAATTATCAGTTATGTCACATCAACGTTAGATCTCCAAATTCAGCTGTCTTTATGTATATTCAATTAATTGACTCTAAATAATATGTTTCAATATATATTTTAAGTCTTGCACAAAAAGATGAAACATCTTTGTTAGTCGTCATTCACTACAGCGCAATTCTTTATAACCAACAAATGAAATCGATGTTTAACCAAATAATCATAGCTCCCCCAAAAAAAACAAAGACCAATTAAACAATATAGAAAAAGCTTAAGAAAATATCAAAGCTGTTCAAAAAGAAAACACGAGCAAAGGTATTGGAACAAAAAATAAGAAATGGAAATTGAGTTTCTTTCACCCTTTGATCTGCAAGTTTCTCATTTGGGATTCTACATTATCTGCATTGTTGTGTGTACTTACATTCATCCATGGATGTGCCAAGCACTGTTGAGCAGTTGGTCGTTTCTCAGGCGCAAACTCCAGGATCGGGCTCAGAAACTCGGCAAACTCCTTTGCTTCTGCATCCGGAAGCTTGTATTTATCAATCAGTAAGCGATCAAGTGGCCAATATTTCAACCTCCGGATTCTTTTTAAATCCCCGTGCCTGTCAAAATAGTCTTTCGATCTCGCTCCTCCAATCGCAATCTGCTTAATTCAAGCACGTCAAAAAACCGAGCAATTGCTAGAAAACATCAAGCCAAATAAAAAACATACCTTTCGAGGCATTTTTCCTAGGAGTTCCATCATAAGCGCAAGGTGGTCCTAAATCCAAAACCAGGTCAAAAACAAAAATCTGAAAGAAGAAGGAGAAGAAGAAGCAAATTCTTGAGGGGGTTAGGTTTGGATCTTACCTCGTCTTCTCCATAACCATTTCCCTCTTTGGGAGCAAACAGCATATCTCCTGTGACAAGCTCGAAAGCAGTACAACCAAAAGACCACATATCAACAGAGAAAGAGTATCCTGACTTTAGTATTACTTCAGGAGCTCGATACTGTCTCGTTTGTATCTCTTCCGCAAACTGTTTATCAGCCCAACAAGCGTTACCAAAGTCAACCACTTTGCATCTCATATCAATCCCATCAAGACTTCTTTCCGTCTTCGATGATGCTTCTTCACCTGTAGTACCCACCATCGACACTCTTCTTTCTGATATTTTAGCAACCGCTCTTTTCGCTCTCCTCTTTAACTTCTTCTCAATCAGATTCATGGTGGATCCTCCACCGTTTGCGTTTCCCTCGGGCTTTTCTAATAACGGTGTTAGTCCGGATCTAACGGGATCTTTGGCAGGGTCAATGGTGGAGCAAAGAAGAATGTTCTCAGGTTTCAAGTCAGAGTGAATCATACCGAGCTCACGGTGCAAATAATCTAAACCAGTCAGTATACATCTGCAAATCTCCCGGACTTTATCCAGTTTCAGACCTTTGTAATGGTTGTATCTGATTAAACGGAGCAAGCTATCTCCAAGAAACTCGAGTACCATGCATAAATGCTGCCCGTTCGGACCAGTATGCTTGAAGTGATCGATAAGACGAACAACGCATTTGGTATTTTCGACATCTCCATCAGCAGCAACTGAAAGGAACTCGATTTCGTGAAGTGCAGCTTGAGCAAATTGTTGTGCGCTCTTCTGAATCTTCAGAGCAACATAGTTCTGCAATATAGAGACATCAACATGTACAAAGCAAAACATTCTTAGGATAGACTTTTCCAGCACAAATGATCTTCCAATGAATAAAGAATTATAGAACCATTTACTACGCAAACAAATCAGCTTAACGGGTTACCAAGAGGGCCAAATCTAGAGTTCTGATTGACAATTTCAAAATTTGAATCATCATCACACGAAGCAAAATCTGGAGGACTTAACAGATGTGTGTTGCATAAAGGAAGAGTCTTTTGATTTCAACAATGTCTTTGGAATGAGGGTCGATCTCGAATTTTGACACAGATAAACTCTCAGATGAGAAAAAAAAGAGATCAGAGCCCAGATGACAAGAGATCTCCAGAAAACCAATGAATACAGGCTTGGTGTTGACGATTTGTGGGAATCAAAATCGAGCATTTACGATAAAAGCAACATAAATCGAAGCAAGAGAGATGCGTACAGAGGTGCGAGTATCGTAGGCAAGCCAAACGGTGGAGAATTGACCCCAACCAAGCTTTCTCTGGGCGATGTAACGACCACCGGAAAAAGGATCGCCGATCCTGACGGCGTGATATCCACCTTTACGGTAAGCATCGAAACCCTCTTCTTCTCCTTCCGATCCGGAGGAAGATGAACACGACATATCTCTCTGCAGAGCTGTGCGTCGAAAATTCAATCGCGTCGGTTTTGATCGTAAAAATTGGATCTTTGCAAAATGACCCAAAGAGCTTCCCTTTCTTAGAGAACACAGAGAGAGAGAGAGACAAAGAGAGGAAATGGCACTCAGATTGCGTGTGGCCCTGAAACGTAAGACCCTCTCCACTTTTTGCTCTTTTCTGTGTTTTTATAATAATCAATGTGGGTTGCTTCATATTTCCCCGATTTAAACTTTTGTCTAATTCTCTATTTTGCCCTTTTTCTCAGGGGAGGGAGAAGAGTTGTTGAGTTATTGCTCCTCCGGTCTTTTTCTATTTCTCATTGGCCAAAGTCACTGTCTTCCTTGACCACAACATTCCAACTTTCATGGACCGGTTCATTAATCCAGTTTGGTAGTCATACACTCATAAGCTTGGGACAAGCTCACATTCTAAACTATCACAGTTTGATCAACTCTCTGATGAAACAAAAGCGATGTTCTTGTTTCTCCTACAAATTACAAAGCTGCTACACTCACTCAAAAGAATAAAACATGAAGCAACGTAAGTTGATTGAGATGTATGTTTCTTTAAAATCTTACTTGAGTCTGCAATTCCATCAACCCAATTGTTCCTTGAGATTACTAAACTTTTGGAAACATAAATCTCTGGAACTAGGAATCAAAAGTTCCTCTATAAGAACAGCCTCAAAACACAATCTATATTGTACCTTCAAATGAACAAAGTAACAAACCGAATCTCAGCTTTTCCCTCTTTATCCATTGAAACAAGCAAGAAAAATGGAGTGATACAGAACAATCTGACATTCATGGTTATAACGTTTATTAGAAGACACAAGAGATCATTTCGAAAAAAAAAGTAGATTGATTTCCACTCTCACCGCAAAAGCAAAATGAAACCTAATCACTCCAAATCCTTAACGATCTTGATCCCCATGGAATTAGCAGTACCAATGATAGATTTGCAAATCGACTCCAATGGCATATACTGACAAAACGGATCCGTCTGCTTCACCTTGGCGATCTCGTACACGTGTCTCACAGAAAGCGTCGTCACCGTCAAATGCCCAGGACGTGTGCTCCCTTTATCCACACCAGCAGCTTTCTTGATGTACCACGACACAGACGGCGATTTAACGGTGAACTCGAACGAATTGTCCTTGTACGCCGTTATCGTCACGGCCATCGGAGTGTCCGGTTTGTACTTTTGAGTCCGCGCGTTGAAGTCCTTGCAGAAGGCCATCAGGTTAAGCCTGTACTGACCTAAAGCCGGACCCACCGGCGGTGCTGGCCTTGCTGCACCAGCTGGAACCGTTAGCCTTATCGTCGCCGCCACGGATCGCCGTGTCAGGATGTCCTTCGCAGCCGCCATTGTTGGGATCGTGAAAGAGCTTCCACGGTTCCCAGGGTTTTCTTACAATCGTGTAGAGATTGGGCCTTAGTATTTGATTTGGGGCTTAAATTAAGCCCATTAAAGCTAGATTCGGTCCAACCATTACTATTTCTTTTTTTTTTGGGCTGAAGACCATTTCTATTTATTGGTCTTGGAATTGTTTTTGATCGCATATATAATCATCGGACAGTGACGGAATAATCAATCAATCTTGCTTTTAAAATTCAGCAGCGAAGCTAGACACGAATAAAGAGAGTTTCGTAGAATAATCAAGCTTAAAAGTAAAAAAGAACGAAGAACGTTACCAGTAAGTGTTGGAGGTGGGCTTAGAGGAATATAATCAAATCTTGAGAGAGACTTTTTTTTTTTCAACGGTGGTTAACATCGAGGAAGTACCAAGCCGATGCGAGGGCGAAGAGCATATATAATTATAGGCCGGCTTAATTATAACATTTTATAATCAAATTCCGAAAGTAATGAAACTTCCCCTCATTGGACAGTGTATATAACCAAAAATTGGATTAATAGGTTTTTATGTGTCTTAAAACGGGTTGGAAGTTGGAATGAAATATGCAATAATTTCCTTTCTAAATTTCTACGTTGCAAAAGAGGCCATGAACATAGATAAATTAACCTAATCAAACAAAGATGAAAATGAATAAAGCAAAATTAATTTTTTACTTGCTTGTCTTAAGAAAATTAACTACCAAATGAACCGACTCGGACGAAGACCGAAATTGCCAACATAAACTTATATTCAATTTGCTCGAAGATTTGTATCACAAGTAAAAAGGATAAATAAAACTTCAATCTATATATACACATAACGGAAGATAATATCCCACTCATAGTTTTACTTTACAATAACGGCATGGCGATTGCATCGATCTATATCCATGATGTCATGTATGTATATATATACTGAAATGAAAATGTATATTTCATGGTCAACACAAGTTTGCGCACCGACATGATATTGGCTTGCGTTATAAACATGGACACTGGACACATATAGTACATGACTACACGTTACATGCATGAGGCATGACTTTGACTCGTTATTGGCATTGCTATACCTTATTCAACTCTTTTAAGTCTCAAACTAACTTTATGGGCTTTTAGATTTTGTCAACCTTCGCTACTTCAACAGAGTCCCAAAGGACCGAACCCACCATTTTGTCTATCTCTTTTTTTTTGTATTGGATTCGAATTATTTGATATTTGTAGGAACAAATTATAGTATTTGGATAGCTGGAATGGCATGGACTTTATCATATTATATGTCAAAATATAAATCTACTCGTTGTAATTGGCACTTTCCCATAGAGGTAAAGATACTGACTGCATGTGAAACGAAACATAAAATGCACAGGTGAAATTTAGACACACCCACACACTAGATGCTAAACCTTCAGGACTAGTCAGAAGTTTCGGCGAAAACCTGTATACTTACTTAGTGCCAAATCTAACCACAAAAATATTAGACATATGCACACACTCTATGTGTCAATGGGTATAGTTCATACCGATTGCGCTTAGGGTTGAAACTAGTAATATTGAGTCTGAACTCGAGCAATATGATTTTTCTCATGAAAAAGTAAAATTCTTTAAAAACCACTGTCAAAATAATATGATCAAAAGGATAAGAAATAAGTATAGAATCTTCATTTGTGTAATAAAAACAAACAGCACACGTGTATAAACCTTCAGGCGGCGTTAAGTATGCTTTATCCAAAACAATGGATATTGATATTCCTCTATTCAATAATTGATCTTTTCTTTACTTGTAATAATTAATGCATCCACCAGTCTCCATTATTGTTGGTTTCTTCTTCTTCGTTTTTTTCCGGTTTGCGAATCTCTTCTCATTTTAATTATTGGATTATTAACTCGGTTTGGTTTTTTCACTTTTTTGGGTTCTTCTTCAAAGACTCACATCACACGTATCCACACCAAATATTATTCCTATTCCGAGTGTGTACTTTCAGAGTTGTTATTCTTGCAAGTTTTTCTCGTAACTTTCAACTTCATACATTTCTTTCTCTCTCTCTAGTCCAAGACCAACTCTCTGGTGAATCTAATTATATTTGTAATTGGTAATGACCATATTCTAGAAACACCAAAACTTTATACACACGTGGACGGTGTTACCTGCCGTTAGTTACTATAATGTAAAAATATTAATACCTTTGAGGACACGTAGATCTATTTCAAAGATTCTGATTTCTGACACTTTGATAAAGTTATCATTATCAAGATCCCACCTACATCTAGACAAGATCCAAAAATATATTACAAATCTTCATCAAAAATCTTCAAAGTACCTGGCTTTAACTGAAAGTTAATCAAGAGTCGAGCGACTTAAAACTATAGATAATACGTTTGCCAATACTCGGTTTACACAGAGCCCGTTTATTTATTTATCTAATTGTGTTATCGTTGGACATCGAATTCGTATTGATGCCAATCACATATAAATTAAATATTTTAAGAAAAACAAGATAATGTTGCAAGAACTTCGAAATTCATTGAATCCAAATTCGGAACCATCTGTCAACAATTCCATTCTTTCTGAAATCTCATTAATCTTTTGCCCTTTTTGTTTTGAAGGGATTCTTTCTTCTCGAGGCCGAAAAGTAGTAAAAGAAAGAAAAAAATGAAGAGAATAATTAAATTATAAAAGAGGTCATGTCGAAGTAGGTTTAGGTAAGAAAGTAATTTATACTAATGCCTTTTGATAACGAGTTCGTCAAACTGAACCTATAAAGAGTATCCACACCAACCTATCTTTTTCTCTGCTTGGTTTTTTAATAATATACACTAATTTGATTCTTATTATACTTTTTTTCTGTGTACGATTACGATATTTTCAAATCAACTATCTAATTGAGATTTTAATATCTAATCCGTATCTACGCTGTACGCATGTTCCAGTATCTTTTGTGTTCATATAAAATAATCAACCAGAGTTCATCAGTCGCGAAGATAACGAAATGGAACGAATATGTAATTTTGAATTTTTTTAAAAAATATATATTCAATTAATGTTTCTGTTATTCTACTACAAAATTCTTATATGATTTAGCAATTTGCTAATCAGTTTTTTATCTTTTATAAGCTAATAAGTTTGTAACTAATTAATCAGAATTCAAAACTTGGCAGATTAAAAAGATTAATGTTTTAAAAAAAAAAATGCATGTGACAAAAATCTCGGTTTAAGCTTTTGAATTTGGAACCAGTTGATTAAATTTTGATTCTTGTAATATCAAGATTTGTTACAAAGAAAAAAATCAAGGAAGGTTTGAAAACATCAAACTTGAATAAAAGAGATCAATCTTTTTACCCTAATTAAAGATGCAAATATGTTTTGCTTTATGTATACTTCAATCTAATTGTTTTTTATTTTTGTAAAGACGATGTAAAACTACGTTCTTCTGTTCACACAAACTTTTTTTTTTTCAGCCGATATGACATGGATTTAATAATTATAAATATATATCATCTTTAATTATCTGCAATTGGGCATATATGTATATAAGTATAGATGTGTATGTGTGTGTCTCTATTACAACTTAAAATCAGATTCTTCTTCCTCTCTAAACAACAACAACAACGAAATTTTAATTTCTCCTTTCTTTCTTCTTTATCTCCTCTCTCTCTCTCTTCAAACACAAAATCGAAATATGACTCGATCCTCTAGATTCCTAGGAACAGCGGCGGCGCCGCCACCGCCGGAAGAAATCCTCGCCGCGGAAACCGACATGGTTGTGATTCTCTCAGCTCTTCTCTGCGCTCTCGTATGTGTAGCCGGTTTAGCCGCCGTAGCTCGCTGCGCCTGGATCCGCCGTCTCGCCGGCGTTAATTCCTCCGCCGTAGGAGAATCTCCGCCGCCGAACAAAGGCCTCAAGAAAAAAGCACTTCAATCTCTCCCTAAATCCACCTTCACCGCCGTAACATCTGCCGTCGATTCGCCGTGCTCTTCCTCCGGAGACGGAGATTCCTCCACCGAGTGTGCCATATGCTTAACGGAATTTGCCGACGGCGAAGAAATCAGGATCCTACCGCTCTGTAGCCACGCCTTCCACGTGGCGTGCATAGACAAATGGTTGACTTCTCGGTCGTCGTGTCCTTCTTGTCGTCGGATTTTGGCTCCGGTGAAGTGTGATCGGTGTGGCCACCACGCTTCTACGGCGGAGACTCAGGTCAAAGATCAGCCTCCTCCTCATCAACATCCTTCACAGTTCATTTCCGCCATTATTCCTGCTTTTCTTCCTTGAAAAGTTTCCACTTTTTTCTTTTTAAAATTTGCGAAAAATCATCGGTATGATTATCAAGAAAAGTAAAAGTATTATTAATTAATTAGAATTAGGGATCTTTTAGTTACTTGGACTTTTAGACTGTAACAATGTTATGAATCTTAAATCTTTTAATGATTCGATCAGATGGAATTTCGAAAGTTCGACATGTTAATTTCTTTCCCATAAACTCGCAATTAGCATAAAACATAGTAATGATTTTATTTAAAAATTATATTAGAGGATAATTTAATTGATTAGACAACATGAGCACTGAGAAAAGAGTCGGTCATGTTAACCCGTTTGTAAGCAAAACCAGAAGAGGAGGAATAAAAACTAATTTTTAAAAAATATATAAATTTGGAACTGGAAAGTTTTTTAAAATACAAAAAATACTAATTTCCTTATATTGTTTTGCAAAATATCTAGCGAGGGATTGGTCGTTTTTCTTTTTCCGACAGTCAATATTAACTAATTCAATCTCTGTTAACAATGTTTTTTCTTTTATCAAAAAGGTAACGGCACAAGTAGTAAACTAGCATTTTTTTTTTTAATTAGCAAAACTGGTAAACTGTAAGTCCAATTTATGGAAAGTTTGGCGAAAATTTAGTGTGTAGACTGTGTTTTAGTGATTGTAATATTTAACTAGTTATATGAAGATTATTATATTCAAAATAAATAAAGAAATGAGATGGTGATAACTGATAACTGTGTGATTGTATTTTAAAAGTCTTCCTCATTTTCAGTCATTAGTCAAAGAAAGCATGTAATGGTCTCTCATCTCCTTTACCCGCAAATAAGGACGACTTAGTCTCATTCAATCCGAATGAGCAGAGAAATTGATAGTTGGTTGTCTTTTTTCTCAATGACATACAAATTTGCAGATTTACAAATATGACTATAATTTTATGCAGATCATAAACTTGAAACATGTGATTGTTTAAACTCTGTCTCTCCTTTTTTTTTGGTTGAAGCTCTGTCTCTACTTAAATGAAGAAGAAACTGCAATAATGATCTATATCTTAAAGTCATACGAAAGAATTTGAGAGAAGGATATGTATGTATAAATAAGTTTCTAGTCTTAGGATAAAGATAGTGTTAAAAATTCATACGGAAAGTACATGTCATATTGTCAATCGTTTGATTGAGCACAATATATATATATATATGTCTATCGACGGTGTAAATAGATCTGTAGTGTTAAACGAATCTATAATATTTAAAAAAGGATTTAACTACTATATGAATCAAATAATGTAAGCGGTAAGTCACAAATTTTACGGAAGAATTGTGTGTAGCTTACAATATATTTTTTCTTTGAAGAATAATAACATACTCCGAAATACTCTACATCAAAATAAACATAAATTTGATGAACTCTGTTAGGTCTCTTTCACCATTATAGCAATGCTTTTTTTTCTTCTTACATTCTCATTTATGGATTCACGTAGTTATTATTGGCGGGATTAAGGAAATTTTGGCTATTTGGTAATGCAAGTTGATGAGGATAAACTAATGCAACAAACATTTATGGCTTTAACAAAATATCTCAAAATATCTACAAATTACTCCATTTTAAACAATGAATTTTGTTAGGTCCCTTTTCACCATTATAGTAATCAACTACTATATGGTTTAAGTTTCTACTTATATATCTCTTCAGAGATATTTTGTTATATATGATTATTTGACTGTAAATTTAACTAACTTCAAACTTGGATATCGACAAATTGTAAACACAGACCAATCTAGCTTTTAGCTGTGGAATATAAGTTCGACATATAATCATTTGTTATCTTTTTTTTTTTTTACTTATTTCAGTTACTAATATAAAAAAATGCAGCTATACTACCTAATAATACCATTTTTTTCTTTCTCACTGGGAATAAAATTAAAGTGATTAAAGGGGAAAAGGTGGAGAAAGAGGAATACTTGAAGGGAAACGAAAAACGTACCACCCAACTTATAGACACTAGAAACGCATGACAAGCCCAAATATTATCCATCTTTCAGTTTCACTTAATGGAATCTTATGCCTTATCTCTTTCCCTTTTTCTTGAAATGTTTATTATATAACACCCAAGAGGCCAAAAAGTGAATAAAATTTTCGGCCAAAACTTTTTCATCATTTCACTTCGCTTTTTATTTTTTGTCTTCTACAAATAGCTTAACGTTATCCAACTTTTTTTCATTTTCTTGTTTAAAACCGAACGTATTCACATTTAAGAAAAAAAATTGGACTAATTTTCCTATGTTCTCATCTATTTTTGATCATAACAACTGTTGTGGAACTTGTTATAACATGAATTTAATGAATCCAAGCTAGCGCACAATAGTTTCAAAACTTGAGCTGAATTCAACGGTAACTAAGGGAATGCATCAAACTGACATTTATAAATGGAGTTGTCTAGATATTTGAGTATGTTTATCAGAGAATGTGAATACGTTTGGTTATAAATAAGAAAATGCAAAAAGGTTGGATAACGTTAAGCTGTTTGAAGAAGACAAAAATTAAATTTATACTGATGGGCCTGTTTTGTATATGGATCAAGTTGGGCCTAATTATACAAATATGTATATGGATCAATCCGGATTTTCCGAGTTAAAGTTCTATGAGATCATCTAGATCACAGTACGAAGAGAGAGGTTTTTCAATGATGAAGAAAGCTTTGCTTCATTCATTGGTTCACATGTACAATGGATATGATAACACAAATAAAACCAAGACCATGTCTCGTGAAGACACTTACACATCGACCCCCCCCCCCCCCAAAAAAAAGGAAGAATAGTTGCATTTAATACAAAGAGCGTTTTAAATTTAACCATTTTGCTCTATAAACAAACCCACGTTCATAGCCAACTCATGTCATGACTCATGTCTCTCCTTTTAACATCAAAAACCATCACATCACATATCTCTATCCACACACAAATATGCATTTTTAAGGTGTGAGTGCTCTTTACGTATCAAACTAAAGCAACAAAACAAGAGACGACACACTGAATACACAAGTAGTAAAAGCTAAAACAAAACCTCAATCTACAGGGGGAAAGCAGGAACATATATGTGGAGAGACATGAATGAAACAATGGTGTACACATTGATACATGTGAATAGTGAAGAGAGAAACAAACATACAAAGAATGAATAGTGAAACCTCTACACTACTGACTTGCAATGCCTCTCTCTCCCTCTTAGCATTGTCGTGTGAAGATAGCTGCATTTTTCTCTTACTTGTGGTGTCAACAGCATTAACAGAATTACCTGAAAAAGGGAGGGAAATACACACTTAGGTGTTTGTGTTGGTTTTATAATTGTAGAGAGTAAAGCTTAATTTCCTGAGTTTGGGAATCTAAGGAAAATGTTACCCTGAAAACGGGTCAGAGACATTATCAGCAGAGTTAGACAATCTCCATGCTGCTCTGTTTTCTCTTGTTGGACTTGGAGAAGAAGCACATCTGGACCCAGCTCTTCTTAGGCTTAACCATTAGAGATTTCGCGTTTCTCGTCTCCACCAGATCATTCATGTATTGAACAACGGCCTGTGAGTAGTATGAATCATCCGTGAGCGAGTACCGTTTGAGCACAAATTTAGAATCTAGAGAGAATGAGAGAAAGCAAACCTGAGGGCCCTTTTCGGCTATATCCCGAGGAGGAACTTGTAGTGGATTCTCCTGAGCTCGAAAAACACGCAACTTTGTAAGCATTTTGAACGAGTCTGGAAGAACACGGATCTGGTTATTGCTTATATCAAGCTCTTCAAGCATCTCAAGGTTGCCTATTGATCTCGGGAGTGATATCATGTCAGCGAAATTGTTCCCGACATTCAGCTTCACGAGCGACGTGGCAAAACATAAGCTCTCTGGGACAGACTCGAGCTCATTGAAACTCACATCCAACTCTTTGAGGTTAGCTAAAGAAGACATCGTCGTGGGTAACTGCCTGATGTTATTGTAACGCACGGACAAGATCTCTAACGTAGTTATCTTCCCAATAGCTTCAGGAAGAGCCTTGAGTTTGTTATAATCTGCACGGATTTCTCTCAGGGAAGAACACCCACCGATTGAATGTGGGATCTCTTCGATGTCATTTGTCTCAACGGCGAGCTTCTTTAGACTCACAAGAGAACCGATGGATTCAGGGAGGACAGGGAGGTTGTTGCAGCTCAAATCAAGCTCCTCGAGCCGCAGCAATCTGCTAAACGCTGAAGGCAGAGACGATAACTGGTTCCCACTAAGATCGAGGTAAACCAAGTTCAACAATTCACCGATAGACTCAGGGAGCTGACCGATTCTGTTGGAACGCAAGTCGAGCTTTGTCAAGGAAGAAAGCCCACCTATGGTGTTTGGCAATACCACAATATGATTCTCAGACAAATCAAGCGAATTTAGACTCGATAGTTTGCCAATAGAATCTGGAAGCCACTCGACTTGTTCCGTTAGCTTGTTCTGCAGAATCAGCTCCTGAGTAGCTTTCTTGGCAGATACCTCAATCAAACTAGCAAGTTTAATCAAACTCAGCTTCTCTCCATCATTGCCTACACATAATTCACACTACAGTTACTAAAGCATAATCTTTTATTGCATCGTCTTGCTCAAAAACCTCTTAGTTCTATCTAAAGGTTCACACTTTATATCTAGAAAATCCCAAGTTCTTCTTAGTACCAATTGAGTAACACTAGAGCTTTTAAATCAGTCGAATTAAGCGAAGAGAAGGGTTAACTTACCGGCGAATTTCCCGGTGGTAAGTTTTGAATCCACAATCTGGGGACTTCGAGGAGCTACGAAACCATCGTTGTAGAGAGAAGGCTTAGCTTTCGTAACGAAGCTGTCGTCTCGTGAAACCATTTCCTTTGGGCGAACAGGCGATTTCTCGGAATAATACAAGCTTGACGGAGAATCGGAGCGTGTCGCCGGAGCCGGCGGAGGACGAGACGGAACAGAGCCGTTGGAGGTAGAAGAAGACGGGTTAGCAATGCAATCAGAAGCTCTCTGAATGAAATCGTCGAACAAAGTGTGAACACTTTCCAGATCGAGAAGTTTCGTAGCTTCTCTTTTCTGTTCTTTGCTGCGAAACTGAACAAGACCTTTCTTCATTTCCTGCAACACCGTGAAAAGCTCACCAGGAACCTCGGAGCTTTTTCTCTGCCTAGCAATGGCTTCTAAGCAAGCTTGATCTTCCTTCTCCACGTTCAGTATCAGAGACCTCGCAGCTTCAACCTCGTCGATTCCTGGTCTCGGTGGCAGAGATCTGTGAATTCTCATGATTTCTTCAACTACTTGCTCCGTCGAATCCAAACGCTTATCCATTTGCATCAAATCCATTAGCTCCAAAAATTCAAAAACTTGGCCAAAACCCAGAAATTGGAAGAAGGAAAAGATAAGAGAAAGCCCTCTTTTTCTTTTGTTGGCTCAAAAGTGTCCGATTTTAAGTGAGTGGAAAGGAGAAAGAAAGAGTGAGTTTATGTAGAACCCCAGAGGTTCTTGTTTCGCCTCATAAATACAGCTGTTTCCATCACTCTCTGTCTTCTCTCTCTCTCTCTTTGTGTTATCTCTGTAAATTTTTTTTTTTGCTTCTTCTCTTCTTCTGCTTCCTCAGTTCTTCTCTTCTTTTGTTTCCATCAGAAATAATTGATTACTTTATATATTGTCACTAAAGAAACTACAAAAATGATAATTAATACCTTTGAATTTTCCATGTTTATAAAATTTTGAGAACTGACTTTTTTCTTTCGTTTTTTAAATGTTAGAGTACATAATTTTTTTGTCGAAAATATTAGTTCGTACATAGTTAACATTATCATTAGAGGATATTTTTATGATTTAAATGCGACGGAAATAACGTGAACCGTGGGATGGTGACCTATTGCTTATCTGTGGATTTTGTATATCACGTTATTCCTATTTACTCCCTATACACAACTTTTCATCTCGTTTTTTCCACGTATTTGTATCGTATTTATGGAAATAATCGCATCATTTCGAGAAGATAAAACTAAAGTAGTTAAAAAAAAGAAGAAGATGAAACTAAAGTTCAACATATTACATATGCAGGCTACATGCAATACATTCTGCGGAGATCAATGCCTATTTCCATTTTCCTGTCTCAAAAAGAAAAGAAAAAATTATCCGTTCGTTACCGTTAGATTTTTTTTGTTTCTTTTACTGAAATAAGCATTATTATTACTTGGAAGTTGGAATGTTATAGGGATCATCAAAGATATAACTAATAGGCCCGTTATGTCCATGAGGAGGAGTATAAAATAACTCAATTTACATCATTTGCTCTGGCTATATAAGTTAATAAAAATATATTCTTGTTTCCTTTTCGGCCTAAAATAAGATATTTTTGGTGGAAAAAATAGTATTATTTTTAATTATATCTAAACGTTATATAAAAATAATAATGTGGACAAACTATGAAGATAAGATATTGCGAAAAAAAAATAAAGAGAAACAAAAGTTGACAAAAAACAAAGAGAAACAAAAAAAAAGCGGAGACGCGAAAAAAAAAAGCGAAAGAGAAGAACGCCATGTGTGAGAGGGACACGTGTCGGTGACTGGGCCGATGATGTGTTGTCCTTTAACCTGTATCCAGCTGTCACATTCATAGTCCCCACATGTATATGTCACATTTGCATATCTGGGACTGGGGATATATAATTTTCTGCTGAACTATTTCAAATATGTCTCTACTTATTTATATTAAGAAAAAACAAAAATTTGAAAAAAGCCCTTAAGTTACCTACAAATACAATTATTTTAGTAATTCAACTGTGTCAGGAAGTCTGATCCCTTAAACAGAAGTCATTAGTTCTTAACTCAACAATTCAAGTTTCTGGATTATATGAAATAATAATTTACTTAAATTTGATATAACTGTTGCAATTGATAAAAGTGTTAAACTTAAACTTTCTTGTATATAAAACATTCAACCTTTATTATATTTTCTTTCAGAGCAGGGTGTTTTGGACAAGAGATCAAAAGAGGTAAGCAACGAGTACATATGAAAGCGCACACCAAACTTAAGAGTTATTCCACTAGAACACACCCACCAAGCTTATTACAATCAGCTAATTACAAGAGATGCCATATCAAGTCGACCTCTTATTTTCCGAAATCTCCTACCACGCTCCATAAAAAAAAGACACAGTAAAATATATTTTATTTATTGCATATAAAAAAAAAAGAATTTCAGTTCGTACTGTTTATATAAAAAAAAACAAGCATTCTAATTTCTAAACATTATAGAAGACTGGCCATCATTCGAAAATACGAAAATTAGCAGAACTTTATGTGCGTGAATGTGTTTGACTATGGCAAGTTGTGTACTTGTGTTATATATTTTAATAAGAAAAACAAAAGTTGTATTGTTGACAAAAAAACAAAACAAAACAAAGGTTGTGTTATATTTTCTGGTAAATTATGCGTACATGAGACAAACATGATGAAATCTTGGTCAGAATTATAAGAACGCTGAAGAACCTATAAAAGACAATTCTTTAACGAACTAACAAATGACCAGAAGCCCTCCCTCCAAAGGAATACAATTACAAACAGTGGCCATAATAGACCGACGAACTTCCTTGTAATATTTTTTTCGTCAATGGGTAAAATAACGAGTTGCAGACTAAGTCGATGCTAAGAAAAGTTAAAGATTCATAGTTGTCCATGAAAAAGAGCTAAATATTCATAAAGTCAAACAAAATCAAAACAAAAAGATAAACGGCCGACACAAAAAGAAGATAAAACTTGCCGAATTTTTTGTATATATTGTAAACTACTTTTTTTTTGGTTGTCGCTATAACGTAAAGTTCTTTTTTTATAATTCAACTTTCTAATTAAATAGCTTTTTACTCAAGTCGTACTTTATTTATTTTTTGACTCTATAATTTTGAGCAAAAATGTAATTAACTTTTATAGTCATCGTCGTTTTCTTAAAGTTAAATGAATAAAAAAAATTTGAGTTGTTTTGGGAACGAATTTGTTGAACCTCTTTTGAATATTTTCCAACTACATATGTTGGAGAATCTATTTCGGTGGTCGCACGCATTGCTTTACTTTAGTGAAACGACGTCATCTGTTCAAAACCCATAACTCTGACATCTGTAAAAGTTTCAAAGCTTCAAAAGCATCTCCTCTGAAAAATCTGACCATAGTTTTTTTTTTTAAACTTCTAGAAGCTCTGGTGCGTACCTTGATTGCTCGGGTTCAAGATCAGATATATATGTCTATTGTCTTATAGCTTTTCTATAAACACATTTATATTTAAATTAGTTTAATTTTGCATTATTTATTACTACTAGGTGTGAGACAAATCATGTTCACTGAATAAACGAATGTGAAGGCATCATCTGTGAATCAAATGTAAGGGACTTTTGTCGTACCATTAGACTTACAACTTTGAACAATAACCATACTCAACTCTAAGTGCAGTATTAAGAAATAAACAATTCAAAGTCCCTTAACTAATGCTAAAGATCGAATCTCATTCTTAGGCTTTGATCTGAGCAATTATCTCAATCACTCTTACCTTGCTGAGATCCAATCTCCTGTAAGTAATGCTCTGCATCCAAAGCTGCCATGCAACCTACACAAATTCAATCAAAGGAGTTGTGAGAATGGAACAAATTAAATATCTCTACTAATCAATGCAACTCAAGGAAGATTAACTCCAACACAAAAACCTTAGCTTGCATCAACTCTTACTTGAACTACATGATATATATAGAAGCAGCAAGAATTCAACCACACAAATCTTAACTAGTTCAAAAACAGTTGCTCATTTAACTAAAATAACTAACAAAAACAGTTCTTTTAGAAACACTTTTCCAACGTCAGAGAATACAGAGCTTAGAGGAAAGTAGAGAACTAACCACTTCCTGCAGCTGTAACCGCCTGCCTATACTTCTTATCCTGGACATCGCCGGCAGCAAAAACTCCGGCGATGCTAGTCTGTGTAGTACCAGGCTTGGTCACCACATAACCATCTGAATCTAACTCAACCGAACCATCCAGAAACTTCGTTGCTGGCTCATGACCAATCGCAAAGAACAATCCCGAGACTTTCAAATCAGAAACCTCTCCAGTAACCACATTCTTCACCTTCAACCCTCCGAGAACGCCTCTCTCTCCGTCTCCGTAAGCTTCCACAACCGTCGAGTTCCAAACGACGTCGATCTTCGGATTCGACAGAGCTCTCTGCTGCATAATCTTAGACGCCCTGAAAACGTCTCTCCTGTGGATTATATGAACTTTGGATCCATACTTCGTGAGGAAATTCGCCTCCTCCATTGCCGAATCGCCTCCGCCGATCACCGCGAGTGGCTTGTCACGGAAAATCGGAGCAGCTCCGTCGCAGACAGCACAAGCGGAGATTCCTCGATTCCAGAAACCTCCAGAACCTTCACCAGATCCAGGGAAGCTTAGCCGCTTGGCTACAGCTCCGGTAGCGAGGATCACGGCGTCGGCGATAACGGCTTTGGAGTCTGTGAATAGCTTAAACGGTTTCGAAGAGAAATCGACCTTCGTCACCGTCTCCGTGAAGATCGTGGTGCCGAATCGCTCCGATTGCTTGCGGAATTTGTCGGTGAGCTCGGCGCCGAGAATACCTTCAGGAAAGCCAGGGAAATTCTCGACGTCGGTGGTGGTTGTTAATTGGCCGCCGGGAGCGATGTCGTTAGCCATCCATCCTTCGAAGAGAAGAGGCTTAAGCTCCGCCCTAGCAGCGTAAATCGCCGCCGTGTGAGCCGCAGGGCCACTGCCGACGATGCAGAGTTTTGTGCTGTGAGTTTCAAGGCCGTTCATGACGGAGGATGAAGAAAACGCGGAGGCAAGAGACGGAGGTTGCGGCGGCTGAGTGAGAGAGGAGGATCCAAGCCGTGCAAGGGTTCGTGCTCTGTTTATCAAAGTCTTTATCAAAAACCTCGAACGATTCATACAACTCATTTGGAACGAATACGAATCAAAGACAAACACTTTTGGATTTATTTATTTTTTTCTCCTTTCTAATACTAATGTATGAGTCTACATGTATGTATAATTGTTTTAATTTTTAAAGCTTGTATAAGCATGAAAAGCTTGGGACACAGGGAATTTGGGACAACAGTCACAACACAAGAAATAGAATCACTTTGATATGAAGTGGTCGTCTTGCATATCTTCCTAACCAAAAATGATTCTTGAAACTTTACACAAAAGTAAAACAAATTTATTTAGTTAAACACACAAATAGGGGATAAAAAACTTCAAACTTTTAACCTCTAAGAAATAAATCAGAACGAAAATGCAATTTCAGCAAAATAGATCGTCACAAACCATAGATTAAAAACATGATTGCTCTTTCTTTCTTTATTTGACTTTGAATGAAATCAAAAACACCATAAGAGACAAATTTAGAAGGAGAGAGAAACTAGGTAAAGCACAAATATTTAAGAAAAAAGAAGTAAGTACACAAAAAGGTCTGTGAAACTGGTTCAGGACACACAACAGAGAAATCCCTAAAAGACAAATATGAGCTTAGAGCTTCACTTCACCCAAGCTCAAAGGAAGGCATCCTTCTCAAGCAGCTTCACCACCTCGAGCTGGTTGTTGAGCTTGGCCACATCAATGGGTGTCTTCTCGTCTAGGTTTTGAAGAGTCCTGCAATCGCACAAATCGTATATATAACTATGAGTCGTGACAAGATGTTTTAATGGAGTCGTTTATCTACAAGTATTTGTGTTGTGAGACTTACACTGCAGCACCATTCTCTAGGAGAAGGCTTACACACTCTTTCCTCCCGTAACCAGCAGCGTAATGCAGAGGTGTGTTCTTGTTTTTGTCAACCGCGTTAACACTTGCTCCAGCATCGATAAGAACTTGAGCACATTTCAACTGTGGAAAAGGGAGCAATAGGGTCAAACTAACTTCAATCCATAGTTATAAACAAAATGGAAGTAATAACCAATTCCATCTCATTGTTGTTACACCAAAGAAGTAAATCATTCTACAAGTAACTGTGTCGTGAAACTTCGTAGGGTGTAGTAACTAGATACTAGTCTACCGAGTAAATGATGATAAAGATTCTAAACTTCAACAGCCAGTGAATAAAAAGAAGAGAACCACCTAATTCCGAATATTTAATTGCCCTGAATTGATAAGAGACTTGCATACCTCGCCGTATCCACAAGCAAAATGTAATGCTGTCCTTCCCTCAGAATCTTCTTCATCTTTGTTACCACCAGATGCCAAAGCATTTTTCAAACCCTAGTTGAATCAACAAATCAATCCAATAATGAGTTCAACAAAACAAAATTTGAATGGAGAATATAGTGAGAAAATGGCAAAGTAGGATGCGTTTTACCTCAACATCACCAAGGCTGGCGGTTTGATGAACAATAGACTCTTCTTCTTCTCCTTCTTCCGCTGCCTCGGGTTCAGCTGAAGCAGTCTGCTCTGGCAAGCCAACAACAGGCATACCCATTGCTTCACCAAGCTTTTTCAGCACATCTTTATCATTCCAGTACCTAATACCAGATAAAAAAAAAATTCTTCCTTTATAAGCAAAATACAACCAGAAACAGAAACACGCTTTACAAATTCTATAAAAAAGAAGTTTGTATCACCCACTTCATCATGGCAGAAGGGCCACCAGCATCTATCTCATCTAGTATAGGTTTCAACTCTGGGTCTTCTTTCATCCGAGCCATACGCTCAGTAAAGTGCTCTGCTGTTTCAGGATTCGAGAAAGCATCCAAAAAGGGAGACATTTGTGGATCCTGAAGGCAAAAGAAAAAAAGTACAAAAAAGAAGAGATTCACTCAGAGCCACGCCTCAATAACCAGCGTACAGGAAAGAAAACTAGATTTTTGCAATTTTATTCACCTGCACTAAGGCGTTACCAAGACGCTCCGCCATTGTCTGAAATTCGGGGTTATGCATAACCTGTTGCATTGTGCTGACATACTGTTGTGGATCAATGGTAGGGAAACCTCCTCCCTGAGCTGCGTTTGGAATAGATCTCTGAAGCTGCTCAGCCAATTGGTTAAATGCAGGATCTTTAGCTATCTGCTCAGCCAGTTCCCTAATGCTTGGATCCTAATGAAAAAAAAAAACCATCAAAACCCCATCAATTGAAAACTCCAAAAAGATAAACTTTTTCAATTTCGCCACAACGAAAAGGGCACTTACGTTGAGGATACCAGCCATATTTGAGAAATCGAAAGCATTGAAATTCATGCCAGGATTAGCTGATGGAGGTGAACTCCCAGAGGCTGATTCCGGTTTAGCACTCTTAGTCGCCTCCGTCGATTCGGTTTTCTCGTCTACAGTGAAAAGAATACAATTCTCTTAAAACTCCATGATAAACAACAAACCAATCACCGAATCTGACTAGACACGATGCAATTCGAGATTGCAAAAACAACCGAAAATCAACAAAACTATCGCAGATCAGATTGTAATATACCAACAGTAGGTGAAAGCGAATGTTACCTGAAGGAGGCGGATTTTTCTCTGGATTGGAAGCCATTAGATATAACTTAAACCCTAGAAAAAAGAAAAGACAATAGATTCACAAAATTTATTCAGAACAAACATGCAAATGGAAAATAATTGAAGAAGAAGATGAAGAGACGGTGCGAGACCAATCAAAGAGAAATGAGTAAAACCAGAAGAGAAAGAGAAGAAATTAACCCGAGAAGACAACGTTGTGGTGGCAAACGCACAAGCAAGACGAGAAAACAGATAATCAGTTTTTTTTCTTACAGATTTTAATATGTCGACAGAAAAAATAAAATAATTTATTATATATATTTATCAGCTGGATTGGATTGGATTGGAAAGAAGACGAGGCACAACAGCCACTGCTTCCATTGAAGTTTGAACCTAAAGTTAATAGTTTTTTATTTAAAACAAAAAAATATATACATGTACTGTAGGCCCAAATTTCTACGCTATTTGGGCCCAGCCTCCTGCCTCCACGAGATAACCGTATGTAAAATTTGATTAACCGAACAATCCAAGCCAACGGTTTCAAATATGAACCGGAATAAATAAGCTGACTTGTAGTAGTGGAGACTGAGCCACGTCAGATTTTATGATTTTTTTCAGTAGCGTTAAGATCCAATTATCCGCCAATGGATAAACACGCGTCTCTTCTCGGAAACAGCCGTTCATGGCAGCCACGCCTACACTCTGTGCTGCTCTCCGATCTCCAGTCTCTTCCCGGAGATTCTCTCCGATTCGCAAAACCGTCGCTCCTCTGCATTTCAGTGTCGTTCCTTCGCCTTTGTCTTCACGGTCCTCGTCTACATTGCCTTGGCTCTTCCGTTCCGTTAGACTTTTTCGGCGGTCGCCGGCGGCGAAGCAGCAGGTTGATGAGGATGAGGTTGGATTCGATCAACCGCCGTCGCAGGAGCTTGCGATAGCGTCGGCGTGTTTGGTTGGTGTCCTCACCGGAATCAGTGTGGTTCTCTTCAACAACTGCGTTCACTTGCTCCGAGACTTCGCCTGGGATGGGATTCCTGATCGTGGAGCTTCGTGGCTTAGAGAAGAACCGATCGGGTCCATTTGGTTGCGTGTTATCCTTGTTCCGACTATTGGCGGCTTGCTGGTCAGTATACTCAATCAGCTTCGAGAAGCTGCCGGAGATTCCGCCGCAGATTCTGATACCGCTGATTCTAATCTTAATCGCCTGAAGGCGGTGCTGCGTCCCTTCCTTAAGGCTGTTGCCGCATGTGTGACTCTTGGGACCGGAAATTCGCTGGGCCCGGAAGGTCCTAGTGTTGAAATTGGAGCCTCCATCGCGAAAGGAGTTAATTCTGTGTTCAATAAAAGTCCTCAGACTGGGCTCTCGCTTCTTGCCGCTGGCTCAGCGTCCGGAATTTCCTCTGGTTTGTTCATCACCCTTTATGGATTACCATCTGATATTTGCTTTTGCTGATTCTTGCTTGGAGTCGAAGTGCATGTTTGCTTTCTTTTGAGTTAGAAGTTAAGAAGACTAAGACTTCGATAGCAACTAAGTTAAAGCAGATTGAGCTCGTTTATCAAAAGACTTTGCTTTTGTACAGGATTCAATGCAGCTGTTGCTGGATGCTTCTTTGCAGTTGAGTCCGTTTTGTGGCCTTCATCAAGTGACTCATCAATATCACTTCCAAACACAACTTCAATTGTTATTCTTAGTGCTGTTACTGCTTCTGTTGTGTCGGAAATTGGCCTGGGATCTGAACCTGCGTTTAAGGTTCCTGATTATGACTTCCGCTCTCCTGGAGGTATTGTACTCGCTATTCTTATCCTTCGTGCCTTCTTGCTAGAAATTTTCGCATAGCCATTTATGCAGGACATAACCGAAAACCAAACTTATGATAGCTGTTAACTGATTTGCAGAACTTCCACTCTATCTTTTATTGGGTGCTCTGTGTGGCTTGGTCTCATTGGCATTATCTCGATGTACATCATCCATGACATCTGCTGTTGACAGTCTTAACAAAGATGCTGGGATACCAAAGGCTGTATTTCCTGTAATGGGTGGCTTAACTGTTGGTATCATAGCTTTGGTATACCCTGAAGTCTTATACTGGGGTTTTGAGAACGTGGATATTTTGTTGGAATCTCGTCCATTTGTGAAGGGCCTTTCAGCTGATCTTTTGCTTCAGCTGGTAGGTGTCAAGATAGCTGCAACCGCATTGTGTCGGGCTTCTGGACTGGTCGGTGGATACTATGCTCCTTCTCTCTTTATTGGTGGGGCAGCAGGAATGGCCTATGGAAAGTTTATTGGACTTGCTTTGGCTCAGAATCCTGAAATCCATCTCTCTATCCTGGAAGTGGCATCGCCACAAGCTTATGGTCTGGTACTGTTCTTATGTAATCAGTATTTCAAACTTGAATATTGTCATAATTTCAGAGTCCCTTGAATGTTTACCTGCCAAAACTTTCAACAAAGACAAACGAAAAATCAGGATTTTCAGATTGATTGAGAAATAGATGCTAAAATTTTGCAGCTTCATTGCCAATGATTCTGTTCGTCTCACTGTTCCACAGGTTGGAATGGCTGCTACACTTGCGGGAGTTTGTCAAGTTCCTCTTACATCGGTACTACTGCTGTTTGAACTTACACAAGACTATCGTATAGTGTTACCCCTTCTCGGAGCTGTAGGCATGTCTTCATGGATTACTTCTGGACAATCAAAGAGACAAGAAACTAGAGAAACGAAAAAAAGAAAGAGCCAAGATGACGTACAGCCTCTGACGACATCTGATGCTGAATCATCAACGAATAACCTTTGTGAAGTTGAAAGTTCTCTTTGCATTGATGATTCAAGTATCCAAGCTGAGGAGCTGCCGAAGATTATCTTTGTTTCAGAAGCCATGCGAACAAGATTTGCCACAGTTATGATGACCACTTCTCTGGAAGAGGCAATAACTCGTATGCTGATAGAGAAACAATCCTGTGCGTTGATTGTTGATCCTGATAATATCTTTCTCGGTCTACTTACACTTTCAGACATTCTAGAATTCAGCAAAGCAAGAAAAGAAGTCAACAAAAGACCCAAGGTACGAATTTTGAATAGTCTGCTCTTGCCTAAACCTCTGAAATAACAGTATCTATCTTGTGGTACCCTGATTAAATAATGAAAGCATTTCTTTGGTTTAGGAGTTTTTGGTTAATGAAATATGTTCGATGAGCGGAGGAGGATGTAAAGTCCCGTGGACTGTTACACCTGATATGGATCTTCTCGCTGCCCAAACAATCATGAACACGCATGAAATTTCTCATCTTCCAGTCGTTTCAGGCAACATTGATTTTCGCAGAATACACCCTGTTGGGGTCCTAGATAAAGAATGTATCACTGTAACACGAAGGTATGCCTTCATCTGTCTTCCCTCATTTTATAAAAAAAAATTAACTTCTTTTCCCATTTCACCGAGTCTTCCATATGGCAAGAATATATGTGGAGAGTCGTGAGTTCATATAATTCAAATTGCCAAGTTTTCTGTACCGGTTAGCTAGATTATTTTATTTTTCGAACAGTCAACTATTTCTAGAGTTAATACCAAAGTTATGGACTCGTGAGCAAATTTCCTCAATTCATTTGAAAGTTTTCAGTGCATTTCTGCTTTTGTCCTGTGTAGATGATATACTGGAAATTATACCAATTTTGCTGATTTTCTTTCTCTCGTTTGATCTGGCAGAGCTCTAGCAACCAGAATGTTCCTCGACTGAGAATCTCTGCATTCGTAAACGGGCTTGCTTTGTAACTTTTCTTGAGCTGATCAACCAGGATGATTTCAATCTTTTTCTTCTATGAGGCTCGGGGCCAATTTTTGTTCCTTATATCAAGAGAATTGGGGAGAACGGAGTTGATTTGTGCAGCATGGATAGAAGTCGTCTTCTCCATCTGTTGGTTGAAAGAATGGTGGAAACTCCATGTCCCGCTTAAGGTGTTAAGCAATCCGAAGGGAATACAAACCTGGCACGTGGGTACTGAGAAAATCTTCAGAATTTTTTTCTTGAGACCAAAGATACTGTGCTCAGGTGATTTGTAACCATTCCTTTTTTTTTTTTTTGCGTACAGATTGTTACTGTACCTTACTCAATATTTGTCTATTTTGTAAATTGCTAATTTGGCTTTTATCATATTGAGAAAGTTTCAACTACTTGAAGACTATGACAGTGTCAACCAATTGTAAGGGTTTCCCTTTTCCAGTATATTCCATTTTGTTCTTGTGGGATTCCAACACTGAAATGCCCGTATATTTGGTGCCTCTCTCGCTGACATTATCTTCTAAGTTATATGGAGATTTTTCTCAAAGCAAATTCCTATAGAAAACAATGGGCAGACCATCGTGGTGTTTAAACAACCGTCCTGAAATCAATTTTAGGAAATGAAAAAGCTACCCACATGGGTTGAATGACCTACCTAATCCGTACTTACCTTCAGGATGGTATTACTAGTACATACCCTCTTAAGACGCATGGATACAGAACATGCTATATAACAATTTGGGTGGTGATTCCATCGTGACCGGAGAATGGATCAAGCAAAAGGAAAAGTTTGTGTTACCGGAGCTTCAGGCTTTTTAGCTTCTTGGCTTGTAAAGAGGCTTCTCCTTGACGGATATGAAGTCATCGGAACAGTCAGAGATCCAGGTTTTTCTATCCATCTTGTTTCTTTGTCATTGCTTTGAAATCATAATAAGCTATCCAAGTGAGACTCGGTTAGTTTCTTGTTTTGACAGGAAATGAGAAGAAACTAGCACACCTTTGGAAATTGGAAGGGGCAAAGGAGAGACTACGGTTAGTGAAGGCTGATTTAATGGAAGATGGAAGTTTTGATAACGCCATAATGGGATGCCAAGGAGTTTTCCATACTGCTTCTCCTGTGCTCAAACCAACCTCTAATCCAGAGGCATCCCACTACAACTTTTTCTTTTTGGACAAAATCTGCATTATTTGCGTATCATGCATTTAACAGAGTCTCTAAGACTTTTTATTTCTTGTGATCTGATAGGAGGAAATTTTGAAACCAGCTATAGAGGGCACACTGAATGTACTGAGATCATGCAGGAAGAATCAGTCCCTGAAGCGTGTGGTTCTCACCTCATCCTCTTCAACAGTCAGGATCAGAGATGATTTTGATCCCAAAATCCCTCTTGACGAATCAGTTTGGACCTCTGTTGAACTCTGCAAGCGTTTCCAGGTATAATCATTTTTGAATAGCCTTTATATAAACAAAGAACAGAGATCACGATATAACTTACCCGAAGGTGAATGGTAGCTATTTATTCTTAACACTAAAATAATATTAGCTAACCGTTTGTGTAAACGCGTTTCACAATGTGATGCAACATGGCAAAAAAAAAAAAGGTCTGGTATGCGTTATCAAAGACATTAGCCGAGCAAGCTGCATGGAAATTCTGTGAAGAAAATGGTATTGACCTCGTCACCGTTCTACCATCCTTTCTCGTGGGACCAAGTCTGCCTCCCGATCTATGTTCTACAGCTTCTGATGTGCTTGGATTGCTGAAAGGTACTCTCTTCTTATCTCTCGCAAGTTAGTCAACAAGACTTGGTTATTTTTTGGTCCAAATCAAATGGATTCATCTGTTGCAAACGCTTATAACTTGTCATTCAACAAAACAGGAGAAACAGAGAAGTTTCAGTGGCATGGACAGATGGGGTATGTTCATATCGATGATGTGGCCCGAACCCACATACTCGTTTTCGAACACAAAGCAGCCCGAGGCAGATACATTTGCAGCTCTAACGTTGTTAGTCTGGACGAATTAGTTTCCTTCTTATCCACTCGTTACCCATCACTCCCTATCCCCAAGAGGTTTCAAAATGATCCTTTGACCTTTTCTCAAACCTTATCATCCTTGATCAAAAATAAATAGACAACAATCTTCTCTTTGAAAATTTCAGGTTTGAGAAACTAAATAGGCTGCATTACAACTTGGACACTTCGAAGATAAGAAGTCTCGGGCTCAAGTTCAAGTCCCTTGAAGAGATGTTCGATGACTGCATTGCCTCATTTGTCGAGCAAGGCTATTTATCTGATGTTGTTCCTTAACACTTAGACTCAAGAATCAGTATAGTAGTTATGTCGCTTCACAATAAATCAGTATACGTGGAAAAAACGTGAAGGTTACGAGTCATATATTTATCTTATATGATATGGGAAGGTTTCTCACTAGTTTTCTCCATAATTGCGCCATGTGATCTTAATTCGATAAAGAAAAGTCTGCATTGAGAATATATATGAGGATCGATGTAAAATGTCCTATGAGACTCGAAACTAAACCCCATGATAATTCACCACTCACTAATGTGAGAAGGCAAGCAATAGAGACTTTGTCGTTGTGAGAAAGTGTTGGAACGATCTCTTTAAAGCAAACGTCCTCCGATGGTAGGAACATCTTCTCTAACGTCTTTCTGTTCTTAAGCACAAGTTCCACAAATGAAGCCAAGTGCTTTGACTCTACATCACGACCAGACTTGTTCCAACGGACACCATCGATTGATCTCCAGCATTTAGCCGGATTTAAGCCTTTCAAGTACTTGTCAAGATGCTCCCCCTACACAACAGAAAAAAAAAAAAGACAAAAAAAAACATGGTTCTTGGATTCGATGATAGTTAGAACGCCAAAGACTATAAAAGAGGTTTATGGTAATATATGTATATATACCGGTATGTTGTGGCAATAGCTTGTGTGTACTGTTAGCTTCTTCAAATCAGGTGAGTTTTGTAAGACCCTTTTTATACCGGGAATAACATACCGAAATATCATTGTCTCAAGTGTCAATGCTTTGACCTTGAGCATCGGAAAAGGAACACCACAAAGTTCAACAAGAGATAAAATCTAGCAGAAATTAAGAGTCATTAATCAGAAACTATATAATACTACATAGGTTTAAACTTACAGAAAATCAAAGCCTAATGCAAACTAATCCATGGCAAACAGTTACTGATACTAGGCATTATAGTCTGCAAAGAATGACTGAATGAGCCCAAAAACATACCTGAAGAAAGTGTCCTCCAAAGGTAAGCTTCTCTACATGCTGTAAGTCTTCTATCATCTTTAGCACCATGGCTAAAACATGATCAATATTGTAAAATATTTCATCCGAGTTAAAGGGAATGTCCAGATGAGCTTCGGTTAAAGACGAGGTATCAGTTACAGTACATGGTAACTGACTGTTTATCAACTTGAGACAATGGATATGTGGTGCCACAATCTGTTTTACGCAACGGTTGCGATCTACTACTAATGTTTTCAGACGCACTGATTCGCTGAGATCAAGAAACCTAAAGCCATCGCACTTGGACAATGTTAAGCTCTCGAGAATGGGACAGCCAGATAGAATCTTGGCCATAGATTCATCAGAGAGATTACAACTAAGCAAGGACAGGTTCTTGAGAGATGTCCAAGCCACGGAGCATCTATCAATCATATCACAATACTCAAGGGTGAGTTGCTTGATAGAGGAACTAATGTAGAAGAAATCAGGAAGAGTATACTCGTCAAGCCATAATTTCAGAGACAGATTCTCCACGTGGCGGGACATGACGAACTCGATCCATTTGTCCATGTGGGAAACATGCGATTGTCTACTACTATAGAGGTGAAAATGCATCATCTTGAGAGCAGTGTAGTGAGCTAGGGTTTTGTTGATCCAAGCAGCCTCCAGTTTCGAGCTATCGAAGTAGAGAGAAGGTGTATCACACCATACATGCCTCCATCGTTTTGACAAGAGTGAAGTTCTGATGGCGAATTTCGTCGGAATAAAGGAGAGGATATGTTGGAGGATCACATCTGGTAGACAGCTGATTGAGTCTACTCCTCCTTTCTTTTCGCGGCGGCGGAAACGACCACCACCATTGCGGTGGCTACGGACTCTTCTAGCGGCGGTGGCGCTCTCGTCGGCCATATGAACTATATAGCTTGCGGTTTTCTTAGGGTTTACTTTTATTATATGAAACAGCTTTTCAAACACGTCTCCTCTTAACAATTTTAAGGCCAAACTATGACGTATCTTATAAAATAAAACTTTTTTTTTTGGGGTTAAATTTATATAAACTTGTTCGAACAAAACATAGTCTAGCATCCATACTTGTGGTTTAAGACAAAAAAAATAAAAAAATACCCTCAGGAGAAAAAAGATTGGATCAAGATTCCTCAAAACATTTTACTATAGCAGCCGCACAGGAAACATGTTTTAACCGTGGATAGAAGATGAAAGAAACTATTTAGTAGCCTGAGCGATTATATTGCTTATCGAACCAGCCTCCTCTTTTGCAGCTTCCACCACTTGATCCTTCAACAATCAAAACAGACATAGACTGTCATTTGCCAAGACAAATATCTTTAGGACTAAATCATGATATGTCGATGACTTAAAAACTAGAACTCAGTACATGGGCTGATACAATCCTGGCTATTGTTTTCTTGCTTGATTCTTGGAGTTCCCCGGCAATCAAGAGCTCATCCAATATGTAATACGCCTAAGATAGCAACAATAGATGCAAAAGTTTCCATCAAGAAATTAAGATGCAGAGAGTAGAGAATCAATCAAGTGTTTGAATAATGGCAGAGTCCTTGCTAGAGTGTTGGTGCCGTGGGTATGTAACTACCTTGTGGAAGTGAAAAATTAAATCGAGTTCACACACCTGAAGATCATAGATAAAAACAAACCCCGATCAAAATCCAGATGTTCCGTTAAGGTAAAAGATCATAAAAGTGGACTTAGAGGTTCCAGGTGCTGATTATTTTACTCACACTTCCGAAATAGCGGTCGAGAATCTCAACGTAGTGATGAATTATCTCAAGGACCTCTAACTCGTTGTCCTCCTGATCAATGCACATGCAGAAGTAGAGGCTTGCATATCTTTTGTAGACAACTTTGTATCCTCTCCACTCAACAAAATTGCAGAGCTTGGGACCTCGGTTCAGAATCACTCCACTGAGTTCACGTATAACCTATCCATAGCATGTAAGAATCAAATATATGCAAAATACAACAGGATAATTAAGCTTTGATAATTCATAATCATACCTTAGACCTTTCCTTCTGTGTATAAGGCGAATACCATTTGGTGAGCCTAACCTTTCCTTGCCGACTAACTAGAAGCACAAAATGTATCTGAAAAAACATCACCCAAGATTCACCTTTGATTGTTTATAAGGATCATTCCACTCAAATCCAAGAGTCCTAACAATTGGAGAAAGCATGAGAGCAGATGCTTTTTTCACCAAACTAATATCATTATCCATTAGCAATTCATAGCACAATTCCAAATGTATATAATTTTCCTCTAGTAGTATTACTCAGAGATGACAAGATTGAGCTTCTTAAGAAGGATCGAACCTACGAAAATGAGACCCAAGAAGCTAGCATTGTCTCCAGCATCAAGCGGGGGAAAATATCATTTAGGTTCAAATAAAGGTAACAACTTTCAATCTGCAAAGAACTTTTTTTTTTTTTTTTTTTTTTTTTGACAGCCAATCTGCAAAGAACATTTTGAACTGATACAAGGCATTCTACAAAACCCAAAAATATTCAATCAATTCGTGCGAGAGGAAAGAAAGGAACGGGAGGAAGATAAGATCCAAGCGAAAGTTAATCGGATCAAACTTATCATCGAAAATAATATAAGAACGAATCAAAGATGCGAAATTCATATCCAGAATTAAGTTTTTTCCTGGCAGCATCGCATAAAAAAAATAAGTCAAAATGCACAGAATGGAAGATAGATCATAATTCGCAAGTTGTTACCATGATTTCGTAACTCGAAGACGGAACAAATCTGTAGCAGTCGAAACTCCAAATAGCCGATGATCCTAAGAAAAGAAAAATGTGTTTGCTCAAACAGATCAAGTGATAGGGGTATAACAGTAATTTATGTTATTCGAAGCGGAGGTCATTCCGGGTCGGATCCTTGGTGATCCGATTCTGAGCTACAGTTTTCAAATCATTTTCTTCGATATTTTTTAATGTTTTTTTTTTCTAAGAAAAAAATCCAATATGGATTTGCTAATTTAGTGATCTTAGTAATTTGAACTTTTATACGTTATTAAAAACAATTTTTGTTCTTTTGACAAATACTGTTTCTACATTTGATTCTTGTTCGAAACCATATGATTAAGAAGTAAAATGGATCATATATAATAATATATATGATTATGAATCATATTTGCATAGATTTTTTTTTGGTCGAAGATGTTAAGAATATTTGCATAGATAACCGCTCTAGGAATCCTCCAAAGCTGGTTCCATGACAGACCCGCGTCACTTCATTCATATATTTCTTTCACTCTTTGTTTCTTAAATATGTTTTCTTGGGCATGTAATCCAGTTTTGATCGAAAAACTTTGTATCCAATTTTTATTTTACCTTGGATAGAAGGCATATTCTCTGCATGCAGGCTTTTTTTTTAAGAAAAAAATCTCAAGTTTCGATGTGTTTTGAAGTTGACATCATAGAAATTAGGTTTTTAGTTGTCCTCCCAAAATATTCTTCTCCTTCTTTGCCAGACAGCAGTCCAGTGGAAGTTCAATTTTATGACCAGTAAATATATACTAATATATACCTTGGGCTGTACACACAAATTAGAACACGTCTTAAAAGTTATTAAAGCCTTAATATAAACATCAATTAAATAATATGATTAAAAAATCATCTGCTCCGCATTATTCACCTGATATTAACTAGAACATGTAATAGGCCAAGCTCTGTCCAAAATAATATATCTTCTTTTATAACACTTAGCGATTCTATTCATAATAAACAACAAAGAAATTTGTTTTCAGGTTTCGTTTTTTTCATTTTCATACACCAAATTTCGAAGGAAACAAAATCCAAAAGAAACCCTAATATTCGCATTCCGCAACCGCTATAGCTAGTAGTTTGAGATCAAAACTCAAACGCAACAAAAAAGTGTCACCAAGACGCTAAAACGCGGGTCTAGTAACACCTCCACCTCCACCTCCACCATCTCCTCCTCCTCCGCCTCCGCCTCCGCCGCTCATACCAAAAATATCTCCGCCAGAGAATTGAAAATTGTTCATATTCATTCCAAGATTATAGAAAGCAACTCCTCCTCCTCCGTTTCTACCTCCGAGGTTTGACTCACATACCTGGGCCCCACTCCCCGTAACCTCCGACGATTGAGACGCCGCCGACTGCGGCGGCTGCACTCCAGTGGTTCTTGGCGGCGGAGTTTCTTCCTCCTCAATCGGTAACCTATCATAAACTGCGTTTGCAAAAGACGCAGCCATCAACACTACCGGACCCGAAGCAATCAACGAACCAGCCACATTCCCTCCAAGAACCTGTCCTTGACCACCGGCTAGATACACCGTCAAACCTCCTGCTCCCGGCGGTGCAGGCGGTGGAAGCGCCGTTCCGGTTAAAGACAAAATCTCAAACCGACCATGCAGTGTAATCACACCGCCACCCGTCGGAGGAGTCGCCGGTTGCCGTATGGTGACATTAGTCACCGCACCGGTACCGCTTATAACGCAAACGCCGCAGCCGCGGCGAGTCGCGTAGGTGGAGACAGCCTCAGATATGTCGGAGCCGGAGGCGACTTCAAGAACGTGGGATCTAAGGACGTTAGGACTATCTCTGGTTATAATTGTTGGAGGTTTGGGTTTGTTTTTGGAACCAGCAGGACGGCCACGTGGACGGCGTCCGGAGGAAGAGCCAGAGGCGGTGGCTGAGCTGGTTACTCCGCCGGTGGGAGTGGTCTCGGCCTTTGCAGCTTCGTCAGCTTCAGATCTGCTGAGTTCCATGTTCTTATGATCAGGTGGGGTTCTGGAATCTTCAGGTCTCTGTAGATGCAGTTCTTGCCCTAGAAGAGGGTGCATGTAACCAGACATATTGATAACAAAAAACAAGAAACTGTGGTTTGGGTTTTGGATTTTCTTGTATATAGAGGGAGAGACAAAGACAAAAGTGTCGACAGAAAACTTCTGTGATGAAGTGGTTTGTCACCGAGAGTAGTACAGTGTTTCAGAACAGGCTTTGATTAGACTTACATTAATGTTACGGACAAAACAAGAAGACGACAAGAGAGAACAAAACCCTACTGAATACTGAGAGAGAGAGGTCTAGATATGTGAAAGAGGGTCGGTGAAATTTGTCTGGACCCAGATCTAGATCTTCATGTGAAGTAATGGAACGAAACAAAGGAGAGAAAGGAGTAAAGCAAGAGCATCAAAACACTATTTAAACACGGCTCTCTTCTAAATTACAATATACATAAATATAAATATAAATAGATATATATATATATATGTATATATACTATATATAGAATATACTTGTGTTGAAAAAAACATGTATTTAACAAATATAGACATATAGAAGAGGTGTAGTGGCTTTTAAGTCCTCGAGGAAAGCAAAAAAAAAAACTGATGTTGACGACTGAAGAAGGGATTGATGGATTCTAAGGGAGACAAAAGAAGGAATATGGGGAAGGGAATTACGGAGATGGAGAGAAAGAGATTGTGTTGATCATTTTCCAAGATAAAGCTGAAGGCAAACAAGAAAGAAAAGAAAGACAAGTTAAAGAAGAGACCTTTTGTGACGGTGAAGGCATGGTTTGGTGATATGTTGATGGTTGATTTTTTTTCTTCTTTGAAATCCAAAAGATATGCGATTGTAGATTGTTATTCCAAAGTCAAGTTATGCTGTTTCATTTCGAGGTCAATGTCAAATAGCCGACCTAACTCTCTGTTTGTGTTATTGTCGGTAACAACATATATTTTTCACCTATTACATTTCACAAGATTTGGATCCGAGATTTTATATACTTTAGGTCCCAACCATTCTCTAGTCTAAGAAAATATGACATCATTTAATATGATAAGAAAATTAAAAACTTGTTACATGTAATCGAAGATAGTCAAATTCGATGGTCCATAATTTCTTCGTATGAACTTTGTTTCTTCCCGCCTAAAACTAAATATTTGAGACAATGATTCAACAAACCTCCAACTAAATTATTGTTCAACCAAATAAGCTCTGTGCTAGATAGATAATATCGTTTTTGTATTAAATTTGCATACTCTTTTTATTTTTCTTAAGAAATACGCCATATTGAGTTAAATGTTGTATATCTGAAAAAAGTTTGTGATAATTTTTTATAAAAAATATAGCATCATAAAAGTGGTGTATATATTATTAAATATATATTGTTCTAAAATTCTGTAATTAGAGTAGTAGTATTACGGTGTCTGCAAAAAAAACATGATGGCAATTTATTTTAGTCTAGTTAACCATGTTGATATATATTATAAACTCATACATAGATAGTTTTTTCAATATTTTCTTTTGAGTGGTGATGAAGTGATCGGATGAGTAAAGCTCAAATAAAAAAATGTGTGTGTCATGAGTAGAAGAAGACAATGGGGCTTCACCATTGGCTGTTATAGTGAAAAGAGTGGTGGATTTCACATGATGAGCATTTTGCTTTCTTCCTTTTTTCTTGATTTAATTAAGCCTTTTAAATTTCTCGAGCCACTCAAGAGCACGGCTTCACTTTATATCTTTCCTTTTTTTACTGGTTAAATATTAAAATTGTCATAACTTTACAGAGGGGATCTGTTTTGTGTGTTACAAACACAGAGAAGCTGAAAAATTTATGCACCTGCTTGCCAATATTTTAACTTGACAACAACAAAACAAATTCCAATTTCAGTTCAAACACTTGCTCATAAGCGGAGAGGACATCTTGTTACTAAACATAATTCCTAGTCAACCAGATTACCACGTACGTTGGATTATGTCGCAGCCCCTTAAGACGAATTAGCTAGACCCCGTTATGTAAAATCGCTAAGACATATAACTATAGATTAAGCCAAACCATGGCAAATATCGTAAACTAAAAAGATTTTATTTCTCAGAATAGAGTAATAATCATAGATAAGACGTCGGACAATGCTACATATCATAAAGAGTAAAATATGCTGTATGAAATAATCATAATCTTGGAATAAATAAAGATCAACACGGTTTTCTGCAGTTGAAGTAATCAGATAGAAGTCTTGTGCTCGAGATAGAATGAAATTGGAATTCCTTTGTCTTCGGATTACCAAAGGAAGTTATGCACATAGGAAGTTAGGAACCAAAACTCTCAATATATACGAACTCTGAATATGACTGATGATATATATTCAAGTGGATACACGTGAAGAAATCTTGTTCCAAAATTCTCGCCCTTTTCGTGTTATCTTTCTTTTATAATATTCAATGTAAAACTTTCATTTCAAGAAAATAATATAAAACATCTATGGCCAAAATTTATTCGGGTCGACAGCCAAACCCCCCAACAAAAGAAAAAGACGTGGACGAAAAAAAACACAGATCAGAGGGAATAATAACTTAAGGCGCAAGCGATTAAGCCAAAATAGGACCAATGCAAGATTTTAAAACATTGCTTAGGACGTAAGGAACTTGAGGAGAGCAATGCTCAGTCCTCACAAGATCCACCAACAAAGGGAAGAAGCTCGACACGTGTCTTTCAGAGACTCTGCTCTAATGAGCATAAGCTCAGTGACGAACGAGCACGGAGTCTTGCCGTTGCTCATCTATCCGATCTGATCCATCGGGAAGAATCCAATGGATCGGTTTTGTTTGTTGTTGTTGACCTGTGCATTTAAGGTACATCTTCACGACTTTTTCACATTCAGTGACTAGACGAGACTCGAGATCGAGTTCTTTAGAGACGTTTGGATTGCAGGTGACCATGTCTTGGAGAAACATCATGTACGATTTGTTAGACTCGTTCTCGAAGTTAAGTAGTTGAGGCTCTGTTAGGTTTTGAACAGAGCATGCTCTCTTGAACTTCCTGCGAAGGACTGTGTCTGTGTTTAGCTGCTGCGCGTGAGACGCGATGCATGAGAGAATGTCTGCGAGGATATCCACATGTGTTGCGGACAATGAGAATTGGTTCTTTCTGTATAAATCATTCACAACCTGAAAACGAAACAGAGAAGTCAAAAACAGAGCAATTGGAGATATAGAGAGAAGAGAAAAGAGAGAGAGAGAGACAGAGAGAGAAAGGGCACCTCGACGATTTGAGACAAGACATCAATGTGTTTCTTTGTTCTGGAGACAACGTAAGACATGATGTGAAGATTATCATCATCGAGATCATCTTTGTTTACGCTTTGACCAGAGACCGTTTCAACATCTTCGATATCATCCATGGCTCTCAAGACTTTCATGAATCCCGCGAAAGTAAGTGAGGCTGCTTCCTTGAGAGCCAAGAAAATCTCTCTCCATTCATCTTTAGAGGCGCTTCTAGCCAATCCATCAGCCAAACGAAGCAAAACAGAGATTCCTGAGCCCGTAGAGCCTTGAACAGGACTCTTTATAAACCCTATAAGGATTGACACAACGCTTGTAAGCTGAGATCTCACGGAGCTGAAAAAGTTCACAAGTAGATCGACGAGAAGCTGCAATGCAAACGCTGATGTCTCAGAGTCCCATGTAGTTTCTTCGGTGTCTAGAGAAGCAGAGGACGGCGAATCAACGCTTTCTTCGAAGAGCATATCGGTTTTACTACGTATGTTGTTGAAAATCGGGAGAATGATAGAGCTGAAGATTCCAGTCCAAAAGGGTTTAGTAAAAAGATGACCATGGTCCATGAGAATGTTGAAGAGCACTTCTATGGAACGCTTTCGAATTGCTGGTCTCGCATCTGATGCTTGCTTAGATAAACCTGAACATGTATCAAAAAAGTTGCTCAAATCGTTTTGCAAAAGCAGAGGATGCAACTTAATTAGTAAGTGTGTTAGTACTGGTAAACTAGAGAATCCGGATTTGGTTGTAACCTGAAAGCAGAGGAACCCAATAGGATACTTGTTCATCCATGTCATTAAAATTCTGTACTGTATCAGATGAATCTTCCTTTAAAGCTAAGATATTATTGTTCTTGATTTTTTCGTTCCAGACAAGTCCTCCTTGTGCAAGCTTTGAAGCACAGAAACGAAGAAACTCTATGGTGTTGAAACCAATGTCGCCTTCAAACTTGCTGTTTGTGAAAGTGATGAGGCATCTGATGCAGTCAGCATATACCGATATCTCTGTCTCAGTTATGCAATGAAAATGATCTCGGACGATTTTCTCTACCGTCTCAAAAGCTAACAATACAATGTTCTTCCTCTCGTCTATCGCTGCAGTTGTGAAAACCTAAAACCAACAAAGATCATATGATTCTTGAATAAAACATTCAAAGAAGAAGATTAGATTGAGAAACGTGTGTCTTACGTACCGTGAAAACACTTTTCCAACCAGATTTCACATTACTAACTCGACTGAGAACCATTTGAGAAACACATCGGACTATTAGCTCTCTTATCTCAGCGGAACTGCTCTTCTGCATGACAATGGCGAATGGTCGAAGAAACTCATGCTGGAAATGGTAGTTTGCTAGCTCCTCACGCTCCAAAAATTTCATGGAAAGCTGACGAAGCGAGTCCATGACAAATATAGCAACGGAGAGATTCTCTGACAAGCCGACGGATACAAAGAAATCAGAGAGAACATTCCATATGCGGGACCAAACTAATCGTATTCTGTTCATGTTATAATGCCTGTCAAATCAAAACAAAAATTTTGCATCAGCCACAGTTAACTTGATCAGAAAGTAACAAAGACAAAGCGATGGGATGAATAAAAGATTAGACAGAATGAGAACTTACGCTGTCTCGACTAGTTTTGTGAGGCTAAAGACACGAGGATCTGTTGGTGACTGAAGTTCTGACATGGAGACTTTGCAAAGCGCTTTAACAAAAGCAACTATAGCTTCACTGTTCAACCTTTGGCTATTAGCATAGACATGGTTCAACTCAAAGTTGCCTATTTGATCCAGCAGGTTCAAATTGGCAATGAAACTCTTAATCTGCTCTGGAGTAACTAATTTGGGAACGGTTTTCACAAGCGAAGTACTATCATAAGAACCTCCCCTTACAACAGCAATCACAGATGGATTCTGAAGAGCTCCACGTTTCTTTAAATGTGGAAAACCCAAAGCTTTCTTTTCATCTACCTCAGCTTTTGTTTTCGGAATGTAACGTGTATCTGCAGGTGAGACATCTCCCAGAAGTTGCAGGTGTTCTATACGAGAAAGGCAAGTTAATATATGCTCCCAAGATCCTTGTAGATGGTTACCGTCTTCTATGGCTATTGTTATTATCGCCTGCATAAAATGGAACTTATTTGTTAATCCAATCATTTTCTGACATAAATAGAATAGGCTGAGATATGGAAGAAGTGAACTTACTTTTACAGCATCAACATTTTTCTGCTTCATATCTGCAGCACAATGAAGATTAGTGAACTTGGCCATAGAAGTGACAAATGCATCTCTCTGAGTTTGCATTCCCATGACTGCAGTGACGTGCACTGCATATCGGAAGCCTTGTAAGCACAGAGAAGTTGCCATTCTATCATCACTCTGGTCAAGAGTGACACTGAATGCAGCAAGCATCGGTCCCCATGAGACCTCGAGTATGAACCTCAAGATGGTGACATCGGTTACAGTATGATACACTGACCTGCCGATCAAGAACAGAACAAACATACTGATATCAACTCCAAAACATAATAATTTCTGAATCTCAGCATTGAAGTTTACAAAACAAAAAGCAGAGGAGCGCTTACTCTGATTTCCCTGCCTTAGCTTGGAACTGTTCCTGGATATCCCTTATAAGCATCCCATTGGCACCATGCGGTTTCTCATCTGGTTGCATCCAAGAAACCAGATTGAGGATGCCGTCTAAACCCAATAGTTTATTCAAGCCATTCACTTGTTTGCTTTGTGGGGCTAAAGTATCAGAGTTCATCTTGATTTCGTCTTTTACTACTCGATCATATAGAGAGCCTAGGTACTCTTCAGGTAAGTCCTTGCCATCATCTATTCCCCGATTGTTGCGAACAAAGTCAGCTTTCGTCATCTAAACAACCATTGAATTTGGACAAGGCATCAGAAACAGAGGTACTAAAATATTCCCATCTTGTATCATCTAGAAGCTGCTTATTAACAGAGTTTCAAGGCAAGAACTTTTTATACTTGATGAATACGCATTGATAGTTACCAGAAGAAAGGAAGCATCTATACCTTATCCTTAACCATGTTGTTGTGTGCATCTGTGTTGAGCATTATCACAGAGTATGCCAGAACGTAAGCAGTGTCTGCACTTGTGAAAGAATCAGGATTGCATCTCCAGTAATGTTCTGCAAATTTCTCCATGATTCGGTCTATTTTCTGCGCTTCTCCTGGTAGCCTGAAGCCACGTAGGAAGAACCTAATCGCTTCGACAAAATCCTTCTTTTCGAAGTTAAACGAGTCCACATATGCATGCATAACTTTGAGTGGAAGTCCCTCTCTTTCACCGAGATAATCACCAATCACGGTTCCATTCAGCCCTGCTGTCTTCATCAGAAAGGAAGCCACTTCTTCAGGGGAATTTCCTATCTTCTTGCTGCTTATGAGAAATTCGATCCCTTTTGAAGGTTTCCTATTAAACAGAGAGATACCTTTCTGCAAAACCACCATGATTATTTGTTAGTGAAGCGGAAGCAATCTATGCCATATATCATCAAAACGTTAAGTGTGCTCAAGGATCGACCTGGAGTTCAATCTTGTAAGCTCTTCGTTGCTCAAGCATAGAAGCATCATAAGCTTCAGGATTAGTATCTGGCTGTGAATCGCAGTCAGATACAGTTCCTTCTTCACCAATCTGGCCTGCATTACTGTCCATAGAAGCATATATTTGTGAGCCTTTAGGCCATACCGTCTCATTCACTTTCATCTGCTGATCCATCCAATTTCCCATCGCCTTAACTACGTTAACCAAACACTTGACAGATTCATTCCTGAATGTGCTATCTTGTGCCGGAGACAGCGTTGTTGATGAACCGGTCGGTGGTCCTAGAGCAGTTTTCAGAAGACCGTTGACAATCCTGCAAGTATCTGATGGAATTATAAGAGCTTTAATACATTATATTATAACTCTTTGACGAGCCATGCAATTTTATTCTTGCAGATTGTTAGACTAATCTAATACCTTTCTAGTATGTTTGAGGAATCCACATCACAGTCATAGTTCACAAAGATGTCGACAATAAGCTGCGGATCCTGAGACATTTTATCCAGCAAGTTGAGCACAGTCATCTTCTGCAGGAAACTAGGCTGGAGAACATTCTCGAGCACACGGAGGACAATCATCGGAAAGAAGATGCCGATTTCTGCTTTTAGCTGTGATCTAAGCTTTGATAACAAGCTCATGAAGATAGCACATTGCAATTGGAATATCGACATGATTGACACCGCACTGTTCTTCAGCAGTGATAAGCATAAGTATTGCTTAACAGCATTGATAAAACTGCATTTCAGTGAACACAAAAACAAAATTAAAAGCTAGCAAAGAATCAAAACAGAGTTAAAACAGAGAATCAATCACTTGCCTGTCATTAGAGCGCCAAACAGGACCTCCATTGTCAATAATGACCTTAAGCAACTCAAGAGACAGAGTCTTACCTCTCACCATGATCTGATCATCATTGTTCTCCTGAGAAGAGAACCTCATGGAGAGTTTACACAAGTTCTTGAACAGAAGGAAAGCGTCCTGTCTCATCTTACTCATCATGTTCTCGCCTCCCTCGGAACCGTTAGCTTCTCCGTTCGTCGTCACGTAGCCTCGAAACGACGGCGAATCAGGAGTCATAACCGTTTCAGTCTCCGGATTCTGAAGCAGAATCTGAACCACATCAGGAGGAGGAAAAGGACTCCCTTGCCCTGCAGCCATGACCTCGTTCACAAACCCTTGACAGAAATAAACAGAGCTTCCTTCGTTGACGCTCTTGTCCGTGAAAGTCAAGAGATCGTTCACGTAAACCGTTTTAACGGAAACGTCGAGCGAGTCCTCCTCGGATCTTGTGAAGATGACGAGCATCATCTGAGCCAACACAGATTTCGCGCAGATCTGCGTCGTGCCGCTCAATCCACCGAGGTAGATGTTGTAACAAGTCTTGACGACGTGTAGCAAGCAATCGCCACGGATCAAGACGCAGGGAGATCTAACGGCGGAGAGAAGAACACGGAGAACGGCGAGTTGGATCGGTTCCTCGGCGATAGCACCGACTTTGGAGACGGCATTGACGAGCTTGAAGAGGACGGAATCTTGTTTTGACGACTGGATCTCGCCGCGGAGGATTGAGAGAGAGAAGAGCTTGAAGACGCAATCGAGAGCTGGCTCGACGACCTTGGAATAAGCGGTGTCGAGAGATAAGAGGAAAGGCTGGAGAACGGAGTCTGCGTCCGATGCGGCGAGGCCGGAGACGACGGAGGAAGGATCGTGAAAGTCGTCGGGGAGAGATTCGAGCTTGTCGAGGACGGATTTACAGGAGGAGACGAGGTACGTGTGCTTACGCCACGCCGCGTTCTTGATGATCTTGTCCAACGACGGACCTATTACTCGGCCGCAACGGGTGGCGCCGCCGAGAATGTGTGACGTTGACATCGCCGGAATTTTTTTATTTTAGTTCATGTCGGAATCTCAAAGAGAGAGAGAGAGAGAGGAAGCTTTGATCGTACGTTTCAGTTTGGTCTAAGTGTTGGCATTTATATATACTTTGTCGATTTGCTGAATCGGTAAAAGGCTTCCTGCTGAAGAGGGAGGGAGCGTGAAACTCACGTGCAGCAAAGTGGCGCGTGTGATTCTATTTGTCATTTTTTATTACACCCCACTCGTCTCCCACGTCCCAATGGCAACTATGATGTAATCAAATGTTTCAAATATTTATTAATACGATTTATTAATGGCTGCGAATTACTAGTTGACTTTGATGAAACGTTACTCTAGTAATCTCGTTACATAATTGCACGTAACAGTAGTAGGTAGTGATTATTATGTCCTACGAGTAGTCTTTCTAAGAATTTTTTTAAAAATTTGTTAGATTGATTCGATTATATAAGAGATAATTAGAAATTTAGGACAATTTCCCAAACCATCTGTCCTTTTAGAATTTATTATCTTAGACATTGTCCCTTTAATATTTATTTTTATTAAAATCCAAAATTACCCTTAAAATTTCATTCTAGTATTTTTGAAATATTTTGATATTCACCTTAAATATAAAATAATTAAAAAATTAAAAAAATCAACAAAAAATAAAAAAAATTCTCGAATTCACAACAACAAAAGAAACAGCAAAAAATATTCCAACTACTTTGTTTTATGAAGACACATATCATACATCAGAAGTTTGGCTCTCTTTGAAAGAGTTTCCACCGATGAATCAATCTCAAATTTAGACACCAGATATATAAATGGACTAGCTTTCATTTGAAAGTGGTTTGAGGTAATTCTAACGGTGCGATCAAAAATTATGCCAATTTTCGTGAAAACAATCCTATTTGGCGAGCAAATGAAGCAAGTGCAGAAAAAGCAAAAAAAAAAGAAAAAGACAAGAGGTCTCGAACTCAGAGGTTTGAGTTAATGGAAAGCCATAAAAATCTATTGTTGCTCAGCACATTATTCGATTTTATTATAACGGTTTTAATACTTAATTTCAACATTAGAAAAATATAAAAAAAAATTTCAAAAAAAGAAAGTGAATATTTGGAAAATATTCAGTTGGATGGATAAGCATATGAATCCCAGATTTTCGCAGATGCGGTAACGATTTACTAGAATACATATTCTATATTACATAGAACAAAGAAGGATTGGTAGAATTCACATTCTATTAAAATGTAGAATGTAGTAAAAAATGTAGAACATGTATTCTAGTAGTTGTAGAACTCTAAAGAGTTTGTAGAATACATATTCTATACGACTAACAGAATGAAGAAGAACATGTAGAACACCAATTCTAGGTTTTGTAGATTGTAGAAGAATATGTAGAAAATCTATTCTAAAAAATCGTAGATAGTATTTAGATGTGTTATTAGCAGATAACAGTTGATTTCGGATTAATGAAGAAATTGTTAACTATCTAAGAAGGAAAGAACATACAATGTCTCCAAAATTCGGGTATCACTTATCAATCAATCCACTGCGAATAAAATAAGGTAATCCGACTTGTATGAGTAGAAGTCAAATGATAATTTTGTTTTTTTACCAAACCATAGGCCATAGAGTATTGTGTGTTTAATCCAAACAAACTTGTGTCCAAACGCCAAACACAAAGACTTTTTCTCCACTTTACGTAAATTATAATAGTAGACACCGATTGTCTTGCAATATTCTCCTTGTTATATAGTATTGTATTCAATGTCCGTAAGGACATCACATATCTAATTGCAATACCTCGTCATTGCTATACATATAATATATAGTGATATTTGATTGGGTTGCCTTAGTTCATAAATAGACAGTTGTGAAAGCAGTTTGTGTTTTACTGGATCAACCAAATGCGGACGGAAGGAAAATTGTAACGTTTCAGCTTGTAATGTCGTCATAATGCCAAAACATGAATTGTAGATCATGTGAAAAAATAATCGGACTTCATAACATCCATCCAGTTGAACTCATTAATTAAAATGACAATTGGAAAAGAGAAAAGAAAAACACATTTCTTGCGTAGTTAAGAGATAAAAGAGCTTTGATGATTTGACTAATTTGGTATGTGTAAGAATATGAAGAGATTTATTTGCTCTCTATGTAGGCCTCACCATTAAAGAAACAAGTATCCTCCAAGGTGGGTCATGGTCGGTTGCTCCCATATCTCCGGGACATACCAGTGTCCGATAGTGTATCCCACACCTGCACAAGGATGATCATATATTTATACGTTAGTTTCCTAGAAAAATAATAAGTTATTTCACATATCATCAACATCTCTACTCACTTTTAGCTTCCCCTCTGAGCCACCAACAGCGAGTAAGAAGGGACAGTCCGCAGAGAATGATACCGAGAAAACTATTCCCTGTTTTGATATATCAAATTTAATTTGGAATGCATGGTTAACAAAGAATGCCAGAAAGAAACAGGTGCCAACAATTAATTAACTACACTTATTAATTCATGGCTCTTACAGCGTTTGGATTGTGTGTAGCAATCCATGATGGTTGATTGTTTGAAAGATCCCAAAGTTTCACACTTTCATCCCCAGATCCAGTAGCCAAAAGCTGCACAGCTCAGAGAATGACTCATAACACTACACACACAATAACAGCTATGAAAATGGTAGGACAAAAGAGAGAGAGACAGAGAGAATGTATGTACATTGGGCTTATGTAAGTTGTATGATATGGAGGAGACTTCACGATCATGAGCATGGAGAGTGAAACTTGGTGATAAATTAGAAGCACGTATATCGAAACCCTCCACAGTTCCATCTTTGAGACTCACCTTAATAAAAGAAAACATTTTATATATACGAGATATACTCAAAAGATTTTTATTAGACGAGCAAGGAAAATTAAGTGTAACGCACCACAAAGGAGTGTTCACTATGAGGATCCCAGGCCAAGCTTTCGACTTTGGCTTTGGTAGACCATTTAAAACCCGAGTGTGAAGGGTCCCTTCCATCTTTCTGCAACAACATATATATAGATATTAAAAGACTCACCATACTGATTAATAAATTTTGTACATCAAGACTCAAACACATGGATGAACAGAACAGTCACCAATACTACGGTGCGGTCAAGCGAGCCACTGAGGAGTACTTGTGGAGCATAATGGTTCCATGCGACCGCTTGAACCTGTTAACCAAACACAAAAAGCCATGAGCATGCCACTAGATTAGGGAAGAGCATGGAAACAGTTTCATCATCATACCTTCTTTTTGTGATGCTCCATAGTGACCTTGCATTGTCCCGTAGCCACATCCCAAACCTTTATTGTTTTATCGGCACTGCCACTAGCAACTATATTCCTATTTTTCCGGTCAAGTCAAATGAGAGTCACACACACACGTCTAAAGAGAAATCATGGAGCCAGAGATCTTAAACATACCTAAACTCCTTGTTCCAAGCAAGATCAATTACTGATTGATCAGTAGTGTGGCAATCTGATGTCTAGAGAGTGAAGAAAACAACTAAGTAAGTTAATGGATATATTAGGAAACTAAACAGGAAGAGCTACAAATTTTGAAAGTTGGTGGTCACAACCTCCCCGGCTATTCGTCCAAGTTGTACACTAGGTAGCACCTCACCTTCCTGAAGGCATTATAAATCATCATATCATCTCATTGATTGTTAAGACTAAATAAAGGTACGTAAAAGATCAAAAGACAGTTCGATTGACATACAACATCAAGATCCCATATCTCTATCGTCGGCGATTCCATTGACCCGACAGCTACAAAGTTCCCTACAATCACGAAAGCAAGACTTATGAAAAGTGATAATTTCATTTATAGATCAAAATGCCACTCAAAATATACTATCTAACCTTTTTCCCCTCCTTTAAGAGGACAATCAAGCCATGCTGTACACAATGGAGGCTCAGGTAGAATTATGTCTTGACGAAGATACATGTTTTGAGTGCCATTCCCGGATTCCTCGTATATATAAACCTCTAGATGATAGCTGTATTCCTCTTTAATCCTAGCGCAGATGATCAGTGAATCGGTAGGCCTAATTGTTATATCATCGAGATCCTCTGAGTCATAGTTATTATCCTATAGGGGATTTAACCACATTTTCAAACATCAGTATATAGTTTCCACAACAAGAAAAAAATAGAAAAAAATTATGGTATGTGTGCTTACGTCAGTATTATTCTTCAAATAAGGATCCATCGCATTGCTTGGATAATAAAGGTCTCCGAGGCCAGAGCTAAACACTTCAATTTCTGAGTCCAACACAATAATGAAGGAAAGTATATATCAGCATCAATGTAAATGGAGGATGTCTGAAAATCGATAGGATTAGCAAAAAACATACCATCATCATCCTCTTCATCATAGTTTTCCATGTCGAGTTCTTTCAAGAACTTGGCTACGTCATCAGGATCAGTTGAAGAAGAAGCACCATTGCTTGTGGAACATGATTTTCCAAGAGATTTTGCTACAGCCTTGGCATGAGCAACTTCACCATCCTCCATCTCTTCTTCACTCAGACTATACATATATATATATAATCTATGTGTGATTTTCTCCTTAAAAAAGATCAGAGAAATTAATAAACAGCAAATGGAATAAGAAATATTCACCTTTTCTTGAGAGTGCCATTATTGATGAGCTCTTTGATCCTCTCCTTAGAAGGAGGTTCAGCAATATCAAGCATGGCTTTTGATGCCCCTTTCGGTATCCATGAAACTGCACTTATCATTCTGCAAAAACGAAGCTCATTAGGAAGCAAAACCTAAATCGCTGAATTCGAATGAAACAGAGAACGCCATGCCCTCGAGACAGTTTACGATTCCGTTACCTAACCATCAGTGTAAGTATCGACTTCCCGTTGAAGCTTTACGAGTTATGTTCAGAAAAGGCTTCCACTTTGAGATCGACACAGAAGTTTGAGATTATATATGATTGAAAGCCAAACGAGGATCCAAGAAGCTTGCTCTGCTTCAGAGGGTTTTGACAAAGAGACCGAAGAAAACGCGCGGCTAGAAGAGAAAAAAAAAAGAAACAAAGAGGGTTATGAACCAGGGTTTGGTAACTAAAAAAGAAAAAAAAAAACTTACAAAATTTTCTAATGTAAAAAGAAGAAGAAAATCCCAAGGAAACAAATAAATTAAAATCTTTTTGTCACCTCCAAAAATTCCATAATTGTTGTCGCATTTCTATTTCTTTTAAAAATTGTTTCCATGGTATTTTCCATTTAAAAAAAATTGTAAGCATAACAATTGCGAAATTTTTTGTTGTTTGTTCAAAACCAATAAGAGTCCGAGTGGAAAAAAAGTTTCAAATTTGATCACGGGTAGTCAAAATTGAATACCAAAAGATTCGAGCTAACCGAACCGGACCAAGTTACCCGTACCAGCCAAAACAAATAATCAAATGAAACCAAAGGCCATGAGGACAGAGACCACACATGTGTGTCATCGTTATAACTTTTACTATATTGCATCGTGAAGAGAGAAAGGAATCTGCTGATTTCATTTGAGGGAAGATTCTGAAAATCTCTCACATCACACGTACGTACACATTTGCTTTGGTGAGCCATCGACGAACGAGAAATGGAGAGCGACTCCGAGATGGTAGCGTTCCCTCTGTTACCGATTCCGATAGAATCAAACTACAGGGCTTGCACCATCCCTTATCGATTCCCTTCTGATAATCCCAGAAAGGCTACTCCCACTGAGATCTCTTGGATCGACCTCTTCTCCAACTCCATCCCTTCTTTCAAGTTCCATCTCTCTCCTTTCTCTTTCAGCTTTCGATTCTAATCCAGATTCTTTGCTATGCTATTGGGGTTGTTTTGGTTCATGGGTCTGGTCAAGCTTTGATTTTTAATTTTAGATTTTTATCCGTCAGTTGATCTGGATGATTAAAAGCGTATAAATTTTTCCCGCCCATTAGCTGCTGCGATCTAGCTGTTCAATATTGGTTTGATGATTGTTTCTATTGAATTCTCTTATTCATACTCTTTCTGGGTTTTTCATCGGGATTTGGCTTGGTAACATTATGAAGAAACTCTAATTGTTGTGTTGAGGAAGGAATGAAGAAAAATTCTGAGCTAACGAATAAGAAAAACATAAGCTTTCAGTGTTCTAAAGATGCTTCTTTTTGTTGCAGGAAACGCGCAGAGAGCGATACAACGGTTCCAGATGCTCCTGTTCGAGCTGAAAAATTTGCCCAAAGGTACATCTTTGTGTGTGCTATGGTTTGTTTTGCATGTCTTTTCATAGTTTCAGAAGGATTCTGTGAATTATCTGCCGCAAAGAGCTACTTTTTTAGCCAAAAGCATCAATTTTGCTTTTTATTTTGAAGGTATGCGGAGATTCTTGAGGACTTGAAGAAAGATCCGGAGAGCCATGGTGGACCACCAGATTGCATTGTAAGTTAAAAATGCTTTCCTTGGCTCACTAAATTGCTTGTAACGAGCTTTGTTGTTCATGGAATTTTTTTTGGGTGTTTTTTTGCAGCTTCTCTGTAGAATCCGTGAGCTAATACTCAGAGAATTGGGATTTAGGGACATATTCAAGAAAGTTAAGGTATGAGTTTCTGGCAAGGATAGATTTACATAGTAACAGGCCTCTTGTACGCTTTCTAATTATGGTGAACTTGTTAGGATGAGGAGAATGCGAAGGCTATATCACTATTTCCTGAAGTTGTCCGTTTGAGTGATGCTATTGAAGATGAAGGAAAGCGCATAGAGAATCTAGTAAGAGGGATTTTCGCTGGAAACATTTTTGATCTAGGTTCTGCACAGGTATATATGATCTCTTTACTTTCGTACGCTGTTACTTTCATCACCGTTCTTTTGTTGAGTGTCTTGATAAAGGATCTTGTTTTGTTTTTCACATTTGGAAGCTTGCCGAGGTATTCTCAAAGGACGGTATGTCTTTTTTGGCTAGTTGTCAAAACTTGATTCCACGACCATGGGTCATTGATGACTTGGAAAACTTTCAAGCTAGATGGGTCAAGAAGCCTTGGAAGAAGGTCAGTCATTTACCTTCACTCCTTTTTTTTCTTTTGCTTAACCTTTTGCATTATCCTAAGTCAAAGAGTTTGATCACAGAACAAACTCATTTGTCTCATTTGTTCTTTTCTTCTCAATGCATGACAGGCAGTGATATTTGTCGACAACTCTGGTGCAGACATAATTTTGGGTATCTTACCGTTCGCTAGAGAGATGCTACGTCGAGGAATGCAGGTGCTTCTATGTCCTAAAATTATGGACGTTATTGTTCTCTGGATTGACTTTCCGATTGTGAGAAGTCTTAATTAAGTATATATTCTAAATTGTTCCTGCTTTTGCTTCTTCCCTTTGAAGGTGGTACTGGCTGCTAATGAGCTTCCATCTATCAACGATGTAACTTATACCGAGCTTGCAGAGATCTTGTCAAAGGTGCTGAATGGAGTAATTCTGGTATTCTCGTACATTACAGATTATAGAAAAACTCGACCCTGACTGAGTCTTAATTTACCAGCTGAAGGATGAAAATGGACAATTGATGGGTGTTGATACCACAAATCTTCTGATTGCAAATTCAGGGAATGACCTACCAGTATGAATATTCCAAAGCTCTCATAAGTAGGATGGACCTATAACATTGCCTAGTCCTGTTTATTGATTGGTTTTCTCCCTTTCGATAATTGTTGCAGGTAATCGATCTTGCAAGAGTATCACAGGAGGTTGCCTACCTTTCAACCGATGCAGACTTGGTCATCTTAGAAGGCATGGTAAGACCTATAAATCCCTTTACTGTGAAATGTATGTTGTCTAGTCCTTACGTTTTAACATTCAGTAAACTGACTCATAGATTGTTCTGGCCAGGGACGTGGAATAGAGACAAATCTTTATGCTCAGTTCAAGTGTGATTCCCTCAAGATTGGAATGGTAATTAACTAAATAAACTCTTTCTTCTGTTGAAGGGAAGAAGACTTCTTGGTTTTTCAGTTCCTTCTCATTTATCTGGTCTATTCGTTTGTTATGCAGGTGAAGCATCCAGAAGTAGCACAGTTTCTCGGAGGACGACTTTATGACTGTGTCATCAAATACAATGAAGTTGCTCAGAGTTAAATATATTTCATAACCACATTTTTACTGAACCAGCCAATCAGTTTATTATATGAAAAACTGTTAGGCTTTGTAAGTTAGAGATCCAAATCCCTACTCTCTGCATTCGGATGTAAGAATTGAAAACTTTGTCGACATTGTTTATTCAAAACACGCAAATTACCAATCTTTCTGATTGGTCCTTATATGTAGAGAACATCTATTAAGAGGTCATGGTTTTTAGATTTCTCGAAGATGGAGCATTAAGAAGCTCACAGCAAGAAAGAGGCAAGAGAACTTTGACCATATTATTTTAAATTCTCACAGTCATCAATACAAATATGGATGCACTTTAAACAAGTAAAATCAGAAACCATTGAAAGAAAATAAAAAACTTAGGATGAAGCAGGTGAAGATAGATGTCTCTGTGAGTTGATCACTTGGTCTTGGTAGGATATGAAGCCATCTTGTTGATACCGCAGATGCCCTCTGGTTTACCAGTGTTTCTCTTCATCCTAATAAACCCTTTCTCTCCCCATCTTGGTCCCCATGAGTTCTTGACAATAACATAGTCTGATCCCTTTGATGAACCGTACCCAACTGCAGCTACACCGTGGTCTAGGTCTGTTCCACACTTCCCATTAAACACTCCCTGTAATCACAAAAAGTCTATTTTTTTAGAGAGAATGCAAGATTAGATACACAAAGTTTAGAGATCAGATTCATATGTTATATACCCCTTTGTAGAACTGGAAGTCTCTTCCTGAGGCCTCAATAGCCACACTGATTGGCTGATGAGCTAAAGCCTTGACCAGGCTTTCGTCATCGTTTGCTGGGACATCTTCGTAGCCACTGATTGTCACGAGCTCTACATCCTCCTGTAAAAGATTCATGAATGATCATCAGTGTTTATAAGCTGCATCACAGTAAGTTCTGATTCATTTTTTTTGTGTCGAGTGTTTGTTACTTTCTGCTCTTGGCAAGTTCCTTCCTCCATGAGATAAGGGTAATCGTCTTCTTTGTGGAGACCACCCGTCGAAATTATGTACTGGAATGCATAGTCCATGAGACCTCCATTGCAACCACTGTTGAAAGTTGTGTCACAGTCTATGAGTTCTTGCTCTGAAAGTGAACTCAGATTCCCTGTTGTGATCTGGTGGATCCCCTCCACAGCTGCAACTGTCGAAAACGCCCAACAGCTACCTGCAATGACAAAATAAGATTGTTGTAAAGAGCCATTCCTATCTCTGGTTTTATTTACTTGAGACTTGGGATCAAGAAAAGATGCAAGAGAGAAATGTTACCACATGAACCCTGGTTCTTGACGGGAGTCACAGCGCCTTTTTTCCTCCAGTCGACGGATTTAGGCAAGTCACTGATGTCTCTGTACCTGAAGTTAGCAGAGGGCTGTCTCTTTCTAGAGAACTGAGGATTTGTCAGTCCTAGGTATCTCCCCTTGAACTCTTCATGGGTCAAATCCGCAAACTCATTCAAACCTAGCCAATAACTGTCGATCTGATTGTTCCTCTGGTCTATATGCATCAGGTTCTCTCTGAACACCTCGAACCTGCGCACCTTCTCCTCAACGCTTTTGTAAGCCCTGCTGTGTTCTGACATCCATGACTCAAAGAGCTCCAGAAGCTTATCAGTGGATGTCAAATGCTCCGGTGTGTATCCAACAATGGAGAAGTCACGGGCAAGAGCAGAGCTGAGGAGGGCTGATGCTGAAATGGCGACGAAAAGAGAGAACTTGATAAGTGATGGTGTAGAAAAAGCCATAGCTAAAGCTGATCGTATGCTGAGAGAAGGGGAAGAAGAGGGAAGAGATGGTGTGAAAGAGAGTAGATGAATAGGGTTTATATACAAGTGGGAGACAAGACAGAGTCCCAAAGTACTGGCTTTGAAGCAAAGACAAGGATTAAATTAAAAAACCAAGTACGCCGGTCTCTGAGTCTTCACGGTTGGATCTTTTATTAGTTTTGCCTTTTGCTCTAAGCGTGCAATTTTCAACAGAAATAGCTTCACCTTCAGACAGTTTAATGTATATTAAAATATCCCGAGAGAGGATTTGTAAAACGAGGTAGGCTCAATTAATGGAATATCACTATTGGTAGATTTTGGTTCCATACAAACGAGAATAGTAGGTATCATGACCGAGGAAAAAATCAATACAGAGGCGCAAATGTGAATGGTATACCCTACATGAAATACAAAATCTTCAAAAGCTTTATCTCTGTACTAGAATAATTTTGGCATGTGAAGTATAGAGTTCTTTCTTTACTATCGTAGCTTCCCTGCGGAATGCAAATATACTGAAACCGAGACAACCCTGCAAAGCACAAACACAGTAATGCGGTTTAAAAGGAACCTTTTACGCAACCATTAGCTCTTATGTGCATGAATGTTGGCAGCTACTTTTGATATCAAAAGATCGGATGATTGAAGTTATTAGCAGAGACAAATGAGGTTGACTTACGTTGAACCCAAGAAGAAGGCAAGGGAAAGATGAAAATTGAAGAGGAATACAGAGACAACCGCAGTGAGAAGCATAGCCACTGATGTTGAATAAACCTACACACCGATTGGTGTAAGTTAATAACCTTGTTTACAAAAGTGACTAATTATAGGAATCTGCTGGAGAATGAATATACACAGTTACATATTTTTTACCTTCACAATATTGTCGGCATATTTCATCACCATTGACACGGCAATGCCACTGCAAAACAAACAGGAGAAGAGTTTTTAACGTGTTAACTTCACTAACTGACATTAGAGTTGAGAGAAGAGTCTGGTTTTTAAAGTAGATTTTACCTAAGAGCATGGTTAAGAATCATGAGTACTGTGATGAATGAGTAACCATGGAAGAATCCCCTGAAAATTGAACAACATAATAACTCGGCCAGCAGAAAATAATTAACTCCCTGACACCAAGACTAAAGACATATCTTTTGATTGTACATGAAGAGTGAGGAATTGATTAATGAATATGGACACAAGTGTTTGGATATAGGAAAGCAAATCTCCAATGGAGACGCAACTAACCACATGTATATATCTATAGCCAATATGAAAGGACACACATAAGAAGATGAGTTTTGGATTTACTTATTTGCAACGGCATCGAAATCTTGGATCACTATAGCAATAGCATTGAAAGCCATCCCAAAGACATACAGCCAGAAGTTTTGTACATTTATATTCCTTGAAGGCCGCTTTTTTATAATAGCCTGCCAAAATGGAAAACATGTAACTCATGAACCTTATATATCTAAGTTATCAATGGACTGATCAAATTATACTGTTTTAAACGTAAATCAGTGCTACACAAATATGCGAGTACATCGGTAATAGCTTTGAGTATTTTAGATGTAATGTCCTAATAAGCTCACCTCTGTGTACACTCCGGCGAAACCACTTAAAAGAGCCATAACCTAGGAAAAGCAACAAAAATGATATCAATTGGTACATGGAAGAAGCTTCACAATGCATAGTAGGTATTAGCATGTTAAGGTGGCTACCAACTTACAATTGCCATAATCCAGCCGGGAAGAGATGTCTGAAGTACACGATCAGAACTGCAAAATCAAATTCAAATATAAGACTATGTAACAGAAAAACCAGGAAAGCCTAAACAAGCAACATATGAAATAATCAATGAAATGAAACTCATGTTGTTAGCAGTAAATAAAATCAAAGGGGAAAGTGTCAAGAGCCAAATTTACTTTGAATTCAACTGAGCAGTGGTGCATCCACAACACAACAGAATGAAGCCTGCCCACTGAATCTCGCTCAATCTGTTAGAAAAGATAGTAAGCAATTAAGGCAAACTGAATAAACAGAGCCTGTTCACACTTGAAATCAAGACGTTTGTGTTCTGAACAAGAAGAGGAAGAGTTGAGGGGGGATATAAAATAGAAACTTATGGATTTCCAAAACAACTATTCATAGGAAGCTATGAAATCCATTTGGATGGAATAAACAACCTACTTTTTCTTCAGTATAATTCTGTACAAGACACCAGTACTTATGATGTTCAGGTTCTTCAATATCTGATAGCCTGGGGCGTCTACGTATGCAAAAATATAGTACTGCCACATGAAAGGTTACACCATAAGTAGTTAGAAACAGATTAACATGGAAAAAAAAAAAACAGAGGTTACAAAGATCGACCTAAGCCAAACAAACAAACAAAAAAACTCAGGAAAGCCCACCTGTAACAGATTTTTGAAAAGGTACAATGCAGCAGGAATGGGAAAGACTTTAACTTCGTCATATGTTGTACTTAACCTGAGTCAGAGACAGAATTCGGATATAAATAACTCAATGAGGTCATTCTCAAAGAAATGCATGTTAAATCTCTATGGCAGAGATCATACGTGATTTTAAGCCTTTTATAAACGGACAGATCTACAAATTCTTCATAACTGAACATGATGATCGTGGCAAACCAATAAGCAAATCGAGTAACAGAAGAATAAGTAACCTATTGTCGTCAGTAACACCTTCGTTTTTCCATATCCTTGTCAACGCAAGCAGAGATAACGCACATTTGAGAGTCTCAACCTGATGTCCAAAGATTAAAGAAACTCACACTATCTTAGCATGATTACAAATTTTGATTCAGAGATGAGGAATTACAGAGAAGCTTATCGCTTGCAAACATACATTGATTGCATCACTCAATTTTCAATAGCGACTAATTAGAAAGGCGATCAAACTCACCAAAAAGTTGGCGGTTGTAACACTATACTCATACTTGCCAGCTCGCTTAGACCACACGATGAGTATCGCTTGTGAACTCGTCAGGATAGTCAGTGCACATGTTACTACACCTCTGCCCCAAAACCAGAAATTCAACGACAAGCATTTCTCGTAATCTCGCAAGTAAATAATTTTTTTTTAAAAAAAACTTACTTTCGTTTCCAGTTGGTCCGTTCACTTGATCCACCACCCAGAGTAGCCATAGCAATATTAGTCGAAGCAACTGACAAATCGAAGCACCAATGAGCACCCAAAACGAACTAGAGAAGTGGAGATTGAGATTGGAAAAAAACGAAAACAAAAAATCTCACCGGTATGAGATTTTCCCTTCAAACTTTCGAGATCAGAAGCGACGTCATGATCGTCCTGAAGCTCAGTATAAAATTGAGCATTGAAAGAGAGTCGAAACCTTAATTGGAAGCAAAAGAAAGGAGAAAAAGATGAACAATGAATAAAAGCAACGAACCTCATCTTTGATTTTCCGATATTCCATCATTGTTCAAGCTCTCAGATCTCACTGATCTTTCTGCTCTCCGAACATACACTCCAGCTATTAAAAAAAATGGAAGGAAAAAAAGAACAACAAAAGGCGCTTAATATTCTCGGTGGGCTTTAGTTATATGGGCCTTAACGCAATATAAAATGGGCCTCATCTGTGCTTTGAAAAAATAGTACTTAATTTGTCCCAATTAATTTGCAGGGCTCCTTAATCTCTCTTCTGCTCGGTCACACTCCGTTCTTGTTGTTGTTGGAGCATTAGTTCATTTGTATTGCTTGCTTTAATGCTTTTGTTGACACGTCTCAGCGTAATAAGAGGCTCATTAACTCTTTTATTCTGGTTTGTTTTTGTTTTTGTTTTTGTTTTGGTTAGCATATTTAAAACATTTTCAAACATTTTCTGGGCTGAGAAAAAAAAAATTTAAAAGAACGATTAAGATTGAATTTCGTGTTGCAAAGAAACCCTTACTTGAAAACGATGTTTATCTAAATTTACAAATATTTACCAAAATAATCAATCGTTGTCTTTTTTGTTGTTGTTCAAAATCAATCAATTGTTGTCTTAGATTCCCATTTTGTAGGGGTATATTCATACACAAAACAAGTAACTATACAGTAAACATAAATAATACTTTGAGACTCTACTACTTTAAATTAAAACAAAAAAAAAAACAAAATATGCATGTAATTGGCTGGGCATAATAAAAGTAAAATGGACCCCACACACACATACACACACAAAAGCGGAATAAAAACCCAGCCTGTGTTAGAGCTGTGATCACTACCTCCCACCACTAATCTCTCCCTCTCTCTCTCTACTCTCAAATTAAACTCGATTCATCTCCAATCTCTCTCTAGAGGAAGAAAATCAAAAGCAATGAGCTCAATGATGGAAACTCTCCAGATTCGTAAACCGGCTTCTCTCCCCGTTTCTCAACGCTCTACTTCCTCTTCTTCCGCCGCCGCCGCCGCCACCGACGATGAGCCTGGTCTCATCCGCCGTCGTCTCTCTTCTCTCTCCCTCAATCTCTCAAGCCAGCCAGCGGCGATCGCAGCTCGATTCCCGAGATCCAAATCGGTTTCCGCCATGGGAGAGCAAGCTGGGAGCTCCGTAAAAGAATGGTGGGAGTGGGGTTGGTCATGGATCCTCTCCAGGAAACCGATCTTCATCAGAGATCTCGAGCTTAACAAAGACGAAGCTAAATCGATTGGTTCTCAGAACAGAGGAAGCATAATGCACGTCTTCTTCAAAATCCGATCTCAGATCCGCAATCTCATGGGTTCTTCCTCTGATACTCTTCCTCTCTCCTGCAAATACAAGCGTCAACGATGATTATTGTCGCTTTGATCATCGGAATTGGACGGTTGAGATTTGTGATTCCTCTCTAAAGATATATATCTTCGTTTCCTTTTCGTGCATCAATCAATTGGAGTAATGTGCTTGTGAAAAATTTTTATCTTGTATTTTGCTATAATTAATTTGCCTAGATGTTTAATCATTTTATTTATTTGATTTGTTTTACATGTTGTGCAGTTGTATTTTTGTAACCATGCAAATTATATAGAAGCCTGTTATTTTCTTTTCATTCTTTTACGCGCCAAGTTTTTGGCCATCATCATCATCGCAATTGAAAAAAAAAATTTGAAGATGAGTACAATGGAATTAGGTTCAATCATTTTATTACCATACAAGTAAAACTAAAATCTACAAACATATCAAACCACGTGAATCCACGACCGACACCATTAATTTACAAGGTAAATAGTCGAGCTCAATTGTTTGCAAATAAAATAATAATGAAAACATAATGCATATAGTGCACAATATGTTCCCATTTCGAAGGGTTTTTTTTTTTTGACGAAATGTTAATGTATTAAACATATTATTAACGAAACTTCGGTTGCCTATAACTGAGATGCGTGTGGGATGTGGCCGACATAACATTTGTCGGTGGGAGCAATATCGTCGGTGGCGAATTGTTATTTATTGTTATCATTATAATCAAAACTCAACTTATGCTTCGGTTAAAATTATTTACAACAGGTTCATGCTTCGGTTTTGTGATCGATTATCGTTATGCGATGTTTGCTAAAATCTGACTGAGTTGTAATCGGTTTAGAAATTTGGTTTAGGAAAGAATGTGCTGATTAGGGAAAATGACACCAAAATTAAATTAACATTTGTTGAAGGTTGCGGCGTTACAAAGCATGTGAATATGAGGATTACCAAAAGACAATTGTATTTTATATGTATAATATATATAAAATGGTTTTGGTAGAATGTTCCAAATTACAGATTGGTGCCAATGTGTATGGTTTGTTTCGAAACAGCCTTGAGTTTTGGTTTTATATGAGTTTAAAGACATACTTAGAAAAGCACTTTGAATATTGCAATGATTGAGACTTGCTATCTCATCAAAAGCCATTGGTTTTTTGTATATATATAATTCATTATACATTTAAATCGATTTGTGTAGTCTGAAATGGTTGAAAGGTCGTGATCGTCTAGAAAGAAGAAGAGATTTTCAAAAATAAAATGCTTAGAAATCACACAACATTAGGACATTTTTCGTTTTACAAATACAAGATTGAACAAAGTTGAACAATTTGAAGATGATGAACAAAGCTCTCACTAACTTCAACAATGGCCATAACAAACATACAAACAAACAAAGAGGTAAAGAAAAAACCTCCAAAGCTACTTAAACACTAGCTCGATCCTCCACAGCGATGAATCCGGTTTGGTCTTCCTCCTTCTCCTTCTCTATGTGGTGAGCATTGAGAATGTTGATCCCATGAATAAGAACATCGTTGCAGTCACAAACAGATTAAATAGCGTCTCTCATGCTAATGTTAAGACTATTTCTCATCGTTCTTCTTCCAACACCAGCATTTCCCTTTTGCATCATCTCCACAAACTCACCATAATCAATCTTCCCGTCCTGTAAAATAAAAACCGGAAACTTTTATCATCTGTAACCTGGACATATAGTCAGAGAGTAATGTGGAACAGAGTCATCATAAGCTTTACATTGTTCTGATCAACTTCTTTGATGATGTCTTCAAGGAAAACATCGGTCATACTATGTTCAACACACGCTTGTTGCAGCTCATCGATGGTTATGTAACCACTTCCATCTTTGTCAAAGTATTGAAACGCAGCTACAAGATGTTCTTCCCGCTCCAGTTTGTTGAGATGGATCGTCGCTGCAATGAACTCACTGTAATCGATTGTCCCACTGTTGTCCACATCAGCCTGTCAATACAAGAGCTCGACATTACAAACACATAACAATAAATTCACTGTCGTTTTGTAGCCAAATAAAGATTGGATTTTTACCGCTTCCATTAGATCATGGATCTCTGTGTCTTTCAAGGTCGATCCATACTTCCTCAGCCCAGCTTTGAGTTCATCAAACGTGATTGCGCCGCTGTTATCAGTATCCATTGCCTGAAACATTTCTCTTAAACCAGCAATCTCTTCTTCGGAGAGGCTCTCAGCTATAACCTGATGACCCCCAAAACAAAGAACAACACATACAGTTTCAAGAGAAGTGATGCAGAGACGATAGACGATAAAGGTTTTATGAACAAACTCACTCACCTTCAAAGCCATCTTCTTTAGTTTATTCATTGCAGAGAACTGCTTGAGACGAGACAGAACAGCCGGATCAAGTGCTCTATCTGGCGCAACACCGTTCTCACAGATCCATGGATGACCTGAAAACAAAAAAGAGAAACAACACATAGGTATAAAGTATAATCCTTGTGTATGGATGTTGATAAAAGTAACCATTTTTTAAGTGGCTAATACATACGCAAGACTTCGTGAGCAGTCAAGCGTTCTGCAGGCTTGGAACATAACATTCTGCGGATCAAGTCTTTAGCACTGTCGGATATCACAGGCCACGGGTCTGATTCAAAGTCGATATATCCCTTCAACACAGCATCAAATATCCCTTGCTGAGTCTCTGATTCCAGAACAAAAAAAAAAAAACACATTTTTAGACTTCTAAAGGACTAAGAAACGGGCTTATGTGCCAAATGCTAATCACAATTACCTGCCCAGAAAGGTGGGACACCGCTTAGCAATATATAGAGTATAACACCAGCAGTCCATACATCAGCTTCAGGCCCATAACGTTTGAGCAAAACCTCAGGAGCAACATAATATGGACTTCCAACAACATCAGTGAATATTTGGCCTGAAAAGTCACAGGAAGATCAAATCAGAAGCAGCATTCTAATTAGGAACAATGCAGTTTCTTCAGTTCCATAAAAGAGTCCTTTAACCAGTCTAGTGAAGCAAACATTTTTACCTGGTTTGAAAAAGATAGATAACCCAAAATCAATAGCCTTGAGGGAGAAATCATCATCCTTATTAACCAACAAGAAATTCTCTGGCTTCAAGTCTCTATGCATAACACCGAGCGAATGACACGCTTCAACAACACCGACAATGATCTTGGTCAGCTCAGCCGCTTTCCTCTCGCTGTAATGTCCTCTCTGAATAATCCTATCAAACAATTCACCTCCAGCACAAAGCTCCATCACAATGTGGACATACAAAGAATCCTCATAAGCTCCTTTTATCGTCACAATATTACCGTGACCAGCTAAATGGTGCATGATCTGAATCTCCCTTCTCACATCCTCAACATCTTCCTTGGAGATCAACTTCCTCTTGGATATCGACTTACACGCGTAGTCAACGCCCGTGGCAACTTCTGTGCAGAGATAAGTCGTTCCGAATTGGCCTTGTCCTAGCTTACGGCTCAGAGTGTAGAAATCACGAATGTTTGGTGTCTTATGACCAAGAACATAGTAAGCTTGATTGTCAATGTTACGCCTCATGATTGGTTCTCTCAAAGGAATAACAAGAGCTGGATTTTTGGCGTTGTTGTCCTTCTTGTTAGCTTCTTTGGAGAATTCTTGAGCAATGATCTCTGAAGCGCTGTTGTTGTTCGGAAAGTGGTCGGAATTAGAGCGATCTGAAGAAACGTTGGTAGAGTTTTTGGAGTTATCTTCAGGCTTAGTGTTACTGCCCTCGTAGATTCTCTCCCTGAAAGATCCACGGCATGAATTGCCCATGAAACAATGGGAAATTACCAAATCCTAGTTTAAAGACTGCAACTTTCACGCTCTGTTCTTCATCCAACGAACTGTTCATATAGTTTTGAAAACTCTGTTAAAGAGAAAACAAGTCAAAACCACTTAAATCAGAACAAATCCCAGAAACTAAGAGAGAAAGTATCGAGCTTTAACAGAAACCACAAGAAGAAAATCGCAAAACCCACTTCAGATCAAGCATATCCAATTAACAACAAAAAGGACAAAACATAAGAGCTACTGAAAAGTCAAATCGGAGTTTCCTTAGTTGCAATAGATCCTATAAAAGGAATCAGAAACAGGGAATGAAATAAAAAGCAAAAAGAGATGGAAAGAGGATCTAGTTACCACTTACCAAGTAATCAGAAGGGTGAAAGAGAAGAAGACTGAGAATGAATGGATTAGGAATCTGATTTAAGTGGAAAAGAGAAATTTGGTATACAAATGAATGTCGAACAAGAAGGGAAAGCTACAATATTTAATGTTATTTCCAACAAGGAAAGCTTCAATTTAATACTATAAAAAAGAGTTGTATTTGAGATTCAAGTAAAATATATAAAGAAATATGTTTGCTGAGACTGAGAGACTGGTCGGACAATTAGATTCGTTGGATCAGAGTGTGTGGGTTTTATTATACGGCGGCGATTGTGCGAAGAAAGTTCTTATTAAGGAGACTCCTTTAGTGCTCAACAGCTACTTTTCTCTGACTCTACGCGCTTTCCTCTCACCTTCTTCGCTTTGCATTATTCTTAAACCTGTTCCTCTAATAAATTTGTTGTTTTTCTTTCTAAAGTCTATATATTAATTTTTGTTGGATCAACTAAATTATTATGTTCGAATATAAGTTGATGAATGATGACCACTGACAAAACCAACTTTTTTTGGTGTTGTTCTGTTGTCGTTTGATCGTCGATTGATTTATCTAATTAAACTCTCAGACTCTAACATACGATTACAAATTTTAATCATTGTAAAAATGCTCATCAGAATAATAAAGAAATTCGGGTCAAAATTAGAGTATTGGCTAGTACAAAATTACATGTCTGGAAAATGAAATTAGTATATTTGTTTTACCATATAGAAAGTTGATAATATTATTAGCAGTAACCGTTTTCTACAGCCGAATAAACATGGGGTTTATACAAGTTTATACAACAAGGATATAACCGCTAAAGACGATGGTTTTATTTATAGTCAACACACTGAGTCCACGGCAAGAAGCTTCGATTCATCTAGACGCCGCCGTTTCATGAAAATGTGTAATTAATGATTTGCGAGGTATACTTAAGGAAAAAATATTTAAAATACGTGTGTGTGTTTGTCTTCTTGTACAGTTCCTCACGAAGAGCTTTATGCCACACAGTTGCAACAACTTGAGGAAAATATAGATATTTGAAGGAGACAATAATTAATGTATAGAATAAAGAAACAAGAGCCACTTGAGGAGATATTGTAAAGAATAAAGAAACAATTAAAGTCGCTGAATTGAAGGAGATATTGTAAAATTAATTACTCACTTTTTTTGTTACAGAGGGTAACTCATCATAATGATCATAGTTTCATGTGTTATTGTTGACAGGCCTCCAATATCTCTAGCAGTTTTATGAGTTGATTTCTCAAAATGTTTCTAATAGGTTTTGAAAATGAGCTAGTCTTGGTCCTCTTGGATATGCATGTCATCAACAAGTGCCAGTTTATATTGAAACTAACCTTTAACCCATTCGATAATGCTTTGGGTTTACAGATCTATAAAGCTTGCTCCGACGAGGACGATTGAAAGTGTCGACTTGAATACAATAGAATTGCAAAAACCAGACTGTGACTTGTATTTTTGCATTGAAAGTGTCGATTCTTTGTGTTGCCACTTCGAGCTACCAATAAATGAGCAATTAGCTTGTTAGGAGGAACACATGCATTCTTCTTTTAATTGACTTGTGGCCTTGTGGGTATGTGGTAATCCGTGTGATTCTCACTCATTTGTGAGTACAACATCAGATTGGCAGACTCTATGTTTGTTGAGAAGTAGAATGATGAGTTATCTCTCTCTCTCTCTCTCTCTATATATATATATATATATATACAACAATTTGCTTGTTAATTTTCAAACAAATTCTGCTCTTAGATCTCTCGATCTTTAACTTAGTTACGTTCATTTTCGGATTATTAGATTGTTTGGTGAGAAACAAACTTTATTGAATTATTTACCTGAGAGTAACAATACTTTTTATTTTTCTTAAATTGTTATTAGATGGGGTGCAATGAAAAATATCTTAACTAATGAACATGGTGCGTTTCCTCCTCATTCTACGGAATTAAAGCTGCAATGATGATGATTTGATGATGTAGACAAAAGAATCATATATTTATTCGCATTCACATGCCATAACCTTGAGAGTTTATAAAAAAAGATTCTATTGTGTGCTTATATTATGGGGTGATGTGTACTATAGTTTCCATACATAACGTTAATTGTTGGAAAACAATTTTAAAAAGCGGGATCATCAAACTCATAAACCATTTTAAAAATGTTCCACTATCAAAATGGTCCAACAGTTACCAAATTAAAATTACATTTAGGGTAATCTTTTTTTTTTGTTGACCAACGTTTAGGATCTTTACGTTCAAATGTATGAGCTTTAACAGCGACGTATGTTTAACAAATATATCTTTTAGTTTATACATACATATCGATCAAGTTTTGTATGACAAAATATACGGTAGATATTTTTTTGTTTGGTTAAATAATATACAATACAATAGATATTTGTTTTCAGAAAGGGCAATAGAAGTTGTAGTCACATGATTTGTTTCTGCTGATTAAAATTAACCAAAGTTAAAGTGTCTCATTGTGTTTGGACAATATTCTCCATTATTGCAAATTTTTTCTAGCTTTCTTGATTTATTATGTAAAGTTGAAATGATTCGAAGATGCTTTTCGGATGTAAACAAACTAAACTTTACTTTACCAACGACTTTATTCTCAGAAAACTCAAGTTCTCTGCTTACATAAAATTATAGAAATTTATCTAAGAATTTCAATAACCAATCGTATCCTTGTTTGATATTTACAAAAAGTAGCAACCCATTTCACCAACTATGTCGACCGTCGACAAGAAACTCATTTGTTTTGAAGATACATACATATATACTCTACATACAGAGTCAGAATTTGATTGACGTAAATACCATTTCAACCCCGAAAAAAAACCCGATTTTGACTTTTACTTCATGAGTGACAAAATGTCAAAAAATGTGAATTTATTAACGGTGAGAATGAATGATGTACAAACTCGTGGACCCAAATCGAAAAGATGACAAATTTAAGATTATTGGTGTTTTATTAATTTTCTGAAAATATTCTGTACGCAAACACGAGAGCGAAGAGAGAGAGAGACAGAGAGAGAGAACATATATACGTGCTGTGAGAGGAGAGGAGCAAAGCGGCAGGTGTCAATTATCCCATAGGCTCTGTTAATTGTCCTTTCGCATAAAAAAGTTATTATTTTTAATCTCTAAGTTATTTCGAAATCTCGAAACTTTCGTTTTCTTCTTTGATTTAACTAAAAGGGAAAAGAAAAAAAAATGCTTTTTGATTGCGGAGTGACGCCATTGAAGCGGCTCGTCACTGATAGTGGCTTATTCTGCCTCCGAATGCAAGTTGCATACCCTAGTTTTTATCTCTCTCTCTATATATCATTATTCTCTCGCGCTTTCTTTGGCTTCTCTTCTCTCCTCTCCTCTCCTCTTCTCTTTCTTCTACTTGGAAGCGATTAAAAAGTAGTCAAATATTATTCTTGGTTTTTGATTTTGACATATCTGGGTTTTACCTCTGTTTTTCCAGCACTCTTTTTGGGTCTGTATCTTTAACGTCACTAGGTTTCTTTTGCTGTTGTTGTTTCATTTGGGTTGTTATATTCTTAGGTCATGCTTTTTGGTTTTATCTCTCTATTCATTTCATCTTTTACCTCATCAGAGCTTGTTTGATTTCGATTTTCAGGTGGGTTTTGCCTCACTGATCAGTGGCTCTGTTTTTGCGAAATTCGCTTCAGATTTCTTAAGAAGATAAACGAATTATGAGTGGAGCTGTGCTTGTTGCTGTTGCTGCTGCTGTTGGCAACTTGTTACAAGGATGGGATAACGCAACAATTGCAGGTGCTTGGTTACTATTATTATTCTAAATCTATAATTCTGTCTATGAATAGATCGGCAAAGTAATGATTTTTGACGGTTAATTGATACAATTCATAGATCCCGTTTTTATATCTCTTTTGACTGTGTGATGGAGTTTTAAGCTTTCTTTGGGTCTCTGCAGGAGCTGTGTTGTACATAAAAAAGGAGTTTCATTTGGAGAGTAATCCATCAATGGAAGGTCTAATTGTGGCGATGTCACTAATTGGTGCTACTCTGATTACAACATGGTCAGGAGGCGTTGCTGATTGGCTTGGTCGCCGTCCGATGCTAATATTGTCATCAGTTCTCTACTTTGTTGGTTCTCTAGTAATGCTATGGTCTCCAAACGTTTATGTGTTGCTCTTAGGCAGGTTGTTAGATGGGTTTGGGGTTGGTATTGTGGTCACACTTGTTCCTATATATATCTCTGAGACTGCACCTCCTGAGATAAGGGGATCGTTGAATACGCTTCCGCAGTTCACTGGCTCTGGAGGGATGTTCTTATCTTACTGCATGGTTTTCGGAATGTCTTTGATGCCATCTCCTAGCTGGAGATTGATGCTTGGTGTCCTTTTCGTCCCTTCCATTGTCTTTTTCTTCCTCACAGTCTTCTTCTTGCCTGAGTCCCCAAGGTGGCTCGTGAGCAAAGGTCGAATGCTTGAAGCAAAGCGGGTTCTGCAGAGACTACGTGGTCGGGAGGATGTGTCCGGTTAGTCTCAAATCATTTTCTGACTCTCAGCTCTTTCGATGAAGAAATTCTTTTATGCTGAATGTTGTTCTTATGTGGCAATGAACAGGTGAGATGGCTTTGTTGGTCGAGGGTCTTGGAATTGGAGGTGAAACAACCATAGAGGAATATATAATAGGTCCTGCGGATGATGTCGCTGAAGATCTTGATATAGCCGTGGATAAGGATCAAATTAAGTTGTATGGTGCAGAAGAAGGGCTGAGTTGGGTTGCTAGGCCAGTTAAAGGAGGAAGCACTGTCAGTGTTTTGTCTCGCCATGGAAGTACAATGAGCAGGAGGCAAGGCTCATTGATTGATCCTCTTGTCACACTGTTTGGGAGTGTTCACGAGAAGATGCCGGACACTGGAAGCATGAGGAGTGCCTTGTTCCCACATTTTGGGAGTATGTTCAGTGTGGGAGGTCAACCGAGGAATGAGGAATGGGATGAGGAGAATCTCGTTGGAGAAGGTGAGGAATATCCATCGGATCATGGAGATGATTCTGATGATGAGCTTCATTCTCCGTTGATCTCACGTCAAACGACAAGCATGGAGAAAGACATGCACACTGGACCTCTTTCTACCTTTAGACATGGAAGCCAAGTGCAGGGAGCTCAAGGGGATGGAGCGGGTAGTATGGGGATTGGAGGTGGATGGCAAGTGGCATGGAAATGGACTGAAAGAGAAGATGAATCGGGACACAAAGAAGGCGGATTTAAGAGGATTTACTTGCATCAAGAAGGTTTCCCAGGATCTCGACGTGGCTCCATTGTTTCATTGCCTGGAGGAGGTGATGGAACCGGTGAGACAGAGTTTGTACAAGCGTCTGCGTTGGTTAGCCAACCGGCTCTTTATTCCAAAGACCTTGTCAGAGAACATACGGTTGGTCCTGCTATGATTCATCCATCGCAAACAGCTAAAGGCTCCATATGGCATGATCTTCGTGATCCTGGAGTCAAACGTGCTTTATTCGTAGGAGTCGGCCTTCAAATACTTCAGCAGGTAATCTAGGATTCTAGATAGAAACATAAATATAAGTAGATTACAGGATACTTTTGCGGTTTACGATTAAATTTCTTAAGTATCTCTGCTTGCTCTTGGAAATGCAGTTCTCAGGCATCAATGGAGTTCTTTACTACACACCTCAAATCCTAGAGCAGGCCGGCGTGGGGATTCTACTATCAAACTTGGGGATTAGTTCTTCCTCTGCATCGCTACTTATAAGTGCATTGACAACCTTAGTGATGTTACCTGCAATAGCTGTTGCAATGAGGCTCATGGATCTCTCGGGTCGAAGGTGATTAAAAAAACTTTAACTTCCTCTGTTCTTGATTCATAATTCACAATACACACTCTAAACAAAAAGAACCTAAAATTTTCTTGTTGCGTTTTTGCAGGACGTTGCTGCTCACTACGATTCCAATATTGATAGCATCTCTAATAGTCTTAGTAATCTCGAATCTAGTTCACATGAACAGCATTCTCCACGCGGTCTTATCAACCGTAAGCGTCGTTCTTTACTTCTGTTTCTTCGTGATGGGTTTTGGTCCTACTCCAAACATCCTCTGTTCAGAGATATTTCCAACTCGAGTCCGTGGAATCTGCATCGCCATCTGTGCGCTCACTTTCTGGATCTGTGACATCATCGTCACTTACAGTCTCCCTGTGCTGCTCAAATCAATAGGACTTGCTGGTGTGTTTGGAATGTACGCAGTCGTCTGTTGCATCTCATGGGTCTTTGTGTACATTCAAGTCCCTGAAACTAAAGGCATGCCTCTTGAAGTCATCACTGAGTTCTTCTCTCTTGGAGCTAGACAAGCTACTAAAACCGACTGAGGAACTAAAAGACAGGAGATCAAGTTTGTAATTTTAATGTTTCCATCTTCGTATGGATTTGTTGTTGTCTTTCTACTTTGTGCAGTAATAATCAGCTCTCTCTCTCTGTTTCTTCTTCCTCATGTGGGGAGAACAAAAAGTTTTAAACTTTCAACTACGAATTCTTTATTTTCATTTTACCAAATATCCCAATCAAAGTATAGAATGACTCAACCGGTTCGTTGCTCAGTTCGGTTTGAAAGGTGTTGCTTTCGATTTACATTTGGTTTTCAGGAAAATACATCTTTAACTTTGAAGTTTTACACAAAAATTCCGGTTTTTATAGATTAAGATTTTCATTACAGAACTCCCGCTCTTAATTACTTTAGGTGGACGTCAATTGGTCTTGATTTCCGGTTCAATTTTCGGTGATGGAGGATTCAACTGGGTGTGGGCAGTTAAACCGGATTGGCAACTCTAGCTTTTACATTTTCTCACTAGCTGGAAAGACAAAGAGATGCTAAGTTATTTCTTCTTAAAGATCCGATTATTATACAGCTTGAGCTTTGTTTTACAAGTTGTTTATGTATGCTTCATTTTTTTTTGTTTGTGTTAAAAATGTTCGGTATACTTGAAGCCTCAAGGCTTATTTCTTGAAGAATAGTTTAAATCAAAATCTCCTTTCCTTACTATATTATACTTACGAGGTATATGTCTGCTTTTCTTCACCACTGAAGAAGATGGCTTGAGTGATGATGTGATCTGTCACACTGGTCTAGAAGGGTTTAAAGAAAGATCATCGTTCCGTTTACGCTTCAACCTTCTCTTGGATTCGTCTTCTTTTTCATCAAAATAAGCTAGAAATGTCTGCAATGTTCTTGAACGCGACCCTTCTGGTGAAGATACTACTATAGCTTCTTCCTCAGGCTTGTGGTTGTTGCAAAAGTCGCGGACTATCTTGACGAAGTAGATCAAGAGAGCGATGAAACAAGCGATCCCACACACGAGGAATAGCCCCCAGAAGCTACGGAGTTTAAGCTGTTCTTGATCATCATCTGACTCTGAACCGTTCAGGTTACTGCAGTTGGATTTCGAGAGCCACTTGTCATGTATCTTTTGAAGCTGCCCTGTTTCTGATAGACCTAAGATCGCGGTTGACATGTCAACTGCTAACGGAGAGTCTCTCGGGAATGCCTTAAAACAAAAGAAAGAACGATGATCAAGATTATTGTACAAACACAACAGAGACATTTCCAAAGTAAAGGCCACTCACAAATCCCCAGCCGCTTCTGGTGAACTCTTGGCCTCTAATGGCAAATCCACAGAATTCCGAGAGGAAGAGATCAACGTAAGGGCGTTCATCGACAATTGCAGAGACAGTTCCGTTTTCAAGAGCTGTAGCGTATTCTTTAGGAGAGCCGAGTGGCACAAGTCTGGATCTGGCGATGTTAAGCTCATCAATCATGTAGTTTTCAGCATAAGAACCTACCTGAAACCCAACACGTTCACTGCTGCTGATGAGTGTGTCTACTCCTTTGATCGGTGAGTTTAGCTGTTGCACTGTAAGAATCGAAGTAAGACTCGCTGTGTAGCTTGACGTGATGATCAGTACCACAAAAAGCCAGATCAGCAACACAACACGACCGAGTGTGCTCACTGTATTCTCTCCTGCAAGTTTGAATAGCTCCAAGATGGTAAGAAATCTATACAGGTACTCTTTAATAACAAGCTGCAGTTTCAATATGAAACTTACTGTGGGAGAAAAACATCGTCGAGAAGCTGAACCTGCATTAAAAAACCAAAGCTTGTGAGGTTATACGCCAACATACCGGTATAGTGCAGCCTCAGTGACTGTTTACTAACCAGAGTATTGTAACAATTTGCCTCCTTGGAGGTCCGCGGAACTCATCGTTGATTCTATGCTCAAGAATCCATATTACTGATCCAACGATGAGGAAAAAAGATGCTGTAACAGCCCACATTGGAGGAGTAAAAGGGCGTAAGAACGCCCAAGGAGTATCATTTAGCTTTGTGACAGGAGCAACCACGACAAGCCCCGATTCTATGTATGGCTGAGTGAAATCCACAATCCTTGTTCGCTTTGTAACAATCGCTATGTCTCCTACCACAGCATCAAACACCTGAGAGCAAAACATGAGTAGCTCACACTGTTACAGTCAAATCTAGATAATGCTTTGTTTATGCTCTCTTGATCCTTTTTTTTACTCACCCCTGTAGTGACATTATTGACAAGTTCATTGAAGTTTGGGTTCTTGAGGCCGTCTCCAAATAGGATGAACTCATGAGGAACCGGATAAGAAAGCAGTTTAATCGCAGCTTCAAAGACGTCAATGCTATAGCCTTGCACTCTGTTGCTTCCATTGACACTTGACACAAAGTCCTTGAAGCTTGCTCTATTGGGTACACCGATTCTCAATCTCCTCCCGTTGTTAGGAAAAACCCATCCCCGTGGCGTCACAGAAGCCCCACCAGGCCAAGTCACATTGCTCAGATGTTGGTTTGAGCTCGAACGGTTTGAAGGTTTGCTGTACAGTGACTCAGGAGGTGTAATAGAGAGCCCAGAATGATTAGACCAGTACCCTATCTGGTTAAACCCGTCATTGACCACGTTTATAATGTCATATGCAGGCTGATTCATCGATCTGTCGGGGAGAAACTGTACTGGACCTGTAACACCAGACATCTTTGTTTTTACAATGTAATCAAGAAATTTTGATCCTTGATCAAATATGCTCAATGCACTTAGATTCAGTGACCCTCCCTGCAAGCTGTTCAACTTTGAGTCGCTGGAGAAGGAAATGTTAGCTCCGCTATCTAGAAGATTCTTAACAGCTCGAGCAATGATCCAGACAGTATCATATGCATAGAGTCCATACACGTTTAACCCGACAGTTCCATTACTTAACTTGTTCCACCGTGCCACAAAATCTCTTTTCTTCCTTGATTCTGGAGTGTGAAGACGAAGAGTGAGCACTCCTCTAATAGATTTGGCTTTCTTGAGAGCTAAAGGGGTAAATGAATCTAACAGAGAACTCAACCAAGTTGTAGCTATCCAGACATAACCATTATCCATCATGCCAAGCTTCCAGGCCTCCTCAAAGATCATCCTACCTGTTTTAGGGAATGTGTTCACAATGATCACCCGAGATTCCATCCCTTGAATCTTAACCAACTCATCTATGATCTCACGAGGACTCGTAATCACCACATCCAAAGGAAGCACCGCCTTGTAAGAAATCTTGCAGCGCCTTCCTTCGAGCTCATCGCCTAAAGATGTTACACCGTTTCTACTGTTGTCATCGTCGTTGTACAGTGCAATCACATCTGACCAACCGTAATAAGTTATCATTTCCGCAATGGCACGCATCAGAAAGAGATCGCTAGGTGCTGTCTGAACAAAGAAAGGGAACTGGAGCGCCGAGAGGCTAGGGTCTAGAGCCGTGAATGACAACATAGGTACGTTAAGCTCATTTGCAAGATGAGACAGTACATGAGCCATGATTGATGTTTGAGGACCAATTATGGCCACAGCATCAGTCTCCATGAATTGCAATGCTGTGATATAAAAACCAACGCAATGATAAGTAAAAGTTTAGTTTCAAGACAAGAATCAATTAAAAAAACAAGATAAATTTCTTCACCTCCCATGATGCTGAGGAAACCGTTACGCTTAGCATCATACATCAATATACGCAATTTCGATCCACCGAGGAAGCTAGGATCGGAATTTACATCATCCTCCGCAGCTTTCATGGCAATATTTGCAACATTACCGTATACAGTGCTTAAACTGAAGATTGCTCCAACATTAACAACATGAGGCTTTGAAGCTCCCTCTGAAATTAGCCCGTCACCACTAAGAACAATAAAGCTCAACAGAACCAAAACCCAAAACATTGCTTTGGGATAATCAGTTCCTGAAACACCAAGTTTGATAAACAAACAACAATTAGGCAAAACCTTGGAATCACTAATCTCAAAATGAGAGATTGGGTGAGCCAGTTCAACCGAATCGAAATGGGTTTTCTTATTTATGTCAGAGCAAAGAGTAACATAAGAGAAAGCTAGAAACTTGTTATGAACAAAGAGAATATAGAAGATAGAGCAAAGAAAGTAGCTTTCACCCGAACTGAAAGAAGAAAAAGTGTCACGAGGATTAAACCCTTACCTCAAACGTATAGAAGACGACGCTTGGCAAGGAATTAGTGGCAGAGATGCCAAAACCCAAACCAAAATCATCCTTTTATAAAAGAAGATTCGTCAGGCAGAGAAAAAAATCTAGCTGAAAGAAAAGCATGAGGAACAAGCAAGAGGGCTATAAAAAAAGGAAAAGGAAAGAACGAGTGGGTCTTCAATAACAACAACTAAAACATTTTAAATTGAATCGTGGGTATGCTTGAAGGTTTGGAAAAGTTGCGAACTTTTTGGTGGAATTCGATTACTTTTTTTTCTTCTTATTATTGGATAATGGGTAAGGCTTTGATTACTTACAATCGAAATTCATGCAGTGGGTACATTTACAGGCTGAGAAAAATGTAAAAAAGGAGATTATATAGAGTAATCAACGTCCGTCGACATAGATATTTCGACATAATGAGCCATTATCAAGTGAGAGTGTGAAACTCTAAACTTTATGCTTTTCTCCTGTTTTTGCAAGTTGACACAGTGACCATTCTTGTTCCCAGCCAAAGAAAAGGAGGAGAAAGAAGATGATGAGAATTTTAGAGTTATTCAATAAACGAAATATCTTAAACGGAGTCCTATAATAGTAGTCTTTTGTTTGGTACTGAAACCCGAATAATAATATCATTAACCAGAATAGCTAAGTCGATTTAACTTTTGCGTCATCGAGTTGTATGATTATATTTAAATTTATACCAATTGGATAAATAGTATATTTTCGGCCAATCATCCAATAAATTTATACATTTATACATTTGTATCTGGATTCGTTAAAAAGCCATCATCCAATAAATTTATCTCGTACTACTTTAATATTTTTTCTGTGGTCTCTAATGTAACCATGATCCAATGGTTTTTTTTTTCTTTTTGTTTTGGAAAAGTTTCTATTTGTGGTCTTCAATATGACAATTGAGAAAGTCTGTAGATATTTCGAATATCTCTCGGTTGAGGTTTTCCACATTGAAAACATCTTTCCACTAGACTTTTTTTTTTTTTAATATCACTCCATAACATGGAACATTTTACTTACTGGACTAATTTTGGAACATTTTACTTACTGGACTAATTTTTCATTTGTCATTTTAATACCCCAAACAATAAAATTATAGATGCATATGTCAATTTTGTCCAATAGAGAAGCTTGAAATTTAAAGAGAAGAGAGAGCGAGAGAGCAAAATTAGTTACATTTTATTCAATTGTTAAAGCAAATTAGTTACGTTTTATTCAAGTGTTTAGAAAAATTAATAAGAATACACAACGATGGAAATTTAAGGAGATAAAGTCAATATGTCAAAATGAAAACAGAAAAATCTAGGAACCAAAACATAATCAAAAATGTCAAATAAATTCATTAGTGTGGATCATGAGAGGGTGGGAATTATTTTTTTTTTGTGTGTGGAAGCTCCACCGAAAATGGGTAATGGAAAATGAAAACCCACTTAGCCTTACTTTTTCCAGTGCACCAAATAACCTAAATGTTCTTGTCATCATATCTTGAAGCAATATAAACAAATAACCGGCTTAGTCTGATGTAGTTTTAATCTGTAACATTTGAAACTAGAAATCACTATTGGCATACCAAACCAGTGTTCCTCTAATGCAATACACCATCAATCAGTTCATGAGTATTGGCTAATTCATTTAAGTTTTGCATGATCATCATTATAGAATGTTCATCTAGGAAGAGATAGGAATGTCCATCCATTAAGAGACAAGTGGTTCAAAGTCAAAAAACAATTAACACAAATTTTGAGCAACATATAAATAAATTAAAAAGATATAGGAATGGAATGAGAGTGAAACATGCTAATAAACATTTTTGTTGTGATCCATACAAAGGACTAAATGCAAAATTTATTGTAGATGCAAATTGAAAATCATGTCAAATACATTCGATCAGTCATTGCTTAGATACGCAAACTTTATTAATCAATTCGAGCCGCCCCTATTACATTCATCAAATTTTAACCTTCATGTAAATCTTTTTGAGTTTTATTGTTTCATGGTTCACTATCGAAAAAGCCCACGCAAATGCTTAGGATTAATAGATTTTTCTTCCTTAGTTTATTAGCAGAAATAATATTTGATATATGTACATTTCCAACCAAAAAAGAATGATAAAATGTAACTTGTCAGTAAACTAACAAATATTTATAACGATAATTGTTATATCGGAGAAGGAGGAGTAATGCAACTGTGAATGTGAATTGTGATGACGAATAGTAAGATAAACTAGTGAAGAAGTGGAATGCTAGTTCATATTTGTATTGATCTAAGTGCAAGAAAGGAGATGTGATCACGATTTAGTGAATGAAGCTCCTTTAACGTCTAACTTTTTTGGTCTTATTTTGAAGCGGCACCATTGTTGAGCTCTCAGTGTGTAGATGGTGGAGAGGAAGAATCGAGTCGAGAAACATAAACTTAACAGTAACAAAGAGGTGAATTCAACATGAGAAGAGGATTAAAAAAAAAACAACGAATTAACAGGGTTTAGCGGTTTAAACCGAACCGATCCATAAAAAACAAGATTTTAAAGCAGAGCACGTTAAAACGATGTCGTTTCAACTTCAATCACGTCACGTGGCACGCATTTAGATGTGAGAAGGATAGGAACAGCACGGACCCGACCCGACCCGACCCGAGCCTTTATCTTACACAATAGAACCATTCACTATATCATGTAAATTGCTTTGTTCTACACGACAAATAAAAACCAAGGCGATCCCTTGTTTATAGCCAAATTTTACAAGAGCAATCTTCCAAATCGACGAGAGTCTCAGTCTCCGTTAAATCTTGTCTAGTGTCAGGGTTCACGCGATTGATTTCGACGACCTCATCTGAAAATCTCCGGGATAAGTTTTCGGAATGGGTGGGGAAGGAGATTCGAATGAGGTTCAGACCGTCGTTGATGGTTGCGAAGGAGGAGGAGAGTTGGTTTCCGTGAACGTCAGGTGCTCGAACGGCTCCAAATTCAGCGTGAGGACGTGCCTTGATTCTACCGTCGAGTCTTTCAAAGCTTTGGTTGCGCAGAGCTGCGACGTGCCAGCTAATCAGCAGCGATTGATTTACAAAGGAAGAATCCTCAAGGATGATCAGACCCTCCTTAGCTATGGTACTCTCTTTGATTATTCCCTTGGGATTCAAATTGTTTGGTGGATTGATTTTGATTTCCCTTGTATTGGATTCGTTGAAACGTTTTGCCTCTCTTCTCTGTGAACTATTTCACCTCTAGGTATACAGGCAGATCACGCTCTTCATATGGTTAGAGGCTCTGCGCCTTCATCAGCAGCTCCTGCTCCAAATGCTGTAAGCCAAACCACTACACCTAGTGTTACTCGAGGAGTTGGTTCCAATGATACCGTAGGAGCAGGGGAATCTTTGTTTCCGGGGCTTGGATTTAATCCCTTGGGTGGAGGAAATGCCATGCCTGGTTTGTTTGGAGCTGGTCTTCCGGATCTTGAGCAAGCACAGCAACAACTAGCTCAAAATCCGAATATGGTTAGAGATATGATGAATACACCAGCCATTCAGAACCTTATGAACAATCCAGAACTCATGAGGACCTTGATTATGAGTAACCCTCAAATGCGTGAGCTTGTAGATCGTAACCCTGAGCTTGGCCATATACTTAACGACCCGAGCATCCTTCGGCAAACTCTAGAAGCTGCGAGAAACCCAGAGCTTATGCGTGAGATGATGCGGAATACTGATAGGGCCATGAGTAATATTGAATCTATGCCTGAGGGGTTTAACATGCTTAGGCGTATGTATGAAAATGTACAGGAACCGTTGATGAACGCTACAACAATGTCAAGAAATGCTGGAAACAATGTTGATTCTAATCCATTTGCTGCTCTCCTGGGGAATCAGGGCGCTACACAAGATAGAGATGCTTCTAACAATCCCATGGCGACAACCAATTCTGAAACAGGCACAGGGAATGCTGTGCCGAATACAAATCCACTTCCAAATCCTTGGGGTGCTGCAGGTGGTAAGAAACTATATTCATTCACATTGTTGAAATTTCGTTTTTGCTTAGTACTTGTATTGTATAATGGACATAATCAAAGTTTATAATAGTAAAAGTGACTTGCACTAAATTTGATTTTGTGCTCTTACTTGGCAGGCCAGACAACTACGCCTGGAAGGACGAATTCAGGTGGAGATGCTAGAGCCCCTGGCCTTGGTGGCCTCAGTGGTCTTGCTGGTCTTGACGGCCTTGGTGGACTGGGCTTACTTGGTGGGGATCCAACGGTTGGTGCTACTCCAGATGCCTCTCAAATGAACCAGTTCTTACAAAATCCGGCCATGTCACAGATGATGCAAAGTTTACTTTCCAATCCACAATACATGAATCAGGTAATGCCTGGATTAAATATAATTTAGGCCTTGGTTGTTATTGATAACATGTTTTTTAATATGATCTTATTATTCAAGATTATGAATCTCAACCCACAACTCCGAAGCTTGATGGAGTCAAGTCCTATGGTGAGGGAAATGATGCAGAGCCCTGAGTTCCTCCGTATGTTTAGCTCCCCAGAGACTATGCAGGTCTGTTCAGCCTCCTCACATTTGCCTCTGTTGTCTTTATGCATTTGATGTCTTCACTGAAGATTTTTGTAAGTTTAAGCTATTTCAACGTGATGAAGTTTGTCCAGCCTAATGCTTGTGCAATTGTTTTTTCGTCCTTAGCAAATGATGACTCTGCAGCAATCACTTCTCTCTGGGAATACGAATACAACCAGCCAGTAAGTGAGAATTCCCTTTGCTGTTTCTTAGGTTCTTAAATTTAGTTGACAAGAATATGTCCTTTATATTTTTTGGGTTGCTCCATGTTCAAATGATGTGGTGCATAGCTAAATAGTTAAATATTTAGATGGTTGGCGATTGCAATTTTGACTTAAGCATGGACTGAACCATGACCAATGTAATTCGAGTACCTGTGAAGTACTGTTATGGATGGAGTAAACTTGAACATCGACATAAGGATGGCCTTGTATTGTTTTTTTCTTTCCCATCGACATATTTTAAATTTCTATAAACTGATGCCGATCAATCTCATTTGTCTTTTATTCAGGGTTCCAGGGCAAACTGGTGCGACCACAGGTACTCTTGGAATTAAGGATTAATATTGTATCCACAATTTACAGGCTTTAGTTAACATCACTTAGTGTCTTCTTATATGTTTTCATATATATGTCTGTCTTTGCACATATGTTTTCTTTTTGGGGTGCAATTAATGGATTGAGTAAAGTTAACACGCAATGGTTTTTAGGCACAGGGAATAACGTGGGGCTGGATTTATTGATGAATATGTTTGGCAGTCTTGGTGCTGGCGGCTTAAGTGGTGCGAACCAGTCAAATGGTGAGACGCAGTTCTCTAGACCCTTTTCTTTTAAAATATAATATACACAATGAGATGGTTAGCCATTGAAACGTACAAATGTGTTTGTATTTGTGGTTCAGTTCCTCCTGAAGAGCTTTACGCCACACAATTGCAACAACTTGAGGAAATGGGTTTCTTTGACAGAGCAGAGAACATTAGGGCGTTGCGTGCAACCAACGGCAACGTTAACGCTGCTGTAGAAAGACTCTTGGGGAGTTTCGGCCAGTGATTAGAAACTAGAAAGGTTCGTTGACTTTTATGGTTTTTAAAAAAAAAAAATTATGTTTTTTTTTTTTGGTAATGGCATTAGCAGTCTTATATTATACTCTATTTTTATAGGGGTCAAATTGTGGATACAAAAGCCGCATTGATATGGAATTAATTTTTATAGCAGCGGGTCTTCTTCTTCATTCTTTTTTTTTTCCTTCCAAGTATACACTCTGAGACAAATTTGTCTTTAAAATTGTGATTAGTTCTGGGGATGTCGAATTGTTATACCTTCTTTTCCCGTCCATTGTTATACCTTTTTGTTGGATGTAAAAAAAATTATTTGAACATTGCGACGTTGTGATTGGTTAGGTTAGACTGTTAGAAGAGCATATTCGTAAATCGTAAGTATTAGAACTTGGATTATAAGGCCCATTAGATATAAAGTTGGCCCAACAAATTATTAAGCAGCAAAATTAACGGAAATAAAAAAAACGTGGTTTCAAACTGCAGAAGGGATAAGTCTTCCTTACACAATAAACCGCTCTGTGTAAGGGATAAGTCTTCCTTACACAATAAACCGCTCTGTTCCTCAACCGAAGTTAACTGTCTCCCTGTTCCTCCACAACTTCCTCCCCACGTAACCGTCTCCTTCTTCTTCCTCTTCTTCTACTTAAGCAACCCTTTCTCTACCCCCTAACTTTTTTTTTTCTCTCATCACTTTCTCTACGTGATCACTATACTATGACCACCAATAATTCCGATTCTGATCCCAATCTTCACAATCAACTTCCTCCTACTTCTAACGCAATCGTCCCTTCCTTGCCTAATCCAAATCTCCAACTTGCTTTTTCTCCAAGTTACGATCAGAGCCCTAGAAAGAAACGCACCAAAACCGTTGCTTCATCATCCACCTCTTCACCAAAACCAAAATACACCAAAAGACCGGACCCAAATGCCCCCAAAATCACACGTCCATGTACCGAATGTGGCAAAAAGTTTTGGTCCTTGAAAGCTCTTTTTGGTCACATGAGATGTCACCCTGAGCGTCAATGGCGTGGCATCAATCCTCCTCCTAACCACCGTGGCTCCGCCGCCGCTTCATCATCGAAACAGCTAAACCAGAGATCACCGAATTGGCTCTCATCTATGTCTGAAGAAGACCATCTCGTCGCGTCTTGTCTCTTAATGCTGTCTGATGCCACACCATCATCATCAACTAGCCATGACCGGTTCGAGTGTGGAGGATGCAAGAAAGTGTTTGGATCACATCAGGCTTTAGGAGGACACAGAGCGACTCACAAGAACGTTAAAGGATGTTTCGCAATCACAAACGTAACCGATGATCCTATGACGGTAACTTCTACGTCTAATGATCAAGATCATCATGGTAAGATCGTCACGTTTTCGGGGCACCATAAGTGTAATATCTGTTTTAGAGTGTTCTCGAGTGGTCAGGCTTTAGGAGGCCACATGAGATGTCACTGGGAGAGAGAAGAGGAGACGACCATTGGTGGTGCGTTTGATCTGAATGTTCCCGCAACAATAGAGGATCCTTCTACTTCGGACACATCAGGGTGTTCATTAGATCTTAGCTTAAGACTTTAATTAGTATATATATTTATAGTTATATATCGGACGTGTGCTTCTAATATTTATAGGATAATGTTGTTAATGTTGTGATTTGATGATATGTATTATGTATTTTGGATATTGGTGTATCCTGTGTATTCTTCTATATGTATGCTTAATAATCTAATAAACTTATAAAGAAATTTGCTCTAAAATTTGCTCTAACTCTTCGTTTTCGATTTATACTGATTTTCTGATGTATATATCTGCAAAGCAAAATATAAAATAGATAATAAAAACATAGGGAAATGGAATCTAAGGGATACATTCGACCAAAGTAAAGAAAGTAGAAGAAAAATCCTATTTACAAAATAAAGAATGATATATATTTTGATAAGTATACAAATTTTAGTTTGGCAAATTCCTGCTGTCTCCTTTACATGAAAACATATATATGTTGAAGAGCAGGAAAGCGAAAAATAAGAGACCAAAATTTGTGGAATTGGAAAGTGAAATTATTATACGAAAAATACATTGTTAGATTTGTAGATATATAGCGAAGATCAAAGTTAATAGGTCGAAGAGATTGACATTCTTTTGGGTACGAATATATTTCTAATTATTCCATTGTACTTTTGAAGTTGTACGTTAAAAAGTCATGTATTAAGATTTTACCAAACCTTAGTGAAAAGATTATTAGTACTTTTGAAGTTGTACGTTAAAAGTGTTTTAAATTCAGTGACTAGTTACTCATATTTTAGGGGTTTTTTATTCACCTTCCCGCAAAGAGTTGAAGTGGCTTCACTTCACATTTGATAAAACTGAAGATACAAAAAAATATGGCTTCACTTCACTTCACAATTAATAACACGGATAAATTTGAAAAAATATGGTCTAGTTGCTTTTCTAACAAAAAAAAAAAATTGCAAAACGATGGTGGGATTTTTTTTATTTACATTACTAAACTTATGGAGTAATAGAATTGGAAAATCCGAACTGTAAAAGAATATCTCAATTGTATAGCTAACAATATTAACAAAGAGTTTCTTAAAAAAAAAAATTAACCAAGAGTTGCTATTTTGAAACATGAAATTCATAAGCACAATGAGGCGTTTTGACAAAATTAAACCTAATAGCTGATCTAACAAACTAATTTCACGAAAGCTTAATTCGTCTTGTTCTCTCTCTTTTTTTTTTTTTTTCTGAAACTGTTAATTAGTCTTATCCTTGCCAAGTTTCTTTGTTAGACTTGATCTCAAACTCACCACGATCTCATTATATTTCGATTAGATCTTATTCGGCTAAAGAATCTTAGTGTTATATCTAATCCAATATAACCAGCTAGCTTTAACTTATATATAATTTAAAGATTAAGATTGAATCTTAAAAAAATACTAATAATCTGAAGATTCAGATGCATTATAGGTAAGCACGCGGAACTAATTACAACATGCACGAACCCTAATCCGAGACAGTTTACAATTAATCTTCTCGAATCTATTAAACAATTATTTGATTAATTGTCCTTCAAACCTTATCAAACTAGTGCGACACACAACCTTCGTGAATATTCAACTACTAACCATTTTTAATAACAATAATTATCGTTTACAGCGATGCCTGTTATTATATTAATGCATCAAAAACAACAAGAAGAATCTTCCCCTGAGTTTTTCTTTACAAATATATTATTAAAACTTTGTATGTAAAATGCAATATTATCAAAACAAAGTCGTTTCGCGCATATATCAATGATGAATCTCCCTAGCTCTGAATTGTTTCTTTCTACTACTGGCTCGTGTAAATCACACGCGCGTGAGAAAAATACTGTAAAACTGTTCACGTACATATGTGATTCATTCATTTCATATGTCTACATCTGCATCATGTTGACAAAAATAATACGAGTATACATCTACTGATTTGCATCATAGAATTTTTATATGCTGTTGATTTGTTTATGTATGTTTAAAAATGATAGATATGAAGGCTTACGTAAGATGAAGTTGACCAATATATCTCCTTACACGTTCTTTACATCTTTGATAAGCACTCGCTATGGACCATATATATATATTCATTATATTGTGAGCTATATTATATATGCTTAAATATAGTTTTTGTCTTTCCAACATGCTCGTATTTAGTATCATCACAACGAATTTAGGTAAACCGTAATTATATATGCACTCTATTTATTTGTTTTGAATCATTTAACAAACATTAATATATATATATACAATAAATTTATACAGTAAATTAGAGCTTCCCGTAATTCGATTTTAAGTTTTTAACTATATACAAAAGAAAGTTAATTTGAGGTATTTTTTCAGCGAGCTCTTTTAGTGGTTTATTTGTGAGAAATAGTGTATAGTTATAAGTTATAACCGTTACGGAATCCTAATAAACTACAACATACTAACATTTTTTGAAAAAGAAAAATAACATTTCTTAATTTGAATGTAGTCCATAGTGGTTTTTGTAATGGATATACTCTCTTGTACACAATGAGCTTCGTCTTTGAAAACCACAAAAATGATATTTTTTTCGGCTACAATTAATGTATTTAATCAGAACTACAACCTGAATACTATTATATGATCCATAAACATCAATCGGGGGGACGTCATAAGAAAATGTCAGATAAATATCCAACATATATATCTGATGAGTTTGACGATTCCTGATTGCTGATCCTGCAATACGATGTTGTTTTTATCTTAATAAGTATAAACAAAACAGAAATAAAATAAAATATGAATTTTCGATTACATTTTCATTGACTAAACATTATGTTTTTAATTAATGATAGTTGGAACTTATTTATTAAATCCATCAGATCCGAAAATGAAAAAGTAATGATGGTGAGATTAGAAACCTGTCAGTACAACACACATAGTTAAGTATATATGAATATGTATATGTATTATACTGTATGTATAGCTAAATTTAATTATGTGGAAAGCACGTCAATGTGATTTACAGTACTTTAGAGAGAAAATCATATACAACTATTTATATGCATATATTTCACCATAATTGATTAGATTAATCAAAAACATATTAAGTGGATACCTGAGCGGGATTTATTTTATCTTTAAAGCCAGGCTTTACACCTAATCAAACTATTATTTCGAAAATCAAAATAGCAATTTGTTAGTATATAACAATTAACTCTTTTAACTTCTAGTTTGATGCCATAAGGGGGTGACGACAAATAAAAATACTTAATCACTAAACATTCATTTAAAAATCAATAAACGGCGTGACATCATCTTCCATTATCGCGGCTTTCCTTAACAAACAAATATTATATCTATGTGAAGTTTTTATCTTTAAAACAATTATTTTTATGAGATAAAGTAGTTACTTACTTATTAACATTTGCCTTACAGATTTAGCGCCACTTGCTAGTTTATCTTAACATGCACGTACAATACATGACGCTCGTGATTTTGATATTTGTTACAATACAAAGTCTTTCATCTAAGTCTAATTAATAAGGAGGTTTTTGTTGTTGTTGCAAATAACAATGAGGACTAATAATGTAATTAATGAGTGAAACTAGTGTTTCCAGAAAAGCGACATGTGTAGGGCCTGCCGTTTGAGACAAAGAACTCCATTAAGAGAAATTTTGTTGCTATTTTTCTTTATATGGAGAGAGAGATTTCGTGCACGACAATATATTTCTTATAATTAGTAAATAGATTAATTAAATTGTATATATACGAGAGAATTTATAAGTTATCATAAACACGAGGACTCCAACTGACTATATATTTACAAATAGTAGGAAACTAATGGAGATTAAAGTAAGATGTTATAATTAATGACCATTTTATTAGTCAGGTCTTGGATGCGGCGGGTCGGGTATCGGACGATGAGGAAGGGACGACGGCTCCTCAGATCACTGAGAGCCGTTTGATCCTTACTTTTTGGAGCAAAGTGGCTTAACTTAACCCATTCTTCTCCCCTCTCGAAGCCTGACCCTTTGGAGATTATTTTAGATTATGTTATAATATACATACTCATTATTCTCTAATGTATGGTTTTTAGTTTTGATAAATTGAGAAGCATATATGTAAAGACCGGATTGGAGGATGGATTTGCCGTATAGTTGGACTTGGATCGACAAATTTATTAATCTTAAAATTCTCAAAGTTGAAGTACATGTTGAAATACCCAATAAGAAGCTTATACGTATGTCGGAAAAAAGAAGAAGCTTATACGTATATGGTAAATTTACTACAATTTTGCTTTTATTTTTTTAATCTATCTATCTAGCATTACAAATCAAAAATGTTAAACTTCTGAAAAACCGAATGAAATCAGAAAATCACCCATAAAACTAACATGGTATTAGATTCTAGCTTATCCAAATAGCTGAAATAACTGGGAAAAGAAAAGCAAAAATTAGACTAAAATTAATGAGTCAGAAAGACTTATCATCTCAAATGTGTGTTAAAAATGTCTAACATTTAAAAATGACATATTTTAGCACTAATATATAAATGATATGAGTTTTTCCATTCATTATCAATTGATTGTAAGTTGGAAGATCATAAAATTTACAAATATTAACGTTTAATTAATTGATTAATACAATTTTCATATATTTGGACATGTTAGATTTCAAATTATATATATTATTTATTTGTTAGCATGCAAGGAAGTGATCTAGTTTCTTGAATGTTTTTAGTGATATTTTGAGGTTTTTAGTTTTTTGTCCATACGATCAATAAATGGGTTTAAATCTAGAACATAATGCAATAACAATATTAACACAAATCACTACACCGCTTGACTTCGTTAAACGTATCGTAGTTTGTTTGACGACAGAAAAAAAACATACCGTAGTTTTAGTGAACTTCTTATTTATATTCATATGTTGTGGTACTTTAACAGTAAAGTGAGAACGTTCGTCTCAAACTTTTTCATTAAATTTCACTTGTTACCGGTTTTAAAAAAAAGAACCTCATGCAAAGTAAATTTTCGAGGATATTTTAGTACAAATTACAACACAAATTCAAAAAATAACTTAACTATGGATCTTCTCTATATAAAATATTTAACAATTTCAACTAATCTAGTAATCTGACCACATAAATTATCATATGAATTAAAAAAGGTTAATTATTGATCAAAAGTTGCATAGAGATTATAGAGCAGCTCCTCTTTGGTCTTTGTCCGTCATATATACGTGCTTCTCACACTGTAATAAAATCTCTTGTAAAGTTTTTAATCAAAATATTTTCTTAATTCACCACACGAGTATTCCCTCACAATCGCTTTTAATCGATACATCATTTCAAAACTCTCTTTTCTGTATCAGATATAGATATATATCTTATATGTCCGTTGTTTGCAAAAAAAAACTTTTTCTTCTTCTTTACACATACTAGGAGAATCCAATGCCTAGCTACCACACAATCAAGATACAAATAATGTCTTAAAAGTTTAATTAAATGATATGCTATATCAGCAGTTTCAAAATCAAATCCGAAAGTTAGATCAAAATTTGATTTGTCCAAAACTTTGTTTTATTATATATCACATCTAATGTTAAGAAACATATACATCCTTGAAACCATGGTAAGTAATTTTTAAGAATCGGTACTGAATATTGCAGAAAGAGTAATGGAGAATTTTCAAAAAGTCTGATTTAATAAATAAAAAAAAATTTCTGTGTGTAAATTTATGTAGTATAATTAAGAAGAAAAAGGTTTGAGTGGAACAAAAATACAACTCGCGAAGATTTATGTAGTTTATGGATAATATCCTTTTACTAAATGATTAGTAAAGTTTATAAAAAAAAATTATAATGATTGATGTAATTTAGGCTAGCGGTTACATGGCTACTTTCTACCTCCCAAAGTCATTCACAAGTTAAACCCGATGAAAGGGGTGATGACATAGATAATATTATTAGGGCATTTCCCAAACTCTTCACAAACACACAAAAGTTATATATATATATATATATATATATATTTAGAATTTCAGTAATATTATTGGAATCGATACATAGAAAATAACAGTGTAAGTTTAAAAAAAAAAAAGAAATTAGTAGATATACACTTTAAAATTATTTTCATCATTTACGTATAAGATGAAGTAACCCCATAAAATTAATTAAATTCTTCGAACCTAATAGCTTTATTTTTGTCAAACGTTTAAAATCTTGTTTTTTTTGTTTGATTACAAACTAAATACACATTATTTTCTTAATGATTTCTTGGCACACTATTACACTAAGTAGAGTCAGGCCTTTCTTATGGTAAGGATTGAGGAACAAAGTGAAAACCCACTTTACTATAATATTTGCAAAGAATCCTATCTTCGTTACGTTTTACTTTTAACTTCCAACATAGGAGATAATTACACAAGTCAGCTAATGCGATTTAAGTAACTTGGTAACAGTTTTATTTTTCACTGTAATATTCAGGTGTTTTAGTATTTTATATTTTCTTGCTGAGATCCATATCTGTATATTCAATTTTTGGCGCGACTCGTATATATTCATTCTATTTTATGTAAGTGTGTGTAATACCTAAAATCTTTTTTTTTGGGCAAATGTCTTAAAAACAGTTGTTATTGAACTTCAATAACTCAAGTAATTCTTAAATGATTACACTTTATAGCCATCATGAAAGATGAAAAGTACGTATCATTATACTTAGAAAAAGAGGTTTGCTATAGTTAATTGGTGTGAAAGTAACTTTTATCAAAGGAAAAAAAACGATTTAGTCAGCTAGTGAACGAATCATTGTAAAATCCGAAAAAAAAACTATTTCACTATCTTCTCCCATGAATCGGACTCACATGGACGCCATTTGAAAGCGTGGAGTTAGCTTTCAGAAAAGCATTAAAGTTTACATTTAATGAATATATATATAAACATATATATATTTTTTTTTGGTAAAATAGTTTTAAGTTTTAACCTTTTTGTACTGAAATAAATACAAAACTCAATCTTATAGAAGAAGAGCGACTATTGGCTAATTATTTAAATTTGTATCTATTTTAATAGATTGTGTATCACGTATATACCCTTAATAATTATATATTAATAATTGATAATATATAATCGTCTATATCTATATATAAATATAAATAAAAGAAAAAAAACATGTTGATTATATCAAAATTATAGAACAATTAAGGAATTTTAACTTATCATGGGGAAAGACACGATTGCTGATATAATAACCTCTATACGAAATGCTGACATGAATAGAAAAGGAACCGTTCGGATAGGATCGACTAACATCACCGAAAGCATTGTTAAAATACTTTTACGAGAGAGTTTTATCGAAAACGTAAGGAAACATCGCGAAAACAACCAATACTTTTTGATTTTAACCCTAAGACATAGACGAAATAAGAAAGAATCCTATAAAACGATTTTAAATTTAAAGAGAATAAGTCGACCGGCTCTCTGTTTAATTTGTATCATGATAAACAGAGAGACTTAAAATAAACCACCGTGGTAAATTCTGAAACCCAAAGAAAGAGGAATAAAGCGCCATCATTTATAGTTTTATACAAAACGCATTCAAGAAATTTTCAAAACTTGTAACAACATTTACTCCATTTAATAATACAAATAGTTTAAAACTAGGGCTGAGGTCATTGAGGGATTATTGTTTTTGTGAGAAGTTAAAGAAAGAATCTTGAAGGTCAAATTATTAATGAAACCTGTTCAACATGACAGACAATGTCTTCTGCAAGAATCTTTCTCCCTCTTTCAATGATACAGATCAAAGTTTAACCAACGAAACAGAACAAAGTACACATAAGCTTACGTAATCAAAATTTATTATATCTAATTAATATAAAAACTAATTGAAAGTTTGAACGAGGCAAAAGAATCTCAAGAATAGATCACCAACTACATCATTAAGAGAACATCTCAGCTCTTTAAAATCCAGAGCTTCAACTCTTTTCGCTTTCTTCTTCTCATCTTTCTTTCTTTTGCAGAAGAAAACAGAGAAACAAAAGATCTTTCTTTCTTTTCTTTTTTTTACTGCAGGTGGGATTTTTCTTTTTAAATTTAAGTGTGTAGATTAGAACAGTAGATAGATCTAATTGGATGGTATAAAACGGGTCCACTTTGTTCTTGGGAAAGATTCTGCACGCCCACATGGTGAGATTAAAATAGAGTAATATTACCCTTCATCACCTACTTGTGTCCAGAAAGACAGAAAGAGAGAGAGAGAGAGAGAGAGAAAAAAGAAGTGGTGATGATAATATCATCTATGTGAGCAAAAGAATTTTCACAGCTTTTTGTTTTCTTTTTCCTCAGAATCTTTTCATCATTTATGTGTTTATGCACCAGTAAACAGAGAACAAACAAACTCTTTCTAACTGAAAACAGAGCAAATTAAATCTTTTGTTTTCTGTCAGCTATTTACTTCTTCTGAGTGTTTGAAACCCAAAGTCAAAATTTCTCTTTATTTCCTGAAATTCTCTTTACTTTGCTCAAGGAATCTTGATAAAAGTAAGTAACTTTTTTTTCTCTGTGTGTGTGGTGTGGGTGTTGTAGTTACTAACTATTTCTGGAATTTTGTCGGAAGATTGTTTTGTTCTTTGGATACTTATGTCATGGAGCATCAGAAGATTTTTTTGTTCTTTGGAAACTGATGTCATGGAGCATCAGATTCTTAATTTATATAATTCCATTTTATCTTCATTTTTTTTTTCTTCTTCTTCTTATGTGTGGCATTTATTGTCTGCTGGAAATTTCTAAAAAATTGTCTTTTAAGGGCTCAATAATTGGCCCTCTCGGAGTTTCCATGTCCATTGGGGAATATTGTACTTGAAGCTGATGTTAGTACTTGATGAAAATCCTCTTTCAAGTCAACTCTCTAGCTTTTATATATTTATAGCCTCTCTATGATTTTCACAACCTCTCTTAAAAGTCTATTATATACATGTTGAAATGCACTTTTGATCTTGCAGTTGACAAAGACTGAGTTTTGCTCTTATCTTGTTTCTTCTCTTCTCTTCTTCTTGTTGGGTTTTGATCATGTTTCTGCAACCTTTGCAGATGGGTTATGTAGACACCGAGGAAAGGAACCTTAAGGGGACCTCAAAGACGCTTGTTCTTGCCGGTTCATGAAGAAAAATTCTTTGAGAAAGTTGAGAGTTTTGTTACACTTCTGGTGGATGCAAGATTGAGTTGAAGAAAAAGAAGAAAAAGAGAGATTCTTTTGATATGGAAGGTGGTGGTGGTGGAGATGGCGGTTTCTTACCTAATTCTAGCTTAGGTGCATTCTCTGAGACGGCTATGGATATGGATTTCATGGAAGAACTCTTCTTTGAAGGATGTTGGCTTGAGACAACAGACAGTAAGAGCTTGAAGCAGACGGCAGGACAATCAGTTTCTGATTCTACCACCATGAGTGACAACAACTCTTTCCTTTACGGTTATCAATTTGCTGAGAACCCTTCGCAGGATCATATCTCCAACGAAGAGACTGGGAGAAAGTTTCCTCCACTAACACCGGGTTTTCTCAAGATCGAAGATCTCGCCAATCAACCGGTGAACCAAGTATCTTTTGACCAGCCTGCAGCTATGAGTTCTGCACAAGCAGAGAAGTTTCTCCTTGAAGAGACTGAGGTAGGTAGAAGATGGTGGATTGCTCCAAGAACAAGCCAAGGCCCTTCTTCATCGGTGAAAGATAGACTGGTACAAGCTATAAAGGGTCTTAACGAGGCGGTGCAGGATAAAGACTTCCTCATTCAGATATGGGTGCCAATTCAACAGGAAGGCAAGAACTTTCTAACCACTTTGGAGCAGCCACACTTCTTCAACCCGAAATACTTGAGCCTTAAGAGATACAGAGATGTCTCAGTTGCATATAATTTCTTGGCTGATGAAGATTCCAAGGAGTCTGTAGGTCTCCCTGGCCGTGTTTTCCTTGGGAAATTACCTGAGTGGACACCTGATGTGCGGTTCTTCAGAAGCGACGAGTATCCTCGCATCAAAGAAGCACAGAAATGTGATGTTCGTGGATCATTAGCCCTTCCTGTGTTTGAAAGAGGTAGTGGGACTTGTTTGGGTGTTGTTGAGATTGTCACAACAACTCAGAAGATGAATTACAGGCCAGAACTTGAGAATATCTGTAAAGCTCTCGAGGTTTTTCTCTTCCCCTTGATTCTATAGTATCATCCTTCATTACCATATTTTGTAGCCTAAAGAGGTTTCTGTGTTTTGTAGGCTGTTAATCTAAGAAGTTCAACGAACTTGAAATCTCCAAGCAGAGAGGTTTGTAAAAATGGTCTTCTAAACCAAATCATTTGTTAACACACACATAAACCTGTCGCTAAACGTATGTATGCCCATTGTTTCAGTTCCTGCAGGTATATAACCATTTCTACCATGCCGCATTACCTGAGGTATCAGACTTTTTGACATCGGTATGCAGATCATATGAGCTGCCTCTGGCTTTAACGTGGGCACCGTGTGCTCGGCAAGGCAAAGGTGGATCCCGCCATTCTGATGAGAACTTCTCTGAGTGTGTTTCAACTGTAGATTCTGCTTGCTTTGTCCTCGACGAACTGAGTCATCATTTCCTAGAGGCATGCTCTGAACACCATCTTCTTCAAGGAGAAGGCATTGTTGGAAAAGCATTCAAAGCGATCAAGCTGTTTTTCGTGCCCGAAGTAACCACTTTTAGCAAGACCAACTACCCTCTTGCACACCACGCTAAGATCTCTGGTCTACATGCTGCTTTAGCAGTCCCTTTGAAAAGCAAATTCAATGGTTCGGTTGAGTTTGTGTTGGAGTTTTTCTTTCCAAAAGCTTGCCTTGACACCGTGGCTCAACAGGAAATGCTCAAGTCACTGTCTATAACCCTGCAGCAGGATTTCAGGAGCCTGAATCTTGTCATTGATAAAGATCTAGAGCTAGAAGTGGTGTTTCCTGTAAGAGAGGAAGTACTTTTCTCAGAGAAACCACTTATTATTGATGCAGAAACAGGAGAGAATCTGAAACCTTTGCCTTTGGAAGAGATATCTCAGGAAGATTCCTCATGGATCTCACACATGATAAAGGCTAACGAGAAAGGTAAAGGCGTGTCGCTTTCATGGGAGTACCAGAAAGAAGAGCCAAAAGAAGAATTCATGCTTACATCTGGCTGGGACAACAACCAGATTGGCCAAGGCCACAATAACTTTCTTTCAGACACTGAGCAGTTTCAAAAGGCTTCAAACTCAGGACTCAGACTCGACATAGATCCGAGTTTTGATTCAGCATCCTTTGGTGGGGGACAACCATTATTAGGCAGTAGAAGACCAGGTGAGAAGCGAAGAACAAAAACAGAGAAGACAATCGGCTTGGAAGTTCTTAGACAATACTTTGCAGGAAGCCTCAAAGATGCAGCCAAGAGCATTGGTGGTAAAGAAAACTACTTGTTATATTAATTATGTCTATTTTGTCAACAGTGATGATGATTCACACGGTTTTACTTTCTTATGTTTCAGTTTGTCCAACGACCTTGAAAAGAATATGCAGGCAACATGGGATAACAAGATGGCCTTCCCGGAAGATCAAGAAAGTGGGGCACTCGTTAAAGAAACTCCAACTTGTTATAGACTCTGTTCAAGGCGTTCAAGGCTCTATCCAACTTGATTCATTCTATACAAGTTTCCCAGAACTAAGCTCTCCCAACATATCTGCTACAGCTACTGGCACTTCCTTCAAGAACAGTGACCAGTCAAGGCATTTAAGTGCTCAAACCGAGAACGGTGTATCAGCACAGGGAATTGCTGCAGCTCCAAGGTCGCCACCATCATCTTCTTGTAGCCACAGCTCTGGTTCAAGCACCTGCTGCTCAACTGGAGCTAATCAAAGTACCAATACTGCAAACACCTCAAACACCTTAACCACTCTGATGGCTGAAAATGCAGGCGCGATCTTGAAGAGAGCTCGTAGCGAGGTAAGGCTCCATACTGTTAATTATCAGGACGAAACAAGGTCTCTCTCTAGAACCATGAGCCACAAAACATTCAGCGAGCAACCTCTTTACGAAAATCTACCTCGGTTACCAGAGAGTCGAAGCAGGAGCTTGAAAGCTGGAGGCGCATCTAAAGTGAAAGCCACGTTTGGTGAGGCCAAAGTACGGTTTACTTTGCTCCCGAACTGTGGCTTCAGAGAGTTGCAGCAAGAGATCGCTAGGCGTTTTAACATAGATAATATTGCACCGTTTGATCTTAAATACCTGGATGATGACAAGGAGTGGGTTCTGCTGACATGCGAAGCGGATCTTGAGGAATGTATCGACATTTATAGGTCATCACAGAGCCGCACGATCAAGATCAGCGTTCACGAAGCTTCTCAAGTCAAGCTTGGAGGTTCTTTTGGTAGCACCGGTCCTGGTCCTTCGTGATTATAAGCAATGAGGTAAGGTTATTGCACCTGCAAAAGAGACAAAGAAAGATTCGACTAATTTACTAATGTGTTAGAAAATTATTACTCACTCACCATTTTATATAGCCTGGGCAACGTTTGTAAACATATTTTCAGTGGCCTGGATCATATACCATTTTGCAAGCAGTAGTAGTCGACTGGTTTTCTGCATCGGCTTAGCAGATTTTTTGTATAATAAGCGATGCATACCAGAAATATGCTTATATATGTGTATTTTTATCTTCTGTACATCATTTGTCAACTGGATTCTACTAAGCTTTGCAAGTATGTTATATTGTAATATTTCCTAGTTTCTTCATTTCTCACTTTTTCTTTCTTACCAAAACACATGGAAACATTAAACTTGTTTGAAAATTTAGTCATGCAGTTTCGGAGTTTCCCTCTTTCCATCTTCTTCAGCAGTAAATAGCTAGGAGAGTGTTCTGTTTTAAATCAAAAGGTTACTGCGTACAAATATTTTAGTGAAGAAGGGTCCTGGGAAGAAAACCTGGAAACATCTCTACTTGTAGCTAGGACTCTATCCGATCCATTCAACTGGTATATCCAGACAGAGAAGCTTTTGTTAAAGGAGTTAAGCTCAAAGATCTAGTACATAGTTATTCAATATATGCACAAACATTCAAGCCATGTCAAGAAAATTTGGGGAACATGTCTAGTTATACAACACTGGCTTGTATTCAAGGAGAGTCACAATTCAACAGAAACAAGAAATCGCTGTACCAGTTTGAAAGTAAGAAATGGATATAGACATTTCACCTGTATAATAGACACAGATAGATGCTGTTCTTGGCAGAAAAAGGAGAGAAGAATATATTCACTTTTATTGTGAGGACACAGAATATTTTTGCAAGAGGGATATTGATACTGAATCTATCACGACCACCTTAACTTGAAAGTCAAGAGAAAACATAAAAAACTTTGGAGGTCTTTCTCTACGTAGATTGGATTTCTAACCATAACCCTTTTTCAAATACTTTTATCACAACAAGTCTTGTTTTTTAATAATGCTTATTGTCATGCAACAACATATAATACATGAGAATGGAAACATTCATCAAAAAAGCAAGCTATATCAATCTAAGAGTAGAAAATTCGAGGGTGCGAGTGATGATTTTGCAAAAGCGGTCTCATGCTCAAAACACGAAGAAGTGTAACTGGGTTTTAGGATTTTGGGGCAATCGTGTAAATACTTGAAGTGATGATTTTGCGACTGTGGTTCTACAAGAAAAATCAAATTAGTTTCGGGAAAATGTCAAAGAGGTAAAACGATGCAGGGGGTAGTTGTATAAATATCTGAAATTGATGAATTTGCAAATGCGATCTGATAAGAACATATCAAATTTATTAAGGGAATATATTAATGATGTAAAAGATTTTGGGGGCAATTGTTTAAATACTTAAAATTATACAATAAACGGGTTTTCGTCCTCCTCCAGCTCCAAAGGCCAAAAGGCGCATCAGTCTTCTTCCAGATTCAAACAATCTTGCAGCGAAAAGATGTCTCGCCGATCGCTGACTCTCTTGAAGAATCTAGCTAGAAGCGCGAATGGTTCAGCTATCCAGACCCGATCCGTGACTTACATGCCCAGACCCGGCGATGGAGCACCACGCGCCGTGACGCTGATTCCCGGCGACGGGATCGGTCCGCTGGTGACGAACGCCGTGGAGCAGGTGATGGAAGCGATGCACGCGCCGATCTACTTCGAGAAGTACGATGTGCACGGAGAAATGAGCCGTATGCCACCGGAAGTGATGGAGTCGATACGGAAGAACAAAGTTTGCTTGAAAGGTGGGCTCAAGACTCCAGTCGGTGGTGGTGTGAGCTCGCTCAACGTGCAGCTCAGAAAGGAGCTTGACCTCTTTGCTTCTCTGGTCAACTGCTTCAATTTGCCTGGTTTACCAACTCGCCACGAAAACGTTGACATCGTTGTGATTAGAGAGAACACCGAAGGCGAGTATGCTGGGCTCGAGCACGAGGTTGTTCCTGGTGTCGTCGAGAGCCTTAAGGTGACTATTATCCTCATGAGAATTTTCGATTTTCTTATAGGATTATGGCCTTATGCTATGGTTTTTAGTGTGATTTGGAAGTAGCCTTATGGTAATTTCAATCTGCAATTTCTCTATCTCAATTTTGAATTTTTGGAATCTGAGCTTAGTGACAAGGGTTTTAGGATGCTCTGACATGTTCTCTAGGGGGATTTCGATTGGCAAACTAGAAACGATGTTGGATGAACATTTCGGACTAGGTAGATATGATGGAATTATGCCTGTTTCTTCCATCTTCTTGAACAAGATCTTGTTATAGTAAATTCCATGAGCTTATATTGTGTGTGTGTATACGCTCTTACACATTTGCAGATGCAAGTTTCTTTTCATCTTACTATGCAAGTGATTATTCGTTTTATTCATACTTCTTTTGATCCTATCTCTCTCTGTTAGGTGATCACGAAGTTCTGTTCGGAGCGTATAGCAAAGTATGCTTTTGAGTATGCATACCTTAACAACAGGAAGAAAGTGACAGCAGTTCACAAGGCTAACATCATGAAACTTGCAGATGGGTTGTTCTTGGAATCTTGTCGAGAAGTTGCTAAAAAGTATCCAAGCATCACCTACAATGAAATTATTGTCGATAACTGCTGCATGCAGCTTGTAGCGAAACCTGAGCAATTCGACGTCATGGTATGTTTCACAACTTTTCTTCTAACAATTACTCATATATGTTGAATTACTTGTATCATGTATGAAATTTTCCTGTTATCCATTGTCACTTCATGAAATTCTGCTTTACGTGAAAAAATACCCGTCATCTCTCCCTAGCTATCTCTGATCACCTGTTTTATGGTCATATACTGGTATGGGACTGCCGTCGTATTTCCATATACTAGTTAAATTCCCCGTTTGCATATAAAGATTTCATGGAAACTTTTGAATCGTAGCAGGGCATTCTCAGTTGAAAATTGTTTCCCTTGGGTTACTTCCTACTGTTTTATCCCTCCGGGCTCTCTGCTTTATAAATAGATAGAATCTGACTGCGTGAATATTGAAGTGCTAAAACATAGAGCATTCTTCACTGGAGGAGTAACTTTTCACTACTACATTTAAACCTTTATCTATGCTCTCCCTCATTGATGTTTGCAGTAGCTTCCTTTTGGCTTTTTCTTTCCTGAAACAGCTTACTTATTAAACTTTTGCAGGTAACGCCCAATCTCTACGGTAACTTAGTTGCAAACACTGCTGCTGGTATCGCTGGAGGCACAGGAGTCATGCCTGGAGGTAAAAAAAGCCTGTACAGATATTATCAATTACCCTACTCGAGATAGATACAATATCTAGAATACTTCTGAAATTTGTATATATGCAAACATAAAATGTCAAAACAGGAAATGTTGGGGCTGACCATGCGGTCTTTGAGCAAGGTGCTTCGGCAGGAAATGTCGGGAAAGACAAGATAGTAAGGGAAAACAAAGCAAACCCAGTGGCGTTGCTTCTCTCGTCAGCGATGATGCTTAGACACCTTCAGTTTCCTTCGTTCGCTGACCGGCTTGAAACAGCAGTGAAAAGAGTCATCTCTGAAGGAAAGTGCCGGACTAAAGATCTTGGTGGACAAAGCACTACTCAAGAGGTCGTTGATGCGGTCATTGCAAATCTAGAGTGACTTTGACAAATTTACTTTGGTCTCTCTCTCTCTCTCTCTCAAATTCCTGCTACAGATTTTCTGTAGCCGAAATATATATGGGTATGATCCACGGTGTCTGGTTTTGTACCTTTGAGTCTCATTTATTCTTTAAACGTAACTCCTCGAAACTTTCAATCAGATTTTTGTATTCCAAATAACTCATGTTGTTACGCTTGTTGGGTTTCGCCGTCTCAAAATTATTGAGAATTGAATAAAAATTGGTTGGGTTTAAAATCATTTACCCAAACTCGACATGTATTCTACAATTGGCCCAAATGATATATTTGGAATCAATGTTTAAATAATTGCTAGGCGTTAGGCGGATGGACACTGATTAATCAGAAGTGATTATTTTTATAAGTTTTTTCTAGAATTCATATATTTTTATAAAAGAGTTACAAATATTTTCATGTTTCTTTTTTCCATTGTATGGATTTTTTAGATGAAACAAAATGTAAATAGGTTGAATCGTTAATTGGGATGAGATTTAATTGTTAATTGAGATCAGGATAATTAGGTTGAATTGTTAATATGATGTTGTTTTACTAATAAATAATTGGGGCTACACAAAAGCCCAAATCTTGGCCCAAAAAAAGATAGAAGCCTAAATATTTGTAACAAATTTTGACCCATTTTTATTGGGCCGATTTTTTGCATTATGAGACCGATTTTGAATAAAATTGTTTCTAACCGGTGAAAAATTGGAGAACCGTCTAGCAGTACTGATCAGAAGGAATTATCGACAGAGAGCCTAATCGGCCACCTAGGTAACTAAGCGGTCGATTTTTTAACATGTGTTAGAAACTTAGAATCATTTTAAATATAAACACGACTGGTATATAAAATTCCGTGGGACAAACGAAAGCCAATCCAAATCCAAAAAAAAAAGCGAGCTGACGTGGCAAAATTTACATCAAGCGTCATCTCTCTATCTCTATCTCTCTCCCTCCTTCACCTCTCTCTCTCTCCAACTTGTCGTGATGGCTTCTCTAAGGCTCCCCGCTCAGCTCGTTACACGTGGCACTCTCAACCACCATAACTCTTCCTCCGCCGCCTCCTCCTCCTCCTCTGGACGCCTCTCCTGGCGGCGCTCTCTCACGCCGGAGAATTCGATTCCGAGCCTCCCATCTTCCTCATCCCTTAACCGGAAACCCTCAACGGTAGTCCCGGTTACATGCAGTGCCGCAGCGGTTAATCTTGCGCCGGGGACTCCAATCCGACCAACGAGCATCTTGGTGGTCGGAGCCACTGGAACACTTGGAAGACAAATCGTCCGGCGAGCTTTGGACGAAGGGTATGATGTCAGGTGCTTGGTCCGACCGAGACCAGCTCCCGCCGATTTCCTCCGTGATTGGGGCGCCACCGTCGTCAATGTAACGTTTTCACTTCTCTTCTGTTTTGCAAGTCTTTGATTTATGTCCCAATAAAGAACTAAACCGGATTCTCTTTGGACCAGGCGGATCTTAGTAAACCGGAGTCAATTCCGGCAACATTGGTCGGAATCCACACTGTAATTGATTGTGCCACGGGACGTCCCGAAGAACCTATCAAGACGGTAAACTTCAATATTGATTTTGTGAATTAAAAGTTTGATTGATCTGTAATTGTTGTTGTTGTTAAAGATTCAATTTTGATTTGTGAATGTATCAGCCTAGCGAGACTTATTCAAGTATGACTGATTTGTGTGATCTTAAGAGTCACTCTCATGCCTTTGCTTGTTTGTTGAGTGTGGAATTTGGCTCAATTTCTGTGTGTTCGGTTTAGGTAGATTGGGAAGGGAAAGTTGCTTTGATACAATGTGCAAAGGCAATGGGGATTCAGAAATACGTCTTCTACTCAATCCACAACTGCGATAAGCATCCCGAGGTTCCTCTCATGGAGATCAAGTATTGTACTGAGAAATTCCTTCAGGAATCCGGTTTAAACCACATCACTATCCGGTTATGCGGTTTCATGCAAGTAAGCCTCCTCCCCTTTTCCTTTACAATGCATCTAGCTCTCCTTGACCACTTGTCTTTGCAAAAGGCGGATGAGAAAATGAGTAGACAAGTTTCAAGATTGAATAGGCTTAATTCTTGTGTGATTCTGAGTGCAACATTCCTCATATGCAGGGTCTTATCGGTCAATATGCAGTCCCAATTCTGGAGGAAAAATCGGTTTGGGGAACGGATGCACCAACGCGTGTTGCTTACATGGATACACAGGTGAGTCAACTTTGTAGATGCAATTCATTTCTTTGTGTAAAACGTTGGTGAAGCACACAAAATGATGTAACATGTTTTTCATGCTATAACAGGATATTGCTAGGCTTACACTTGTTGCTTTACGCAATGAGAAAGTCAACAGAAAGCTTCTAACTTTCGCTGGCCCTCGTGCATGGACAACCCAAGAAGTAACCGCAGATTATCTTCTGCATGAAATTAATAGAGAATTTTTACTAAAAGCGTAACACCTTTTTGTTTTCAAAAACATGTCAGGTAATAACACTATGTGAGAGACTCGCTGGGCAAGATGCAAATGTCACAACGGTTCCTGTTTCCGTGTTGAGAGTCACACGTCAGTTAACTCGTTTTTTCCAGTGGACAAACGATGTCGCAGATAGATTGGCCTTCACTGAGGTAAAACTAGCCTTGTCACCTAATAATGGTGCTTTTGCTTCAAAGTAGTTTTCATCAACTGAAGTCACGCTTTTTGAAAATCTATGTGGCACGGTCGTATTTAGGTTCTCTCGAGTGACACTGTCTTCTCTGTTCCGATGACCGAGACTAATAGCCTACTGGGTGTGGATCAAAAGGACTTGGTGACGCTAGAGAAGTACTTGCAGGATTACTTCAGCAACATACTTAAGAAACTAAAGGATCTAAAGGCACAATCCAAGCAATCAGACATCTACTTCTGAGTTCTTACCTTCTTGTGTCTTAATAAGATTCAATACTGTTAAAAAAACACTGCATTATCATCGCATACTGTGAGCTTCATTGTTGCTCTGTTCTACAATGGTTATTGTGCTGCCTTTTGTAATTAAAGAAAATTATTGTAATGTAAATGTAGCTTGAGGTACCCATAGAGATTCTTTGTTGTCTTGAGGATAAACCAGCAAAGTGAAAAGAAAATGAGGTTCTTTGTAGCCAAACAAGCCTTAAAAGACTTTCATTCATGTAATGACTTCAGCTTATCAATGAAGAATGGGTTGAAAAAAATAATAATGGAATCTATGAAAATTTTATAATCAAAAATTTATAAGATAACAGTCGTATTTTTTTTAATAATTTTGATTAGAAATTAGCAAAATGGAGTTTGTGGTTATTTTTTTTAATAATTTTGATTAGAAATTAGCAAAATGGAGTTTGCTCAACCACGTATTTTTATATTGCCTCAAATAGTTGGCGGATAATCAAAATGTATACCTCAAATAGTTGGCGGATAATCAAAATGTATACTGGTGTAGAGCTCTAAACTGTCAACTTCCAGACTCTGATGTCGCATTCCTCTTGCGCACATATCACTCTTATGTAAGAGTTGTTGTACACATCCATGGATTTGAATTTCATGGAGCTAGTATCTCCCTTATACACTCTTTTAGTCTGAAGATTAAGTACATCCAGTTCCTCCAACAGCCCATGGCCAATGCTGCAAGAGAACAGCCTGCAGCTTTTGGAAAAAAATCAGACATCCGTAATTTCTTCAGTTTTGTAGAATACCCTAATGCCCGATTGCCATATGTTCTCCATGGTGTGTAATGGTGACCACAAGTTCATAATTTAATACCTACAAGTATAATAGAAAGTGAGATTCGAGAGAGAGAAAGGTCGTTCGATGGATGATCAATAACATATTCAGATAAGTTGAGTTGCAATGGAAACTCCACATGTTTCTGTAGTTTATGATTTTCAGAGTGGTTTGCTACAAATCGCATTTGTATTACCATTATTCTGGGTGGTTTCGTCTGAAAAAAAAAAACATTTTTTAAATAGTTTAATCAATGTTTTACTAGCATTTTTTATTTCCATTTCACTTTTTATCTCTTCAATTTATTTTTACGTTGCACAAAAATTGTCCCTATTAATAATGTGTGGCTTTAAAACTCTTGTGTTTAATTCTTTTAGTGTGGGCCATTAACTTGATGGGCTCTGATCACAACAAGAGTTTGAGAAAAACATCAAAGATCTTGGGGTTAGAAAACTCAAATAGTTTAACTTTTCTTATTAATCAATAATGTTTGTGTAGTGTGTAATGACTTTCTTTTGGGGATTTGTATTTTTAGTTCAGGTTGCTCATTTGAACCATCCAAATATGACCTGTTGTTGCTGTTAGTGCAGCTGAAAAATACCTTTTAAACATGTTTTCTAGTTCAGTCCATCTAAGCTACTTTATAATAGAAATTCATGAGCTTTAACAATATAAAATTTTCATATTTTCATGTGTAAACAATAGTGACAGTGTAATCTTTTTCTCAACCATTAACGTCTACTTTGGCTCTTCTAAGAACATTGCAATCCTGATCCATGTTGCTTTTATCACTTCTGGTATTTTTTACAACTTAATCTCATTAACGTCTTCTCGTAACAAAGTTGATAGTTCAACACTTATTTATTCTGTTTTCCTAAAGCATCTTCATTTCATCTTCCTGATGTAATGGATCATTGGTCCTCTTTTTGGAACGACCAATCACTCATTTGTGAGATAGAAGGAAGAGAGAAGGAAAATCACAAATAGGAATAAGAAATTACGTACGCAAGAACCATATATAATCAAACATGGATCTTTCTCTTCTTCTCATGAGAAATGGTTGGGGTTGAACAATATAAAATATATATATATATATATATATTAAAGGAATGACTGATCTCATAAATTGAAATCATCATAAATTGGGTCTACACAAATATATGTTGTAACAATAAGCAAGAACACTTTAGCGTAGTGAGTGTGTGTATTTCACTATGCAAGAACAGTATACGGTAAGTAAGGATCAATGAATGCTATGTCTTTTGGTTGTTATTTTTTAATCATTTAGCTAAATGACAGGCAACGGAGATATATAAAATGAGATTAGCACGATGGGATCGAAGGAGCTCTTAATAAGATGAAAACGATTACCACCACGACAGGTTCATCCGAATCGATTTTAATTGATGGGCTTGGCCGGTTTGGAGGAGCTCTACACTTATACGGAGGAGTTCCTGAAAATGTGGAGGAGCATTGACGCAACGTGTTATGTCGTCTGATAGGTCGGAGTTTATGGAGGTTATAAATCTATGGAAAATATGGAAATTGTATAATCAAAAGTTTGCAAAATAACAGTTGTATTTCTTTTAATAAACTGAATTAGAATTTAGCAAAATGCTGTTTGCTCAACCACATAATTTCTTGTTGCCTCGATAAAGTTAGATTTTTATTCGACAATAGCATTACAACTAGAAAAAAAAAAATATTTGACTCATTCCTAACAATTCCTAACGAACATTAAAATGGAAAAACGATAAATCAGAAACCCATAAATTTCTTATTAAAATCTGGATGATGGAATGCATGCATAAAATGACTTAAAAATAGCTTACCTCGTAGACCTAAGACAATATATTATTATATACACACATTTATTTAAGTACTACAATAAAATACGAAATGAAAAGCATGTGTCTGGTAAACCTTTTTTTCACTAGTGAAATGTATGTTACATGTCACCTGTCGTCGCCCAATTATTCTGTGCGGCTGTGCCTGCCTAATTTCCCCATCTTCAAAGCCTTTCTGTGTTTTGTTTATTCTTCCTATAAACCCTAAATTCAATCCGCTTCCAAAAATGACCATCACATTAACAAAACAATTAATATATCTTACTGACCACAACTTTATTCCAAATCCACTAAATAGTCTTTTAAAAAATAACCCAAATAGCAGATAATAAAATAGTTGTATCACAATGTGATAGTGACTAAATCATATATGTAAAACACGTTAATAATGTCCAATGCCTAATCCATCACTAACTTCTACGATTGCGTTGCGTTTAAGTATGTCGATAAATCAGAAACTATCAGCCAATAATGAGATGAGAATTACATACTGTATTGATTTGCATATAGTTTGGCCAGAAATTAATAACATAATATGATAGTAGCGAATTATATATGCAACACAATTGAATATCAGCACCACAATCCGGGAATATGCCTAACATGATATTTTAATTATGCTAGTCTTATGCTTTGTGTTCTATGCTATTATCATTACAAAATTCTATATTGGCAACATTTACGTAGTTATATGCAAAAACGTAGTTAAAAAAATTAGTTGTAATGATCTATAATAGTCATTAACGAAGCAGAATTAAGATTATGTTTCTTGATAACAGTGAAGACTAATTTACAACATCATTCTTCATATTGTAGCTAATTTGCAATATAAACTAAATCCCAAGTTAAAATTTAAGTACGTAACCATTATTCGTAACATGAGCGCATCGGATCAATTATAACGTATGATTATACAGATGGTTTATTTATAACAAATTCTCACAAAAATCATGTTTGAAAATTTTCCGCGATAAATTTTGTGAAGACAAAAAAATGAGTGTTGTCACACTGAAAGTAAATGAAGTATGCCGATTAATCTGATCCAAATGAACTATAATAGAACTTCATGAATACTGTTATCTGTAGGCGAATAAAAACAATAGTGTTATCTAGATTCTAGAATCAGCAAATTAAATGGTGTTGATGAGTTTGAACGTGCTTAACTTGATAAGCTAAAGAAAGTGAGGAAAATAAAAAGGTGAAAGGGACAAGAAGAAGAAGACGACGTCACAATGCATTAAATTCAATGTTTAATTTAGTTCTGTACTGTTAAATATTCCTTCTTTTTATTTATTTTTACATATTTATTTGCATACATTTCAAGTATACTATAAAATTTACTTCATCACTCTTTCCCCAAAATGTAACGATAAATTGACTTATTGAAGTTGTGTAGGGGACCAAAGTAACTTTCTCAAAATATCATTACCTCTGAATCAACACGGTCTTTATATTTGGCACCTAACATCACTAAGATTTTAGACATTTGTCAAATAATTTTTCATGAGGTAATGATCTCTAGTATTTTGGATTTCAGGTAAGCATGAAGGATTTGATTTATGCTAAATTAAACAACCTTTATTAGTGACTGACTAGTTGGACTTTTATTCACATTCCCGTACCATTTATTTTAAACGTACTAGTACTATATTATATAGGGTATTATTTAATCGTTGGTATGAATTTGTAACCGTACGTGTGGCAACTTGAATACTATTATGCATGGCTTACTACTATAAATGCCACTTTAACATACTACATATTCTTCTAATGAACCAAATCCATCTCTTTCCTATGGTTTAATTTTTAAATTCACATTTAATTGATTTCAATTAATAGCTCTAAATTAAAATAAACATAAACATATGAAACCTTCAACCAATTCATTTTAATAAAAAAAACCGGTATTCTATTGGATTCGAACCCAAGTTTTGAACACAATCACATCACTTATAGAAACCACTAAAATATGTGTCATAATTATAAATTATATAAATTTATCAATTTATTCTATAAGTTCGAACCCAAGTCTTAACACAATCACATCACTAATATAAGCCAATATCTGTATATTGGTTGGTAAGCATTTGTTTTGGTAAAGCTCAGGAGAGTATATAGTTTTCAAGGGGATGAAAATTATTTTAAGAGATTATTACCAATTACTAATTAAATCTGTTACAAAAACTTATACAATATTATGAATAAGAAGATTCTATTGGTCTCGTTACAATGAATGTTTCTAAATGGAAAATAAGTTGTTGGTGAATTTGGTTAGCAATATATGGATATAAATATATGCTTTTCATGATAAACTTAAAGGATTTGTCGATATACAAAGAATGTATTGCTGGCTTCACCGTTTGACTAATTGTGTATGCCATATAGACCATTAGAATTGGCAATATCAAGTGCACTGTGAGAGATTATATTTATCGAGAAGATCTCATGTTGAAATCCATGCATAGGATAACCCTCTTCATTGTCTGGGGAAATCATAATTTTTCTTTGCCGTATAAAACATCCACATGACCAACTACTACTGAAATCAACTGGAATAACATTGACCAGTAACGATATGGTATAGAATCCCAACCATCTTTTCAGATAAACCTTTCATTATCATATTTAAGCATTTTATCCTTAAAATTTGATAGTTATCATGCATAATTTTCTGAACCCAAATGTATGATACCATTAAAAAATGAAAATTTGAATGTACTAAAACGTGAAAATTCGTTAGTTGATTACACGTAAAAACTTAATTTTGTAAGAGAAGAAGATTCCCTCATCTTTGCTTTCAGCCCAAAAAAACGTTACAGAACTGAAAATCCAAAATTTTATGGTCTAGAATAAAAACCTGGCCACTATATTCTTTCCATCCGGAAAACATGGTTGACTTGTGCAATTAAATTTTCGTTGACCCATACTTGTTAAATACTTAAATATTAGTCTTAATTACTTTGTAGGGACTTTTTATTAATGTATTTTTGTGTGTTCAGGTAATATATTACATTTATAAAATAAAAGAAATAAAATCTAGTCAACGAGAGAGGAATAACCCTGACGACGTTAGCATCACACACCTGAAGCCTGAAGTTCTGTTTTGGTAACTACATCCATTTAGTTACGTCATTAGTTTGAACACCTAAACCAACTACAACAATACAAATGAAGATTTTTTTATTAATATTAAAAAAATAATTTATCTCCTTCAACCATAATCAATATTAAATTTTGACTCTCTATACAATTACTTATTGGTTCATTTATAACAAACAGAAGTCCTGTACAATTCATCATTAAATTTTTTACGTTACCCGTTACCATCATTGTGATATTACGGTTTAAATTGTCCAAATCAAAATAATGTCGTCACGTAATTAAATACTATAGTTAAGGGTGGTTTGGGAATAATATAAAAATGGTCAAAACGGGTCAAAGTTACCGTCAAAACTGAAAGCCAAAGTTGAATAGTATTCCGTTTGAACTTAAAGATCAAAACTACTCGTATGTTTTTTTTTTAAGATCCATGTCATCTGTCTGAACCTCTCAAAGTACCTGTCCTAAAAAGTTTTCATTTTTCAACTATAACACGGTTTCCCTCCTTGAATCCGAATTTCGGTTTATTAATTTTCTGAAAAAGAGATTAGTAATTTAATTAAAAAAAGAAAATGAAGAATAAAACACCGACTCATCCTATGGGAGAAACGGACGAAAATCTCGGTGCTGGCAAGATTCCTTTACAGTCCTTTGCTGTTTTTTTTTTTCTCACCTTTTTCCCTTTTGTTTTTTCAGTCTTCTTCTTCTTCTTCTTGAGCTAAATGAATCATTCAATATTTATCTCTCTACTTTATCTCTTTTTCTTTGCCCTAAACTGAAATAAATCTTTTTTATTTTCTTCTCGAGAAAACAATCACTTCACACTTTCTTTCTATCACCATCAACCCACACCTTCTTTGCCCCTTATGCGCCTCCATCTCTTATTCCTCTCACCTACCTTTCAACTCTCTCTCTCTCTCTCTTTCTTTTTTCCTTTTAATTTCATTTCTCTTACCTGATTTCAAATCTTCGCTTCCTTTTTTTTTTGTTTCCTTTCTTTTTTTCTTTCTTAATTTAAAAATTGTTTCTTTTTTTGTGTGTGTGTGTGGAATTATTGATGGGTTGTACAAGTTCTAAGCTCGACGATCTCCCGGCGGTTGCTCTTTGCCGTGAACGCTGCGGTTTCCTAGAAGCGGCGATTCGGCAACGTTACCTTTTAGCCGAATCACACGTGGCGTACACTCACTCGCTCAGAGGAATCGGTCACTCTCTCCATCTCTTTATCAACCACCACCACCGCTTCGTCGCTTCCGGCGGCGCTACCGCCGGCGGAGATTCTCCCAGGCTTAATCTTCCTCCTCAGAGAAAAGGCGACCCTCAAGGAGAAGACGTCGACGACGACGACGGCGACGGAGGAAATTCCCCCAAAAAAGCAAAAAAGCTACCTTCTTCACACAAACACGCTCTCTCGGGTTCGGGTTCTGATTCGGGTCATCTCGAATTCGATTCGGATTCCGATGATGATGATGATGACGACGAAGATGGCCATTTGGATTTGGATTCGGATCATTCTCCTCAACACCACCATCTTGGGAATTTCCCGATACACGAGCCCGGCCCATACATGGAACCACCGGGTTATACCCGATACCCGAACCCGGAAATGATGGGTCATTTTCCTCCTCCTCCTTACTCGGGAGGAGGAAGCTATATGCACATGAATTACATGAAGAACAAATCCATGCCTCCTTCAGTTATCTATGAGCAAAGACCAAGTAGCCCTCAAAGAGTCTACATGGGCGAATCATCCTCTTCTTCTTCCTCTAATTATCCTTACAATCCATATCCTCCAAGTTCTTATTTCGGATACTCAAATCCCGGACCCGGACCCGGATTCTACGGTTCTTCAGCTGCTGCTGCTTCCGCCGCGGCTGCCTCGAAACCGCCTCCGCCTCCTCCGTCGCCGCCTAGGTCTAACGGGTGGGATTTTTTGAACCCGTTCGATACTTATTATCCTCCGTACACTCCGAGTCGAGATTCGAGAGAGCTAAGAGAGGAAGAAGGTATCCCGGAGCTGGAGGACGACGATTCACAGTACGAGGTTATTAAGGAAGTTCACGGGAAACCGAAATTCGCCGCCGGTGGTGGTAATAATCATCCCAAACCCGCCGCCGTTTACAGGGAAGATCCTCCGTCTCCGCCACCACCAGCTGATAAATCCGGCGCCAGCACTAGCGGCGGAGATGCAGCAGATGCGTCCATGTATCAGTCTAGACCAAGCGTGTCGGTGGAGAAGAAAGGTGTGGAGTACGAAGTGCACGTTGTTGAGAAGACGGTTGTTGAAGATGCCGGGAACGAGGAAAGACGGAGCAATGCCACGGCCACACGTGGCGGAGGTGGTGGTGGTGGAGGGCCACGTCCGGTGCCTGAGGTTGCGAAAGAGATCGAGGATCAATTCGTGAAAGCTGCAGAGTCGGCAAGTGAGATCGCCAAGTTACTTGAAGTGGGGAAGCATCCTTATGGTCGCAAACATGGTAAATTAATGATCTTTCAATGCTGTTACTTAAAGTTCTCAGCTTTCTGCAACTGATTAAGTAAAGTTTGAAACTTTTTTGTGTGTGAATTGGAGCAGTTACATCCAAGTTGTTGCACGGAGTTACTCCTTCGTTACCTTCTACCTCTGGAGGATCTTCTGCTGCTGCTGCTGCTGCGCCGCCAAGTTATGCAGACATTGAAGAGGAGCTTGCTTCTAGGTCGAGGAATCTTTCTTCAACATTGCACAAGCTCCATCTATGGGAGAAGAAGCTTTACCACGAAGTGAAGGTAATGTTTGATCTTAGAACGTTTGTGATTCTGTTCTGGTTCTTTGTCTTAAGAAGCTTCTTCTCCTGTGTAGGCCGAGGAAAAACTGCGTGTAGCTCACGAGAAAAAGCTAAGGAAGCTAAAGCGTTTGGATCAAAGAGGTGCCGAAGCTAATAAAGTGGATACAACACGGAAACTAGTGAGAGACATGTCCACAAAGATACGGATTGCGATTCAGGTTGTGGATAAAATATCTGTTACAATTAATAAGATAAGAGATGAAGATCTATGGCCGCAATTGAATGCATTGATTCAAGGGTAAAACTTTGCCTCCGAATAGATATATATAGAGAGATATTTGCAATTGGAAATGTTGACTCAAGTTTCTTTTTTTCCTCAGGCTTACAAGAATGTGGAAAGCGATGCTTGAGTGTCATCAAAGTCAGTGTCAGGCTATTAGAGAAGCTCGAGGATTAGGCCCCATAAGAGCGAGCAAGAAACTAGGTGAAGAACATCTAGAGGCAACGAGTTTGCTTGGACATGAGCTTATTAACTGGATATTGGGATTCTCGAGCTGGGTTAGCGCGCAGAAAGGTTATGTAAAAGAGTTGAATAAATGGTTGATGAAGTGTCTTCTCTATGAACCCGAGGAAACACCCGATGGAATCGTTCCTTTTTCACCTGGTCGGATCGGAGCTCCACCAATCTTTGTGATCTGTAACCAATGGTCTCAAGCTCTGGACAGGATATCAGAGAAGGAAGTTATTGAGGCAATGCGCAGTTTCACTACAAGCGTGCTTCAGCTTTGGGAACAAGATCGGTTAGAAACGACGATGATGGGGCAGGGTGATTCAGAGAAGAGAGTTAAGAACATGGACAGGGAAGAGCAGAAGATACACAGAGAGATTCAAGCACTGGAAAAGAAAATGGTTCTCGTGGCACAGAGTGATGGTAATAATAGTCTTTCCATATCCGGTAACGTTGTCTACCAAAGCGACACTAGCAATGATAGTTTACAAGGTAGCTTGCAGCGTATTTTTGAAGCTATGGAGAGATTCACTGCTGAATCTATGAGAGCTTATGATGATCTCTTAATCCGCGCTGAAGAAGAAACTGCTCCACGAGAACTCGAGGAAGAAGAGGAATAATAAGCAAAACAGCAGCGAGATCTTTGCTTTATCAATTCATGAGGTGTTTCAAAGCCGGAATACTCGGTTATTCGGTTTAGTATACCGGAAAATCTTCTGGAATCATCTGTATCTCCTCACTGAGACTCGGGCAAGAAGAGCTTCATCAGGATGATGATCGTAGAGGAGGCAGGAACCGGGGCAAAATGGTGGCCCAGTTGTTCGGTTTACAGATGTGGTTAAGTGAAATTGGGTCTGAACCGGATGGTTTACATGCCATGGTAGAGAAAGGTTTGTTAACTTAATAGTATACCCACATATAACGCAGGTCGCAGATATTAGTTGAGTCTAATAATTTTAAACTTCGGGTAGTGTACATAAGATGCTTAGGACAAAACTTTTGATAATTCTCAACAATTATTTTGTAAAATCTGAAGGTAGCTCAGACATGTCTTTCTTTCTTTTGATCTCGATGAAGGGTCATGTAATATTTCTCTGGACTTAAAATTCTTTTTGTTTCTCATAAAGACTTAAAAAGTTTGTTCATTCTGATAGTATTGATACATTCGGCAAAAAGGGAAAAAAACTATAACATGAACTTGACACAATTCTCTGAAACTATAACAAGAAGCTCACAAATTTCTAGTTTTTTTTTCTCGTAATTCAAAAATTATTAATTGTTACGGTCCAAGGAGTGGCATAGACGAAGTGTGTAATAAAACAATAATGCATTTTTGCACTCTCTTTTTGGTATGTTCTGTTCCCTCAATTCCATTCAACATAAGTTAAGCGCCTTCGTATTCCTCACTCATTAAACATAGTTTGACTTTGATTTAATATAAACTTAATACTCCAAGTGTTACTGACCATGGAAGCTAAATCGAAATTACCGTATAGATAAAATGCATCTTCAGAGTTAAGAAAATAATGTTTGGATTCGAAGTGATCACATCACACGTCTCTTTTTGGCTTTTCCATAAACGATATATTCTGCATCATTGGGCGTTGGCCCAGTAAATAACTCACAATCTCACATCAATGATTTTCAAATCACTATTCACTGACCTGTTGTTTTTACCGAACTATTTGCAGAAACTAGTTTACGTTAAACTACTGACCATTATCCAATACTAATGTTTCAGATGCGAAGTTTTATTCTTTGCCGCATTTTTCTCGTATACGCATTTGCTCATAGGAATTTTTTTTTTTAATAATACACGAGACATCATGTAATGAAAAAAAAATGGTGAATGATTTACGTTTTTCTCGTCGTAAAAAAGTTTTTGTTCAGTGAAATGCAATTATGCATAAGAATAAATGATAGTATATAGAGACAAACCATTCCCAATCATTAACCTGACCAGCTTCAAACATTAATGATTCATGTGAAACTAAAATATTAATTACCAATGGTCCATTCTTTTTCAACTAGTGTCTGCGCCAATAGTTCACGTCTTCGAGTTGCCGTGACAAACATGATTAGCGTGAACTTGACGTCTCATGTGCCAATCTTTTTTTTTTTTTTTGCAAAATAATAAATTGAGATAAAGTTATAACATGCAGAGAATAAGTGCCAGAAGTTATTGTTGTGATGCAACTATAGGTTAATGATGTGTATTTATTATATATTAGAGGTTGTGCTTGAGCATCTAATCATATAAGAAAGAAGCCAATTACATTGGAGAATCTTTGGATCACTTCACTCTTTGCCTTTTCAGCACAAAGAGACAGCTCTTGTGTTCTTGAAAGCTGAAGCTCTGTTTTCTCCAAAGCTAATAATAGGTACCCAAACATTGCAAGCATACTTTTCATTTGCATACATCCAAACTGAGAATATACAAATTATTGTTTTTGCCGGTGATCATTGGAGTTTATTCGTTATGATTTGCAGTTTTTAATTTTTATTATTCAGACTGTTGTTCAATTTTGAAACTAAACCCGTAGAAAACGAATTTATCCTTTCAAAATTAGTAAAGTGATATGACATTTTATATTTCTTTCAGGAAAATTATTTTATAGAATTATCAATTCTCTTATTTTATAAAGGAAGAAATTCGAAAAATTTATTTCAAAAATAGTAATGTATCATTTGTATATATAATATTATTATAAATTGAAAAAAATATAGTATTTGTATGTGTGTTCAAACTTCAAACTAAAATCAAATGAAAGTAGTAAATATGGTGGATATATAATTGTACGATGTAGTTTTAGAAATTTAAAAATCGTTAAAATAATATAATATTTTTGTATAATTAGGAGTAGAATTGAAAGGTAATCCCATATTTGACCAGAATTTTAGGCTAGCTGTCTTTATTACAACGCACCGTGTAACCATATCCAATTCAAATTTGGTGATACGTAATATGCTGTTTGAATGTTACCAAATCATGTTTTAAACAATTTTGAACATTTAGCCATATTAGTATATAGTATATATATGTTTATGTGGTTTCCAAAATAAATGGTTACACATTCAGAGTTTCGTTTTTTTCTGTTGGTTTTGAAAGATTTCTGTTTCAAAAGTAAGCTTCTTAAAATGCAAAGACTCTTTCCAAAAGATTTATTCAAGTTTATTCTAGGACTTGCACCTAAAAATAGTAACTTATTATGGTGACGAAGTAATTAATTAGAACTCAAATGGAAAGAAAATATGTCAGCCTGTCAAAGACTCAAATCAAATAAGAAAGTCGATATACACTTTAATCTAATTAGAAGTAACGACAATAATCCAGAAATATAAATTCGAGCGGAAATGAAAAACCATATAAATCCAAATATCACACGGTTTTTCATTGGTCAACTTTCTAAACACTTCAGATTTTCTTCACACGCTTCTATCTTTACACTGTACAAGTACGAACCTTTTGAAAAAAAAAACTAGCTACAACTTAATATTGTGGTAAAAATATATAGCTACAGAGAACGAAGAAAAACAACTTGGTTGTGTTGAAATAAATAAGAAAAATCGAGAAAGCAAAAGTAGAAATGGTTGATGATAAGTCACTCCAATCACAAACACTTTGAGCTGGCAATAATGTGATTTTCCAAAATCTCTTTTGGTACCACAAAGTGTAAATCATTGAACATCGGAATCAATTTATTGTATTATAGTATAGTGTATATACAAAAGAAGTTGGCTTCTTCTGATTTTTTGGTTTTTCAGTTTGCAAATCCACTGATTAAAGATTAGAGAATTTATCGACCCAAAAAAAACAGTGCCAGACTTCAGAGTTGACCTTCTTAAGACAATGGAAAAAGAAAAGACATGAACTGAATTATCTTTTAATACTAATAAACTCTATAATTTTACTAGAAGGATGATCAAAATTATAAAATCAATTGCTTAATTCGTTGATTTAATTTGTTTAAGTGGTACCATATAGACAAGTAGGAGACAATCTCTCAGAAACTTACCTCAGGAGTCAAAAAAGACAGAAGAAAAAAATAAAAATCCAGTTTTGTAATTCCACCACTATCTTCTCTGTCTCTCTCTCTCTCTCTCTCTCTCTCTCTGACAAGGAGCAAAAGAGAAACACTTTCCGACTCGCTTTGTTTCGTGAGAAAGAATTGTTCATGGGTTGTTGTCAATCCTTGTGTCGGGGTGAGAACCCGCTTAGTAAAGATGGAGCTCAGCCGCTACAACTGTCTCAAAACCACCACGGCGGTGCCACGGCGGCTTCTGGACTCGATAACGGCGGAATCGGAGGCGTCGGAGCTGGTGGTGTAGTTGGAGGAGGAGGAGGAGGAGGAGGAGGCATCCCTTCTTTCTCTGAGTTCTCTTTCGCTGACCTCAAAGCAGCCACCAACAACTTCAGCTCCGACAACATCGTATCAGAAAGCGGCGAGAAAGCCCCAAATCTTGTCTATAAAGGCCGACTTCAGAACCGTCGCTGGATCGCCGTCAAGAAGTTCACGAAGATGGCTTGGCCTGATCCTAAACAATTCGCGGTAGCAAAAAATAAAAAAGAAACCTTTCAATTGTTCAATTGATTAATCGTTAATTGATTTTTTTTCATGAAAACTGTGTTCCTTCAATTTTGGTTGCAGGAAGAGGCATGGGGTGTGGGGAAATTGAGGCATAATCGGTTGGCGAATTTGATTGGATATTGTTGTGACGGAGATGAAAGGCTTCTTGTTGCTGAGTTCATGCCTAATGATACTCTTGCTAAGCATTTGTTCCATTGTATGCTTAATGATTCTCTCTATCTGTTTCCCATTAGAATGATGCATCTCTTAGTGTATTTTTTAGGCTGTATAAGTTGAAATGTGCCTCTAAAGCTTTTAAATTTAGTCTCTTTTTCAGTATCCAATGTTTAGCGAATTTCAGGGCCTTACAGCTGAATATGGTTTATGATGTGTTATAGGGTTCTGCTTGTTAGATGGATTAAAGAGAGTTCCTTTATGTGATTAGAATGTCGTAAAGGTTGATTTTTTTTTTCTGATTCTGTTGTGTCTTTTGGACATTCACAGGGGAAAATCAGACCATTGAATGGGCCATGAGGTTACGAGTAGGATATTACATAGCTGAAGCTTTGGATTATTGTAGTACCGAGGGTCGTCCATTGTACCATGATTTAAATGCTTACAGGGTTCTCTTTGATGAGGTATTATAGATTTATTCCATGCTTACAAGATTTACTGCATGGTCTTTATCTAAGGCGGCACTTTAACAAGTTTGTTTGAGTGAATATTGTAGGATGGTGATCCTCGCCTATCATGTTTCGGCTTGATGAAGAACAGTCGGGATGGTAAAAGTTATAGCACAAATCTAGCGTATACACCACCTGAATATCTAAGAAATGGTAAATCAATTCTGCATCTCTCTTAAGATTATTACAATCAGCATAAGATTCAAATGTATAGTTTTATTCTTTTGCCTTTTACTATTGAGTTTGTTCGCAGCACTCATTAATGGTTTTGCTCTATTCCTTTTGTCCTTGAATATACATATTGCCATCTCAATGTTGTCAATTTTTCTTGTGTATGTTGTAGGAAGAGTGACACCTGAAAGTGTTACTTACAGCTTTGGAACTGTGCTTCTGGATTTGCTTAGCGGCAAGCACATCCCTCCAAGCCATGTAAGTTCCTTATCTATCTGTTTGAGTTAAAAGAAGTGTACTACTAAAAAGTGTTTTCTTTTGGGTGGGATTATGTGCTCATTGGTCATGATTTTCCTTTTAAGTGGTTGTGGTTTCTGAGAACTCTATAATGCTGCTCCTTCACCGTTTCTCTTAAAATTAGCTATAGATATGTGCTGTGGTATTAGTTTAGTGATAACTCCTTCTTGTAGGCACTGGATATGATACGTGGCAAGAATATTAATATGTTGATGGATTCACACCTTGAGGGAAAATTCTCAACAGAAGAAGCTACCGTAGTTGTCGAGCTCGCCTCTCAATGTTTGCAATATGAGCCTCGAGAGAGACCCAATACAAAAGATCTCGTTGCAACACTTGCACCGTTGCAAACTAAAGCAGACGTAAGCGTGACTGAGTTCTTGAATTTTGTTGAGTTTATTTTTCTTCTTCTTGTTCTTGAAGTGTTAAAAAAATTTCGGTTACAGGTTCCTTCTTATGTAATGCTTGGAATAAAGAAGCACGAGGAGGCGCCTTCAACGCCACAGAGGCCACTTTCACCATTAGGTGAGGCTTGCTCGAGAATGGATCTCACAGCTATTCATCAGATTTTGGTCATGACACATTACAGAGACGACGAAGGGACAAACGAGGTAATTAGATAATAGTTTTGGTTTCAGATATTAAACAAGGGGCTTATGTCTTTTATTTTAACTAACTCTTGGGATGGATTTTCAGTTATCTTTCCAAGAATGGACGCAACAGATGAAAGATATGCTTGACGCACGAAAACGCGGTGATCAATCTTTCCGCGAGAAAGACTTCAAAACTGCCATCGACTGTTACTCACAGGTATTGATTCTAACTGAATAGATCCGAATAAGAATTCTTTTGACACCTTTCTATTAGAGCTCATACGGTTACATACGATGTTTTTGGGCAGTTCATCGACGTTGGAACAATGGTTTCACCAACTGTATTTGGTCGGCGAAGTCTATGCTATTTACTATGCGATCAACCAGACGCAGCACTACGCGACGCGATGCAAGCGCAATGCGTGTATCCTGACTGGCCAACGGCTTTCTACATGCAGTCAGTGGCATTAGCGAAGCTGAACATGAACACAGACGCAGCCGATATGTTGAACGAAGCAGCTCAGCTCGAAGAGAAGAGACAACGAGGGGGCAAAGGATCTTGATTCTTGAGACACAACCTGTTACATCTCTGTTGTAAAATTTGATGAGGTTCAAGAAATTCTTGTCAAGAAGAGCCAAAAAAAAAAAAAACGGTAAAAACTAGTCGCTGTGATTGTTGATTGGGGTTGTAATGTAACCATAGGGAGAGAGAAAAAAAAAATTGATGTTTGGTTGTAATGCAATACATGTTGTAAGTTTTTTAATGGACAAAGTTTCGAAAAATACAAATTGTTGTCCTTTACATTTAAGATGGATTCTGATTAAACATATGATGAATTAACATTATATTTAAATAGAAAGGAAGAAAAATACTACTCTATCGTCCTTCCCATTGGACCTAAAAAAACAAATCTTAGGAATGTCGTGACAGAGAAAGCTACATCTTAGGAATGTATTGGCAGAAAATAAGAGGGTTTACATCTTCTTAGGAATGTGTTATATACTACGATCTACGATCAGAACCCAAAGTAACCGAGCTCGCTGGATTTTTCCTTGTCGAAAGTCTCGAAACACTGATATATGGTTGAGACGGCAAGCAAGATTCCGGTGCCTGAGCCAATAGCACCCATGAGGTCAGCAAGAACAGTGAGTGCACCAATGCACATTCCTCCAAAAGCAGCTGATGTTGTGATATAGCGGTGTAGCTCCTTATGCAAGTTAGACTCTCTGTGTCCCGGAATCACCAACTGCTGTTCCTTGAGCTGCTTTGCTACGTCTCTAGCAGAAGACCCCGAGATCTGAATCCACGTCTTTGAGAAAAACGCACAAGCAGAGAGCATGAAGACTATGTAGAAGAGTGCGTGGCAAGGATGAGCTGCCATATCCGCCAAACTTGATGGAGGTGTAATTAAGTAAGCTAGACCACCGACTGGTACAGATTCTCTCCACTGTCCCAACATCTTAACCAAGAAGTTGCCACTGAAGTTGTTGTAGAGAAGCTGAGAGATGAAGTAGAGATTCGAGACGAGAGCTGATTGGAGAATGATCGGCATGTTGGAGGTGTAGAAGAGCTTGATCGGGTAGTTAAAGCCACCACCACGGGAATTCTTTGACTTGACGGGCAAGACAACGCGGAAGCCTTGCAAGTAGAGGACGACGAGGAAGATCAAGACCGTTGCGAGCAAGCTTGTAACGTTTGGAAGATTTTGTCTGAAGAAAGCTTGTCTGATGCTAGACTTTGTTATCAGTTTATGGAAGAGCGAGATCAGGGCGCCTTCGAACTCGGTTCCAAAACGTCCATGGATTGTCACGGGGCTAAACGCTTTCCAGATAACGTTTTCGCAGAGATTGGTCGCTATGAAAAGAGAGATTCCTGAGCCAAGACCGTATCCTTTTTGGAGAAGCTCGTCAAGACAAAGAACGATGATTCCACCAAAGACAAGCTGGAGGACGATGAGAACTGCGTTTCCGGCACCGAGCTGCGCAACAGGACCGTACATCCCGGAGTGAACGTATATCACGGCTTGACCTATGGCGATCAGAATCCCGAGAAGCTTTTGAGCACCGTTCAAGAGAGCACGATCCTCCTTGTCGGCCTGAATAATCTTTGAGCCTGTCAAGAGCTGTATCACGAGTCCTGATGTGACGATCGGACTGATGCCGAGCTCCATGACTGTGTGCGAGAATGGCACGCATCCAGTAGAACGGATCGGCAACGGTCGTGGAGTGGATACCGTAGAGAGGAAGTTGACTACAAACGAGGAAAACGAAGAGAGTGATGACAGTGTAGATAACTTTTTCCCTCAATGGAACCTTCTTCGAGCAAGGCTGCACCTCGGGCACAAAAGCCAATAAGGGCTTCACAACATGCAATACTCCTTCCATCGTCGTTGATATCTAGGGTTTTGATTTGGTTATAGCTTGAGTAAAAAGGTATTTCTTGAACTCCTTGTTCTCTCGGGGTGTGTTTAAGATGGCTTATTAGAGATTATGATGCTGCGGTATTTATAGAGATCACTGACTAGAGAAACCTATCTAAAATATGAATAGGAAAATATTTTATCAAGTTTCCTTTTTTTCCTCTTTTCTTCCATTTTTTGTTGTTGTAATATCTCGCAGTCTGATAATAAGAAGGGAAATTTTATCTTTAAGTAAATAAATTGGAACATCGTCAGATTAAGATTTTTTTATTTATTTATCTAGTCAAGGTTCAGATCTTATCTTAAGTACATACATTAAAATCTTCTTGTTGACTTTTTCTCAAGTGCTTAATTCTCCTCAACTTAGTCTTCTCTGCACCTCTCTTATTGCTACCTACTGCAATCTCCACATTTGGTCGCATAGTCAGAAACTCAAGTCATGAGGATGCAACGGATTGGAGATCCTTCTGCTCCAACAAGTCTTAGAGGTAAACAATGGACATAGTAGAGTCCTGCCTTCACATCATCCAGCTTCAATCCCTCCACAAGTATCGTCTCCTGTCAAGGTTTTATAATTTTCACAACCATCATTATCAAATCTTCACTGTTCTGGATTCATCTGCTTAAACAAAACTTAGGATGATGCTAGCTTACCCGGCCTTTTAGGAATACTAGGTGGGATGGAATCAGATCATCATATGCAGCTACTGATAGATAATCAATCCCTGGATTTTGACATGAATACCACAAAACTCAGCTTAGACACCACTTCACCAAAAAACACAACCAACCAGCTTACATGTCAAAAAAAAAAAACAATCTTAGAGATTTCACAGCATCCTGATGAATCTACCTTTTGCCACCATTCATATCATATGGAGATTTATGTAATGAATGGTGGCAAAAGGTGGATACTTGATAAATTACCGACAAGTTTGATGTCTGTGTTGTCTACCAACCATTGCGCACCATCCTTCATGAATCCGACATAGCTTGTATCAAACTCTTTCTTGAACATAAGACGCCTGATTTTTTTAAAATGCATCGTTAAACAAATCCAACACACATTTCAGAAACCCGAAGTTCAACCAATGACAAAAAGCTTATTACTGAAATCACTTTGAAACAGGTTTCAAATTCCATAACAAGAAGAAGAAGAAGAAAAGAATTGATGTCAGAATTACCTGTCAGTGTTCAACGTTCTGAAAAGCACACGACGAACTCCTTTTGGAATGTGAAGAGATTTCATGACATCGGCTACAAAATCACAAGGAATCAAACTATCATAGCCGAAACATAGACTTTTTAATCCCTGAATCTGAAGATTTTGCACAAAATTCATAGCACAAGCAGCTCAAGTTTCTAGTAGCAAGCAGAAACTCACTTACCAGTTATGTTCTTATTCCTGGGAACATCAACCAACAACGCAGGACCTACAAAACGAAAACCCAAATCTTCACAAATTCGAAAGAGAGAAAATACAAAGGCGAAGAAGGCCTTCGCATGACACAGAGGTTATACCATTTAAGACTTGGAGATCAAGCGAGTCTACATCGAAACCAGCGTCGTAGTAGCTATCGTAGACGTGGCCAGGAGAATCAACGTGAGTACCAGTGTGCGTCGGGATCTTCATCTCCGAGTTGTTAGCGAGAGATCCGTTCTTCATACTCGCAGCTAACCAGAGAAACCGTCCGAGTCCTTCCGATGAGTCCCACGACGGCATATCCGACGTGTAACGGTGACTGATGTCGAAGATTTTACCTTCGCCGTATACCTCACGGCGGATGGGCTTGAGTTCATCGGCGAAACCTCCGTCGACAGGAGCTGTTCCGGGAATGGAAGGGTAGGCATCGGAGGCGGCGGCGGAAACGGGAAGAGAAAGGAGGGAGAAGAGTGAGAGAAATGAGAGGAAAAATGGAGAAACGGCCATTGTTGGTCACTTCGCCGATTTCGATCATCCTGAAGAAGATGATCGATTTTGACTACGTTGGGCTTTTCCTTATCTAATTTCTGGGCCTGAATAAAACATAGGCCCAAACCATCAAGATATTGTACAGTGTACACAAGTCTTTTGTACACAAGATATGATTCAGATTTAATCAGATGGATTATCTTTTATAAACTAATGTTAAATGCGCGAACGACTCAACATCTTATTGGTTTAGGTAAATGCAAAACCAGTAAGGCTTGTCTCATTGAAGCATATGATATTGATATCAGCGCAACTCGTGGATGCATTCATGTGCACCATCTCAATTATCATAAATCTTCGTTGGTAAATTCAGATCTTGTCTGCCTCCAACATTGCAAATTTTGATTTCTCCAAATTTTTTAACGTTCATTATGGTAATGACATGAAGTGGAATATCTATATGGTATATTGAGAGCGCATAAGATGCGGGTTTTTCCTTTAAACAAGGCCTATAAGATGCAGAGTCCCTCGTGCACATTCAATAATTGTTTATATATAATATGGTGATATAATGTGAATCTTATCACAATGATGTCATTTACAGAAACATAACTTGTCACAAGACATCTAGTGACGATAAAAATCAACAACAAAGAAAATGAAAGTTTGGCAAGCTATAAGGAGGCTTAAAGCCTTTACAACTTTAGTAATTGATTTAGACTTTGATTTTATTTCCAGCTCTAATTCACAATTAAAGACCATCAGAAAATGTTTACTCTGTGTGTAAAACTAACGAACCAGAAATTTGACATGCTAATAAAACAGAGTAAGATTACTAAACCGAGCAAAACAGAGTAACAATACAAAACAGAGCATTACAGAGTAAAGATAATATCAAACACTTATAGTGTGTAGAGATATTTTTTGTTACCGTTTTACTAACTAATTTTTTTTGTATTGACATACGTATTAAAAAATCAGGTTAAGAGATATAAACCAAGAGCTCCAGACCAATAAATCAAGATATATTTTAAAGTTTAGATGCATGATGAAATATGGGTAAGATCCGCATTCGTCGATTAAAGGCATGTGAAGAAGCAAAAGAAACGAGATTAGAATAAGATTTAATCCGTGATTAACATGGTTGCAAAATGTTAAGGTATTGAAAATCATGTGGAAGAACAGAGATGGCACATGATATGTCGGGATGAAATTTCCTCACTGGAAAATATAGGATGATGAAATTTGATGATCTAAAGATTATCAAGTTCAGCTGTAAATGTTGAAGTTTCTTGTTTCTTGGAAAAAAAAGAATGTGTTCTTATGTGGAGAAAGAAGGAAGAAACGATTGAGTCAATCATATGAAAGAATCTTGTATTAGTTTATGAGTTAGGTAACATATACATCTCCTATTTGTACAAAAATTTTTGGGCACAGTGACCTATTACATGTTAAGAATCGAGACTCTGTATTTGATCAATGATTTAGAGAGTGACTCAATTCCATCTTCAAGATCTTGAATGCATGACTCTAGGATCTGCACATCTTCCACCTTCAAAGACTTCTCGGATTGGAACTCCAAGTCCACTCTTGTGAATTCATTGGCTTCATCTTCACATGTAACTTTGTTCTGGCTCATCATCATTGAGACGAGTGACCATTTGCCACAAGCCTTTGATCCAGACATGAAGCTAAATAGAGATTCAAACAGAGCAACTGTTACAGTTTCTGCTTCTCCAAACACAGCCAAAGACTCGGCGTTGTTGTTTTTGTTTTGGCAGGCTTTGAAATTCTTGAGTACAATTTGGAATGATTTCTTGAGCAACTTCCTTGAGGCTAAGTATTTCTTGACCTCAGCCGATAGATCTCCACGCTTTCTTCTTACAATCGATTGGATCTCCTTGAGACTCTCTTTCATTTGTGACAAACCATTCTTTGCAATGTTGCATAAATCCAAGATCTTGATAGATCCATCAAGAAGCTTCTCAATCTGTTGTTGAGATAAAGTTGTGTGGGTGATGGGCAAGCGAAGCATCTTGTCAAGAGAATCATGTAAATCTTGAAGGCTGCTAAGTCTTTGGCAGATGGAAGAGCTTGAAGATGAAGAAGCTGCCTCAGAAGATCTCAATCGGTTCAATTGCTCATCGACATGAGCGGCTTGAGGGTGTTGTCTTGAGGGGAAGCTGTTAGAGCGAACATGGTAAGAAACTGCCATTTTTTTTTGTCTGGTTTAGCTTTCTTATTTTGAGATTCAGAGAAGGTTTAGAGAGCTAAAAGATGTTTGTTATGTCTTCATTGGCTCTCTGGTGATCACATATATACACCTCTAAAGAAAGGAAACATCTGGAATCTTAATTAAAGTTGCTTCAACGATGTTTCTGCAATGTCTCCCTCCCTCCAGCCACAGCTTCATAAATAAGGAAAAATATATTATTCAGATTTAGTCCCATTTATTATCTTACAAGAGTTTTTTTTAATACAGCAAAAGACTCTGCACCTTATTGGTGTAGGTTAAGGCAAAAAAACAGCAGGGCTTGTCTCCTTGAAGCATATGATATTAACGCGCCACTCGTGGATACATTCATGTGCACCATTTAAACTTAATATTTTGGAGGTTGTTTCAGATATTGTCTCCCTCCTACACTGCAAATTTTGATCTCTTTAGATTGATATGAAGCTCTAGTGGTATTGACATGAGCTGGAGTACAGAGTGGTTTTTGAGAGCGAATATATGCACGAAAGGTGCTGTTACCATCACCTCCTGCACATTCGTTTATTCTTTTCAATTGATATATGTATGTATATATAATTATGGCATCTAGATATTCTGTACTATTTCCAAAGACAAAGAGAGATTGAAGAACAGTAAGAAAAAAGATCGCAGAGTTCTATTGGGATATGAGAAGAGTCTCTTAAGAAATCATTCGAAACCGTAATCAAGAATATGAAGGTTGTACAACATCAAGGACAAATCTTTGGCCGTGTTTGGCCTTTTTTACTAATGCTCTGTTTTGCGTCTCTGTTCTGAACCAATAGTTTAACATCCTTTGAACACTGGAAACTTTATTCAAACTTCAACAAACAACCAAAGTAAAAATGAAGCGAAACAAAGGAGGAAATAGAAGAAGAAGAATCATCACACCTCGGCGCAGATAAATCTTTTTAAGGGAAATAGAGTCTCATGTCACTTAGGGCTTCTCGAAAACTAGGTTAAGCCTTCCTCAAGGTATGTACGAGTGGCAGATTATAATATATGAGTTTTTGTGAGTTTTACCAATAGAACAAGGATTGCATAATATCATAATACTCTTTTGAGTCTTAACACATTTGAACAAGAGGATACAACCAGAAGGATATTCTGGTCTGTCCAGTTTCTTGGGTTAAAAGTAACAACTAAGAAGGCCTATGGTCTGATCACGCCAGTTGACCAGTGGGTTTTACTCATCGGATGACATCCATTTCGAAGATATTTGTACATACTCGTCGATTTTATGAAGTAACACTCAAACTTGATGATTATTTGATGAGTTAAGATTTGGGCATAATGATATGAATAAATAGATTTAGAGAAGACGAGCAAAGGCTATATGGCAAAAAAAAAAATTGTTTGTCTCTGTTCTCATTTGAAGGTATATCTACATTTCTATTTCTGTACAAGAACTTATAGGCACAATGACTTATAAGATGTTAAGAAGTGAGACTCTGTATTTGATCAATGACTTTGATAGTGATTCAATTCCATCTTCAAGATCTTGAATGCACGACTCTAGGATCTGCACATCTTCCATCTTCAGTGACTTCTCGGATTGGAACTCAAAATCCACTCTTGTGAATTCGTTTGCTTCTGCTTCACACGTAGATTTGTTCTGGCTCATCAGCTTTGAGACCAATGGCCATTTTACACAAGCCTTTGATCCGGACATGAAGCTAAATAGAGATTCAAACAGAGCAATTGTTACGGCTTCTGCTTCTCTAAACACAACCAAAGATTCATCGGTATTATCTTTGTTTTGGAACACTTTCAAATTCTTGAGTACTTTTTGGAATGACTTCTTCATGAACTTTCTTATGGCTAAGTATTTCTTGACCTCTGCGGATAAATCTCCACGCTTTCTACGTAGAATAGATTGGATCTCCTTGAGACCTTCCTTCATCTGTGAAAAAGCGTCCTTGGCGACGTTGCACAAATCCAAGATCCTGAGGGATCCATCAAGAAGCTTCTCTATCTGATCTTGAGATAAAGCCTGGTTGCTGATGGATAGGCGAAGCAGCTTGACAAGGGAATCATGTAAATCTTGAAGGTTGCTTAGTCTTTGGTAAATAAAAGAGCTGGAAGACGAAGAGGCTGCCTCAGAAGATCTCAATCGGGTCAATTGCTCATCGATATGAGCAGCTTGTGGGTGTTGTATAGAGGGGACGCTGTTAGAACGACCATGGAAAGAAACAGCCATTTTTGTTGGAGTTTTCTTTCTCTGTTTTGAGATGAAGAAAATGCTTTGATGTTTGTTCTGTCTTCATTGGGCTCGCTGGTCAATACATATATACAAAAGTAAGGAAGAGAGGCAAGAGGAATCTTTAGGTATATCAAATTTTGAATCAAAGAAAACGATGTTTGTGAAATGTCCCCCTCCAACCATCCACCCTAATGCATCATCCAATGTGCATAAGAGAAATATATGATTCAGATTTGATCACATGAAAATATTTTTTCAAGCGATTGTAATGTATAGCATATGATATCAGAACCACTCGCGGATACATGCATGTGTACCAGCCTTTCATAATCTTTTGGAGGTCGCTGCAAATCTTGTCTGCCTCCTACACTACAGTATTTGATTTCTTTCGAGTATTTTTAAGGCTCTTGTAGGTGTGTCATGAACTGTAATTTACTAATATCTATTGGTTGCACATGAGGTTTTAAGAGAGAATACATGCATGAATGGTGCTGTTGCCATCAACTCCAAGGAGACAAGCCTTACTGGATTTGCCTTAAACTAAGCCAATAAGGTGCAGAACAGCAGAATCCCTCGTGCACATTCATCTTCTGTTTTTGATTTTTTTTTTCAGTTTCCTTGAGTTTGAATAATATATTTTGGGAGCAAGACAATGCATAAACATTGCTAATAATCTTTATTATTATAGGCCTCTCTGAAATTCACACGTTGTTGCAATAATAACTCTGAACAGTGTTTATGTGATGGGAAACAACATATATGATTTAATAAAGTTAAAATCACAAGTTGTAGTGGGTGTTATCGTTCACATGTCAAAATCGATGAATAAGGATCTTGCCTTCAAGGAGAGAGAAGCCAAGCTGGTTTTGCATTTGTTTAATGAAAGCTAGACCTCTAAGTGCAGAGTCGCTCGTGCGGTTGCATTTTTCTATAAGATATGAGAATCCATATCTCTTTTTTCCTTATTGTTTATGCGTTAAGATAGGTGGTTGGAGGGAGACATTGCACAAACATAGGCTAATATGATTTAAATTTGAGCCAGCCTTGAGATTCCTCTTGCCTCTCTCTCCTCTCAAAGGTGTTAATATAAATGTGATGACCTGAGAGATGATGAAGGCAGAACAAACATCTTTAAGCTTTGTTAAGCCTCCTCAAAACAACGAAGCAAAACTTAACAAAAATGGCTGTCTCCTTCCACGTTCGATCTAACAGCTTCCCTTCAAGGCAACACCCTCAAGCTGCTCATGTTGATGACCAATTGATCCGACTGAGATCTTCTGAAACAGCCTCAAGCTCTTCCATCTGCCAAAGGCTTAGCAACCTTCAAGATTTACATGATTCTCTTGAGAAACTTCTTCGTTTACCTATCACCCACCAGGCTTTATCTCAAGATCAGATTGAGAAGCTTCTTGATGGATCCCTCAGGATCTTGGATTTGTGTAATGTCGCCAAGGATTCTTTGTCACAGATGAACGAAGGTCTCAAGGAGATCCAATCCATTCTACGAACGAAGCGTGGAGATCTATCTGCAGAGGTCAAGAAATACTTAGCCTCAAGAAAGTTCTTGAAGAAGTCATTCCAAAAAGAACTCAAGAGTTTGAAAACCTGCCAAAACAAAGACAACACCGATGAATCTTTGGTTGTGTTTGGAGAGGCAGAAGCCATAACAGTTGCTCTGTTTGAATCTCTGTTTAGCTTCATGTCCGGATCAAAGGCTTGTGGAAAATGGTCATTGGTCTCAAAGCTGATGAGCCAGAGCAAAGCTACATGTGAAGCAGAAGCAAACGAATTCACAAGAGTGGATTTTGAATTCCAATCCGAGAAGTCCTTGAAGATGGAAGATGTGCAGATCCTAGAGTCGTGCATTCAAGATCTTGAAGATGGCATTGAGTCACTATCAAAGTCATTGATCAAATACAGAGTCTCACTTCTTAACATCTAATTAGGTCATTGTGCGCACAAAGTTTTGTACAAATAGGAGATGTAAATGTTACTAACACAGATACTAATATAAGATTCTTTCATTTCTTCGTTCTTTCTAACCATACGAACAAAAGGGAATTAAGAAACATTAAATTTGAACTCCATACATCTTTCAATCCCTCAAATTTCACCGTAGTATAATGTCTTACCTCCACATAGCACGTTGCAACCCTGCATGCGCTTCCACAAGTTCCTTAAAATTTACAAAATTTGGAACCGTGTTATTCTAATCTCTTTTTCTTTTTAGCCTAATCAGACGTCTTCTATCGACGAATTTGGATCTTCCCGATACTTCTTCAAACATCCGGAATTTAAATCATTTATATAATCACTTTCAATAACACTGATATTTTCTACGTCTACGTCTAATAAGAAACTGGGCCAAATTTGGGCTTTGTAAGTACAGCAGTAGCTCAATTGAGGAATATAAATTTTTAGGTGGACAAATCATACAGAGAGGGTCACGCATGACGGCATGAGGATGGCATAAGGCCACGTGGCTGCTTCTCATTCGTTGGAAAAGAAGGTCGGCAGATAGTTCAGATTTGCGTATCCGGGGAATATTCCGATCACCGGCGTCGGTGTTGTTTCATTGTGGCATGTCTTTATAGGTGGTAGTGATGAAAACTCGGAAACCAAAGCAGAATGTCTCAATAAACACACAAACTCTCGAGGAGAAGAAAGAAATAGCATTGCCATTCAACACGAGACCAGATCCCATATTAAACAATACTAAGTGTTGTCTCTGTTGATATATTCAGCATTGTCATAAATCTTTGGAAGAAGAGAAATGCTGCTGGTTTTGGAGTGCAAAGATGATTAAGAAGGAAACGGCCGGATCGATGAGAAAGAGTTCACTTGTTCTACTCGAGAAACTACGGGAAGACAGGAATAACCAACTTACTATTTACGTTTCTCATAATTTAAGCCCTAGATTTTAAATTCTTAGACGACAAGAGTCCTAGTAAAAGTCTAAAGAGCAATCTCTGTCTGCATGCTTGTGTTAGAACAGAACACTACTTGTTGTTGTTGTTGAGGCTGGTGCACTTTCTTCTCAGCCTCCCACTTAGATTTTAGATTTTGCTATGACTCCATCACTCACAGGCTCATATGCCTGAGGAAGATCAAGAACAGAAGATAGGTTTCGAATCAATGTTATTGTCATCTTTACAAGATTATGAGAGAATTTCATGAGAAAAAAGCAAAAAGGAAAACAATTTGGGGTGGGTACCCACCTCAAGTTTTTGGACAAGCTCTTTGGCATTAGGAGCAGAGACAAAGATGTGACGCTGAGATGGCTTTATAAAGCCGTCATCAACGGCTTTATCTATGAAAGTGAGGAGGTAATTGTAATAACCATCCACATTTAACAAACCCACCTGCAGTTTTATTTTCCCCCCAAAGTGGAAACACAAAAGATCAAGACTTTATTATATTTTGATTTTTGGTTAGTGATTCAGAGAGCAACAAACAGTAGAAAGCGAAGTGTCTTCTTTTTACTTACAGGCTTGTCGTGGATTCCAAGTTGTGCCCATGCTATTACTTCCAATAACTCCTCCAATGTTCCATACCCACCTAATATCAAGAACAGAGCAATCAAAATTCAATTGCCTGTACTTTAAAATCCATTATTTTGCATTTAATCGTAGTTGTTATGGAAACGGTGTCATGTTTCAATCTAACATATAGATTATGTAACAAACCATAAACAATTGATCTCTTATATATAGACATGGTATGTGCTAAGAGTCTTTAGAACAGAGCCTAACGAGTAACAAACACTTTCAGGTTCTACAAATTTTCTAAGCTAGTTAGTTATTCTGTACCTGGTAATGCAATGAAACAATCGGAGTGGCTTGCCATTTCTGCTTTTCTTTCATGCATATCAGCCACTGGTCTTACCTCACCAAATGTTTCTCCGGTTATCTGTTATACTTTCCCATTTCAGAGACATTCCTTGACCACTAAGTATTCATTCAAGCCAAAAAAAAAAGTAGTTTAGGCCTACCTCTTTATCCATAAGAGTCCTTGGTATGACCCTAACCCATAAGAGCAAAGCAAGATGGAAGCAAATCACACAAAAGTTTCAGATCATTAAGTGGTGAGGGGCACACAGCTAAAGTGAAGAAATCATTGATTTAAGGAGCATACCCTAGTACATGTCCTCCAGCTTCATGAACAGCTTGTGAGACCAAACCCATAAGACCAATGCTTCCTCCTCCGTACACAAGATTCAATCTCCTGGCAACCTGTTTCATAAAACAGAGAAAGAAAGAAATGATCAAGACCGATCGAGATTTCAAGGTTTCAAGAAACTCATTTAAGCATAAACAAAACCGAACCAGCTCTTGAGCTAGATCAATAGCGGCATCTCTGTAACAGTCTCTGTTTCCGCTGCTGCTTCCGCAGAAGACACAAACCCTCTTGAACCTCGACTTCACAATTTCCATTCTCTTAGCCAAATCAGTTTGCATTATTTTCTGTTTTTTCTTTCTCTTGTGGATTTGTAAAAAAAAAAAGTTTCTTTCTTTCTCAGAAGAAGAACGTGTGGTTCAAGCTAACTCATTCTTGTTTCACTTTGTGATGCAACTTAGACAATGAGACAAGTAATTATATAGACACAACAAAGTAACAAAAGACAGTGCTGTTCCATTTATCCAATTGCATTCAAGTAACTAGCTTTCTGCTTTTCCTTTTTATGGTTTAAAGAGTGGTTGCTTTTATTGTTGAAAATAAGACACTTTTACATAGATTTATAAATTCAAAAATAAATACAAGAACAGAACAAAACAGAGGTCGAAAGTAAAATTAAAACTTTTGGAGGGAATCCTAAACAAGTGTGACAAACAAAACACAACTCTTAAATTCTAGTAATCAAACAGAGTAAAGATTTTTCATTTATTGAACTCTTTGAAAACAAACACCCATTGATTTCTCTCGTTCCTAACATTTTTCAAAGTTGGGGTGATGATGTCATAATACCTTTGTGTGTTAGGTCTGTCTTTTTTTTTTCTATTTCTAGCAAGATGGTTCATCATCATCGAACCGTTTTTCTCCACTTTTCTCCATTCAATGTTTCGTCCTTGGCTCAAACGTGTCGAGTTCGGGTTGATCGACACTAATGGCTAAATTTTATGGGTCCTAAATCATGACCCATACTCTTGGTGTATATGTGTCAACAAGTAGGGTACTTCTCCTGACACAACATTCCATTATTAGTTTGTTGGGTTTACACATTATGTGTACTTGCATCTTCCGTAGATTGTAAGTAACCCGACGCGTAGTTCATTTTTCTGAAACTAAAACAACCCACAGTTCTTCTGTCCACATTATGGGTCAATGCCTAACTTTGACTTGGTCAAAGAAATGCTAACTCTCCTTTAACTACCTTTTCTAAACATGATGCAGAATATGATCATTTGAAACTTAAAAACCAAATGTCACCATTATCAATATCACCTACCGAACATTCATTGACCCTTTTTCTAGAAAACTGTGAAGATTAATTAAACCATTACTTAAGTACTACAAGGTTGCTTTCTGATTAGATACAAAGACTAATCTTTAAATCTTTTATCTTGCCATGATTATTCAATTTTTCGCTAATCAAAGAATGTACTTTCTCATTTGTATAGAACCAATCTAGATCTACAAGTATTACGTTTTTAAATTTCTGTCTAATCAACTCTGACAGAACCAAAATACCCACAGAATCCTTTTTAACATTAGAACAATAAGTTAAGCTTAAACTTTTTTAACACTGTGTTCAAGTGTTTTAGTCTTAACAGAATTGGCCGAAGATTGAAGATAAAGAGGAGAAGAAAGCAGAAGGATAAAAGAATCACATAAGTTAATCCTGATTCCCAAGAAAACTGTTACAAGCATTATTGAGTACAGAGACTCTGTTTTTGATGAAGACTCTGGTTTGGCTGAGCCCCACAAAACTGAAATTAAAGGCTTGATCAGTCTACCTTTAACATCTCCAAGCTTTCAGCTTCTTCGATGTAGTAAACATCTGTTTTCTATACAGAAGCTCTTTTAAACATCGTCGAATGGCTTCTTGGGTGACTTATGGTTTAGTCTCCTTCGAAACAGTAGCCGCTCCTCTGGGAAACTAGGATTATCTTAATGGGCTTACTGGGCCAAAACAAATTAATTTTGCACATTTTGTATTACTGTTGTACTTTTTTATGTTGTTTCTCAATTTTCAGTTTTTCACATATTGAATAACAGAAATTTCTTTTTTTTTTCTTAAAAAAACATTTTTTTAAAACATCTCCCATTTCAGTTTTTTTTTCGTTTTCCACCTAAGACTGCAATTTGTTCTCTCTACTTTATTCATTAAAAGAAATTTGGATTAAAAAACATTTTGCATTTTAAATGTAAGATAATAATTCTTTTGAGATTTTGTTTTTTTTTTCTTAAAAAAAAAAGAATAGAACGTAAAGTAAATACTACTCCATAATATATTAATAATACCCGCACACTTCTCTTTTTAGCTAATTTCTTAATTCTTACTTTGAGATTGTTAGGTGCGATAATGTAAGAGTCTTATTATTAAAAGACTCTATAAAACTCCTTGCAAAAAAGTTAGTGTGATACGATAGAGATACTCGTGTCTATTGTATCGAAAATCAATTAAATTCCTTTGGCGATCTAATGGTTTGAGATATAAAATATAGCCATCTCAATAATTTACAACCAACGGTTGAAGAAATAAATGAGGCAGCAGTAGAGTGATATGTATAATTATTTCGGTTTCATGTTTCTCATGTATCTTTCACATAGAGAACCGGGAACCACCTAGCCAAAACTCAAATGAGGCCACTTTATTTATTGCTACTTTTGGAACTTTGGCTCCATATAGTAAAGAGCCGACAACCACTAGTTGTAGTTTTTGTTTTTCTTTCGTTAAACACTAGTTCTATTGCGACACTGATATTTCATATTTAAAGTCTTCCTTCGAAGAAATTGCCGAGTCAAAAATACCTCCAACTATTAGCTCGACCAACACCTAAAATATTGTAATGCCAACCAACTTGACACATATTACATAGCAAACCAACCTTGTCTTTGACTTGACCTTAGCCACCCAAATCCGTTAGTATCATAAATTCAAATCTTTAAGAGATGAGAGCCTAAGGTTATGGTAGTAATTGGTGTTTGAAAGTGACATAACTATTTACGTCATATATTTCCGTTCCTAAATACCACAAGACACACATTATATTCACTCCGACACAAGATCGCGTGGAATATCATTACATAAAGCGTATGTCTGGTAAAACCGTGATTAAAAAGAAAAAGGGGTTCGCTTAAATAATTACTCCTAATCGTTTTTTAAGTCATGTTGTTACCAAGCTTAACTTTATCATACCTTTATTATGTATGCCCCTTCGTTTGAACTTTTAGTGATAATAACTATGTTTACATTGTCCCCGTCCCGGCATTCAGAATTAATAACCAAGTTTGGAAGAGCCTCAACTTAAATCAGAAATATTATCAGTCTAAAATATTTTTCATCTCAAATCCTTTTGATTGGTAACTACTAGCAAAAACAAGTAGTGAAATAAGTTTACTTAATCTTCCTCGTCAATATTTTTAACCCTTTCTCAAAAAATTAGTTTACTCCAAAATTACTCTAAAGTGCTTATCCAATCCAATCACACCCTTAGTGTTGTAAAAGTAGATGACTAGATGACCTCTCTTTATATCTTTACACATATTTTTTTATTACTTTTGTATAAAACAAAAGTCGAGTCAAAAGCAACTCGAACTTTAAATATGTATAAAGAAATTTAAACAACAAAGAGACATTGACGGAAGTTAAGCTCAAAATTGACGCCTGTTTTGACCGGAACCCCCGAAGAGCAAACAAAGTCCAATTGTACAAATGAACACAATCTAACGCAAACCAGTTTGGCAACTTTTGCGATGGACTTGAGCCACCCAGACAAAATTTGAAGACTTCATCTACCAGTCACGAGAGGGTCCCGCTTTTTTGATTTTGAGTGTTTGAAAGTAACATAACTGATTACGTCATTATGCTTACGTCATATCGAATCAGTTCCAACGTTCTACGTGAGATAATTGATTTCCAATTTCCAACTATTTTACTTAATGAATTAAAGATAAATATTTTATTGTTGCACACACCAAAAAAAAGAAGAAGATAAATGAGTTATCAATTATAATTATAGATGCCTAACTAATTATATCGGGACGATTTCTATATGTTACTAGTTTCAACTTCAAAATATAATACTTAAAATGATGTCTAGAGATACGAAATTACTGTGTAAACTTTTTAAGATTCTCTTTACCACTTATAGAAAAAAGAAAGAAAAAAAAAGCCCCCCAAAAACTCCAAATGAATGTAGTAACGCAGCTTCCCAATAACGCACGTTCCCAATAAATTAACTATATAATCAAGTGAATGGAGAGAGAAGTAATACAAAATCTGTGGCGGTACGTTAAAAACGCGATTGAAACCCTCGAGAGAGCGAGAGAGAAAAGAAAAGTTAATACTCTTTTATACAATGTCAAAAAAAGCATTGGCCAAATTGTTTGATTTGGAATCACAAGAAAGTGGTGGTTCTCCTTTATTTATGTCACAAACCCTTCCCAAGAATCCACAACCAATCTCCGGCGACAGCGACGGCGATGATGGTGGACGGATTCCGGTAGAAGAGTGGCTGCCGATCACAGAATCGAGAAAAGGGAATATTTATACGGCGACGTTTCATCTTCTTTGTTCAGGACTTGGTTTCCAAGTGCTTCTTCTTCCTGCAGCTTTCGCAGCACTCGGATGGTAAAAAAATTCTCATATCAAATCAAACCAAAATTTTCTCTCTATTCATTAATTATCTCCGGTTTAAAATTTACCATATTTAGTTTTCTTGCGAATACTATGTATACAAATAAAATATATATTTTTTCGTGTTTCCAGGGTATGGGGACTGATAATTTTAACGGTGGGATTTGCATGGAAGCTTTACACGGTGTGGCTTCTTGTTCAACTCCACGAAGCCGTTCATGGAATACGTTTCAGCAGATACTTAAGACTCGCAATTGCTTCATTTGGTATTTATTCTTAAAAGTTTGTCGTTTTACAGGGTATAATTGGATTTTATTCGAGAACTTCAGTTTCTTAAAACGGTTGTTGTTCTTGTTGTCATGGAAACAATCAAATAAATAGGTGTGAAGCTTGGGAAACTTCTCGGAATATTCCCTGTGATGTATCTCTCAGGAGGAGCTTGTTCGATTCTGGTTATAACCGGAGGGAAAACGATTAAACAACTTGTACACATTATGTCTGAAGATGACACAGTTCCACTTTCTACCGTGCAATGTTTCTTGATCTTTAGCTGCCTCGCGGTGGTCATGTCTCAGTTTCCAAATCTAAATTCTCTTTTTGGACTCTCGTTGATCGGTGCTGCTACGGCCGTAGCATATTCCACTGCTATCTGGATTTTACCTCTAACTAGTGTTCCTCAAAGGAATCAAAACAGCGTCTCTTACGCTACAACGGACACAAGTTTCGATAACATTTTCAATGCCATTGGATTGATAGCTATTGCATTTCGCGGGAACAACCTCGTCCTCGAGATACAGGTCTTAACTAACGATTATAGTGAAAGAAACTCGCATTTTATAATTGAATTATATAAACGTTAATATTGACAAGGGTTTTTAATTGGTTTATATTTGTAGGGTACACTTCCTTCCGATTCAAAGAATCCTTCGAGTAAGACAATGTGGAGAGCAGTTGTTATCTCTCATGTGTTCATCGCGATTTGTATGTTTCTTGTAGCTATTGTTGTCTATTGGGCATACGGTGACAAGGTATGTTTTTTTTTTTTTTGCGTTTGCCTTTACATTTTGAAAAAAAAAGTGTTACAAGTTACAAGTTAACGAATACGTGTTTCAACAAAATTCTTGGTTTAATGTTAATTCTAATATATAATAGATTCCGGGTACGGGAGGTCCAATAGGCAACTACTTGAATCTTTACGAACGAGACTACTCGAAGCGAGCCGCTTGTTTCATACACCTCACGTTCATCTTCAATTGCTTATGCTCATATCCTATCAACTTAATGCCGGCTTGTGACAACGCCGAGATGGTGTACACAACCAAGACACAAAAGCCTTGCTCCATCTTTGTTCGGATGATGTTGCGTGTGTTCTTGGGTTTGGTTTGTTTCTTTGTAGCCGTTGGATTCTCCTTCTTACCTTATCTAGCGGTTCTTATCGGAGCAATAGGCTTGCTTGTTACGTTTACGTACCCCTGTTTCATGTGGATATCTATCAAACAGCCCCAAAGGAAAAGCCTGATGTGGTTGCTCAACGTCTTGGTGGGTTTCTTTGGTGCTTCTCTCAGCGTTTTGCTTGTGGTTGCTTCGGCTTTGCGTTTGGCTGATAAGGGTTTACATGCAAACTTCTTCAAACCCTAAAGCATTCTTGCAACATGTAAATATGATTTAATGGCACAAGCGGTCAAACTTGGAAACACTACCTGCCTAATGACGTCTAGATGCATGCAGTTTAAGAAAACGGCGGCGGCACCGTATTTATTCTCCACCAACATCCTTTTGATAAGACAGTCGCGATCGATGGCATTTATTTTTTTATGGATAAAAATGTCAATGGAAACATTTAAATTTTGTAATTATCATTGTTTAATAGACATATCTCTCACAAGAAAGAGGAAATCCTAAGTTCTAATTTTCGATCAAATTTAGTACTAGCATAAAAGAAATTAATGAAAACACTATATATTTATCTTTGGTTCAGATTTTTACATGTATATCTCACAGAAATAATTTAATCTTTTCTAATAAACAAAAGGAATTGATTTCGCCGCTCATTTGAGTCATCTCTGTTAATGGAGATAGCAAGACTTAGAGAGATCAAGTTGCTTGCCAAGTTTGTCGCCATGGAATGTGATGCTGCATCTGATTTTCGAGTAGAACTTAGTCTTGACCAATCGGCCGAGCACATAAGCCCGTGATCGCAACGTGAACGTCAGATTCAAAGGCAGAACGACTCGGTCCGGTTTAGCTCGTTGGGAGTAGAGAGCCGGTACGCCTCCGTACAAAGGAATTTGATTGCCTAATACTTTGGTCTCAATGATTCTCTCTGTCTTCCTTCGTTGAGAGAACTTCTCCATCTATTTTTTATCACACGGGGCAAAAAAAAACGAAAAAGAATCATAACCTGCCCGGTTTAATCAATAAGGTGTGAAATTGTTTACCTGACCGGAGGCGAGAATGAGCTGTGAATAGCTGAGCTGGAGGGGAAGGGAGGTGACGTGGACAGTGAAAAAAGTTGCAGGGTTTCTGTATAAGATCCTGACCGTTGAATTTAGAGTTAGCATATCTGTGAGTACTCCCGATGCGTCGTTCCCGGATTGCACGTTCAAGCTCTCAATTACCAACCCCTGATTATTTTCGTGAATAAAAAAAACATAAATACCAACTTTTAGACGGCATTTTATTTGTTAAACATATTTACAAACGATCTAAGCGATACTTGTTTTCCCCTACATATTATTAGGGAGCTGAATGATTGAATTCTCATAACCTTTTTTTTTGTTAATATGAATTCTGATAACTTCACCCAAAAACAAAAATTTACCAAAAAAAAAAATTCACAAAAAAAACATACAGTTAAATTGATGAACGCAAAAGATTATATAACATCATTTGTCATCGATTTTTTGTTTTGTCATCATATTAATATATCGTTTGCATTTGTTTTATGATTTTTAATTCATATTTTTGTATTGGAAAACATAAAAACATATTTAGAAAACGTAAAATTATCATAACACAAAATTTATGGTTGAAACAATCAAATATCTATCAATTACCTTCATGGAGACAATAGGTGAGAAAGATTTGGAAACACCCCACAAAATTAGACAGAAGATGGTGAAGGCCAACACAAAGTTAAACAGCAAGCACGAGTAAAACCTCGTTTTCCTTCCCCTCCTCTCGTCTGGACCGTCCATTTCATCATCATCATCATCCTCGTTGATTGGACGGTCATGATCATACACTTGGAGGCTACTGTACCCATTTCTCAATGGTCCTGAGAACCGTGATGTCGAAGGGGAATCGCCCACAGACTCACGATGATGGTAGTGACTGACCTGGCTTTGTCGGTTAGAGGGTGATCCAAACGGGCTAAAATCCGTTCTGGTCGATATCTTGTCTACGTCTGTGTTCGGTGGGCTCTGCACAAAGTAGACCGGCCTTGTAGTCTGTGGCAACGGATATTTAGCCGCCCACGTCATCATCTCTTCCTATAATAGGTCTTGCAAAGCTTTTGATTTTGTTTTTTACATTTTCTAGTATTTTGGTTATGAACTTGTTTTTAGGAGGTGGGAAAATAAATTGAGATACAAGTGCAAGAAAACGAAAAATATTACTTTTGAGAGTAACGGTTGATGCTGACCAAGGAAAAGACAATCGTAATCAAGAAAACGGAGTACTATTTCAAACTTAAAACCAAATTATACATTTTAAAATATTTTGGTTATGACCTTGTGTTTAGAAGGTGGAAAAATAAATTAGGATACAAGTGCAAGAAAACGAAAAATACTAATTTTGAGAGTAACGGGTGATGCTGACCAAGGAAAAGTCAATCGTATAATCAAGAAAACGGAGTACTATTCAAACTTAAAACCAAAAACAAAAACTACTATTCAAACTTAATTTTTAAAATCAAATGGCCAATCAAAGTGTGTTTTTATTATAAGTGACTGTATTTTAGATGAGTCTCTTTAAAAAACTATATTCGAAAAGAAAAAAAAAAGTCTATATATCTAGTAGATCGAACTACGGTAGTGTTGTTTTACTGATTTACGATTATAAAATAGGCGAAAACATTACATATTTTTTATCTCAAAATCAAAATTAGATAATGTAAAAAAGAATAAGTTTTATGATATTGGGTTAAATCTGGAGGGAAACGAAAGGGTCGATCGAAACGGTCTATGATGTTATTTCCTAGTTTGTTCCTAGGAAAATACAAAGTCAAATAAGTCTTTCAATTTGAAGAAAAAATGTTTCCTAATTAATTTCTTAAAGTTCACTGAGAATTAATGTCGTGCCTTCAAGTCTAACATTAAAGTCGCCGTTTCACTTTGAAAAAAAAAAATTAAAACCTCAGGATTACATCTTTAGTGGTCCAAAACATTTGGTTTGTGGAAACCTCTTAGCCTACTGGTTAATGGGTTCATTAATGATTCTATATCAAGAGTTTTAGGTTTCGAATCCCAAGTGCGATTTATTATTAATTTGCAGATTAATGGAACAAACTTACAGGAGATTTTCAACATGGTGCATGGAGATCCGTTTAGCGTGTTTGCAGGCGAGAAATTTGTCCGTCGAAGAATTGTCGATGTAATAGTTCTCATAATTTGTAATAGAATAATAATAGATCAATGTTAAAAAAAAAAACATTTGGTTTATTGTCAAATTTACACACTTAAAATGTTACACAATTTTACACACTTAGTTGGTTTTGATTCTGGTTTGGTTTATGGACTCGGATTAGCAACTTGATATATTCGATCGGTTATGATGAGTAGTGGTTAAGTGTGGTCAAATTTGTGTATGTTAGCCAGGGGAAAATCTTATTTCCGGAAATTTCAAGGGAGTTAGACAGATGGACTTGGAGTGTTTGGTTGCTGCAAGCAAATTTTTCTGATCATTAATTGTATAATATGTTTAACGTTCTATGTGTATTGTGTAATGTGTTTTCTTTTTTCTTTTTTTTTCCTATGCGTTGTGTTGGTTGAAACACCTGAACTCTTGATTGTAAATGACAGAGGCCTTTCGTCATCTTACACCAATTATAGCTTAGCTTTAGGTAGTTCGATTTGCTAACGAATCTATATGTCATTAATCTTTTCTTAATTGGGTTTTATATATTCGTAAAAAAGGACAGCCTACAGTAAACTGATAAATTACCATAATCCCAGTAAACTATATATGCAAGAAATATCACTTTAATTTATTGGATGATTGATATTCATAAGACACTTAGAACATGAATAGAAGAATTTCCTTAGATTTCTAAACTAATTCGACTATTTTCTAAGCATCAAATCACTTTCATTCCTGATTTCACTAGTGTGTGGGAGAATTGGGGATGATGTGTGCGCAGTTGTCTTTAAGAAGCGGTGGAAAGAACGGATTTAACGGAAACATATGTGGCCAACAGTTAGCATCGATTGTTGAGAATGCTTTGCAACATGCGACTCCGACGTTTCCAAACTGACCAGAGAAAACTGATTTGTATAGTTCGAATACGCATCCACGAGTATTAAAAAGAGATGACCAACATTTTTCCATATCAATAGGAAAATCAGGTGGAAATTGTGAGCGTGCTGGTTGCTCATTAGCTACTCCTTGAGTGATTAAAACTGGAGCACATAAGGTTGCAACTAAGACTAAGGAGACAATAGCTCTTGAGTTGTTTCCCATCTCTCTCTTTTTCTTGTTTTTGCTTTGATGTTTGGATGGTTTAATTAGGGAAAGCAGTTTAGAATTTATAGGCTGGGACAAAATTCAGTAAAAAGAAAGGTGGTAAATTACATAATAAATTAGATAATCATTAAATGTTTATAACACAGCAACGGAAGAACATTAAAGCTTTTCTAAAAGTAACTCTAGGAAATTATATGTCCACTGTAGTTTCGGTTGATCCGTTTTCTAAGGTTTCTGTGATGGGGTTTCCAGAGATAATAACTCCCTCCACAATAAATATATACATGCCTCATATTCCAAGGAAGTATATATCCTTAATTCAAGAACACGCGCGTGATCTTTGATGTGAAGATGGAGGCTAAGCTCCAGCTATCCTGAGGGAAACTTCGGAGGAACCAGTTACTAGATGGTTCGATTAGTTTTTCGCCCCTATACCTAATGATTAAATTTGTAGTTTTATTATTATTTTTTTTGGATAAATACACCAGTGAAGTAATTAGAGATTTTATAAGACTTGATGAAAGAAAATACCAGTTGAAAAAACTATATCTTAAGTTTTATTTCGCATTGTGTTCATATTTATGATATAAACTAAAATAATTAAAAGGGCCAAAAAACAATATCTAAAAAAAAACTGAAAATCTGATTTAGAACAAAATTAATTTGAGACACGTATTTTTTTATTTTAGAGTCATATTTACCGCAGAGTGGGCCTACATTATAAATACTAACGTGCTTCAGTTTTCACGTGAAGTTTTTCAGGTATTTTGGCCATCATTTTCTTAGATTATTGGCAGGATTTTTTCTTCCATTTTAGGCGGCTTAGTTGTTGTTTAACTTGTTTATGTAGATCGGATAGTCTATGTCATTTTTTCTGAAAAACAAAACTGAAAATCATATTATTCTTCAATTCTTTTTCGGAAATTTTCCATAGAAGTTTTTGTGCGTTGGTTAATCATATTTATAATAGGAGAACAGCATAGGTTTTCTTCAAATAACAAATATATGTCATTTTAGTTAACTTTATACGTCTAGTTTTGATGAATTTTTTGGATATATGAATTTAGTGGTCCTTTTTATTTTGGTTGAAGACTCTAGTGGTCCTAGATTCTGTTTTTTCCTCGTTAAATTCTATTTGTATATACCTTTTTATTTTGTATATACCTTCTACATAGACATCATTTTAGTGGTCCTAAATTATCATCCAGTTATCTTAGGTTATTTCAAACCAATCACAACTCGACCATAGAGTTTTTATTTTCTGAAATATTGGGTCGAATCCACGGATTGGTAAGTAATCGATTAGCGCATAAAGAACTAATTGGTAAAAGCTTTCCATTTTAGGCGGGTTAGTTGATGAGATGTTATACACAAATAGAGCCTCCAAGGTAATAATGTTGTTACTGTTGGTAAACGTCTTGAGATTTTCGTTCAAACGGGATTCGAAGTCTCATGCATATAAAACAAAGAAATAAATCCTAGAAAAGCGTAAGCTAGAGAAAAGGAATTTAACACCAGAAATGCATGTGTTTCATTGCGCAAACAAAATATTGTAGCGGTTTTTAGGAAATATTTTCAACCGAGAATAGAATTGTCTTACCAATTTATGTTCTCCAAAAAACTGTGATAAAAATTTACCAACTATATATGTTGTATCTTTCAGAAAATTTAACATAATTTATACTTTATTTAAAATGATTTAGATCTGTCAAGTATTAAAAGGTAAACAGATAATAATATCTCAAAGCGAGTTTTTTTTTTTTTTTTTTGAGGTTCCATGGTGTCTTCTCTATTTAAAGGTTTTTATGTCAATTAATGGAAATATCAGAAGAACATTTTTTTTTATTTTAAGCTTTTGACTGGGACCGCGTAAAAAAATGGACATGCGATGGAAAATTTGCTAAGTAGAAAAGGAAGGTCCATAAATCAACTTGCATTAGAAAATCCATGGATGTACATGTGTGTATACATAACAGAAGTCATTCAGCCCGTAAATTTACATAAAAACGTGTCCAAGACATTTGACAGGTACGCTGATATGTCTTTGTTTGGTTGACAAAGCTTGGTTAGGTGGGAATATTGGTATTCAGAGGTGTTGGTAGGTTACATTATAAATTAGCTTAAAATTTAACTCATGATAAATAATTTTTATCATTAATTAAGTTTCATGTAATACACAAGTCGGACGTACTGGTCGGATATCAAAGGGGTAGGCCAAAACACTGAAGCTTGTTGATTCCTTTTGTATCCACTTTTTTCCTTCATCATAATTTCATAACCACATCAGTTGCTATATCATTTTATTGCTACTAACTTGTGACTAGGTCATTAATTTGATAGGAGTCCAGGGCTAACATCTCAATTTTATTAGCAAAGCTAAACAAGGACAGATAATTCATATACAATATTCGGCAACCGACAGTGATAAACTAACAAGATAAATTAACAAGTGGTCAGATATTCTATCCGCTCAAAATAAATAAATAAATGTACCGAGATCTTGAATGTGATGATACTGATCACTTAGGAGTTAGGAGCATTGAATCCATTTTAATTTTAAACATGTGGGTTCTTCCTTTGTGGTCCCGAAATTACCACTGTGTCTTTACAAGACAAAATAACTATTGTGCCCTCATATTTTAATCACTATAAAAAAACCCTAATTCTTTAACTCCGGATCACCTGTCTTTACTTTACAAAATATTTGATAGAGAAAAGAAGAGTTAGAAACAAAATGGAAGAAAGTAAAAGAAACATATTAGATGAAGAAGCTAAAGCTTCTCTAGACATATGGAGATATGTCTTTGGGTTTGCAGATATAGCAGCTGCAAAGTGTGCGATTGATCTTAAGATACCAGAAGCCATTGAAAACCATCCTTCGTCACAGCCCGTGACACTAGCCGAGCTCTCCTCCGCAGTCTCCGCCTCTCCGTCACATCTCCTCCGTATAATGAGGTTTCTCGTGCACCAAGGAATCTTCAAAGAAGTCCCAACAAAAGATGGTCTAGCCACAGGCTACACTAACACGCCACTCTCTCGCCGCATGATGATCACAAAACGTGACGGCAAGTCTCTGGCTCCTTTTGTTCTCTTCGAAACAAGTCCCGAGATGCTCGCGCCATGGTTGAGGCTGAGCTCAGTCGTCTCTTCTCCGGTTAACGGCTCACATCCACCACCGTTCGATGCGGTGCACGGCAAGGATGTGTGGGCTTTTGCAGAGGATAATCCATGCCTCAGCGTTATGATCAGTGAGGCCATGGCTTGTGACTCAAGGCGCGTGGTGCCACGTGTAGCGGGTGCTTGTCACGACTTGTTTGACGGCGTGGGTACGGTGGTGGACGTAGGTGGCGCTACCGGAGAGACGATGGGTATATTGGTTAAAGAGTTTCCTTGGATCAAAGGATTTAACTTTGATCTTCCTCATGTTACCGAAGTTGCGCAAGTCATGGATGGTGTTGAGCATATTGGAGGCGATATGTTTGTTTCCATTCCTAAATGCGACGCCGTTTTCATTAAGGTTAAGTTCATTTTCATACTCTATATTCTTGTGATTAACTATTACTATTCAGTAGTAAGCAAAAGCTTAGCGTTTTTCCTTTCTTTATATTTCTTACAGCTTTCATTTAGTGCTCAAAGTTAAGTTTTCACACAACAGTCAAGAATGAAATGGATAAATATCAGAACTAACATTCTTTTTTTTTTTTTGTTTAGTACTGTATAATACTGTTTGAAATTTCTTCTCACTTTGCAATAAACCTCGTCGTCTCGTACTAATTAAGCTATATATATAAAAAATATTATGATTTGATTTTTTTTTCGTACGTATTTCGTATAACGTTTGTGATTACATTTGTTTTAATTGTAGTTGTCAGTGTCTGCTTGTTTTAATACGATTGTTTTATTATGCATTAATTTTACTTATTAAAAAGATCTATATATATATATATATCGATATATATGTAATATGTGTGTGTGTTGACAGCATGAGAAAACATATGATATCTATTTTTAAAGAGACCTAAAATACATGCATAAAGAGAAGTATTCTCCTACAACAAGAAGTGTGATACAGGCTTGTTAATTTATTCAACTCATATATAGGAATTTAGAACCAACTTCTTAAAAATAAAAAAAATCCCTTTTTTATTTTTATAGAAAAAAATTTCGGATGTCTTAAACAAAAAATGTTGAAAATTTTAAAATCCATTTATTTTCTACCATCTATACCAAAAAACATGAATAATTTAGACATGATAAAATGATATATATATATATATATATATGAGTGACACTAAACTACCGAATCAATTGATGGCAACCACTATCAAGTGCCAAATAAATAAAGCAACCACTACCAATTTCACATATATTATATATTAACCAATACTCTGAGACACTTTTTTTTCAAAGCAAACACTTTTTTTGTTTGAAAGTCCATTTTCTGTTAATAAAAAAATAAAAGTGGTGACATGATCGTAAATAAAAAGTATGTTTTTTTCTGCATATCATTAAAATGCTAAGGCTTCAAACATATTTTAAAGCAGGATATAAATTACGTGGTCTAATAAGTAAAATGTGGAAAATGACAACAGTGGGTGTTACATGATTGGGGAGACAAAGATTGCATAAAAATATTGAAGAATTGTAAAGAAGCGATCCCACCAAATATTGGGAAAGTGTTGATAGTGGAATCTGTGATCAGAGAGAAGAAAGAGACGATGATAGTGGAAGAGAGGGATGAGAAGTTAGAGCATGTGAGATTGATGCTTGATATGGTGATGATGGCTCACACAAGCACAGGCAAAGAACGGACTTTGAAAGAGTGGGACTTTGTTCTTAACCAATCTGGTTTTGCTCGATATGAAGTTAGGGACATTGACGATGTTCAGAGTGTTATCATAGCGTATCGGTAAGGATACGAAAGACTTGAATCCAAGCCGAGGAAGTGCTAAACTGAAGACTTCCTTTGGTAATACTGAGTAAACTTGTGGTTATATATTGGTTTACTGGTTCGAGTGAGAATTGTTAGCCAAGTTTGAATCATTGTGTTGTGTGAGAATAATCAAGACTCGTTTCAATATCTGTAGCCATGTTTTATAGATTGTTTGTATTTTTATTTCTTTAGCTAAGAATATTGTTTGTATTTTCACATGTTGTATCATACGGATGTGCACTTATAGCTTGCTTTTATATGTTGTTATATAGACTATTTATGATATTGGATTGCTTTATTGCGAAAGAGTTTGAGTTCATATGTACATGTTAATTTTCATCTCTGTGTTCCAAAAAAAATACAAAATTTTATCCTTAAAAAAAACAATTTTATCGATTTGGTGTGTAGAAATTAAAAACTCCAAAGAGAAAAAATATTAGGATTCATAAGAAGCCCAATAAGCCCACTACTAATGACTGACTAATGAGGTCACACGCCTGACCTTCTCATTGGACCAAATAATCGCCTCTCTTCCGGCGACGGGCTTACGCCATAACAGTAGACTCCTTCTCTATCCTCTCCGGAGTAGCTAGCGATTAGCCCTTTTCCGTTGAATCTTTGGAAGATGACTGAGAACTCGAAGAAGGGTCGATCGAGCTTTAACGGGTTGCATCACCCTGTTGTTGATTTTTGGCGACGAGAGGTCGGTGGGATTTCCTCCCGTAATTTCTCCAAGCGCTTCTCCGGCTCCGAGGTTTGTTCCATCGTTAACTGAATCTCAATTCGAAGGAATCACTTGAAAAAACCCATTTTGAATCACTATCTTATTGGTTTTGTCGTTGTAGAATCTGGTTTTGCGTCTAGAGGTACACCGGAAGCTAGTGAAGCACAAAGGTTGTGTAAACACCGTGAGCTTCAATGCCGATGGAGACGTTCTGATTTCGGGTTCTGATGATCGGCGCGTCATTATTTGGGATTGGCAGCTCGGGAACGTTAAGCTCTCGTTTCATTCAGGACACGCTAATAACGTATTTCAGGCCAAGTTTATGCCTTTCTCTGATGATCGCACCATTGTAACCTGTGCTGCAGATGGAATGGTAATCTCTTTGAGCTCTTGAGATCACGCTTACTTGGTTAGTTTCTTGTTTCTAAGCCTGTGTGAAACATTCCAAATATCCTCAGGTTCGGCGTGCGAGTATTCTTGAGAGTGGGAAAGTGGAGACGTCGTTCTTGGGATCGCATCAAGGACGAGCTCATAAGCTTGGCATCGAGCCAGGAAACCCTCATATATTCTACACATGTGGTGAAGATGGATTAGTACAACGTGTGAGTAGTAATAGCTTTATCACACTAGATCTACTTTAGAATCCTTTAGATTCCATTAAAAAGTTCTTGAAAATTGGATTCTTGCCCATTTCAGTTTGATCTGAGGACTCAAGCACCTACAGAACTTTTCACATGCCAATCAGTTGATCCTAGGAGGAGGAACATGGAAGCCGTCCAGCTAAATGCAATTGCAATCGACCCGAGAAACTCCAACCTCTTTGCTGTTGGTGGGATGGACGAGTACGCTCGTCTTTATGATATCCGTAGTTTTCAGGGTGACAGTTTAAATGGTTTTAGCCGAGCTGCAGATCATTTTTGCCCTCTACACCTTATTGGCAATGAACATGTTGGAATAACGGGTTTGGCCTTCTCAGAGCAAAGCGAACTCCTTGTTTCATACAATGATGAGTTCATCTACCTTTTCACACACGATATGGGATTAGGGTCTAACCCTGTCACATCCTCTCCGGTGTCCAAGAATAGTAAATCAAACTCAGAATCAGCTTCGTCTCCAAAAGATGATGACAAACGTCCAGTTCCTATGGTTTATAAGGGACACAAGAACTGTGAGACGGTCAAGGGTGTTAATTTTTATGGACCTCGGTCTGAATATGTGGTTAGTGGGTCAGACTGTGGCCGGATATTTATTTGGAAGAAAAAAAGTGGAGAGCTTATACGTCTTATGGAAGCTGATAGGCATGTAGTTAACTGTATCGAGCCTCATCCTCATATACCAGTGCTTGCTAGCAGCGGACTTGAAAGTGACATCAAGGTGTGGACCTCAAAGGCAGCTGAGAGAGCTACGTTACCTGACAACATCGAACTGGTAATTGCTTTATTGCTGTCTTCAAAAAAAATGACTTGATTAGTTGATAGCTTATTTCATTTTCATTCGTGCTAGAGCCTTCTCTGACTTATGAAACCCAATAAGGTGCATAACTCTGTGCTTACTTACCTTTATGATTTAGATATAGGACTCTGTTATAACACTGGTGTTATATGTGTGTTATATGTAGCCCAAATTCATAAAACCAAAACTATGTCTACTGTCTAGTGAATTTCATGTTTCCTTGTTCATGAAGTTTGTATTTATTTCATTCATTGATCTTATGGTATCATGGGTTGCTCAGCATCTGGATCTAGTGGCCATAGTATGCTATTACTTGCCTGAGGTTTTAGTTTACGTAAAGGCTAATTGCTAAATTGATCTAACAGCGTTTATTCTTTTCTTTTCTTCTGCTTGAGATCTTATGATATGACATCGAAACTAATTTGTCTACTGCTACTCTGTTTGAAAAATGTCCAGTTACCCAGTCGCTTTCGGTTATCATTTCTTAGCTACTATGATTATGACGAGCATTTATTTCGTAATGACCTGGATTTTGGTATTGATGGGAACGAGGGGGAAGATGAATCTATTGATGATGCTGAAGAAGATGATGATGATTCAGATTCAGATTCAGATTCAGATTATAGCTGTGAACTAGATGGTGATGATTCTGACGATGAGATGGATACTGATGAAGATGAATGTTTTATTGAAATTGATAACAATATGGATAATAATGGTGATGGTGGTAGCGAGAGGAATGTTGATAGTGGTAGTAACAGTTACCAAGATGATGATGATGATTGAATATTTGTTTTGAAATTTGTGTTCCAGCGCAAGCGAAAGCCTAGGGGTTGGATGTATCGTGTATCTTCACCGCAGGAGCTATTGGCACAACTCTTCTCGCTGCGGAACCGAAGTATCAGTCCAGATAGAGAAGCAGAATCTTCTTCATCCACTGGAAGAGAGCTTCTTGATCTTATACTAACCTTCAATGATGAGAGCGATGATGAAAATGCGTCTGATGATGAAGATGGTATTAGCCGTGAGGACTTCTTCTCTTAGGATAATGTCTTTTACATTTGGAAAATTTGTAAATATTTTCACCTTTTTTCTACAATATATCAAATACCATTGTTGTGTTAATGGTTTTTCATTTTCAAACAATAATTAATCATATAAAAGTCTTTTCTGAATTTTTATGTGTAAATCAAGGCAATGCAATATACTACAATAAAGAAAAACCAACAACATAAGTTTAAAAAAACAAAAAAAACAGCTAAAGAAAAATAAAAATTGAAAGCAAAGTTAATAAAAAAAAAGATGAGTTTCATATGGAAACCGATTGGCAGCTCAAGAGCTGATATGATTTGTGGACATCATAAACAACAACGTTACACCGTTCAATGTCCCCACGAAGCTGGGTTCCGAATGGAGTCACACGCTGCTCCAACCTAATCACCGCACACCAAATATTAATGTATGGGGGCCGAAAATCGGAATATGGAAGCCATTTCCACTGGTTCCATATAATTACCAGTTTCCCCCCATGGTTAACTAATCGAACCATTCGGTCCTCCACAAGACAACGCTTCGCATACAGATCTTCCAAACCTTCGACCATTAACCAATCTCCATTACTTGAGTCATACCACTTGAACTTACCGCCACGTTCCACAATCAATACATTGTCTATAAAACAACAAGGTTCAGTTAGTAAAGGTTCTACTGAACCCAAAAAACCCGTATCTGGTAGCCAGCTTCCTTCTTTCGGATCATATGCATACTTGTTCTTATGCTTGGTGATGACGCATAGCCTTCCTCCCAAAACTACAACTTGGTGATCACTCGGATCGAGTCCAGTATCACTAGGGCTAGGCAATGGCTTCCAAGTTTGAGACTTTATGTCGAAAACCTCACCCCAATTCATGGATTCCTCCTCTCCTCCAGTTACATATATTTTCCCGTCTAAAAAACAAGACTTGGCGCTTTCCCTTGCCACTGTCAGATCCGGAGCACGACGCCACGTGTGACTCCGACAATCAAGCACATCGACGGCTTTGGATCGCTTGTCCCCGACGGTTCCACCGATCTGGTAGATTTCGAAACCGACGGTGACACTGGTCGAATTTAACCGAGCGGGATCATTGGAGGAAGAGATTCTTACCGGTTCTCGACGTAACAAACCCTCTACCTGATCAATGTGGGCCTCTACAGGATTGATTAGAGTGAACCAGCTATGATTTTTTTCTCTTCTTTTTTTTTGGTAAATCCAGCTACGATTCTTGGGTAACCACAAGCACACGTAGAGGCAAGGCTCTGTGGCTCCGATTTGGGATCGGACAGTGAAGATTTTCCGACAAGAGACAAGAGAGTAGAAGCTCTTGGACACTAGGGAGAGGGAACGGTAGTAAGATATCGATATCCGGGCTAAGAAACTCTCAACGATTTCATCTGGAAGTGATGAAAACGACGGAGACGATGGCTGAGGGAACAGAGGAGGAGGAGGAAAATTCATCATCTTGTTCTCTCTTAGGAAGCGGAGCTATTAGATTAGACATCTCCTCTAGGGTTTCTGTGTTTCTTATATACTTAGAGCGTCTGTATTGGTGAACCCTATAAGAGGTTCTAATTGTATTTAATAATATTAAAATTTTGTTACCTACAAAAATTAAAACCTCTCACAATATTATTCCTACAATGGTAAACCTTTTATGGGGTTTTAATAATAAAATATTATTATTATTTTTTAATTCAACTTTTTTTTATTAATTCGATTTTGGCATATTAATTATTTATATATATAATTATGAACATATAACTTTGTTAAAAATAATTTTATTGAGACATTACATGAAAAAAAATAGAATATTGAAATTGAAATTACATCATAAAATGCTTAGTCTTCATCTTGAGAATCGCCAAATTGTTGCCAGATATGTTCGACTAAATCTTGTTTTAGTCGTTCATGTATTATTTTATTGCGAACTTCATTTCTTTTCTCGAGCAAATTGTTGAGATTTGTAGGCATGTTTGTAGAATATGTCCTATCGACCTCTGAAGTTCCGCTTCCTTCCCCTTGCTCGAAAGTTTTTGTGTCGAACTGAGTATACCCATCTCTTTCGTTTTCAACAATCATATTATGTAATATGATACATGCTCTCATAATCTTCCTAATCTTCTCCTTATCCCAAAAAAGAGCAGGGTTTTTGATAATTGTGAAACGTGCTTGCAACACTCCAAAAGCTCGTTCAACATCTTTTCTTATGGATTCTTGACGTTTCGCAAATGCTTTGGCCTTCTCACCTTGTGGCGATGGAATTGATTGGACAAAAGCTGTCCACTTTGGATAAATACCGTCTGTGAGGTAGTACGCCAAACGGTATTGACGTCCGTTGACCCAGTATGAAACTTTTGGTGCTCGACCTTGTAAAACATCATCGAAAACAGGTGAACGATCTAGAACATTGATATCGTTTAATGTACCTGGAGGTCCAAAAAACGCGTGCCATATCCAAAGATCATATGATGCTACAGCTTCTAACACAATTGTCGGTTTTCCTGAACCGCGTGTGTATTGCCCTTTCCATGCGGTAGGACAATTCTTCCACTCCCAATGCATACAATCAATGCTTCCTATCATTCCTGGAAATCCGCGGTTTTCTCCATGATCAAGTAACCGTTGAAGATCATCTGGGGTGGGTCTTCTTAGATATTCTTCCCCGAATACATTGATGATCCCTTCAACAAAATTTTTCAAACACCTGAGTGCAGTTGTTTCTCCAAGGCGTAGGTATTCGTCAACTGCATCAGAAGCACAACCATACGCCAAAATCCGAATTGCTGTCGTACATTTTTGTATTGTAGATAAACCGTACCTTCCAGTAGCATCTCTTTTTTTTTGGAAAAAAGAAACTTTTTCGGAAAGTCGCTCAATATGCATGAAGAGCGGTTTGTTCATCCTAAAACGGCGTCTGAAAATATGCGGCGGATATGTTGCATCTTCACGGAAGTAGTGATTCCACAACTGTTGGTCGCCTATTTCACGTTGTCTTTCAATGTAGGCACGTTTCTTCTTTGCTTTTGTTGGTGCTTGATACTCCAAAGCGGCATCAACCGCGGCATCAACCGCGGTTTCAAACACATTCTCAATCGTTTGGTCAAATTCATCAAAAGTATCATCAAGAGAATTTTCATAAAAATTGTAGTTTGATGAGGAAGCCATGTTGATTATAAGGGAAAAGAAGAAGAGAAGATTTACTAAGAAAGAGATTTTTTCAAGAGATGGTTGTTGAAGTATGGAAAAAAAAGAAGAGAATATATACTACTTTGAAGGCGTGTAAACTCGTATATATAGAGAATTGATGCTGAATAATTACAAGTATCAGAAAAGTATCCGTGACCCCATACAAGTTGTGGTGTATAACAAAGTGTGTTTTACCGACAAATTTGAACCAAGTATCCCTGACCTCATACCAGACTAGTATTACAAAACAGAGTGGAGACAAATCAAAAGCAGCTTTTACACGTGAATGTGAGTCAGCCATTATCCTCTCTTTGTGCCTCCACACCCGTGACCTACAACCACAAAGTGAAAGAGAACGTTAGCAGAGTAGATACTATGATAAGCAAACCAAACCATCAAATTCATCCGTCACACATAAATAAAAGACCAAAACACAATGCATTAACACAAGAAAGCTTAAATTTAAACCATTGTCATACAGAACCGAGTTCTTAAACACACCAAACTTAAACTTAAACACATAAAGAAAAACCTAAACAGAAAGTACTTGTTACATAAAGTAACTATTACAACAGATCATTGATTAGCTTGTCCTTAAGTTTCATTTCGGTTTCAGTCAATGGCTCGGGTTTAGTAAGTAGCTTTTCACGCAGCTTCTTGCTTGACAGCTTGTCTTGCAATTCCAAATCACGTTGCTTCATTTCCATATCACTTTGCTTGATTTCCCACACAGTCTGTAGATGCTTAAGAGTTTTATCAGCTTGAACCTCAGCTTTGAGCTTTGATCCACTCTTCTTAGATTTTGCAGCCTTAACTCTAATCGGACGTGGCTCTGAATCATCCTCAAGCATGACTTCCTCTTGGCTGCTTGCTGACTCATCCGTCTTTCTTCGTTTCCCTGATCCCTTTGAGCACCATTTTTGGTCAAAACGCAACTCTCTCCATGCGTGCTCTAGAGTGAACTTTGCTTGGTAGTCGTTAAAGAAAATCTCGTGTGCTGCCTTCAGCACATCATTATCATTTTACCCACTTCTCTTATCCTTCACGGCGGCTTCAAAACAACCGACAAACTTGCACACCTGATCGTTCAGCCTCCCCCACCTTTGTTTGCACTGACTAGCCGTTATTGCTTCTGGACCACTGAGTTCAAGGGAGAGTTGAAGTATTTTTGGATCCTCTTCCAAAAAGCCTCCAACTTCTGCTCATTTCCGACCACAGGGTCTTTGCTAGTGTTCAACCAGGCTGAAATGAGCACAACATCCTCCTTCGCCGTCCATGGCCTTCTTTGCCTTCGGTCTTCAACAGGTACACTTGGATCATCTGAGCTTTGGCTACTAAACCGAGGTAGTTCAGATGATCCAAGGTCGATAGTTTGGGGAAAGCTATATGTGATTTCTTGTTGGCTACTTAGTAAATTTACAAACCCCTGAGAGGTCGTAAATAGATTAGGAGAATCCATTTTGAGGGTATAGAAAGAAGGTGTTTGAAAAGGTTAAGAATGGCGGAAGTTTTTAGTAAGTTTAAGTTTTGAGAAAAGAAGATGTGTGAAAGTTTTAAGTTGATGTGAGACCATTATTTAAGTGTTGGTTAAAGGGTTTTTTAACAATCAATGAAGAGCATTTATCACATTAGCTTTAACTACAAAACCTACCAAGCATTGATAACAAAGCCCATTCTGATTTTAAACCCTAAACCTACCAAATCTTTCCAGCTAACAAACATTAATCCCTAAATCCAACCTAACACGCAAAGAGTTAAGAAGTTGACTAACCTTGATGCATTGATGAATGGTTGTGGTATTCTTTGATGAAAGGAATCGGCAGTGAAGTACATTCTTTCTGCAAATAACATTTAAACCATGTAAAGCAAACGGTATAAAATACTAAAGTAAATGCAAACTAAACTAAATGCAAACTAGGTTCTAGTTAGAATTCAAACCAAACTAACCTGCTTCAAAGCCTCTCAACGCCAACTCCATTCCCATTAAATGCAGACTATCGATCTCTCACCATATCACCTCGCAAAAGAAATCCAAAGGGTTACCAAAACAATAAAGCAAGCATGTAATATTATGATCCACAACATAATAAGCTTAGAAAACAATCTTAAACAATCTTATGATCTCACTATGTAATCTTAAACAATCTTATTATCTCAGTCCTATGATCCGCAACCATGTAAACAAATGATCATTCAAGAAAACCAAACAATCTTAAATAAAATTCCCAACGTAAATAACATAACATAATCGAATAACATAAGCTTAATCGAACCAGATTTGCGAAGCTTAAACAAGGTAATCAAGCTTAAATACGCTAAACATCTCAATCAATTGATTATCGCAACACAAATCCTAATATTTCCCCAAATTTCGAAAACCCTAAATTTCCCCCAATTTTGAAAACGCTAATTTCAATCATATTCCCCACAATCAACGATCTATAGAAACAAAGAGTTGCCGATTACATACCTTTTCAAAGCAAAATCGTCGATTCCGAGTCAAACTCCTGATCATTCACTGAAGCGATGAAGACAGATGAGATACCCAGACAAAAACCGAAGAGATAGAGAGGTGAAACAGGGTTCATTCGAACCGAGAACCGAAGAGAAAGAGAGTTGAAGACAGAAAAGAGAACCGATGACAAAATCGGCTCCGATTAACGGTGAACGATTTCCGTCGGAGGAGATGCGAAGAGATGGTGAGAGTTTGTCGAAGAAAATTGAGAGAAGTTGAGAAATTTCTCTAAGTGTGAGAATGACGCGACAAAAAACATTTCCAAAAGTTCAACCAACCAATGAGATTGCGCCACTTCACCCGTGAACCTCTTCCAAAACCGAGTCCACAAGCTGCACTTTAAAAAAAATGGGCTTTCCTGATTTATTTTAATTCCCAAAAACCCATGAACCTCAATTATAAACCTCCTTAAAATCACCATTACAGATGGTCTTAGGATTGTTAGGCTAGATAACATAATCAGATGGGCCTAGTGATACGATATCATGTAACTAGGTAAGAAGAAAAATTTGGCCCAAATACTAAGCGTTTATTTATTATGGCTAAGAAAAATCATCCAAAAATCTTCAATTCTGATGATCGAAAGTCGAAACTATTTTCAACCATAATAATCCTAGGTTGGAAACTTGGAATTGCCAGGAGCGTGTAGTTATTTACTTGGCAACTCGCCACTGCGAGAAATCCGTCAATTTTTTTCATGTATCATGTTTTTTATAGAGACCAAGAATGAGTCTTCCTTCAAGATCTTGAGTATCTTCTTGATTATGATTTTTTTTTATTTTTACAATTGATCCTATCGGATTATTTTGATGTTAAGTATTTTTTGATTATTTTGATCTTAAGAATCTTCCTTCAAGATTTTAAGTATTTTTTTTTCTTATTTCTGATATCATTAGGAGAGGCTATAGAAGTTATAAATCTAGTTAATTGATGAAATTTGGTTTGATAACATATACTAGACAACCAGGTTTTCTTTCACCAGTAGTTTCCACACGAGCAACGACCATTACAGAAATGATGAAAAATCTTGGAATCTCCCACAACGATCTCTCTTCTGGTCAATTTCGAAGCCTTTTCCAAGAACTCGTGACATTTTCTGCAGATTCTCGTGTTGTTCCTCACCATAACTGGTCTTCCTGTTTCCGTAGAGATCAATCCAAGACACGTGGCGAGTCTTACCGAATGTCTTTTTGTTGAACTGCTTCTTCTCTTCAATAGAGTCTCTGGTCTCAACTTCGAAACACAGTGAGCATAACTGTCTTCTTCATCCTCAATCATCCTCGAGACAATATATAAGACTTCATAGATCTTGTTTGTCTCCGCGTGGGATCTGTCTCCGTTTATGAACACATGAGTTCTGTGCTTCGTCTCAACAGTACTGCGACTCGTTTTTCTTGATATACCTTTGCTATTCATGAGAAGCCTGATCCTATTAACATCTTCCATTCTTCCAGCGTCTGAATACATATTCAAAAGCAAGACATAGCATCCCGTGTTATCGTGTTCCACCTTAAAGATCTGCTCTGCTGCGAATTCAGCTACGGTAATGTTGTTGTGGTTTCTACTTGCGTTTAACAAGGATCCCCAGATTCGAGCTGTTGGCACAAATGGCATTTCCTTAATGAATCTCTTGGCTGAGCTAAAGTTTCCTGTACGACCAATGAGATCCAGCATGTACCCATAATGCTCTATTCCAGGATCGATCCCGTATTCTCTTTTCATTGAATTGAAATGATCCCAGCCTTCATCGATCATACCGGAAATGCTACATGCTGCTAATAGCGAGGCAAAGGTGCTCTTGTTTGGATTTACTCCAGTAGTCATCATCTCTGAGAATAAGCAAATCGAATTTCTCCCGAAACCGTGTACCGCATAGGCCATGATGATGCTGTTCCATGAAACAACATCCTTGAACAGGACGTGGTCGAAACATTTTCTTGCATCCTCGAGGTCTCCACACAAGGCATACATGTGGACGAGTGAATTCAAGATGATAGTGTTTGACCCGTACCTGGCTTTTACGATATAAGCATGAAGTTGTCTACCTTCACTCAGGGAGAGAGACTCTGCATAAGCTGGTAGAATACTAGCGATTGTTGTGGAATCAGGCACAAGCGATGAATCCCAGAGCTCTTGAAATAGCTCCAAAGCTGAATAGTTGTTCCCGTTCTGCACATAAGCAGCAATAATCGAGTTCCATGTGACCAAATTCTTCTCAGCCATTCGATCAAATATAACCTCAGCTGCTTCTAACAGCCCGCATGCTCCATACATATCAATCAGAGCAGTTTCCAATACTATATGAGGAAGAAAGCCCCTCCTCACTGCGTACCCGTGAATCGCTTGACCCTCTAAGATAGCACAAGCAGGAAGCAGATTTATCAATGTAATAACATCTGGTCGCAACCCATTTTCCTCTGACATTTTCTGAAAACAAAGAAAAGCATCAATGACCCGCCCATATCTAGCATAACATCCGATCATAATGTTCCAAGCTACGATGTTCTTCTGGATCATACCGTTAAATACCTTCTCTGCACAGATCAATTCACCATATTTACTGTACATGTCAAGAATTGATGACAACACCATAACATCACCCGTTTCAATGCTACTTCGAATAGCGTGGCAATGTATCTCCTTTCCCATTTTTGGACTATAAACATGAGAACAAGCACCTAGAGCGCTCATGGTACTGAACCTATCCGGTTTAAACCCGCATTTCAGCATTTCTTTAAACAGAATCAGCGAGCGTAAGCCATCTCCAAGCGCAAGATACCCAGAAATCATGGAATTCCACGAGACTGCATCTCTCTCAAGCATTTCTTCGAACACTTTCTCTGCATCCCACGCGCATCCGAGCTTCATGTACAAGGATATAAGAGAATTACATACGTAAACATCTGAATAGAACCCAAGCTTGATAACCATCGCGTGAACCTTCTTTCCTTCTTTCAACGACGAAATTCCGGCAACCGACTTGATCACGAACGGATAAGTAAAGGAATCGGCTTTGATTCCTGCAAACACCATCCTGCAATAAAATTGAACCGATTCGTGATACAACCCACAGCTAGCGAAACCTCTGATCATCACATTCCACACGAAAGCATCAGCTTTGTTCATTTCATCGAACAGGTGGAGTGCATCCTCCATGAGGCCGGAATCGGCAAACTCGCGTAGCGCGCGCTTGAGCGCAAGATCATTGAGCTTAGTTAGCCTGGATCGTTCCCGAAGAGCTATCCGGGCTGGATTCGAGAATCTCCGGTCGAATACGAGATTCCGGTTCCAATTTCGCTTCCCTGTCGTCTGGTGATTCTCGGAAGAAACACATTTGCACGCATCGCAATTGTAGATACGGTAGCATCGAGACAAAAGAGTCGCAGCCATGATTAGCTCTGGAAACTGAGATTCAAGGAGATTGGGAGGAGATCAAATTTGTCTCTCGTCGTCTTCCTTTGCATCTTCATTTTCCCGCGGGATTTTTTTGTTCTTTTCCTTGATACTGGTCCGGCTCTCGAACTCGGTTTTGTTTTGTTCCATAGAGAATTGATGATGTCAATACCATGACATCATGGAGTGATACTGGTCCGGTTCTCTTACTCGTTGTTATTGCAAAATATAACTAAAAATCATCTCCCATCATCTACTAGTACATGATGGTGTAAATCAAATTCAGAGCGATGAGATAAATACGTAAACATAAAAATACAGAAGAGACTTTCATATTATTAATTATTGTTTGACAATGAAAATCCATTAATACAACAATGGTATTTGGTATATTGTAAGAAGAAGGTGAAAATACTTACAAATTCTTCCAAAGGTAAAAGATATTATCTAAAGAGAAGAAGTCCTCACGGCTAATTACCATCATCATCATCAGACACATTTTCATCATCGCTCTCATCATTGAAGGTGAGTATAAGATCAAGAAGCTCTGTTCCAGTGGATGAAGAAGATTCTGCTTCTTTATCTGGACTGATCCTTCGGTTCCGCAGCGAGAAGAGTCGTGCCTATAGCTCCTGCGGTGAAGATACACGATACATCCAACCCCTAGGCTTTCGCTTGCGATGGAACACAAATTTCAAAACAAATATTCAATCATCATCATCATCATCATCATCATCTTGGTAACTGTTACTACCACTATCAACATTCCTCTCGCTACCACCATCACCATTATTATCCATATTGTTATCAATTTCAATAAAACATTCATCTTCATCAGTATCCATTTCATCATCAGAATCATCATCATCATCTAGTCCACTGCTATAATCTGAATCTGAATCATCATCATCTTCTTCAGCATCCTCAAAAGATTCATCTTCCCCCTCGTTCCCATCAATACCAAAATCCAGGTCATTACCAAATATATCGTCGTCATAATCATGGTAGCTAAGAAATGATAAACGAAAGCGACTGAGTAACTGGACATTTTTCAAACAGAGCAGCAGTAGACAAATTAGTTTTGATGTCATATCATAAGATCTCAAGCAAAATAAAAGAAAAGAATAAACGCAGTTAGATGAATTTAGCAATCAGCTTTTACGTAAATCAAAAACTCAGGAAAAGCAATAGCATACTATGGCCGGCCATTAGATCCATATGCTAGCAAACCATGATACCATAAGATTAATGAATGAAATAACTACAAACTTCATGAACAAGGAGACATGAAATTCCCTATACATAGTTTTGGTTTTGTAAATTAGGTAGCCACATATAACACTTGAAAAACAGCTTGAAAAACTAATTCAAAATTCAAATAGATTTAAAAGTTAGTAAAGTTGAGCTGCTAAACCGTTTAATCATGAAGAAGATATTACAAGTGATGCAATACAGGAACTGTATGGAAGGCAGGGGAAAATTTATTAAAAAAAAAAAAAGTTTAGGAGAGAGAATCAATAAGAAGGCATAAACTTAAGTCAAGCAGAGCCATCATATGAGAGAAAAAGATCACATGTCTTTGATTTTATGTCATAATTATAAACTATCACGGTGCAAGCCCCCACAACCACCTTCGCTGCACCCAAGCTTTGTTCCGGTCAATCCTAAATCTAAAAGGGAACAAGAAATGTATGCAAGTTTCCGAGAACATTATTGTCAAACAAATTTTTTTTTTTAAAAAAAAAAAAAAGAAAGACGAAATAACAACACAATGTTATGACTTTGTGCAAGTTGGACGATTTTCTCGAGAAGAGAAAAGCGGGAAAAAAAGGGAAAGAGAAGGATGATAAGAACAATCTGAGAACGAAAACAGAGTATCGGCGTTGGAGAATAGAGATGACAGTTTCTCCTCTCCACCAAGCACGCAGGCTTGTGTTACAACACCTCACTCAACCTCAACTTCTCTCTCTACGAATTGTACTACTTTTATACTCATTATTGAAATACAGTATAATGTTGACTCTTTGACTTTTCTTCACGTATAATGCCTGACTCATCAAGTAGCAAGTATTTCTCCTTCATCATTCTTCTCCTTTAACTATCTCTGTGCTTAACTTCTTCCGAATATATACTCTGCATGGTATCAAAACAACAGTGCTCATGAGTTTGACAAGCTGAGATAAAGAGAGAGATAAAAGCTTCTGTTGTTGACAGTTAAGACCGACTCACCCTTCATCAATCATCAGTCCATGTCAGTTTTGCCAACACAAGATTTCCAGGGCGAACCTGAAAGTGCATAAGAGTTTCAAGATTGGGAACCTCAAAGTTCACAAGAGTTTCAAGATAAAGGGCACAATGCACAGAGACGAACAAGAAAATAGTTAGAGACACTCACAGCTTCCGATCGGGTTCCGTCTGACCAGAATACTTCGAAATCACCATAATCGCATTTATCTCCCACCACACCGAAATACGGCTTATTACGGCGTTCTTGTCTCCGATGAACGATGTCCCCATTCTTGAAACCTTCATAGAGAGGACCTACAACCTTCTGAAGCCTTTTAGAGTCCTGATCCCTTGTACCTCGATATTCCCACGCCACCCGGATTGTGCTCGGCTTGCACTCCGTGATTAGATACTCCTCTCCCTTAAAGAGACATCTCTGCCCTAGAGAAAAAGCAACAGCACGAAACCGAGGGGGTTGGACCAGCTCCACTTCGCTTGTCAAGAGAACTTGAGGTGGTTGGTTCCCTTTGCCTTCACCAAACCATTGTACATGTACACTGTCCGTCCTGTGACTTTTGACCTTGGCTGATACACCTCTACTTACAATACGCACGGATTGCCCTTTATAGAAAGGTTCGTCTCTCCATTCTTCCAAAGAGTTGGTGAAAATGGGTGTGAACTCTGTTGGATCTGGATTAAGCTCACTAAACTCTACCTCAACTCCCTTAACCACGTATACAAAAGTAATAAACCGGGTGACAGAGGTCACGCTTCCTAACCAAGTGCCTTTGCAAACCCAATCGCCACATGCAAAACCTCTCATAGGTTGTATTTCCTCTATAGACACGTCCTCAATATAACAAGCATCGTTACCACCAAGTAGACCCACAGTTCGTTCAATAAAAGTAACAGTCCCTTTTTCACATTCCACCAACACTCTATCTCTTTCTATCCTTCTCACTATGTCTCCAATTCTGAATATCCTTACAAGCAGAATATCATCAATACCAACTGGAACATCTTTCGGCTCGGACAGGGATAGCAGACCTTCTCCAGTGTTGAACACAACCCCCACCAGTCCACTCTCTCTCTTCTTTACTATGTCACCAGCAACCAATACAACTCCTGCACTATTCCTGTTTTTGAATAAGTCAAAACCAAGCAATTCTTCAGCATTGTCGATATCTGCTGGCCTCGTCAAATGGTTCCTCTGAGGTTGGTCCATTGAAAGCTCCACATATTCACGGATAATATCTAATTCTATAGCACTTTTACCAGTGTTAGCTAGTTGTTCAACTATTGCCTGTAATTTCTCCCCCTCACTTTCAAACTTACCCTGGTGCCTGTACAAAAAAAAGGTAAATAGCTAAGCATCATCTTGCAAATATAAATTTTCTTCGAAGATATTCCCTTTAGGTTTACAAACAATTCATATTCCATATACGGTCTGATGTAGTGAATTCAGTTTAGAGAACATTATTCTCTCCTATGATGAATTCTAAACTCTCACAAGCTTGCTTTATGCCACCTAGATATACGCAAGGCTTTTACATGCTCATCATTTAAAATATGCTACTGTGAGTGAAAGCTTGAAAATCTAGGTTACAATCTAATAGACAAGAGAGCAGCTTGGGAAAATACTTATTTTGCCTACATGTCTGTCTGACGCCTAAATGTAAGTATCTCCTTAACTATCGTAACAGATTAGTAGGTGAAGCAAATGGTCTAACTTTCACACTGTGACATTCATGAAGAAAGTAAATATATATATATATATATATATGGAGAGATGCAATACCTTTGCAACAAATTTGGAAGCCTGAGCTTCACTCTGCCACTAATCAGGCTAGAAAGGGTGTTCACCAAGGCAATTCTGCCAAGCTTGCTTTGCGGAGCCCCACCCAGACAGGACATAAGACTTTGAATCTCAGCACGGCATGCAGTTTGTAACGAGTTCTCACCACTTCCTGACTGTGCCAGTTGGCAAATAAGAGCAACCCATGGAATGCCAGTTAATTCTGGAGGTCCCTTATCTGAAAGAAGAGCCTCAACATTTGCGAGGGCATCCAAATTCTCTGCAGCCTGGTCAATTGCTCCGATAATGCCTACTGTCCTAGTGCCTATAAGCAGGGAGGAGTGATGATGGCTAATGAGTAATTTTAAGCAAACCGAAGTGATGATATCTAATGAGTAATTTTAAGCAAACCGAAGTGATGATATCTAATGAGTAATTTTAAGCAAACTGCAGTGATGATAGAAACTGAGTAATTTTAAGCAAACTGAAGTGATGATTAGCTAGTAAAGCAACAGTTACTAGTAAGTATAAAATATTAACGATGGATAAGAAAAGCCAGATCAAGATACTGATGTACGCACTCGTGATGATAGCTAATGAGTATCTTAAGCAAACTGAAGTGCGATTGGCTAGTAAAGCAACAGCAAACTAGTAAGTATAAAATATTAACAATATAAGAAAAGCCAGATCAAAGATAATGGTGTATGTACGCACGCTCTGGATCATATTCATTAGCAATCTTCAGGGCTAGGGATGATGAAATTTCAGATGCCTCGCTAGCAGGGACTATAACCAGCAGTATGGCATCATTGAGTTGCGCATACTCAGCAATCTTGCAAAGTGATCCAAGAAACAAACGACAATTTCAATAAGGACAAACATGATAATAAACATATGAGCATTTCAACATGAAATCCGATTAAAATTGTAGGAAATCTCATGTTTCATGGTTTGTCAGGTGGGGTTAAGGGGAATGAAAAAGGCATTAATCAGTTCCAAGGCTCACCATTAAATCTTCCACAAATTCCTGGTTCAGTCCAGGCAGATCAATTATTGTCAGTGGTGGAGCTGAAATATAAAGGGTAAAAGTAATATGTTATGATGATCAAAAGAAAATTTAACACTAAGACAATGCAGGTCATATGCCTTTATTTAAAGAGTCCATTAGATACAGTATTTGATACCCGACGAACTAACAGCTTTAAGCTCTAAACCAGTGCACTAGATTGTATGTGGGATGGGGGTGGCAACATATTACAGTACCAATCCACTAATATCAAAGATATATGCATCCGCCCAACTTAGGTTAGCTTTGTGCTACTTGAAAAGTGGATAAGCTTGCCAACTCAGTATTGGTGCAAGTAAAAAAGGACTTACCTGTGCTGGTACGAAGTGATAAGCGTATTTCAGATCCTTTCTCCCATGAGGCTCCATCGCTAAGCATGTCTTCTATATAATATAACGGAAATCCTACAAAGTACCCATGTAGAGCACCACAATGGTAATATTATGAGAAGATTGATCAAATCAGCCTCACATCCCATTGCTATATTGCATACGTTCATAGAAAGAGACTTACTAGCTGAACTCTTAGCGCTCGATGTGGAGTGACAAGGTCCCAGATAATTTCGTTTCTTTCTAAAGAATCTTCTCTGACCAAGTCAATTTTTATAGGAGCCTTTGTAACACCATCTTTACTCTTACCAGTCGGCTGTCCATAGAGTAAACACAACATATGTCAGTATCATTTTAAGTAAATGTATGAGCCAATAATAACAATAAGATGTACTACTTACCAGGACTAAATGCCCAATTAGACTGTTTAGTACTTCAGATTTTCCAGCTCCCTGGTTCAGTATGCAAATACAGAGGGAGATAACTTAGATCTAGACAGAATGAGTTGTTGCCACAGTTTACCAATTTCACAACACACCAGCCGCACCACTCGGTAAGATCCACTAACACTCAATTTCAAAACACACCAGCCGCACCAATCGCTAAGATTCACTAACACTCAATTTCGAAACACACCAGCCGCACCAATCGCTAAGATCCACTAACACTCATTTTGAAAACACACCAGCCGCACCACTCGCTGATGCACTAACACTCAATTTCAAAACACAAAAGCCGCACCACTCGCTAAGATTCACTAACACTAAATTTCAAAACACACCAGCCGCACCACATCAACTATAACACTCTAACACAGCAAAAAACCAAAGGGATAGAGATCAGGGAACTCACCACATTTCCTAGGGCTACGACGTTTAGAAGAGTGTCCAGGCATCTGGATTTTGAGTTCTCGTCCTGATCTTCGTCCGAGGAAAACCTGGTACCCGTATGCTTTGCGATCCGCTCGGCGTAGGACTCGGAGTATTTATGAGAATTGCCGGTCTTTTCGCGTCCGCCATTGCTCTTACTCGTGGAGAAAAAAAAAATCTCTGAAATCGTCAATAGGTTGCTCTTAATCGCGCTAGCTCTCTCTCACTCTCTACCCCTCTCCTATCTCACTCCCGTAACAAAATAAAGACGTGAAGAAGAAGAAGATTGTATACGCCCGCATCCAGAGCAGATTGAAAAGACAACTTTACCCTCATTTTTAATTAAGAGTGGTGAAAGACGATTTTGACCTTTTGTTTTGAAAAAGACGATTTTTACCTTAGTCTGAAATTTGCGATGCTTGATGAGAGAGAGAGAGACGTTTTATGAGACCCGAGAGTCTTCAACACAATTATTTGGTTATGTATAGATTAGATTAGTAACAGGATATTACATAATTTCCATTTATATATGTATTAATGATCTACGGATGCAATTGCAAATTGCAAATTATGATGAATAGACGTGACAAACAACTGATGTTGATACATACTTCCTTTACTTTATTTTATTTTATAATTACAAACCATAATATTTACGTTTTTTATCTTATAATCGATATGATGTAGTCTTCTCCATTTTAGAGATAACTCGAAATTCTTACCATGTAAGCACGAGTACGAAGCATTTAGTTTACTGGTTTTAATTGAATCAATATAAGACTAAAAAAGAATAAAAAAGGTTACTGATTTTAATTGAATCAATATAAGACTAAAAAAGAAAAATAAAGGGACACAGACTCAAATTTTTTTCTCTCTCTCTGGTATCTCCGTCTTACTCGCTATATGTGTTTCTGAGTTTAGGTTTCATTTTTGCTTTTATATGACAGAAAATCTGATTGGGAAAGGAGGATGCAATGAAGTGTACGGAGGGTTTGTAGGACTTTTCGTGGTTATTTAAGAGCTAATTAAAAATATATAATGCTGCTTCTAGTTTTAGAAGATAAAGACTAGTAGTTTTCTCTCTACTTCAAAGATAACTTCTACGGCAAGCCAAGTCTCATGCTTTTTGGAGACAACTTAGAAAAGCTCCAAGTCAAAACAACAGAAACACCTTAGAAACAAAACATGAACAAAGCATGAAGTTTAGCGAAAAGCAGAGCCTAGATATCTTGTTTTTCGTTGACACACACACACAAACAACACTCTGGGATTCAAAAGAAACCTGACAACGCGGAAATATTCTCCTAAAGTTGATGACCTCATTTCTTCGAGACCGGAGCAGGAACAGAAGATCAAAAGTCAACGTTAGACATTAGCCGGACTTGGCACTCTGTCGAAGCTTTAGTAACCATCTCGAGTTCCTTTGAGACTTCAGACAAATCTTCGTCCTCTAACGATGGGTTAAAATATAGATCCAGATGTTCGAGATTCGGCATCGTCTTCAGAAACAGCTTGACATGCTCTATATACATCATCATTTTGTCATCGAACAGAACTTTCACCACCGTCGCGGGACTATTAGTCAGGAAACTAAGTTCATGTCCCTCGAGAGATTTGCACAAACACGCGTCTACGCATCTGTGGGAAAGTCCCTGCATAAGGGCAAAGCTTTCAGTTAGTTTAGTTGAATAGAATGAAACTTTAAAAAGGTTTATTTCATACCCAGTAGCTGTTCATACCTTGAAGACGATAGTATCCAGGCTTGTACAATGCGTAAGCAGAAGACGCAGCGAATCCCATGTAGATTTCCAGCGACTGAGACTATCGATAGTCAAATGAGTCAAATTAACGAATGTAGGGATGTCTTTGCAGGAGAAGCTGATTACCTGAAACAGATCAACTAGGCCATCATTATTAAATTGCAATCATTAACTCAAGTAGTAGCACAAAAATAAAACTAAAAGAATGGAATACAAACCTCGAGAGTTGAGGCACACAAGTAGAGCTTCACAACATTCCGAATTCCCACTATAAGAGCTGTGCAATCACCGAAGTCATAGTTGTCTCCCACATAACCTTGGCTTATTATATTCCTCTCCTCCCTAGTTGTCAACCTAAGGTTGATTCTCGCTTCAACAAGAGAATCTAGATTCACCTTTGGATACTTGAGCGCGTGTATTTCAGTGTAATCCAAGTAGATGAGATATGGTGTGTCGAACGAAACGCTTGTCGGAACGGAATGGTCTTGCTCAGAAAAAAATGTAAACCTCTTGAGAGATGTAGAAGCAACAGAGAAATACTTCCACAGACACGACCATATCTGCTCCAGCTCTAACTCCTCAAGGAGTTTACAACCCGCAATAAGGTTTTCAAACCCGATTTCCTCCTTTCTGAACAGAACACGCACCAGAGAAAGTGTCTTAAGCATTGGCAGGTCGAAATCTTCTACACCAATGCTGACGAATTGGTCCTCATTCTTTATTCTCAGTGTAGCTAGTGTCTTGCTGTTGAACATATTTGATGGTAGCAAAAAGTCCAGCTCTGAGTCGCAATTCATGATCAGATTGAGATCTGATACCGCACAGTCTAGTGCTCCCAATATCCACCTAGAGACACAATGTTTAAGCGATGGATCCCCGTACTGTTTGGTCTTCAGAGAAAATCTGTTTAGCTTGGCCCCACGTCGCGTCTTCAGAGCCCTGTCTACGACATTATCAAAGGGATTTTTCTGATTACCAAGTACCATGCACCTACTGGCACCTTCTCTCGGAAGTATCTCGTTCTTTGGATCTAGACTGATATCAAAATCGAGGTTATGAGCATTAGCAAATACAAAACGCCATCTTTTCGCGAGAGCTGATGTGGAAGCAGCTTCAGTTGTGGACAGGAATGAGAAAATGTGGAAAACAACGTCGTCTGGCAAACCGCTGATCCGATCCTCTCCTTCTATCATCTTTATAATCTTCACCATGGTGAGAAAAAAATTGTAAAAGGAAACAAAATCATGAACATTAACGAACGTTGGAAACCAAACAACACCGAAACCCTAACAACAAAATCCCAAAAAGAGAAATCTAATCCCAACGAATGTACATAGCAAAAAACTCGAATCCGCCATTCTTATCGGTGGAACCCTAAAATTTATGCGTGAATACTACGACGACGAACAAGGAGAAAGCCTAACTAAAAGTACGAAGACCTAATCGCGAGTCGGAGAGGCATATATAGCCGAAGTAGAAGCAAACCTGAGAGATCAAATGGAGGAACTTGTTCTTCGATTATATGAAACTTCTCAACTCGGAGCGCGATATCGATTCTGATCGACCGGGAAGAGAAACCCGGCGAGAGAAAAAGGGGAAATTTTGACGCCAATGAGATGAGCTTGGAGATACATGCGTCAGGAATCCCCTAACCTTTTTTTTTTGTGTGTGTGATCAACGTTTTTTTTTCCCGGCAAACTGTTTATAATATTATTAATTTAAAAGAATATAATCTGAGTACAAAATGTTTGTAAGCCAATATGGAGGATAAATACAAATATACAATCCGACCAATCAACAAACGTTTAATGTTGTTTTTAACACTAAATAATACTAGATCATTCAACTATATGAACACCCTCCCCACCCCACCACCAACACACCCAAAAAATTCACTAGATATTTTGATCAATTTAAAATATGTAATATATTTTATTATTTGCTTAATTGAAATATTTAATTTATAGATCGAAATATTTAATTTATATATCGATATATTCTGATTTTTAAAAACAAAAAAAAATAGGAAATAAAAAGATTCAAATATTTTTAATGTCTTTTTCTTTCCGTCTTTTGTTTTTAACCTGTTAGTTATTTCACATTAGTAGGTCATTCTCCTCTTAGGTGGCTTGAAATATCCAATTTTTTACAATGAATTCTCTCTTTAACAAAATAGAACAAAGTGGTCTACGAAATACAGAGGTATAGAAAGATGAAGTGGTACTTAGAGAAATATATTATAAAGTATGTAAGTTACAAATCCTCAAAGACCCATATTTACAACGCCGCATTAAAAAAGAAGAAAATTTCTTAAACCTAATACAGTAGTTTAATAGTTTAGAGAACGACCGGTTTGAAAATTTATTTGAAATAAACAAACAAAACATGGGTGGTTTTAGCCATTTGCAAAGTGTTCTTGTAAGTTGTAACTTGTCACACACATTAGGGATGAAAATGATTTGAAATTTTTTTGGCATGTATTTCAGATCCATATTTAAAATTTGATTAAGATCTCTATTGTCCTGAATGAAATTGAAAAAAAAAAGACAAAAAAGCGAATTCGTCAGCTGAAACACACGAATTCGTAGTTGCACTACGCTAAAGTGTTTTTTTAGGGTTTCTTGATGGAGACGCAAGTGTTGGTTATCAACTATTCAACTGATGACATCTTTAAATAAGTCAAAGTTGGATTATCACACCACCATCCATCCTCTTTTCAGTGCCAATTGTTTGTCTAAACTGTGTAGACAGTTTCTGATAGAGAAAATCGCATAAATAACTTTTAAAATGACACCTATTGTACTTTACACTTTAAATCTTGAGAGTATTTCGCTCATACTTTAATCTTCAAATTAAAATTATTCTCACAAAAAACCTTCAAATTGAATCTTGAGTACACACTATCAAAATATTTAATGGACTTATTCATTTTCCGTTATAAATAACGATGTGGCATTAATATTTTTTCTAGTACTAAATTAATTTGTAGTAATTATTTTATTGTTTATTATAAATTTTATAATTAATAAATCTTAAAAAAAAATAGACAAGAAAAAAAAACGAAGATTTCTTCTTCGTCCTCCTTTCTATCTCTCGCGTTGAAGATGTTAACCATCGATTTACTCGTTTATCTCTTTGGGTTATTAATTTGGATCTAGATTTGCAGAAGTGGGTTAGATTAAACGAATCTTGATTCATCTCTAGTTTTGACCGGACAATATCTGGATTCTGCAAAATAAGGGATTTGAAATTCATTTCATTCAAATTACAATCGAATCCAAGGAAGAATCTTAGAGAAACCCAAGGAGGTCTCCTCGACAGTCTTGCTCCGGTAAGGACCCAAGGGTTGATTCGCAGTCGTGGAGGATCCAACCCGGATTGAGTTTGCAGTCCCGGAGAGGAATGTGGGTAAACAAGGCCCAATGTCAAAACAGGAAGAAGGCCCAAGAGCGAAGCCCAACACAGATCATTCAAATCGGATGCTCTCTGCATCTGTACTTGCAAAAGACGTCATACAAGCTAAAGAGACGCTCCTCCTGCAGAACCAATTTGATGCTCTTAATTATGTGTATAACAGCTAAGCTGCTTTACAGCTCATGTAGATAAGTCCAAACTAGGATCTAGATTGTTCTAAGACTAGTATATATGGCTCTTAAGCCTCACTTGTAAAGCTTGAGGATATAAGATTATCATTTTCAAGAACACAAATTTCTCTCCCTTTCACAAGGAACATTGAATCTGGAAATTAGAGTGGCCGCATCTCGGAAAGTAGACAATGCGAACGGTGGAGAGGAATCAAGCGACGAACAATTAAACGGCGAACGATATTTTTTGGCTTTTAACATCGATTCATGTTGGCTTCATTGTAATCCCACTCAAGCACTGCAATCTCTACGAATAGAACGAAATGGCACAATAGAATTAGAAGGAGCTTTCTAGGTGACTATTGGAAGTTTTAATTGATTTGTGGTCTCCGAAAATCTTTGGTGATTTTCTACGGAAACAAAGTATATCAATTGGAGGTACCGTCCAATGACGCGATAATATGGAGCATAATGTCTTCACCAGTAGGAATCGCCGGTGACGGAAGAAGTGGTGGTGATTGGATCTTGTGTGCCGCTGGCCGATTACATCTTCAACGAGAGAGATATGGACTGAGGAAGAAGATGATTATTTTTTTTAACTAAAATAAATAATAAGACAATTATTAAAAATCAATTTTATCAGTAGAAAAAAATTAATAATGCCACATCATTATTTATAACAGGAAATGAACAAGTCTGTTAAATGTTTTGACGGTGCATACTAAATATCCAATTTGAAGGTTTTTTGTGAGCAGAGTTTTAATTTGAAGGTTAAATGTGTAAGTGAAATATTCTCAAGATTTAAAGTGTATATATGTGTTACTTTGGAGGTTCTTTTATGCGATTTTCCCGTTTCTGATACAATTGTCGAGAAACATCATGAGTCATTTCTGCGGTAAAGGTCTCCCACCTTTCGCAGTTCCAAAGATATATGATCTCGCCATTAACACCGACCTGCTCGCCGGAAAGTTCACCGGAACAGTGGCAATTGAAGTAGATATACTGGAGAAGACGTGATTCATAGTTTTGAATGCGGTTGACTCCAATTCGGTTTCCTTCATACCTGAGATAAAGCCGGAGGTATCTACAGCTCTTCCGTTCTCTATTTACCCTCTTGATTTGATATTTCCGTAGGTGAGAAATTAGCGCCATATAGATATGAAATCTTCAACAGTTTCTCTTGGTGCTTTTTACTTCTTAGGTTTCGTTTATGAAAATAATAAAAGAAAACGGGTGTCCACGAAACCGGATAAAAGAAACAGAGTATCAACGTTCTTAAAACGCGGATCCTCGTCTCACCTGCAAAAGAACTCTCGAAGAAGAAGGAGTTCTTCAGCTACAGCGAGCAACGAACAAACAGAGAGAATATAGGAGAGAGAAAAAGTACTTTTGATTTCCGAATGATCCTCCGAAAGGTTTGTTACAACACCATATAGGAAAAAGGTGTACTCTCCTACCCGAAAACGACAAACAGAATTTTAATAAAAGGAAACAGAATTTAATGAAAAGGAAAATGATGTGGCTTCTCTTCAATTGAAACCCTCTGATAGACGTAGAGGCTTGTCCTGTATCAAATCTCCCCTCCTTAGAAAACCTTGTCCTCAAGGTTTGAACTCAGGAAACTTCTGCTGCAACTCGTATAGATACTCCCAAGTGGCTTCTTCCTCTGCCTGATGAGTCCACTTAACCAAGACCATAGTTGCAGCTCTACCTTGTCGTTTAACCATCTTTCGTTCAAGTATCTTTTCAGGTTCCTTACTCAACACATCAGACAAACTATTAGGGAGTTGAGTAGAAACAAACACGTTACCTCCAATTCTCAACTTCAACTGGGAGATGTGGAACACTGTATAAATGTGAGATGATTCGGGCAACTCCAACTTATAGGCCACCTTACCACAGCGATCAAGAACCTTGTAGGGACCAAAGAACTTAGGAGAAAGCTTGTTGTTTGCACGCACCACTACTGACTGCTGTCTGTAAGGTTGCAATTTCACGTACACATAATCTCCAATCTCCAATTTTCTATCTGTCCGATGTTGATCAGCCATTTGCTTCATTCTGTGTTGAGCACGCAATAAGTGAAACTGCAGGATGAGCAACATGTTTTCCCTTTCCTGCAAACTCTTGGCAACAGTTGCGACCTTAGATTCACCAGGTAAGTATGGAAGGTGCTGTGGAGGAGCTTGACCATAAACGGCTTCATACGGAGTCATTTGAGTAGCTGAGTGAAAGTTAGTGTTGTACCAAAACTCTGCCAGGGGAAGCCATTTACTCCATAAGTACGGGCGATCACTGCACATACACCTGAGATAGCCTTCAAGACAGCGGTTCACAACCTCAGTCTGGCCATCACTCTGAGGGTGATACGCCGTAGACATCTGCAATGTAACACCCTGGAGACTGAAAAACTCTCTCCAAAAGTCACTGACAAACACGGTGTCACAGTCACTAACAATGGATTGAGAAAATCCGTGTAGTTTAAACACGTTATCCAAGAAAGCCTGTGCGACAGAAGCAGCAGTGTAGGGATGAGAGAGGGCTATGAAATGTGCAGCCTTGCTTAACCGGTCAACCACCACCAGTATCACCGATTTGCCAAAAGACATTGGGAGGCCCTTAATGAAATCAAGCGAGATGTCTGTCCAGATAGTTTGAGGAATTGGCAATGGTTGAAGTAGACCAGGAGAAGCAGCTGTGTCTACTTTACATTGCTGACAAATATCACAGTTACGGATGAAAAACTGTATGTCCTTAGCCATGCCTTTCCAGTAGAAAAGCCCTTTAACCCTTTAAACTGTTACATCTCTCCCTGAATCACCACCACTTCCAGAGCTGTGTAACCACTGCAGGATGGTAGTGCGAAGAGCCGAGTCTTGAGGAACCACAATCTTACTCTTCCGACGCAACACATTTTGAGTCCAAGAGTAATGTTTACGAGCTGTAGGATTGTTTTTGAGGTCAGCAATTAGACTCTTGACCGCCAGATCCTTATCATAACAGTCTTGGATCTGTTTCATCAGGTCGCATTCCATCACTGACATCGCCATGTGTAAGATTTCAGTTCCATCAACACGTGACAGAGCGTCTGCAGCTAAGTTCTCCTTCCTTTGTCGGTACTGAATCTCATAGTCAAATTCCAGAAGCTTTGGCAACCATTGTTTCTGTATAGGTGTGTTTAAACGTTGCTATAGAAGATACTTAAGACTCCTCTGGTCCGTCTTGATGACAAAGTGTCCGGATAAGAGATAATGCCTCCACTTCTGCACATCAAACACCACCGAAAGTAACTCTTTTTCGTAAATAAAGAGTGTCAACTGTTTGCCCTTTAGGTGACGGCTGATGTAAGCGAGAGGATGTCCCTCTTGCATCAAAACGGCCCCAATGCCGTGGCTACACGCATCTGTTTCCACTACAAACGGTTTATCGAACTGAGGAAGAGCCAAGAAAGGGGTATTGCAGAGAGCCTTCTTTAGTTCTTCAAAGGCCAACTGTGCTTCATCAGACCAGGTGAACGCATCCTTTTTAGTCAGAGATGTTAAGGGCCGAGCTAATGAGCCAAAGTTACGTACAAAGCGTCTGTAATAACCACACAAGCCAAGAAACCCACGCAACTGTTTAAGTTTTGTGGAACTGGCCACTCTGCAACTGCTTTCACCTTGTGTGGATCAGTAGATATTCCTCCTGCTTCAATGAAGTGACCCAGATACTCAACCTTCTTCGTAGCAAAACAACATTTTCTCCTCTTAGCGAACAGCCTGTTCTTCCTCATAACAGCAAATACTTGTTGTAAATGCAGAACATGTTGATCCATGGTAGGGCTATAAATTAATATATCATCGAAGAAGATCAAGACGAATTTGCGCAAAAACTGTTGAAACATTGCATTCATAAGACCCTAGAACGTAGCTGGTGCGTTCGTTAAGCCAAATGGCATCACCAGATACTCATAGTGGCCTGAATGTGTCTTGAAGGCGGTCTTGTGAATGTCAGCCTCAGCCATCCAGACTTGGTGGTACCCCGCCCTTAAATCGATCTTGGAATAGATTGTGGAGCCTCCTAACTCATCCATCAAATCTTCGATTAAGGGAATAGGGAAACGGTCTTTAACCGTCATGCTGTTAAGACCACGGTAATCGACACAAAGGCGCCATGTGCCGTCTTTATTTTTGACCAAAACAACTGGCGAAGCAAAGGAACTGGAACTATCACGGATGGTTCCTGCAGTTAACAACTCCTTGACCAGTTTGTCGATCTCGTTCTTTTGGTGTATTGCATACCGATAAGGTCTTTGGTTCACTGGATTGGAACCTTCCAATAAGGGGATGACATGATCGTGTTGTGGACGAGAGGGTGGTAGAGATGTTGGTTCTTCGAATATGTCACCAAACTCTTGCAGAACTCCTGAAACTGCAGAGGAATCAACGGTTTCAATGTCCCCAACTTTAAAGAGCAAAACATAATTCCATCCTCCTCCATTTGGTCCTGTACATAGATCATTGTAAGCTCTGCAGACTCTTCTTTAAGTTTGTTGATCTTAGCCGCTTTGACCTCACGTACTGAACCTTTTTTAACCCCGTGAAGCAACACCTTCCAATTTTCCCATTTAAAACTCATTTCCAGTTTCCTGAAATCCCAAGTAATGGGACCAAGTCTCTCGAGCCACTGAACACCGAGTACCATATCACAATTTCCCAGAGGTAAAATCATGACATCATCGACAAAGTCAGTGCCCCCAAAATGCCTTGAGAACTTGTTGATCTGAGAACTCACTCCCAGCTTGGCACCATCAGCTACAATAACACGTCTGATACCAGTGGGTTCCATTTTACACCCCATCTGTTTTGCCACCAAGGGATCCATGAAATTGTGAGTGGATCCGGAGTCAATCAAGATAAACAAAGTTTGTTTGTCATGAGTTCCTTTGACACGCATGGTTTGTGGCCCAGCAACGCCTGTAAGAGCGGCCACTGATATCTGAGCCACCTCACAGTCCTCATCATCGACTGTTTGTTCCACCTCACCACCATCGGTATCGAGTACAGTTTCTGCCTCTTCCTCTTCAGCTTCCAACATGTACAGCTGAACCTTTCGATGCTTGAGGTGATGGCCTGGGGTAAACTTTTCATCGCAGAAAAAACAGAGACCCTCTGCACGCCGTCGTGCCATTTCTTCTGTTGATAAGAGTTTACGAGGTGCGTCCGTCGTGGGTTTGCCCTTGTCGCCCTGTAACGTTTGTGGAGGGGGCTTTCTAAAGGGAAGAATGCCCTTGTTAATGTTTGGAGAGCGGTTGGGTGACCAAGACGTCGAAGACGGTTTGGCAGGGTGGGCTTTTTCGTATAAGCGACCCAACAACAAGCACTGATGCACAGACCTCGGTTGAAACATCCGCACGTGCATCTGAGTATCAGTCCGTACGCCCGTGTCAAATAGTCTTCTGAGAGTTTGACTCGGTTTCGAATCCGCTCAAAACGCCTATGGTACTCAGCGATACCCTCAGTCTCCTGCAGGTTTTTAAACTCGGCGATCGGATCGTCAAACACTTCAGCAAATCTTTCATGCAACAGGGTTTTATAACTCGGCCAATCATAAGGCAACTCGGTTCCTGACTCGTCTTCAACCAACGATTGATGCCATTCCGCAGCATCTCCTTCGAAATGGATTGATGAGAGGTTTATCTTAAGATCTTCAGGTGTATGATCGATCAAGAAAAACTGTTCAACCTTGAACAACCATTCTTTGAGCCGATCTCCATTGAAACGCGGAAAATCGAGCTTAGCTAGGCGCGTAACACCGGAATAGTTGTTTTGAGGTCCAGATCTGCCACGACCGTGTTCCGGTGATGTTCCACCGTTACCCGGACCAGATGAGGAAGCGTTGTGTTGCTTTCCGTGTGAACGATCATAACTTAGGGTAGATCCGTCACGATTCGCAGTAAGGAGGTGAATCGCGTCGAACATATCCTTCAGCCCTTTATCGATCTTCTCGTTCAGAGTACCCTCCAGCTCAGTGATGCGAGACCCAAGCGTCTCATCGACCTCACGCATCGCAGACTCCTTCAACAAGGTTTGAGCTCGTGTTCCGTCAGCCATAACGTCCGAGAGTCGTACGGCTCTGATACCTTTGATAAAGGAAAACGGGTGTCCACGAAACCGGATAAAAGAAACAGAGTATCAACGTTCTTAAAACGCGGATCCTCGTCTCACCTGCAAAAGAACTCTCGAAGAAGAAAGAGTTCTTCAGCTACAGCGAGCAACGAACAAACAGAGAGAATATAGGAGAGAGAAATAGTACTTTTGATTTCCGAATGATCCTCCGAAAGATTTGTTACAACACCATATAGGAAAAAGGTGTACTCTCCTACCCGAAAACGACAAACAAAATTTTAATAAAAGGATACAGAATTTAATGAAAAAGAAAATGACGTGGCTTCTCTTCAATTGAAACCCTCTAATGGACATAGAGGCTTGTCCTGTATCAGAAAATCTAGGGTTTTGAGTTCACAGATGCAGTATGTTTCCTACGAACGCTTCGATCCATTTTTTTTTCTATCGCGCTTTTTCTTTTGCTTTGTTTGGTGATGATATGTATTCGGATTTCGATAGTGTGATAGGAGTTACGGTTTTGATTTGATTCGATGATTAATTAGAGCATGTACATCAGGGGATCAAGAGAGGTTCATGGCACAGTTTTTGAGACAAAAGAGCTTAATTTTAAAGAGACAGTATCATCCGACGAACCTGAAGAGACGGTATCATCCGAAATGGAACATTCTGATTGGTCAAAAATTATAATTTTTGAATTAAATAAAAAAAAATTAAAACAAAAAAAAGATATATTATTATATTCTGATGAACCCCTCTCTATAAATATGGTACACTGATGTACATGCTCTTAGGCATATATAGATATGGTATTATACTAGTATAGAAAGTGTATATATTACTAGTTATTGTAATTCCTGTAATTAAGTCTCCTTTATTGCTGTATATTCTCGTCCTTCAGTTGTCTACTCTCTGTAAATAAGCAGAGCTTTGCTCATCAATAATTTCATCAGTTTCCCTAATCTAATATATGGGACCAGCAACAGTTTACATATCTCTTTATGTTTTTTCATCTTAGGTTTCCCTTCTGCGAATCACGACATTTGAGGCGGATGAGATTATAGTGTTGGAATTTTGTGAGTATATACCCATTGGAATGGGAATTCTAGAACTGGGATTTAGCGGAGTTCTGAATGACGGAAAAGGATTTTGCAGAAGGTTCGAAATCATGTTTCTATTTCTGAAGAAGTAGAAGTTTACAAAAATAAGGATTCAATCTCGAACTATCTTGCTTTCTCTTGGTGTTCAGCACCTATGAGCACAATGGTGAAAAGAAGTATATAGGAGTTACCCAATTTGAACCAGGTGATGCCAGGAGGTGCTTCCCATGCTGGGATGAACCTGGTTACAAGGTATTAATCTGTTCTTTCTCTTGCTATCAGCCTGAGTCTATAACAGTGGATTTTGTTTTTCTCCGTCTTTGTCTGTCCATATTTGACTTCTTGTTCTACAGGCTACCTTCAAGATAACACTAGAGGTGTCACCTGATTTAGTGGCTCTCTCCAATATGCCCGCCCTGGAGGAGAAAGTTACTGGGAATCTGAAGATTGTCTCCTACCAAGAGTCACCAATTATGTCTACATTTTTGGTAGCAATTGTTGTTGGCTTGTTTGACTACGTGGAACATCAGACACCCGGTGGTAAAATTCATTTTAACTTTTCCTATTTCCCGTCCAGTTAATTTTAGAAGCTCTAAACAAATGTCGTTTTTCTCAGGAATTTTAGAAGCTCGAAGCAAATGTCGTTTTTCTCAGGGATTAAAGTCAGAGTATACAGTCAAGTGGGCAAAGCCGACCACGGGAAATTTGCATTGCATGTTGGTGCAAAGACGTTGGATCTGTTCAAAGAGTAGGTCCTTCGTTCCACACTGAAACTTAACAAGCATGCATAATTCTGGACTTCTTTTGCTGGCTGTTTCATGGCCATCCTTGTACATTTAGGCTTGTACTGATAGCAGGATGAGTAATTTTGATTATATTTTCTGAGGGATTTAACATGCTTAGGCGTGTATAAATGTCCAGGAACCGTTGTTGAACGCTTCAACAATGTCTGGTAATGCTGAGAACAATGTCGATTCTAATCAGTTTGCTGCTATCCTTGGGAATCAGATCGAGGTCTCTAGGCATATGGTCTCTTCACAGTAGACTTTTGTATCTTTAAGCTATTTCAATGTGATGAAGTTTCTCTAGCCTAATCTTGTGGATTTTCTTTTTGGTTCAGCAATCACTTTCCCATGGGAATAAGAACACAACCACCCTGTAAGTGGGAATCCGGTTTCCTGTTTCCCTAGGTTCTTAAACTTAGTTGAGGAGTAACACGTCCTTTAATTCTCAGTAAGGGTGGCTTGGTATACTTGTTATCTGTTTATAGATGATCTCTTTTGTCTTTTATGAAGGTCTCCGGGTGATGATCCGATGCTTGTTGCTGCTCCTGAGGCCTCTCAAATGAACCAGTTCTTACAAATACTAGGCATGTATTGCAATCCAGAATACACAGAACAGGTAACGTCTGGATTATTATGATTTTAGGCTTTGTTGTTTACTTGTATATTGATGATATGTTTTTAATATATCTTCCAATTTCTAGATCAGGAGTCTCAACCAAGAATTCCAAAGCATGACTCTGAAGCCAGAGTTCCTTCGTCTGCTGCAATCTCCAGAGGCAATGCAGGTGTGTTCAGCCTCCATACATCTGCCTCTGCTGTCTTTATGCACGTGGTCTCTTCATAGTAGACATTTTTACCTTTAAGTTGTTTCAATATGATGAAGTTTCTTCAGCCTAATGTTTTGGAGTCTTTTTTGTCCGTAGCAAATGGTGACTCTGCAGGAAGCACTTTTCTCTGGGTATTGGCATACAACCAGCCGGTAAGTGGGAATCTGCTTTGCTGTTTTTTAGGTTTTTAAACTTAGTTGAGGAGTAACACGTCCTTTAATTCTCGGCTGCATGCTCAAGTGGTCTTGTGAATAGCTAAATAATTGTTAGCAATTAAACTTTTCACTAGAGAAGGGAGTGAATCGTGACTAATGTGGTGCAAATACTAGGATGGGTTTGGAATCATTAGTAAACTTTCAAAGACTGGAAGTGTTGTAATGGTTGAAGTAAACTTGAACATCGACAAAGGATGACCTTGTATATTGTTCTCTGTTTCCTTCGTCATCATTACCATATTTTTTTAATCACTATATTTTTTAGCTGATTACAAATCTCGTTTGTATTTTATGAAGGGCTCGGGAGCAACCTGGTGCTACCACAGGTACTCTTGGAATTTATATACTAATTGTGTCTCCGCAATTCATAGGCCTTAGTGAGATCTCTTAGTCTATCTCTTTATGTGCTTTCACGGTACTAGTCAATTGTATGTTGTCTTTGCACATATATTTTCTTACCGTATTTTCATGTGCAATTAAATCGACTGAGTTTTATTACCATGCAATGTTTCAGGCACAGGAGACAATGCAGAGCTTGAGGAAATGGAGATATGTGCACATGATGTTGTGATGAATAAAATAACAGGAGCAGTTGGAGTTGTGAGCCCCGACAAACTCTATGTCCTCCCGATTGCTGAAATAACCCCAGAAAAACTTCGAAAAGAGGAGGTACTCCTTGTATCGAGAAATTTCCGGCACGGGCAGACTGTTTGTTCTGTAACAGAGAAAAGGAAGCTAGGACTTATACTTGACATAGAAATGAAGGTTGACTTAGCATCTTCTACAGGTGATATAGTTCACAGTGGCATAAGAACAGCGGGTTTAGAACGGATTAGAAGTTTATTTGAGGATGATCTGGTGATCTATGGCTCATGGTTAGGGCAAGTGGAAGGTGTACAACTGGGCATAGACGTCAGGTTTGAAAACGGTGAAAAACTTACCAATTTAGATCCTGATCCAAAGAGGCTTGTCCCTATCTTCACAAACGCAGTAGAGGCCGTCAAAAATGAGCCCTACTATAGGGGCCAAGCCGTGATGCTTGATGAAGAAGAAAGAGGCATTGTGGTGCGACATAGAGTGAACACGGGAGTGTATGTGAGTTGGGTCCACTCATCTGAGCCAGGACTTAGGGAACCACCTCAACGGCTTATGTCTAGGGAGTTAGACCGGTTCCACAACACAAGCTTCAGTGAAGGTTCTTGGGAAGTCGGTGACAGATGTGTTTTGGATGGACAAGACTACTTAGTTGCTAACATGCGGTCAAAGGTTAAAGTTCAATGGCAAGACGGGATGGTTGAAGTAGTGGATGGCAGAAAGGTGGTTCCCGTGGAGAGTAAAAACGAATTTTTCAGCGGAGCATTTGTTTGGAAGAGGAAACAAAGGAAAGTAGAGGGAGTAGTGAGGACTGTTGAAAAGAATGTTGCTTGGGTGAGATGGTTAAGCAACGAACCCAAGCAACCAGAGCTGTTGCACTCATTTGAATTAAAGCCTCATAAAATCTACGCCTTTAAGGTCTCAGAGGTTGTAGCTCAGGTTTTAGACATTGGCGTTTACCAACCTCGTAGGCGTGGATTCGTTATTGGTCTGAATGATGGCCGAATCCAAGTAAAGTGGGATGATGATTCCGTCTCAATGGTTGGCCCTAAAGACATTGAAACTTTGTTTGAGGATGATAACTCTGATTCCCCTGACGATGATGATGCTAATGAAGGTGCTTCCAACGATGAAAGAGATTCTTCCGATGATGATGAATCATCTCGTCATCTTGTACCCAGGCTGCTTGGACCTGTTTCCAGTGATGATGATTATTCTTCCAGTGATGATGATTCCACCGAAGGTGCTTATATAATGTCATCTACTCCTCCTTGGGAGAACAATGAACCTGTTTCCAGTGATGATGATTCCACTGAAGGTGCTTCCAACGATGAAGGTGCTTCTAACGATGAAGGTGATTCTGGTGATGATGAATCTTCTAGTCATCCTTCCAATGATGATGATTCTTCTGGTGACAATGTCACAGACGAAGAACCAGTGCTTTAAAAGTGAACTTCAGCTTCAGGAAAACAGAGTTTTTAGTGATGCTAATTGCTTTTCTAGTGTTCTTATTTTCCTTACTGTCCTATTGATATTTGTTGCACAAGAACTTTCTCGTCGATTAGTAATGCCTGTCAGACAGCTGTTTGTAATAACTCTCTCTGTTCAGTGTAATCATGGTAGTTCTTTTTTCTTTTTTTGGGTTTTAAGATATAATGTTTGTGCTGCAGCAAAGTTAGAAACAGATGTCCCTCATGCACATTACCCATCTGTTACATCCGATGCAGAGCAATTGAAAATACTAGAGATCAAGTCTCGTGCCCATATTCGAAATACGGGCGTTATCTGGTTTAACTCAATTTTAATTTAGATCGGTTTCATTTCTATTTAAGTCAACTTGAGTGTTTTGTTTGACTTTGGTAAAATTTGGTTTGACCTTTGGTTAATGTCCAATTTCGGTTTAATACCGATTTGATTTGATTTAATAAGTTTCAAATAATTTCATATTATACTCGGTTTAATCTGATTTTGAATTAATTCCGGTTTATTTTGGTTTAAGATCGGCTGAATCCAATTTGAGGTTTGATTCCGGTTATGTTTTTTTATACTTAAATCCGGATAGTTGAACCTTGATATTGATTTCGTTTGATTTGACCAGGTCATTTAGAAACATGTTTGTTTAGCAAACCAATTTGATTTTTTTAAATTAAACACTAGCTAGACTGAATCTGTTTAGTGTGATTAAGTTCGGTTTAGTCCGATTGGAATCGGTTTAAAGTTCAGTTGTTGAGGATTGATACCAGGGGCGGAGGCACTCGTATTGAGGTGGGGGCAGTTGCCCTAGTGGATTTGATTGCTTTATATAAATTTCAAAAGACTGAATTTACTGCCCCCATTAAATATAAGAGTTATGCCTCCATAGTCTTTTTCGTTTGAACATTTAAAAAAGATGTTACTGACATAATAAATCTGAATAGAGTCAAATCTTCATTAACTTAGTAGTTAATATACATTGTTAGAGTCAAATAATTAAAATGTTAGAAACTAGATGTCAAAGCATCATTTTATTTTTATTTTTTGGTTAACATCATTCAAAAATTAATTTTACTCAAACATTTTTGATGAGCTTAATACATAAACTATGTCTAGTAAACAATATAAAATAACTAAATCCAACATTAGAAAGTCTTTCTTTATAAATAGCCCTCAAAATTTATAAAAAAAATTATCTGATTTTATGTTCTAAAATTTTTTAAACCAACTAAATCTTAGAGAATTCTATTGTTTTCAGCTTTCTTTTTTTTCATAAGATTAGACAAATTCATTATTCTATAATATATTCAGTAAACCGATTATATAACTCCAAAATATTATAATGTTATTTTAAAAGTATTTTTTAGAGACTTTTATCTTTAATGTTTTTGTTAAATGTTATTCTGTAAATCATAAAAAAATGTTATTATATGTCTCCAATCAAAAAAATTTCTAAATCTGTCATTGATTGACTGATACTGTAGAATAAGTATGTTGGTTACGTGTTCAATTCATTTAAGAGTACTATCAAAAGTAGGATATTAATTAGTTCTATCTAAAACAGGGTCCAATAAGTAAAATTTGAAAATGATAACAGGTGTGTATTATATGATCGGTGAAGACAAAAATTGCATAAAAATATTGAATAATTATAAAGAAGCAGTCCCACCAAATATCGGGAAAGTGTTGATAGTGGAATCTGTGATTATAAAGAATGTTAAACACTAGGTTGGTCGTATAGTATTCAGAAATAGAAATAGTGCAAGTCATATTCAGAAAGAGAGGAGAGATGAGAGACCATTCCTTTGCACACTCAAGAATTGTCTCATAGAATTCATTATCAGATTTAAGTCACCTAGAAACATTATGCTTTAAGACCAATGATCCTTTTCCACGGACGAGAACACAGAGTTCTAGCTAAAGCGATTTCTATAGGAAGTATTCTCTACTCGTATTTTAAATTTGGACATGATACTCTTATTGATTTCATAAATCTGCTCAATTCTTGCACTGATCCATTTTCTAAATTGGTAAATTCATTTAAACTTTTACTATCCTATTTAGTTAATTGTCAATTCTCAATCCTTTACTATTCGTACCATTAGCTAATTAGGTAAATTTTCCATCTTTACATTAAGCTCTAGGATTGATTGACAAAATTATCTCTCTCATCAACATATCTCTAATATCTGTCAAGCGGTTCATGGTCTTCACTTTAATATGTAGGCCGTGTTCAAAATCTTCTTATTCCTTCTCCTCCTCCTCCTCCTCTTCCTCTTGCTATGTTCCATAAACAATCATCATTTCCATCGTTTTTTCTATGTTCCTGACGAAATCATTGCTAATTGCTTAACATGTCTCTCCAAATCACATAACATATTAAACTAATATGTCATGTGTCAATCACGTTATTAATTATTAACAAAAAATTTATAGTATTTTTGATTTTAGTATACAGTTTTGGTAAAATTAGTCATATTTTATTATTTCATATAAAAAAATTAAATTATAATATAATTTGTATAATTTTTGACATAAATCAAAACTTTATGTATGAGTAATTAATAATTTCAAAGTCTATAGGGAAATATGTAGTTTTCTCGTGTTTACAATAAATTTTTGGATTAACAAAATACGTCTGTAACAGCCGCCCCTCAGAAAGAAATAAAAAACTAAGATGACGAATCCTATATTTATCTTACCTGCTTCTTAACCCTAAAAGCATAGTAACCACCACCACAGCCGCCTCGGCCGAGAAAAAACAACTGATGACGAATCCTCCTCCTCTTTCTATGTCGTTTTCTTCTGTTCCAAATGAAATAATTGCTAATTGCTTAGCCCGTATCTCCAAATCTCACTACCGTTCTCTCAGCTCAGTCTCCAAGAGTTTCTACTCTCTCCTTTCTTCTCCAGAGATCTACGCGGCTCGATTCCAGATCGGAGCGACAGAGCCTCGCCTCTATATATGTCTACGGTTACCGAGGGACACCCATCATCGCTGGTTCAATCTCATGAATCCTGATCAAGCCCTAATCAGCAACGGCGGTGAGATTAAGAGTGAGTTGAGCTTAGTACCGGTAAAACAAAAACTCTCTTCCTCTTATGCTTATGCTCCGTCAAACGCAACCATTGTAGCCGTCGGTTCCGAAATCTACCAAATCGGCAAAAGCAAAGAGGACAAGCGTTCCAGATCCGTTCGTGTGCTTGACTGTCGGAGCCACACTCTGCGTCGTGCTCCTAAGATGACGGTGGCAAGGAAAGGCGCCAAGTCTTGCTTTTTAGACGGGAAGATATATGTGATTGGAGGATGCAGGAAGAGAGAGGAACCCATGAGTTGGGGTGAGGTTTTCGACATAAAGACTCAGACTTGGAAGCTATTGCCTAGCCCTAGTGGTCATGGATTCCATCCGAAACATAAAGTTGTAGTTTTTGGAGCAAGGCTATACGTTGTCACCAAGCAGAACAAGTATGTCTATGATCCCAAGGAAAGAAGATGGCTTTTAGAGATGGGGTTGGTGGGTCTAGAACGTCTAGTATCAGGTAATAGACCTTGGTGCGTTATAGAAAATGTATTGTTTAGTCATTATTGCGGTAAGTTATGGTGGTATGAATTGAGCCGTGGAGAGTGGTTAATGGTTGAGGGTTTGGGAGATCTGTACACTAAGCGTGCTGATGTCTACCGTACGATTCAATTAGTTAACCATGGTGGGAAACTGGTAATTATATGGCACGAGTGGATTGACATGGTACGGAGGAAGAATAATGGGTTTGAGCGTTATCTTGGCATCAAAGGAAAGAGAACTTGTTGTGCGGTGATTAGGTTGGAGAAGCGTCTGAGTTCTTCAGGATCGGAGGAGATTTTGGGGGAGATTGAACGGTTGAATGTTGTTGTGCCTACTCTCCCCAGGTCATACGATGTCTTGACCTGTCTATCCGTCTCGCTTTGATTATCATCGAATGTGGAAAATCATCTCTTGCTTTCAACAATTCTAATTTATGTTGCGATTTTTCACTTTGAGTTTTCTTTCACTTTGTTTTGTAAGATTTCTTGTTAATATATGTTGTTGATGATGATGATGACGACTGATGGCAAAGGCAAAGGCAATGAGGCAACCATAACAATCAAACATACCGATAATAACCAGAAATGATTCAAGCCATTTTGTAAGAGATGAATGACCTGTTATAGCTAACAAATGTTGTTAACGTGTTTGAGCCAATATGTAATAGGCAAGTAAGAGAGACATGTTGCAATTTAAGATTTTGAGATTGGGTCAAGTGACAAAATTACATAATTTACCACATTGAGATCAATAAAAGAGTCAGTAATGTATGGGATCAGTAGAACTCGTACAAAATTGACATGTAAACTGATCAGTCAACGCTGCAATTGTTAGTGTTACGGTAAGGCTAAAGCAGAGACAGTCCCTAAAGCTCCTGTGTCAATACCGAACCCAGCTACTAGCAGAAATTCAAGTTGACATAAAGGAGATCAAATTTGTTTTTGTCAACAAGAGCTCTTAGAGAACCTTATTAGGCATTTATATAGTATTAGCGAGTTAACAAAAGAAAAAGAACCGCATCTTTTTGAGCGAATTGTGAATTCAAGTAGAGATAGAGATCTCTAGACACCTAACTAAAATAAAATAAAATCAAAGCTCGAATATAGATCAAACACATACAAACCGAAATAGAAAAAAACAAAGATAAATTAAAAAAAAAATTGTTACAAAATAGCTTTGGCATAAGCATGGTTGCTTCAAGCGCATCCTATTAGAAATGATACAATACCCAAATAATATATATGTTGAAAGCAAAGATGAGTTTCAGACCGAAACTGATAGACAGGACAAGAGCTTATATTTGGGAACTGTAGGCACAACAACATTGCAACATTCAAGCTCCCCCCAAATCTCCTCCGACCCAGAAGAACTCAGACGCTTCTCCAACCTAATCACCGCACACCAAATTCTCATGTATTGGGTGCGAATTTGCCCCCAACAATTAATCGTCATCAACTCCTCGTGCAATAGAATTACCAGTTTGCCACTATAGTTAACTAGTTGAATCGTACGGTTCTTACGAGGATGTTTCGCATACAGAATATCCAAATTCTTAACCACTGACCACATTCCAGGCCTAGAGTCATACCACTTGTACTTACCGCCATGAGCAGCAAACACCACGTTTTCTATAACGCAAAAAGGTCTGGATATTATAGGTTCTTCAAGACCCGCAAAACCCATCTCTAGTAGCCATCTTCCTTCTTTCGGATCATATGCATACTTGTCATGCTTGGTGATAACGTATAGCCTTCCCCCCAAAACTACAACTTCGTGATCACTCGGATCGAGTCCATTATTATCACTAGGGCTAGACAATGGCTTCCAAGTCTGAGTCTTTATGTCGAGGACTTCACCCCAAATCATGGATCTCTTTCTCTTCCTGCATCCTCCAATCACATATATCTTCCCGTCTAAAAAGCAAGACTTGGCGCCTTTCCTTGCCACTAACAGAGCTGGTGCACGACGCCACGTGTGATTCCGACAATCGAGCACACGAACGGCTATGGTTAGCTTGTTGGCGACGGTTCCGCCGATTTTGTAAATTTCAAAACCGACAGTGACAGTGGTTGAGTCTAATCCAACGGGAGCGTAGGAGGAAGAGAAACGTACCGGTGCTAAACTAGACTCACCCTCAGCCGGATTCATGAGAGTGAACCAGCTCCTCTGACTCTTGGGCTTGGGTAGCCACAGGCACACGTAGAGGCAAGGCACTGTGGCTCCGATTTGGGATCGGGCACTGTACATCTCCGGAGAAGATAAAAGATAGTAGAAGCTCTTGGAGACTAATAACAGGGAACGGTAGTGAGATCTCGGGATCCGAGCTAAGCAACTCACAACGATTTCATCTGGAAGTGATGAAAACGATGGAGATGATGATAGAGGATGGAACAGAGGAGGAGCTTCATCTGTATTTGTCATCTTCGTCGTTTCCATCTTCGCGTACGATGCTGCCTGTTTCTAGAGTTTTTAGGTCTTCTTCATAACAACCATATACGTATATAAACAAACTTCTAATTTCTAAAGAAAAAGAAAGGGAAGATTAACCTTTTTTCCTTGTTGAAAAAGAAAGGGCTTTTACCTTTTCTATTTAATAATAAGTCCCTGTTTTATTATAAAAATACTAAATCGACCATGTTGAAAAATAGGCGATAGAATCACCGGTTTGAAAATTAAACCGAGTAATGAGCTAAATAAACTAAACATAGTATTCTGACCAAAAAGTACATATCGTATTCGTGAATAAAATTATACTGTATTCCTTTTTTTTTTTTTTAATATATTCCCATTTTTATCTATATAACAACACGTCGGTAGAAAATAGCACAGTTATGTTTTTGCCAAGTCTCCATAATCTCACTAATATTATCATCCAATTTTTCTATACATAATCAAAATCAAGGATTTGTTGGCACATTGAATCTACTGCCTATTTCTAGTTTATGATCTAAAGTTTTTGCATATATTCGATAATCGATATCAATCTTTTCAAGTAGAAATAACATATAACATATTATAATACTAATTAAGCTATAGTATATCCCATTAAAATGTATCATATCTTTATTAAAAATGTTTTAGATTAATTGAGTATATATTGTTATAACATGTTGCTATACTAAAACCACAACTTAAAAAGCCATTTCATTAACAAACAAACAAAAAAACTTAGAAAGCCATTTGAAGTTGTGGTTTTCTTAGTGTAGCTTAAAAAAAATGATTGCTTAGCATTTTATCAATTGAAATATGTCTAGATTATATTGGTTTAGTAATTTTGGAAAACAGAAATGTTGAAAATGAAATCATAAACATATAGACAAAATGTTAAATATACCGACCAATTTCGACGTAAGTTATATGGTTAAGAACTTAAAAGCATGGAGACTAAACTAACTCTAGTTAAAAAAAATATTGAGTAATTAACTCTCACGTGTGATGAACAATGATACGCGTGACGCGGTTCATGGCACTTCATGCAATGACTTGTTTAGTTTACAGCGTCACGCGCTATGTAACTGACAACTTCCTTTTTTTCCTTTTTTATTTCTTTTTCTCTCTGTCTTTTTATTTATTTTTCTTTTAATCGTTTCATATTTTATCTAACTTAGGTTCTCTGATCATCTCAGTGTAACCGTCCCACGTTGATGTCCACATCTAGAAGATTACTGAGGTGTGATAGATTGCCGTTTCCAACCTCTTTCAATTAATGCTCTTTTCTCCAAGTAACTTTAAACCAATTTCTTCATTTGGTATTTGTGGCTTTGGTCAAATCATCATCATATTATTATTTATACACAAGACAATGTCACATGTATATACAACCTTATAATATACACAACCACATATATATACTAATGTTTTTGTGAAAGTAAAACGGGAAAATCAAACATTTTTATTCATTTTCTCCCTTCCTTCTTCTCCGCTCAACATCTTTCTTTCCCTCTTCCGTTTCTCCTCCTGGTATCTCTCTCCTCTCTCTCTCCCTCTTTTTATTTCTCTGTGTGTAAATTACATTTATGTGAATAAAAGTTTGGTTCTCTGATCAACAAATCGGTTCTTGTTCTTGCCTAAAATCGTGGGTTTGCTTTAGTTTTTATGATTTCATCGATGATCGATGTTGAAATTGATGGATACTGTTCTATTGCCATATGCTGTGTTTGTTTGCTGAGAAATTCTGTGACAGAAGAACACAATCAATGATAACGATATTTCAGCTTTTTAAAATATTATCCAGAAGGTGGGCCTCGAAGTTTTTTGTCTGTTCAAATAAACAAGGCCGGTCAAAATAATCTACCTTTTAACTCTGGTCTTAGTCAATAAATGAGTGCTTCCTCTGTTGAAAATATAGCCACTGGGAAAATTGTACTTACAAACTGAGAGGTCGGTCGGTCCATGATAAAATTAAGATGAAGAAACACAACAAAAAGTCGTCTTTTTTTGTATCTTTCTACCTTTCGTTTTAAGATTTGATTGGTCTTGTGGGGATCAAACTCACCAATAGTCTTAAGAAATGGATATGTTTGGTGAGTCTCTCTCTTCTTTGCATTTCGCTTCACTATATCTATCTCTCCTTTGCCTTTCTTTAACATAAAGCAATGAATGAGAGGGTTGGTGAAATCTGAAGGGAATCCAATTTCGTTGGAGGTTGTTGTTGTATTGTGTGAGTCCAGTGTCTAATCTTTTTTGACCTATTTGCTGAAATTTAGGTGTAAAGGTTTGACCTTTTACATACCCTTGATGCGATATGTTCATTCATATAAATCCACAAAGTTGAAGTTTCTTGTATATTTCTCTTTGTATTTGTTTGCATTGAGCTGACTGTTCATTTTTCTCAACTTCAGGGTTTTGAATTGTAGTTTGTTGCATCAAAGCTTCAAGCTGTGACATTGATCAAAAGCCATGGATTTCATTCGAAATGCTCATCCGAATTGTGTATATGCGGACAATCCTTTCCATGAATGTGCTTCAGCTTGTTTAGAGAGAATTGCTCAAGGCCATGGCAAGAAGAACACTAAGAAGCAAGGTAGGTTATTTCTCTGTTTTTTTTTTTATCATGGCTTTTGCTTAATCTTTTTGTATTCTAATTCTTGTGTTGTTGTATTACAGGTTCAAAGATTCTTAGCTTCTCAGGGAGTTTCGGTAGGAAAAAAAAGGAATCGCGTTCACAACCGCTTTCACCGCTATCTGCAAGGCCTTATCAAAATGGTGGAGGCGGTTTTGCAAACGCTAATTCCCCAAAGATTCATCATTCAGTAGCTCCAGCTGTTGCCGTGAAGAACAAGACAGAGTCTTTCTCCTCTTCATCATCAGGTGACCCAGATGATTTCTTTAAGCATAAACCGGAGAAGAAACTCTCTCAAATCAGTCTTCTTTCCCCAAACAATTTGGTATTTCATCTTTTACTCTCTTCCATGATTCTCCATGATTTCATCAATCATCTTATATCAGATGTTTCTCAATGTTTCTAGCATCTTATGAAGGTCGATCGAAGCAAAGCGGTTTCACCTAAACCGGGAAAACAAGAACAGAACGGGAAGATTGAAGCAGGCGGCGAAACTACACTATATAGTTTCCTAAGCTCTCCAAGATCGTCTGGAAAAGAGAGCAGTGATTACTCTAATGATGATGATGATGATAAAAACAACAATGAGATTGGAGTAGAGCTCGATCTTGAATCAGTAATGTCTGACACTTTCGTCTCTGTCGGTAAATACAGAGTGAGATCGGGATCGTCCACAATCCTAAGCGCTATCCTCGAGAAACACGGAGACATTGCTCAAAACTGTAAGCTGGAATCGGACTCAATGCGGTCACGTTACCTCGAGTGTCTATGCTCACTGATGCAGGAACTCAGGTCAACCCCTGTCGGGCAGTTGACAAAAGTCAAAGTCAAAGAGATGCTCGCAGTTCTCAAAGACTTGGAGTCTGTGAACATCGAAGTGGCTTGGCTACGTTCAATTCTTGAGGAGTTTGCGAGGTGTCAGGAAGATGTAGAGACTGAGAAAGAGCGGCAAGAGAGTTTAGTGAAGGCTAAGAGAGAAGAGCTTGAAGCTCAAGAAGCAGACTTGGTTCGGAAGGAGAAGGAAGTCGCCGAAGCGAGGTTGCGGATTGAGGAGACGCGGGCCGTGATGGTCGAGATGGAGAAGGAAAGGTCAAGGATGGAGAAAATGGGATTCAAAATGGAGAAATTTAAAGGGAAATCGTTTATAGATGAGCTTCTGTGAGTTTTGTGTTGTGTGATTGTGATATGTTGTTAATAGTAAGTAGAGAAGCATAAAGTCGAAATACTCTCAAATGAGTTTTTAAGTTAGGCTTTTTAAGTATATGGGAAAGCTGGTTTTAATCACTAAGGGTGAAATGTTTATTTACTAGTAACGTGTAATGGTGTTTGAGGTAATTTTGTCGTTGCTGATAAATATATTTGGCTTTGTGATGCAAATGTTCTTTCATTTTTTTTAATTACTTTTGTTTTTCTCTAATTGAACTATCCCTTATCAATATACAAGCTGTCCTGAGTTCAACTGGAAAACGAAAAAATTGTTTTAAAATTTTGCAAGTGACTTACCAATACGAGATTTATTAATGCTCAATAGTCAAGACTCAATACTAGTTGAATATTTTAAAAGTAGTTATCTTGGTATGTATTGAAAATGTCAAAACGACACTTTTGTCAAATAATTAAAAATGTTTATTGAGAATGATGTAGACGAAGAAGAAAGGTAAAAAGGTCTCCTACTCTGTTTTCACACTTCTCCTCTGCTTTAAAACCGTTGCCAGTTGCAACAAACTAACCAATCTGTTGTTATTTGGGTCCATTTATTTGCGACAGTGTCACCACGCTTTAAGTTACTCTTGTGGGCTTTACACTGAGCACACTGCAACACGGCCCAACTGGCAGTCTCATTGGTTCTGCTCACGAACCGAAAGACTACGTGTAAACCGGCGAAATTGAACCAGAATCTCCATAAAGGTTTCTGTTCTTTAAGCACAATAAAAGACTAGAGAGTCATAATCAAATAACGGGCCATTGGAGATTCGGGTCTTAACTATTAGACTAGAGAGCAATAGTTATACAGAAAACACAAGACAAAATAGAGAAGATGGCAGATGATGTCAAAAACAAATTGGTTGTCACTGACTCACTTGTCACTTGAAATCTCCCTGACAACGAATTTTTGTTTTTTATAGAATTACAACTACTAATTTTTTAAATAAACTTCTTCTCAAGTTACTTGGCTTCCAAAAACATATGTTGTACCCTTTTCTTTTATCAACATATCAAAAAGTTTGGTTCTTGTCGAGAGACACAAAAATAATTCCGAACGTCGAATGACAAAAAGTCCGCAACTTTTTAAAAAATTCTGATTTCTTTCTAGAAAATTGAAGGTGTTTATATTTTTTGTCAGCCTATTATGACATCAATTATTTCAAGAAAATTGACAGGCAACATTAGTTTCACACTCAACAGCATCAATTATGGAAATCGGTTCAGGAAGCAGAGGGGGGTAAACCGGCCGGTACTCGGATCACTCAAATTCAAAACAAAATATTATTAGGTTTGTTGCAAGTTGCGAACATGGCTAGTATTACCCAGGACCCAGGACCCAAGAAAGGTATAGAAAACAAACACTTCAGGCCCAATTATATAAGCAAATGGTCATAAGCTGTTAGGGTTTACAAACTTCAAAAATGAGTGGACGATATTGAAATCTGAGAGATAACAAAAGAAAGAGATCATAACGGCTAAATATTTACTAAAACAGAGCCAAAAGGCGTGATAAACAGTGAAGAGTGGGAGGCTTTGGCTATTGTTGTGGTCCCTCTCTCTCCCCTTTTTCCACTCTCTCTCCTCTGTGTTTCACTTTACTGAAAAGACGAGACGTGACATTGTTTCTACCCCTTACACATACTTACACACATATATGTGATTGTGATCGTGTTATAGAAATTTACTATTCAGTCGAGTTTATGATTCAATTATTTTCTATAAGAAATGGATGATTCAATTGAGTTGGTATAGTCCTGAATAAAAGATCATTCCCCAAATAGATCCAAACATAAATGCATCTTGCTATGTAGGAGTATGTAATACTATTTCAATAAAACAGTTAAAGGAAAACCATAACAAGGTAATATTCAGGTGCGGAGTTACCCATGTGATGATATTGCTACACGACAGGCGTCAAAAAGTTTGGTGCGGTGGAAAAATGGGCTTAATGTCTCGTTTATTGTCTGCTTGTTCGACTCTCATTGGCTACATCTTTTTTATCCCGACCCCAAAAATACGAAATATAATTAAAAGTACTGACACGAGTCTTTCTTCTTCTTTTTTACTAATTATATAATAATTTTAAAATCAAATGAAAAGACTAAAAAAGAAGAGGGGAACGAGGACAAAAGTTTTTTTTTTTTTTGCCAGCTAACGAAAAAGTTGATCATAGCAAAATGGAATCCAATTTCGGTGGAACAATCGAGAAACCCGTAACGCATTGTTCTCGTTCCATCTCTGATATGAGTGTACTCGTGTCATTTCCTGATTGGCTTTTAGTTGACCCCGAGGATAATGGAATTAAAGACCCACCACACATTTACATTCAACACAAACCCATGTTCAGCCGAAATTTGTATTCTATTTGGACGCTTCTCATAAGATTTCAAATACCTTTCTAACTATTAAGAATGATAAATTTTGAATTTGAATTGTTTGGTTCATACTCTTGAATAGATGTAGAAGAGAAAAAAGATAGACTAATAACGTAAAGAAAACTCTGGAAAATGATTCACACACGGAACTAAACTATTGAAATTAACAAAGTTGGATTCAAAAGAAGGAAAGAAATCATAGAGACCCCATTTCATAATCAACATCATCCACACCCAAATTGAGTTCTCTCTCAATACACACAAAATAATAATAAAGCATCATAAATCTAAAGTGGTTTCTTGACATTTTAAGCCATCTTCATCAGTTGGTTGCATTGCTTCGGAATGAACCCAATGCCTTAATTGCTGCAGCTCTCAATATATATTGATGGTAAGCTGCTGCCGCTAGTGCTCCCAAGAATGGACCAACCCAGAAGATCCACTGCCAAATAAATAAAAAAATGATTAACAATCATTAGAGAAGTAAACGATGACTGAATTAACCTAACAAGTATGATGCTATGACGATTAAAACACTCTTACATGGTCATCCCAAGCCTTCTTGTTGTTGTAGATAACAGCAGCACCAAAGCTTCTAGCTGGGTTGATTCCAGTTCCAGTAATGGGGATGGTAGCCAAATGCACCATGAACACAGCGAAACCAATTGGAAGTGGAGCCAAAACCTACAAACCCAAAATGAAAAGATCCAAACTTCATAAGTTTCATCACAGAACACTTGAGAGTATAACAAAAATTAACAACAAACCGCAAAAGATTTAAACTTTAATCAGAATCTACGCAGACCCATTTGAGATTAAAACCAAAATTAATAGCAAACCGCAAAAGACTTCAACTTTAATCGGTATCTACACAGACCCATTTGTCATCAAAACAAGAATTATCCGAAAATCCTGAAAGATTCAAACTTTATCCGAAAACCCTGAGACAAAGCCAAACTTTACAATCAAACTCTACAAAGATTCAAACTTTTTATCTGAAACTAAACATCTTTACAATAAACCCTTAAAAACTAAAACAACTATCAGCAAAACTAGACAAACAACTATGAGGATTAAAAGAACACTTACGGGGATGTGAGAGTCACGAGCGCTTCTCTTAGGGTCAGTAGCAGAGAAGACGGTGTAGACAAGGACGAAAGTTCCGATGATTTCAGCTCCGAGAGCAGTTCCCTTGCTGTAACCGTCAGCTACGGTGTTAGCTCCTCCTCCGAGAGTGTTGTAAGGAGTTTTCATGAAAGCTTTCACGAAACCCACACCACAAATGGCTCCAAGGCACTGTGCTATCATGTAACCAACAGCTCTCACCAAAGAGACCTTGCGGGCCAAGAACAGACCGAAAGTCACAGCTGGGTTAATGTGACCACCTACGAGAAACAGGTTCATAAAACGAGATTAACGACAAGAGATTACGAGATAATCAAACATGAGAAGGATTTTCTTTAAGGATATTATAACTTACCAGAGATACCGGCGGTGCAGTAGACAAGGACGAAGATCATACCACCGAAGGCCCAAGCGATCCCGAGTAAACCGACGCCGTCGCATGGACCGGTTTGCTTCTTGTGGCCGATGACGGTTGCGACGGTGACGTAGAGGAAGAGGAGTGTAGCGATAAACTCAGCGATAAGAGCTCTGTAGAAAGACCAGGATTTGAGCTCTGCCATGTCGAGAAGCGGAGCTGGTGGAGGATCGACGTAGTCTTTTCCATGGCTGTGGGTTTGTCCCTCTTCGCTCACTTCTTTCGACATCGTTAAGTTCACTCTTTTTCTCTTGCTTTCTCTCTCTAGCTAGCTATGGAGTTTGCTCGAATTAAGTGGTGTTGTGTGACGACGACAGTGTCTCTCTTCTGCCTTTTAAAAGGGAAAAAAAACCTTGCAATGCTATGGATAAGCCAAGGGTATTTCCGGTATTAACTTCTGTCAGTGTGTGTTTTTTTAGTAATAGTATAATTTCAATTTTAAACAGCTAATCCTAAAAATGATTTGTTTGTACGGTTAATGCTGTGTTAATGGAAAGCTTCTTGAGTTTTTGGGAATCTAAATTGCAGTTGATAATCTCTAAACTAACATAGTACTATAGTAGTTATAATTTAATTAAATGTGTCTTAGAACCTTCTCGTTGTAGTTAATTACGAAGAATCAAGTCATCCGATCATTAAGTCACAAAGGAGAAAAACATAATTACTTGTAATTTTATGGGTTTTTTTCCTTGCTATCACCAGCACAGTGTAATGCATTATTACAGGCAAAATAGTCATATATTTGTTTTAGTATCATCTGATAATGATGTTACGAAATTAACAATCAAAGGTGGGCTCTATGTGCATGGACAAAATCTTCTGCTGTTCTGGAATTGTGAATATTTTTCTTACTGATATGGAACAATATAATAAAAACAAAATGCGATAATAAACAAATAAAGCCATTTGTTTTGTAGTTTTGGTGAATGTTTTTGGGTTGATACAAACAAAAATTAGGAGAAAAAAATAAAGAAAAGTAGAAGGTGGTGGGACCCAAGTGTACAGGTAAGCCATGTGAGGGTTAATGATAGAAATGAGGTGTAAGGTTTTATCGTCAGCCTGTCATACAATTTTCCTCTCTTCTCCTCTCCTCAACGGTTATATCAATATCTTTGTCTTTTTTTCCCAATCTTTTTTTTGGCAACTTTCCTCTTATATTTACTTATTTACCAGTTACGTTTTATGGGTCAAATATTTTGCTGATTTATATTTTAACGAACTTTTTCAACTATTTTCCTTCAAATTCTCAGAGAATTAGTCTAGTTGAGTTTTTTTTTTTGGGGTTTATGTCTATATGAGTTGTATTTATATATGTTTACTATATGAATTGGGAAACAATTACCATGGATTTTCTATACATTACGTGGGATGATTTTTGTGTGTTACATATATGTGTCCATCAGTCCATGAATCACTTAATAGTTAAAACTAATGATTGCATAAAGACAAATCATTGGCGAGAGAACTAGCAATTTCCCTCGAGTTAAAATAGTGGACCAACGGGTAATACGAAGTGTGGTAAGCCTGTAACAAAACAGAAAGCCCATGAACTAGCCAGTGATTCTTTACTTACATTATTTTAAGGGATATTATTGTCGTTTTAATCCGGCTAGTCCCAAAAACTAGGGTAAATGTCTATTCTTATTTAATTTTGTTTCCAAAACAGACCATATGATAGTAGTAGTACACTCTTTTGCTTTCTTCATTTTTTATACGTGAATACGACATTTGTCCTTATCCTCCCAGCCCTTAATCAACTATCTTTTGTTAATAACCCCTAAACAATTATTACATAATCACTTTCTGTAATACTATTATTAATACTTCACTTTTACGCAAATGTGAATATATAAGCATGTAATGGAATTACTTTTACTTATTATATAGATATAGGGATAACGTTAACTAATATTCATTATTTTGCGACAAAGGAATATTTGTTTTGAAATTATGCTGTCTTTGCGAAAGGAAATGCCAGGTTGCTGTGCAATCATGGAAACTGATTATTAGTTTTTCCTTCTTTTCCATGTAGTGTATGCGCTTTCTCGTTATAAGATTAAACTTGGAAAAAATAAGTAAGCCTATAATAGTCCAAGTAACAGTATGTAAATACAAATACTAATGCGTATCATTATCATCTATTCGTATAGGTCTGATGAGTCATTATTAACTATATCTGTACTTAATTTGAAATTGATTAGCCAAAGCTGGGTGTAGTATGTATTTCTTACAAGCTTAACAGATACACATTCTTGATTCAACTCATTTAAAGCTCACGAGGTGATGGTTCATGCGATCAAGGTATAAAAAAAAAAAAATCGACCCTAGTTAGTTAGTGACCTAGTCCATGTAAGAAAATCGGAATAACTGATTATTATAGTCTTGAAATGCAATAGCATATAAATTTCTATCGTCTGATGCATTACACATGTATATTAATCGGAAACAAATGATAACCAAATTGGGTGGTTTTGCCATCTAACAGATTCCCTAGACCCTAATTCAAGTCTCCGTGGTGCAGAAGAGGTTGGATAAATAATTTTTTGGTACAGCCGAAATCATTGCATGTGAGAATGAATCATAATCATATCTTTACATGATTTCGCTCGCTGCCTATCGTTTATGGATTTTTAATCTTTTTCACAAAAGAAAGGGTTTTGTATTATTATTATTAACAACATTATATAGATTGACGAACTTCAATTTAGATTATAATAATAATTTTAGTTCAAGGAAATGACCCACGATAAGGGCTGCCTTGCTTGCCCAATCTTTATCTCCAAACATCCACGTCACTGTTTCCACATCAGTTGGGCAAAAGACAGGTCAGATCTCTTACTTCATCCATTTAGATAGTGCCACGTGGATCGTATCTGGTAACGGCTAGATTGATCTACAACATCTGTCATTTTCCAACTCTTCAAAAATGGTCCATCTTTTCGAAATTTTATTTTTTATTCTTTATTATCCAACGGCCACTACTTTAAGAAGAACATGAATCAAGTGAGAAGAGATGAATCTTGTGAAGGTCTCGAATAATATTATGCTGTTTCCATATCATGTATTCTACCGCTTGTAAAACCAGCTCAATAACGAGGACTGCATCAAAATGTTGCGGACGGTTTGCCTAATGCTTGCCTAGCTATTTTGTCACGGAAAAACAGCCAAACCTATGCAGCACATTGATACTCTTAGAACAGATTAGCTGTTTACAAACATCACGTGGTCTGTTTTGATCATGGGCTTCGATCCAATTATTAAAATTTAAATGTGGTGCTGAGGAAAAATTCTTACCAAAAACCTTCTTACTTCAATTAGTCAGGAACTTCAAAAAACCGGACACGTGTTAAACCAAGATTATACATCTAACGATCTAACTACACAAGTAGTACGTATGCCAAGAAAATAGGAGAGTAATAGTCTAATAATTGTATCATTTCAGTAGTTGGGCCAGCTCAGATATTCCGGCCCGTTTTGATAGCCTCACATTTGCGTAGCGGCCGTTTTGATCCGGTGGTATAATGGGTTCAACTTTTTTTTGTTTCAGCCCACTTGATAAACTCTGATGGGTTTACAAGATCAATATGGAAGAATAGAGGTTAGATCAATCTCTGTCTCGAAGAATAAGACTGTAGATTGTAGAAGAGATGGATCACGGATTGAATTATGCATGGTTGGTCCATTTAGATCCGCTGACTTTAAAGCCTTTAGTAAACTTAAAAATATTATACGCAAAAAAGAAAACGTACACAATTTTTGTTTTGTTATATGGCGATTTTTTGGTTTCTCTATAAACCAATTGGTTGGTAATCCAATACCATGTGTATGTCTTTTGTTAGGCGACCATATATTGCATTGCAGCCTTGCAGGTCATACGTACGTGGATGAATTACTGTGTGTTTATAAATTCAATGCAGTCCAAAATCACCTAAACCTTCTGTGATAATAAGAAGGTCTTGAGGTGGGCCCATTCAGAAGCTGATAGATCACCTCTCGCCACAATTCCCAAGGGCCAAACATGAAACAATAAATCAATTCAAAAGGCATATTCTCCCGCTTGAGGGTGTTCACATTCACTAAGCCCACGTGGAAACCAACTAATCATCCACGTCACCCAAAACCATACTAAACCACTTATAAGGTTTTGGTAAAAGGCCAAAAGAACCGGATAAGGAACCGCAACTCCATGACGTCCTCATTTATTCCTTTTCTTTTTCTCCATTCGTAGTGCAAAATACGTTATTTATTTGTGTGTTCCTTCTTCTTTGGTTTTGTTACCATATAAAAAACTCTTTTATACAAATATATATTTGACGAATATCACCATCGTGGGTTCAGCTTATCTTCGTTTCTCGGGAGTCTAAATTCGGATGACATTGTCGTAGAGCTAGAAATCTCTCGAGTTGAATGTGTTGGACGTAACACCTTAGGCAGATTATAAGGTTCAAAACTACACATTAATTCGGTTTAAACGAATAAAAAAATATACATGAAATTCAGGAGTATTAACAAAAAAAGAAATGCAATGATTTTATTTATTTTGTACCAAACAATCAATGCAATGGCTTTCATTCTCTATTCATACTAACATAAATAGTATAAATTCTCTACAATAAGTTTTGAAGGGTTGACTTTATAGAAGCATTATTCCACCAAAAAAAAATTATGATAAAACTTATAAGAGTGATGTCAATTAAAAAATATATATTTATTTATCGTATTAGATCATACAATATTCCATTAGTTAATATAGGTACGCCACAAATAATCCATCACTAAGAAACATTTGTCCCATAATTTTCTAATAGTGAAATACTCGTACAACAAAGTAAAAAATACTTGCCAATTTTAATAAATACTCTCGTGACGTCCCACAGTTTCTCGCCACAATAAATAAAACTTTTGTAGCAGTATTTTGTTTTTAATACTTATCTTAAAACCAAAAACTAAAATAAGAAAAAACGATAACCTTTAAAATTGCCCCCCTCAAACAAAAAAAAAAAAAAGAGAGAGAAAAAGCTTTAAAGCGCACAGACACACGCCATTTATAAATACGGAAGCAAATAGTATAATTATCATCATCATCTTCATCTCCTCGTTTTGTTAAATCTCTGAATCTCTCCAAACTCTCTCAACTCTCTCAACTCTCTTCTCACCAACTATGGATCCTTACAAGGTAACGCCTCCTCTCTCTTGTATTACACCTTCGAAAACGTCGTTTTTGCTTTGGTATTGCACCCGAAGATTCTGCTAGTCTTTCTTTACTGTTCGATTAGCGTCGATGGGGTTTTGGGATGTTGGATTTTGACTTTCTGCTACTCGAATCCGTGAATCTAATTGGACTATACAAATAAGTCTTTTTCCATTGCTCCATGTTGATTCCTCGAAGCTCGTAGGCATCTTTATGTCGTCGATTTGACTTGTGTTGATTATTTCGAATCGTTTGGGTTTTCTATGAATGTTGATCTTCGATCTCCTTCCAATTGAATGTTTGGCTGATTATGGATGCTGATTTTCAGTATCGACCGGCGAGTTCTTACAACTCACCATTCTTCACCACCAACTCTGGTGCTCCTGTATGGAACAACAACTCCTCCATGACCGTCGGACCCAGAGGTATATATCCTCCTCAAATTCTACACAAAACCATGATTTATCTCTCCTCAAGATATGATTTTACGTGCATTTCCAGCTGAAATTCTGAATCTTCTTTCGAGTTGAATGATAGTTTATTATGGATGTTTCATGTTAGTAAACAGAGTTGATCTGTACTTTTCAATGTTAGAGTTCTGATTGTGTTGGATTGGATTGTTTTGGGTAGGTCCTATCCTTCTTGAGGATTACCATCTCGTGGAGAAGCTAGCCAATTTCGACAGGGAGCGTATTCCAGAGCGTGTGGTTCATGCCAGGGGAGCCAGTGCAAAGGGGTTCTTTGAGGTCACTCATGATATTTCTAACCTCACTTGTGCCGACTTTCTCAGAGCTCCTGGTGTTCAGACTCCTGTCATTGTTCGTTTCTCCACCGTTATCCACGAGCGTGGAAGTCCCGAGACATTAAGAGACCCTCGTGGTTTTGCTGTCAAGTTCTACACCAGAGAGGTAATTTACTAATCAAATGATGGTTCTTTGCAAATTGGATTTGTTTTCATTTACTAATCAAATGATGGTTCTTTGCGAGCAGGGAAACTTTGATCTCGTTGGAAACAACTTCCCAGTCTTCTTCATCCGCGATGGAATGAAGTTCCCTGACATGGTCCACGCCCTTAAGCCAAACCCGAAATCTCACATCCAGGAGAATTGGAGAGTCCTCGACTTCTTCTCCCACCACCCTGAAAGCTTGAACATGTTCACTTTCCTCTTTGATGATATCGGTATCCCACAAGATTACAGGCACATGGACGGTTCAGGTGTCAACACTTACATGTTGATCAACAAAGCTGGCAAAGCTCACTACGTGAAATTCCACTGGAAGCCAACTTGTGGAGTCAAGTCTCTGTTGGAAGAAGATGCAATCCGCGTTGGAGGAACCAACCACAGTCACGCGACACAGGACTTGTATGACTCGATTGCCGCTGGTAACTACCCTGAATGGAAGCTCTTTATCCAAATAATTGATCCAGCTGATGAAGACAAGTTCGACTTTGACCCGCTTGATGTCACCAAGACATGGCCTGAGGACATCTTGCCTCTCCAACCCGTTGGGCGTATGGTGTTGAACAAGAACATTGACAACTTCTTTGCAGAGAATGAGCAACTTGCCTTCTGCCCTGCAATCATTGTTCCAGGGATACACTACTCAGACGACAAGCTGCTTCAAACCCGTGTCTTCTCCTACGCCGACACACAGAGACATCGTCTTGGACCAAACTACCTTCAGCTACCAGTGAACGCCCCGAAATGTGCTCACCACAACAACCACCATGACGGCTTCATGAATTTCATGCACAGGGACGAGGAGGTATGTAATATGACAATATCTGTATCTTTATGATTGAAGCCAGAAGATCATTATCTTACAAGAAGCTGTTGGTACAGGTCAACTACTTCCCATCGAGGTATGACCCTGTTCGTCATGCTGAAAAGTATCCAACTCCACCTGCAGTCTGCTCTGGTAAACGTGAGAGGGTAAGTAATCAAATCAAGCCTATATTCTTCTCTGTTTCAGTTTCATATGGATCTGAGAGTTTGAAATTTGTTTTGCAGTGCATTATTGAGAAAGAGAACAACTTCAAGGAGCCTGGAGAGAGATACCGTTCCTTTGCACCAGAGAGGTACTAATTGTTTTGCTTTTTCTGATGATGCCTAATGTGTTAAAAGAAGCATACATACATGTTCTTAATCTCTTACGTACGGTTTGAATTTGAACTTCAGGCAAGAACGATTCATCCGTAGATGGATTGAAGCCCTATCCGATCCTCGCATCACACATGAAATCCGCAGCATCTGGATCTCTTACTGGTCTCAGGTATAAATTCTGAAACTCTCTTTTACTGTCACTGTCTATTTCCCTAAGCTTCAACAGTTTTAAGAAATTTTTTTTGACACTGGTTGGTTAACTATGTGTGAAACAGGCTGATAAGTCGCTGGGACAGAAGCTGGCGAGCCGTCTGAACGTGAGACCAAGCATCTAAAATGAGTGTTGCTTAGTGAAAGATTCTTGATTGGTCGTTGTGTGGTTCTAATTACCAGAGAAGATGGAATGGGAAGAGATCAGATTTGCCATAGTATAATCTTCATCGTGTGGATCTTATGTGCTATGTTGTAATATTATCTGTTTCCGTGTTGTGACCTTAGTTTTGTCTCATGTTTGTCAGAACAATACATTAAAGATTTTATAATAATAATGGGTGTTATGTCTTATGTGATAGTTTGAACAATCTAGAATTCTAGAATTATAACGAACTCTGACTTTATTACACTAAAAATCACATGGTCAATGACCTATTGAGAAGGACGTATTAAATTTTTTGTTTTTGGGGTCGAAATCGACAAGGACATTTTATTATTACACATGTTATTGGGGAAAGGCTAAGCAAGTATGAAACGAAAAATACAATACGGGACATATAATGTTGAGTGTATGATTTGTGTGGGTATTACAGAATTTAGAGTTGTTGTCGATACATGCTGTAGTAATGGCCCCATTACAGAACGTTGTACTAAGCTACATTTAGCGATGAGACTTCCATTAGTCTTCTTAATCTTATCCTTACGTTATCCGCACTTCCGCAGCAAATTTATTTTGATTAATTATTTGGTTGGAGCTAGGGTAAATTACCAATGTATCATGCTAGCTTGCTTAAATTACCAATTTATCATGCTAGCTTGCTTATACGTGAAGTATAAAAGATACATATATAGACTCGTACGGTCCATTTATTCTAATTGTGAGTTGTTGACATCTCTATATGTAAATTGCTGTCAAAGAAAAGAAAAAAATAAGATCTTCTTACTCTAGTACTCCTCATGAAACTCATTATTTAGTGTCTGTGGAATACAGTCAACTAAAAAGCTACATAAAGACATAGAAAAGACAACCTCAATGATAATTAAGATTTATTAAGACAAAAATGCTTTTGCAAACGCTAATTACTTCTGATAACAAAAATGAAAAAGTGAACCTAAGTTGATAAAACATTATTACAATAAGCGAAAGCAAATGTGATCTTATTCCACCTATTAGGTCCTCAAGTAACAAAATACAAGTAAGACCCTTAGATTAATATGATGTATCCTACTTCAGTCACTTGTTAGGTTCTCAGGTAACAAATAGTTGTAAGAATACCCTTTGTTAACTTTGTAAGTTTTATCTGTACCCTTTGCAAGTTAAGAGTAAACTTGTAAAAAATATCATTCTACAAAAGATTTCTGTATGAAACTAGGGAAAGCAGGACAAGGTCATATCTATTTGCAATTCACAATGAAAAAACGGAAAAAATATAATGATTTGCGGCAACAAGTCTATGTTGAAATTTTTGTTAACAATAACACATCTTAATAAGAAAAAAGAATACATTCATCATCATTTAAGAAGAAATATGGTTACATCCACGTGTTTGAACCAAATCCAAACTTCTCTTTAAAATAAAGGGGGGAAAAAAGAATCACGAAATGTTTTTCTCCGACTGGAGTTTTAGAAGCAAGACTACTAGTAAATCGAATGGAACCAAAAAAAAAAAAAAAACCCTTTATCTTCTAGAGCTACAAATATTTCAACTTTGTCTCATTTTACCTGAAAAAGCTTAACTTTCTCAGTAGAGGCTAAAACCAAAGAAAGGGCTGATGACAATTCCCAATCCAAGACCAATTGCAACGAGAGACGAAACCCAAGTTAGTTTCTCTGTGATCCTTGGAACCTTCTCTTTCAATGCCTCGCTACAAGACCCAATAAACGCTGTGTAACTTCCCATCGCAATAACCGTCCCAACCAGAAACATTATCAGAAACGCAGAACCGGCTAACCGAGATGGCAGAGCCAATGCAGGCAAAACAATCATCAGAGCATCCGGTTGTAACCCGTGAACCACTCCAGTTGCAAATGTAGCAAACCCGATTTTCTTCTTTTTGGGCAGCGTCAAGGCTTCTTTCTCTTCTGATATCACGCTGCTGATGTCGGTTTCTAAGGCCACACAAGGTTCTGTGACTTCTGAAGCTTCTTTGATTCCCATAGCCCCGATGATGACAAGTGTTAATCCGACTATTCTTGTACCCCAAGTTTGTAATACTTCAATGTGGAGCCGGTCTTTAAGTAGCAGAAACAGTAAACCAAAGATGACTTGACCAGCGTCGTGCCCACATCCCCAGAGAGCTCCAACAGCAGCACTCTCCATTCTGGTGCGTCCGATTGAAAGCGGAGCTAAAGCAGCAAGGTGATCGGGTCCTGAGAGCGTGTGTAAGCAACCAGCAAGGAAACCGGTCCAGGCACTTGTTAGCCAACCGGATTTAGCTGCGGTTTGAAAGCTAGCGAAAGCAGGTGGTGCAAGAAGCGGATTTAGCAAAAGCGTAGCTACTGCAGAGATTAGTATGACCGTTCCAGTAGATAATGTCTGCAAAGAAACACAGATTTTAATAGATCTGGTAAACAACCATGAGACTGCATATGAACAAGGTCAATGTAGACACAGAGACAGATCAGCCATCGATCTTACAAGTTCAGAGAGGGGCTAACACATTCCCATATCTAACAGTTACAGAGCCTAACCTTTGAAGTTATAGAAATTAAATGAAGCTGTTAAAAAAGAAAGTAGATTAGTTTGAGTTCTTGCTCAGGATTCACAGAACAGAAGCTATATTGTCAAACGAGCAAAGTGATCTAAATGTCAACAAATATGGTCATATGAGAATCTAACAAGAAAAAGCAAGTACAATGTCAACATATCGCATAAGTTCACGAATCCTGAAAACTGGGAGAACCTGATTCCATGATTCTTGAAACTAATAGATCCCAAGGTAACCCACCAAATTTGGAGCTTTTCAAAAATTTTGGAATCTTCTCTTCAAGTTAACTTTACATCAAATTTCGATTTTTCATATCCCATCTCTCAACGAATCAGATCAAACCCCATTAAACCCCTAAACCCCAAAGCTGCGAATTTAACCCAAACTCGTCCCAAAAAATTTTGTAGACGGAAAAAAGAAAACAGGAATTGAATCACTTAGCAAGCGTTGATGTAAACAGACAAAGACGCAAATCCAAAGATTCGTAATTTCCAATGATCATAACGCGAAATTAATTACCTTTCGCCGCTCAGAAGCGGTGCTCACGATCCGTTGGAGAAATCCAGGATTAGGTTTCGATTCTTCCGCTTCGGGAGACGAAGTAAGACACCCATTAGAGGGATTGTTAGTGATATTAGATCCTATAGGCGTAAAAGCCGATGGGTTCTGAAAATTGTTGCAGGAAATGGAACCGACTCGGCGATATTGGGGTCGATGCGAGGAGACAAAGCCCAGACTCGATGAGCGGAGACGAGGAAGGAAAGGAGAAGTCCTCAAGGGGAATTTGGAAGGAGAAATTGTGGAAGAAGACGATGGTTGCAGAAGCCTTTCCATGGCGTCCTCCTTCTCTCTCGGTGACAAGCTCCGAGGCAAGAGAGTCTCGAAAACTGAGAGAAAAGGGAGTACGTGCGCTTCTTTTGTTAAGGATATACGAATTTTCAAAAATGTAATATTTTTTTCATTACAGAATCGATTGAATTAATAATTCGATATTTTGTGAAATAAAAATGCTTAAGTTCGAATATTCGACACTTTGAATCGAAATTTCATGTTAAAAAAAAAAAACCGACTTACCTAATATTCTTACGTTAATGAGCAATGAGACAAAAAAAAAGGGCAACTTTTTAACATGCCAAAGTTAGATCTAACTTTAATATATAAAAATAGGTATTTTGATAATAATGATCGAGTGTATATCATTAAGTTCCAAAACCCATGGTATAGCCTATTCCACGATTCGTATGTATAAAATATGTAATTACTTGGTCAGGCCAATAAATGACGAGGGAAAGCATACTATATATAGTTGTTTGGAAATGTCAAAATTTCCGCCTAGCAAAGGAAAAGTAAAGCAATTGAAATATGGAATCCACGACGCATCCCACTTTCTTTTTTTCCTTGGTATGTACTAATTCCTCGTCTGCTTATATGATTTCACCTACCAACATGTCTTTATTACCCAATTTTCCAATTTCAATATATCTAATTCGTTTTTTCAACAATATCCATTTAGAATATCCAATTTGTTCTTTTAAAATGGTGCAGTCGTAAGTCTAATAATCGAAATGTTTTATGAGCTCATAAAGGCTTCTACGTGGCCAAATATGAAATACGTGAGCAAACAAAAAACTATCTAAAAATAGAACTTCTAGGATAATTGCAAAGCTGCCAGAAAAAGGAGGAGGATAATTGCAAAACAATACTCCAATTATTTGTATCCTCCGATATATCCTTAATTCTTACGCAACCGTTTGCGAGCAGCAGTGGCGCACATGACATAAGTTTTAAAATTATTTTTTTGTTAAGAAGAAAAACAAACAACATGTGTGCAACAACAAAGAGTTCAGCAACTACACATCTATACTAGGACCTAATCTATTGAAAAATAGACCCTAACCAAATTAAATCAGCTAGTTTGAGTTTGGAAAATGTTGAGAAATGAGATCTGGAATCTTATATAGGTTTAATAGAGTAGTAGGGGGATGTAATTTGATTGCGTGTGCGAATACCAATACTACTATCAAGTTAGTTATATGTAATTGTCATGGTTATTTAATAAATATAGTTAAAAGAATTAGTTAGTCTTTTATCAAAAAAAGAAGAAGAATTAGTTAGCTCTGGTGAAGTTAAGTTAGTCGTCAACTTTGGTATAAGTAAGACTCATTGTCTCAAAGAGTATTCTTGGATGCAAATATGCAGACATTACATTTTCTTCTTTATATCTCCTATTGTCCATTGACCTATACAGAAAATAGATGCTATGAAAGTATGAATTGCGGTGCTGCTATGTTGTCAAGAAGAAGTCGTTGCACAACATTGAAACAACACCGAACGAGTGCTTGCGTGTGATTAAACCTGTCCAACAACAATTATGGAAAAATAATGGGCCGGCCCATGGGGTCAATTACACACACTCTTGAGAAAACTAAAGTCTAAACCAAAATTTGGCGAGTGGTGCACTAGACCAATCTTCGTTAGCTTTTTAGCATCTCAACAAAGAGTCTAAAATAAGGTTAATATGGGCCTTACACATAGAATACGCTAACCCGTAATTAAACAAAATAAAATATATTAGTAGAGCTAGTGACACGAAACACCCTACAACTACAAGGCTACAACAATTCTATCCAACCCTATAGCAAGACCGCCAAGCCTCGTTTGCTTATATGTTTAAAAAGTTTGTATGTTTTCTCAACTTAATGCAAGAAGAAATAAAACTCGTAAAATATAAACACAAACTGAAAGAATCCCTGTTTAATGCAATATTCTCTTACTCTATGAAATACTAAACTATAACACATGCAAGGAAATTTGCATTTGAAACAAACGAAATCCTAATAACCAGAATCCATGGATATACCACGGTTGGGAGGAAAAACCGGTTGGCATACTGCATACATAACTATATATCACATAAGAAATGTTGCAAGTTACTCCATTACAAAGTTAATCACATATATGATGCACAAAATCCAACTTGGTTTTCTCCAAAACTTTGGAGTAGTAAAAAAAAAAAACTGAAAGGTACCATATAATAGTACAACCTATTATAGATGCTATTTTTTAACTAGATAATTATATTTATAGGTATTAGGGAGGATCTAGAAAACATAGGTAGCACAGATCTGTCCAAACAAAGATCGAGAATCCATAATGGAAGAAAGCTCAAGTGTTCAATGAAACATGTTTCTGTTTTGAAAAGTGCGAGAACTCAATCCTATGGCAGGCCAAACTCTGATTCTTCTCCCCATATTTCTATTTTTTTTTTTTTGGTCAAACTTCTCCCCATATTTCGTAATTCATTTCTTAAAGGAAAAAAAAAACTAAAATGCTGATATTATTATTATTGTGCTCTCTTGTCACTGTACTAAAATTGATTATTGAGCAACCCAATAATACCTACAGCTTTCTCCAATACGCGTGTCTATGGACTCTTCTCCCACCTCTTTTCGCAATATCGCAAACATCAAAACAATTGATTACACTTTCTCCATTTTATTGAAATTGATTATTACATTTTGTTGGTTTCATACAATCAATTAAAAATATAAATAAATTGAATTTGTATTGTTTTATAATTATATGGAAGCATTTTATATAGAAAGAAAGATGTATATGCAATTATCAAGAAAATAAGTATTTCAAATATATCATAATACTGTGTATTGGCAAGTCTTTGTAACATTTCTATACAATCAATTTTTATGAAACAATAGGGAATGACACAAAAATTATATCCAAAGAATCAATAGAGCAAAGGAAAATATGAACAATTAATTCATCAAATCCAGCTGGTTTTCTTCTTTCCATTGATGCAAGAAAACAAAAAAAAAAAACAGGAAAAAGAAAACCTAGTCAGAATTTACTTCTTCATAACCTTTTCCTATTCTAAAATTCCTAATCTAACTTTATCCTTTTCTCCCCTAAACTTCTCGGAAAACACCAAATTACCCTGCCACGTCGTCTAAGCCGTTGAAAACTCTTTCCGTTCACCGGAGTCAAATGCATTTTACCGAATGTACCAATTTTCTCGGGAAAATTTCAGAGAAAGAGAGGAAACTAATCTTCCTACGAAAAAAAGGCCTCGATTCTGTTCTTCTTTGGGGTATTACACATAGGACAAAGAACAAGGCCAGCCTCGCATTCCGTGCAGCAACAGAGATGCCTACACGGCAGAAACAGAACTCTCGTTTCTCCATTAGACCCACAATTCCAGCAACAATTACTCATCTTCTTCGCCGGAAAACTATCTCCGCCGCAACACGACCCTTCATCCTCCACCGCAGCTTCGTCGTGAAAGGTGGCGGCTCTCTCTCGAACCTGTTCGAGCGTCGAGTTAAGCGTTGCGACCATTTCTTCGTTCTCACGAGCCATTCTCTGCCACGTTTGTTTCTCCACTTCCATTTTCCTCAACAGATCTTCGAGTTCCATGTTCTTGCTCAGTGCTTGTGACATCGCCTCATCTTTCTGCGTCATCAAAACCAAAGCTTTCGTTTCCATTTTCCTCAAGATCATCTCCATCTCTTGCTTCCTCTGTTCTTGCAACACATATCTCAAACTCTCGTTCTGCAAAGTTCATATCTTTATCAGTGCCCATGTTTTAAAAATCGATTCTTTCGGGTGAAATGATTTGATTACGAACCTGTACTCTGATGAACTGATCGATCTCTTGCTTCTGTTTCTCCATGTGAGCGTCTAAGAGGCTCTGGGAACGATACTGTTGATTTTGAGGTTGAAGATGAGACAGAGCTTGTTGGTTGAAATCTTTCTGCGACTGGAGATTATTGTTCGAATACGACTGATCGATCCCGATTCCGATTCCGCCATTGTTGTTGATCAAAGAAAACTCAGACCCACCACTACCACCGATTAACGGAAACCCGATTTGATTCGCATTCGAAGAGTTGTTGTAATTTAACTGTGCTTGTATCGCCATATCTTTTCCCGCCCGAAACAGAGAGGAAACGCCTTCAAAGCTTTGATTTTCTTGATCAAAAGAGAGATGAAGAAGAAGACGACAGAGAGAGAAGTAGAACCGATCTTCTTGATTAATAAAGAGGAATCAAAAAGCAGGAAACCGACTCTGATTTGTCTCTGATCCGCTTGTTTCTCGGGAAATAAACTTTGGTATTCAATACAATGCATGTAACCTCTGCACAATACCACCCCTTATATATATATATAGATTATTTATATATATCTGTCGATTTGTATTGATGAGAATCGAAGGAAAGAAAACAAAAGATGAACGGAGTAAAGTAACTGAAAAAAAAAAAGTTGAAAAGGAGAGAGGAAGAGACTTTGTTGGATTAATAGGTCTTAAATATTTATCTGACATTATTATTATTTATAGATAGTTAAATTTTTGGTTTATCTTTTTAATATTAGCACTAAAGAAACGACGTACACATGCTGATTATGTGACTGAACTATCTTTTATCTTTCCAAGGTCAGAGATTTTGCCAGAGCCGTTTTGTCTTTTATTTAGTACGAGTCTATTTTTTTTTTAATTGATTCTTTTTCGGCTTTTTCGATAGTGTGAAAAAATACAAGTCCAAGTGGAATTATGGCAGGGCACAGAGTTTTTTTCCTTTTTCTTTATTTAATTTTCTCTGATTTTAAATTTATTGTTTACTCTGAATTGGTCAGTTGGGTCATCTGGAACGCCTGAATTATATGATATTTTTCTATTTTCTTACCACTATTTTTGTCTTTCTATTTATGAAGTAATTGTAATTTTCTTAGTCAAACGATGGCCGATTTACCCATTATTTTGTTCTAGAAAAGGTTACGCCATTGTAAGGAAAAAAACAACAACCATATCACACTATTGTTACAAATAATTGACGTTAAGTTCTTGTTGTTATCCACAACCATAGGCTTTAGTTTAGATGCGCACAAGAAACAAAATTGGAAAAAAAAAACTAATATACTATTTTATTTTACAGCTCATTATACTGACTCTTAAGTTAATAAATTTAGACAAATATAGACATATTTTATATAAATATATATTGTGTTGATATTATATACTTATATTAACTAAATTAAGACACTGTATAGTAAATTCCAGAGACATTGACTTTTTATAATGTGTTTGGTTGGTTTCTTAATTAAAACGCGGAAGATTTAAACTCATATTATTCAATGAAATTGTATATCCTAAACGCTTTAGTTGACCACTCAAATTTTCTGGTCAAATATGGCATGGTTCTTTAAAATTCATTAAACTGATATCAAAAAATTCCTTCTCTAAATAAATTTTCCTAGTCGGATGATGAAACATGCGTGAATAAATGAACTCTTATAGAAATAAATATAACCAAACTTGTTGGAACGTTACCTTCTGGGCACCATGAATATTTGAACTTTGTACTGATAAATCCAATGATAATTGGTCTAATTAAGCAACAATAGTTAATTTCCCTGCTCTTGGATGACTAGAATTGCCGTTTTTCTATAATTAATATTTCCAATTTGATTGTGTTTACTCTAAATGATAAAAAAATTGCAGATATTAGCTAACATGTTTTTGAGGATTCTAAATTAGCATTTTTAAAAATATTTCTCATAGTGACTGAACAGTGAAGATATTTGAAATTATGATTAATATTTTTGGTTACTAATACACACATTATCTTTTGAGCATTCTAGAACATGGTCATGGTTCCGCATAATTTTATAAATCAAATCACTTATTTTTATAGTTTTATACCATTTATATATTATATATACATTGGTTCCGTATATTAATCCATTGCGTACAAGTTTAATAAAAACGTAAAACGGAGCAAAATTTGCTAAACCAAGGACTCCTCAATAAGAGTTAACACTATGCACGATTCACAAAATTGAACACTTTAATTAAAATCATTATACCTTATGGTTTTCCTTACTTTTATGGATAGATTGTTGACAGAGTATTTTTCATATGAATTCGGATGTTACACTTTTCTCCCTCTTTTTTATGTTGTAGTAGAACAAGCAAAACAGTGATATAAAAATAAATTGAAGAGAAAACTCTAGGAAAAAGATTACATGTCCATTAGTATTCGGTATAATCATCGGATCTTTACAGCATATCCGAGATATTAAACTGTTCGATTTAACAACGATGCTGAGTTAGTTTTAGATTTAGACTTCGTTCCCCATTTGACTTGGTGTTCTTAACAATACTCTATTAATTGTAGCATCCACGATGAGCTCGAAGTTATCGTCACTATGATGCTTATACATACAATGTTCGCGTTTATAATAATTGCAATGTCACAGTTAGTTTATAGAGACAATGTCCAAAACGAAATAGTAAACTATATAGATTTACTGTGATAGGAAAATGTCATCCAAAACTGAATTTTTAAAAACAAAATATCAAAATATGTTAATCCAACTAAACTAGTTTTAATTCATGATGATTGGGTAGTTTTATCACCACGTTCAACATCGATACAACTTCTTAGATTCGGTTCCCTTTAAATTTTGGCACACAAACTACATGCAAATTTATTTTATACCGTGTCTGTGTATTGTTCTAAAGTCGAGAAACTAATCAAATCCAACTAAACTAGTTCTAATTCATGTTGATTGGAAATTTTTATTAGCATGTTCAACATTGATACAACTTGATTAAATTCTGGCATACAATATGAGTACATGCAAATTTATTTTGTATTATGTCTGTCTATTGTTCTAAAGTCGAGAAACCATATATATCCAAGCGTATTCTAGAAAGAAAAAAGACAACAATTACATTATAACAAGATGTAACATGTAAAAAGACAAGGAAGCGAAAAAATTTAGATGCGTATTGGTAAGATGTCTTCATACATGTACCTGTCCATAGAACTGGAATTACACGTTTCTTGTAGTTACATAATCATTTTTCGGGAATTTTCAATATATCGTGATATCCATCCGTTTCATATTTGATAGTTTAGGAGGAAGATTTGGAAACCAAAAAAAAAGGAAGAATTATTTTTCCAACTTGACAAGTAATATCGAGAATGTTGTGACTTCTGTATATTAATCGTAATAAGAAAGCCCTTAAAGGAAAAAATACTAGTCCTAGTTATATATATATATATATGTGGTGTATATATATATGTGGTGTAGACTTACTTGTATTTGTGATTTTTTATTAGATAATAAACATTTGTCAAACGAACAGTTAATATTTTTTATTAGATAATATATATATATATATATATCTTAACATTTCATCCTTGTTGTACTTCGGATTTCTAATTAATATCAACTAAACACACTTTATTTTATTATAAATATATGGGACAAAAATCAAAAATAATTTTTTAATAAAGAAAGTATCCCCAAAAATACATTTCTTTTAACAAATCTTGTAGATTTAATTCTATGACCACAATATCTCTATAAGTTTAAATATTAAAAGATAATATCAATTAGTATATGAAATTATATCTATAAAATAGTAGTTTTGACATAATGGTAACTCAATTGACAATCAATCACAATAATATGTAACTAAAATTGTTTTTCTCTTATTCATTTGGTTTTTTTTTTACCAAAGTTATACATAGTTATATTATAATAGAAAATTTTTTTAGACTGCGTCCAATGTCTTTCCGAAAATTTTGCATAGAATTTTGTGATTATAAGCTTAATGCTCTGATGTCGATTTGTTTTACTTAAACACCGAGGCCTAGTCTTTATTACCAGTTGCTTTCACATGCTCCAAAAAAATATGGAACAGTGGCTCGCAAATTAGAAGCATACCACATAAGAAAAAAATGCAACTGTATTTTTGAAAGGTTATAATAAAATTAACTTTATATGAAAATTTATATATATGGTGGGTTGGCTTTTGGACGGTAACAAAAGGAATCATGGAATTAACAAAAGAAAAAAACATGGAGAGAAGGGTCCATATACCATATTTATGAATTATGACATAATAATACATGCTAAAGGAATGGTGCAAACCATGTGATACTTTTCAACTATAATATGCCTATCTCTAATAAGTATTTTTTTTATTTATTACATGCTTTGTATATTGGATGACTGGAGACACTTGTTGGCTATTATTGCTGTGATCATCCGAGTGTGTGTCGCCTGTTTCTTGGGAGGTATGTGTTGTTTTGTTTCCCCCGAAGAAAAATAAAATAAAAATAAACGTAAAGAAAAGAACAAAACATACAAAAAAGCCCAAAATTCCCACCTATTGTTTTCTTGTATCAAGGATAAACCTCCTCTTGTATGTTGCCGACACGTTTCCGATGCATCTTCAACAGATCCATGATCCATCATAATCCAGCTTAGTTAGCAATAGTCGCGAATTGTATCACTTCACATTATTAGAAAGACACCACACTAAAGTGATAAAGATATGGTACAACTACTTAAAAAACAAAAACCTACTCAAATAACCAAGAAATCCAGCTACACAAACCAGGCTATGGAAAACCGAAGGCTACCGAACAGAATTAGTTTCATGTAAAGGATCAAAATAATTTTTATAAGTTTTATCCAAAAAAATAATTTTTATATAGATATTCCTCGTTTCGTTAACGATCCAACTAACCAAGAAAAACTACAATTTTTTTTTCCAAAGAGATCAATCTAAAGAATAGATGTAATCTTGCTGAACTAATTAAGCAATACATAAAGTTGTTGCATGCAAAATTTTTGTGTGGAATAATAGAATATATGATCGTTGTGGGTTGCGTGAACGCATTAAAAATAAAAACTACCCGAAGATTGGACATTTTTTCTGCATTACATGCAATTTTTCATGGATATTCATGATGAATTCATCATTTTTGTAGTTGATAAATATGTACCTTTGATTAAACATGTACCTCTGATTAAACGAAACATGATTCGTTGATTTTCTAGCCATAATTAGTCATTATTAAATGAAACACGATTATAATCTAATCGCTTGGTATCAAAACTACCAACCATCTGTGAATGTTACAGACACACACACCAACACCATTGTGATATAATTTATATAATTTAATGTGTTTTATGTATCTTGATTAGTTTAGTCAGGTGAAAACTGAATATTGATAGACGTCAGAAAATGAGCAGATGATAGATAAATCACTGTAAACTAGGGGATCTCGCTTTTGTTTTTTTTTTCCCTAGCAAAAGAGAGGATCTCGAATATTTCGTGGTTTGCGGTGAAAGCAGACCTTAACGTAAATTACTTTTGAAAATACTTGTACAAAATGACACCGACCCGACAGCTTTTTTTTGTATCATTCTTAAAGATACTCAAATATCTAAATTAAGCTCGTAGTTTAATTACTAAACTACTCAATCCGTGTTTACTATACGAATCTATACTATAAAAGTACGTGTTGCATAATGTAAAAAGTAAAATGCGTGTATTAATAGTACAACAATATACAGTCGGCTGCGCATAAAAGCCTTGCGTTGCGTTCGATCAAAATTGTCACATACGCATCGTGACACACCACTCTCGTTCCACCCAAATCCCGTGTTTGCCGATTGGTCCATTTCCACGCCATTTAGTGATTTCAATCTCAAACATTAAGTAAATCATGTTAAGTATTTTCATCGTAGCTTAGAGTGATATAGTTGAATTTTAATTATAAATGTAAATTATCAACACATGTATTTAAAGAATCCTTCCTTTAATGTCGAGTAACTATATGTCTATATACATAAATACTCAAATAATATTTCTAAAAAATAACCGTGGTCCGTAGACGTTACAACATTTAAAATTCTCTAGGAAACATCATGCAATAATTTAGGGTTTACGTAAAAAATGTATATAACTACTCAATAATTAAAGAGACTGTAACTAACTATTACGGGATTGTGGTATCTTATGTTTTAGAAACATAAAGAAGCAAAACTTTTGCGCCTCTTTGCTAAGCATGTCTTACCCTGTACAACTGCTGCATCATTTCCCGCCATTGCTCTATGCTTTCTTCCCTCTATCATCGCATATGTAAGCTCCATGAGTACTATTAAAATTCAATTCAAATCCAATATGAACAAAGTATATTTTTGATTTTTCTAATATCAGGATTTTGGCATAAATTAATGTCTACACCATGGGAAAAAATAAATTCTAACGATTTATTTGAGAAAAAAGAGTAGCTAACTATTCACAATTAAAATCTTTATATAGAAGACTTGAAAAATAGCAAAGACAATATCTACTGCACAAAACAAACAATTGAATAGTTTTTGTTTATAATAATATGACAATGACATTACTATAAGTCATTAGACTACATTTCCGATCATTAATGCTGAGAAAATTGAACACCAGTTTTTCTACTTGATAACGAAAGTCAATTTTTTTGGTTTCAAATAGATTGTGTATCACTTATCAGCTATATCGTCCGATCCACATGCATGTGATTAAGTCTTGGCCCTCGCTGTCGCCAATAGTCGTGCCATCGGCGTTTGGTACGTTCGGACATCACCCAACGCATTTAAAGACATAACATAGTATTACGTTATAGACTTATAGTCTATGGGCCGGGTACATACGTTTAAGACGTACGTTAAAGATTACGTGTATTCATTATGTACACACATATACAACACTCGGGAGTGCACGAAAAAATATCATATAAGTATATAGATATATGACTCTCTGTATATTCGGGTTCGAGTTCCCAGGTTGTATGATGCACATCAAAAATAATATATATTTCACCGTTACTACATTATTAAATTCATTAAGTATGTAAGGTGTGACTGTAAGAGCAGATCCTGCATTGTCGCATATGTTGTAAACACATGGTCCATCGCTCCAACTGATTAAATGATATACGAATCTGTCTATATTGTCCACGTTGATAAGTCCTCAGAAATATGATTTAACCGATATACAAAGAAAGTTGACGATACAAAACTGAATATATTATATCTTATTATTAAATTCAATTTAAAAATCGCGATATTTTTTTGTAAAAAATAATTTAATTAGTATGAGAATCGGGGATAAAAAGTGATAAAAAGAGAAAATAAATTAGGGTTTAGAGAGTGGGGGTGGTTTCCCGTGGCCATGCAAAGGTGTCAGCTTCGTGTCACAGTCTACAATGGACACCGACACACGAAACTCATGTGAACTGTTCTTTCTCTTTTCTTTTTTTCGCTTTGTTTTCTTTTTCACTTTCTCTTGTGTTCTCGAGAAAATCAACCAAAATGGACAAAGGCATAACATTGTTATTTCCTCTTTCCCTTTATTTTATGTGACACGGAACATTATTGTTTCGATTTCCACTTTTTTAAAAATGGACAAAAGGACAAGGAGATTCATTTTAACAGATAAAGATTTTCACCTAGGAACAGAAAACAGAAAATATGTTAATGCAACTTTGACTACGAAACAGGATTCATCATCATCCTCTGCTTTTTATTTTCTTCACATATACTATAAAACCTATCTCTCTCCGTGATATAAAATTCTCTGTCTTCGGTTCGCTTAATACACATTTTCTTTGAGGACTACGATGACATTTAATTTAAATCAATGGTCTAAAACTTTATTAATTGTTTAACAACTTATTAATTGTTTACAAAAGTCGGCCGAGTATTACGTGAAAGACCGTTTTGATACGACATACTTGGCACGAATAATCGTAATTGACAAATCAAGTACGAAATATAGATTTATATTTGATTGATTTGCTTTCTTCGTCAAATTGACTGATTTAAATCAATGGACCGTTTTGGTAACGTATAATAAAAGCTGAACCTAGTAAGACTTTGTTCATGAAAGAGTTCTCTTTAGATGTAATGATTTTATTGTCTTCGATGGTGGTGAACTTTATTCGTGCAATAACCGGATGATCGGACAGAAGCATTGAATGATTCCTACTTTCCCGGTTTAGTTACTTTCGGTGTAGAAATAAATCAGTACTGGAATACTACTATTAAAAAAGCAGAAATTGGTGGTAACGTATATATCTTTTTCTCTGGACTAGTTCTTGTTTCCAAGAGGCTTAAAGTATCGAGGCCACGACCTGTCACACACAACACAATATTCCATACTTCTTCATAAATTACGTAATATTATTTGACTTATCTTCCTAGTTCCTACTCCCTCATTTCCTTGTCCCACTCCATTAATTCTACCTTTTATTTCTTGAAACTGTATTTGTTTTTAACCTAAACTAATTACTTTTCTACTTTGTTTTCTGGACTGGCGTAAAACAACGGATTTTTTGTTTTTTTTTTTTATATTTTGGCGTGGATTCCACATTTTCATACAACATTTTAATGTTTATAAACCATACAAATTTAAAAGTTATTAACTCATCTGTATGTCGATAAAACAGACAGTTATTCTTTTTTTTTTAATATACATTTCATTCATATATTTACTAGAGTGTCAAATATAGATTTTTTTTTTTTTTTTTACAAATGATGATATATTGCATTACCATATACGAGCCGTAGCTTAGGATCATATGGGCCTTGAAGAAAGAAAAATAAGAAAGAAAAATGTAATGGGTCGATAGACTTCCACCAGTAAGCTCATTTCTAAGGGCCGTAGCTTATCATCATGGCTTGCTACTTTACTAGAAAAAAAATTATGTGGGCTTGAATGTGGATTGTGACATAATAACAATATTAGACAAACTGTTAAGTTACATGTGTATATGGTTTAGTATGAATAACCAAATTTACAGAAGGTAAATTTCCTAAACAATAAAATGAATGAAAATCATGTCAAAACTTGTGTGTGTGATAATGTTGATAAGGTACGTAACCGGAAGTTTAGCTTTTCACTAAAAGATGCAAACCACAATGAACACATAGATGAAGCAAAACATAACCAATTATAAATGAGTTGTAAATACAGACACATGTTTCTGATTTTCCAATTATATGAATCTTTCTGATGACAAAATCTTACATCATCACATATCTCGTTCACATTGCAGCAAGTAACAACTAACCTGTAGCTAAAAGGAAAATAAAATCAATCTTTTCTTAGAGTTATCAATTTTAAAACCATAACAAAAAGATGATGTTGAAACATATTTTTGTCTGCGCATATATGAACATGTCAAGAGTGGTCCACCATTACGTAACATGAGGAGTCGGCCATCTTAAGCGAAGAGATTCCAACTCCACATCCCACAAATTATTAAGTCAGATTTTGAATAATTGCGAGAAGAGATATCTTAAATTTTATTTCTATCGATCAATAGCAAGCACAAATTATATTACAAATGTCTATTTCATCTATCTGTCAAGATTAATTATTGCCACACTGGAAGGTGCATATATAACAAAAGCGACATATTATAGATTAAAGTCTTTTTATAAGAAGATTTATATATAAAAGCGACATATAGGGATATATAATATATGCATTGGCATTTCTTATTGTTCGGTAGTCAAACTCACACCCAAGTCATTAAAGTTAATACAAAAGATAAACATATGGTTGAAAACTACTTATAGAGTTTGGTAGGTTGTATTTCCAAAATTTAAAACTCATTTTTATGTTGACAACACTGAAAAAAATCATCTCATATATCTCAATACTTGAGGGTTTACATCTATTTTTTTTCTCCGATCTCAACCCAAAAGAAGAAACCAAGAAAAGAAAGAAAAAATGGGTGTTCTTGATCACGTCTCTGAGTATTTCGATTGCTCTCATGGAAGCTCCAGGAGACACAAAAGTCTACAGGTAGTTAAAATCAATCTATTTATACATACATTTATACATAATTACTACAAATCTTTCTAATATATTGTGGTACAAATTACAACTACAAGACGGTGGATGTGAGGGTGTTGATAGATTGCGAAGGATGCGAGAGGAAAGTGAGAAGAGCCTTAGAAGGAATGAGAGGAGTGCGAGATGTAACCATCGAGCCAAATGCTCAGAAAGTGACAGTGGTTGGATACGTTGAGCCAAACAAAGTGGTGGCTCGGATCATTCACCGGACAGGGAAAAGAGCAGAGCTCTATCCTTTCGTTCCTTACGACGTTGTGGCTCATCCTTATGCCTCTGGTGTCTACGATAACAGAGCTCCCACTGGCTACGTTAGGAACACCGAGTATGATCCACACGTCTCACGCCTCGCACGTGCTAGCTCCACTGAGGTTCGTTATACTACGGCGTTTAGCGACGAAAACGCCTCCGCTTGTGTTATTATGTGATTTGATTTGTTCTTTCTTTTGATTTTTATTTTTATTTTGTTTGTGTTCATGTGTTTCCGAGAATTGAATTTTTGTTTGTTTATATTGGTGTACGTAATGTATTAAGATAAGACCGAGTTAAACCCCTTACATGTGTAAATTGTATGGTGATGAATTGGTAATGTTTTCTTCTTGGTTATGTTTAATTTGAAAATGATTATAAATTATTGGAACTAATTTAAATTTGCGATAATAATGTCACAAAACTGATAACAGTATAAGCGACATTATAAAAAGAAATTAAAACTGTTACGATTTGGTAAGCTCGCCAAAATAATTGTGGAAGGATTTAAAAAAAGAAGTAATTTTGTCGTACTACTAAAAGAATTAAGAAAGTTTAAAACTTTTTGTTTTCCATTGGACCTAATAGTTCGGTGGAATTGACTAATAGTACGAAAAGATAATGTAAGTTTGATAGCTTGCGGTGCCCATTATAATCATTAGCCATGACGAAATGGAAATAGTTTTGTTTAGTACTTGTCACTTATAACTTTTTAAAAAAGAAGCATCTCATGGTTAACGCTGTGATTACGAAATAGAAGTAAACTTAGGAATCATTGTATATAAGAAAAAACATGGACACATGTGTAGCAAATAAGCCAAATAGCTGTAGCTAATTGTCACAAGCACTGGGTTTGACAGGAGTAGTGTGTTCGATGCTAATTATTTATCATATAATTTATATGAAGTTAGCCATTGGATTCTCTGAAGTGTTTTGCACTCAATTAATTTGACTATGATTAATTCGTCTGTATGTATTAACAAAGAAATTGCCACATATGAATTTCGGATCAGTTGCATTGGCTGCAAGGGTGTATATATTTCTTCATGTATACTAATAAAAGTTGAAGCTAAATGCTTCTAAGAGTGTCCACATCCACATAGAATTAAAAAGAGCAATTCTATTGGTCCACAAGGAAAGTTTACAAATTTTTAATATTATTGCTAAATAAATAAATTAAAAAAATTTACAAATTCTAATTATTGCTGAATAAAAAAATTCTATATAAATTTTTTATTGGTCCATCTCAACATTGAAAATTAAACTTTTTTTCAAATTCCATTATTATTTTTAAAAATTATTAAAGATAAAAAAATTATTTATAAAATTTTGTTAATAATAAAAAACTAAAATAAATAATATTAAAATAGAAATTTTAAAATTTAAATTAGATGTATACACACATATTTAGAGATTCTTACATTAGTATCCAAATTTTTATCACATAACTATAATAATTTTTAAGTTTTTTCCTGTGTGTACAACCATTTCAAATTTTAAAAAAAGAGAGTTAGATTTCACACAAAAATTAGTCATTACAACGTAAAATAACCAACTTGGCTAAACTATAAGTTTAACTATTAGCTAAATTACAAAGAATATAATGAAACGAGATATAAACAAAGTCATTACAAGCTGCTTTAATATCGAAAAAGAGACCGAAAATTAAGCTTGGCCACCGAATTTGAGAAGAATGATAAATTTCAAGCAATCCGAGAAACATGTCAAGTGATTGATACTCGACACTTTTAAAAAACAAAGCACTGAAAATAGAGAAAGAGGTTCCATCATTAAGACGAAGGAGATTAAGGTATTTGAGGAAGATTTTTGAAATAACATGGCATCTGATACGGTTTTAACAACCTAAGATTAAACACAAAGTTAACAATTAGCTGACCAAGAAGCATCCAAATACATTCGGTAAGCCTCAAAAACAAGGAGGCGAGACCAAAATCATGACACTTTTGAAAAACAAAGCACTGAAAATAGAGAAAGAAGTTCTGTCATTAAGCCGAAGATTGAGGTATCCGAGGAAGATTTTTGAAATAACATGGTATCTGATGGGGTTTTAACAACCCAACTGATATGATCGTGATAAGCTCAGAGGAGGAGGAACCAGAGGTAGCTGGCAGGATCACTCGTTCCAGAGCTAGAGAGATGGCCAAGGAGGCTCACGCACTCATTGCCGCAGAGGACATCGATCAACTGGAGGCTGGAGCTCACATTTTTAACATCTCTATCTTGAAGACTGAAGAACCCAGTAACAATGACTAGGTAACTTAGGTAATGATTCTGTACTCTTTTCTTTGGTGAGGATTTTGGAAGGCAAGGAGGTTCTTCTCCAAGGTTTTTAACGAGGCAGAAATCATTGCTACGTCGAGTTACTTAGAAGTTGTTACTAATGGGTAATAATGTGCAAAGTCACAATGACTTGTGCACTAGTGTTTCAGGCGCACCACTTAGGTTTAGAAGGGACGCCTCGCTGTTTTATTTTAAATCAAACTTCGTGTTGTTTTTTTTTATTTAAACTTCATGTAGTTTTGTTTCTTTAGGGCTGCGATTTCTCTAAGTCTATATAATAGAGAAATCGCCTAAGTCATTAGGCAGCTTGGAATTTTTAACGTAAAAGAAACAGCAAAGTTGCTCTTGATTCCTTGACTCAAAAGTTCTCTGAACACGATTTTCTTACAAGTTTACACTTACAAGAAGATCTTCACTTATCATCTAATCGATTTCATCACTTCCATACTCATCTCGCCACCATCGCCTCCCATCGCATCGACCATCATCATCTATCTGATCGCAACCCACCAAAATCATTCCATCGACCGATCCGCTATCCACCCTAATCATTCCATCGCCGCATCGTTACCTCCTGCTCTCAATCTCGCTGCTTCTCTAGCCTTTTCTTTGGAGTTGATCACCTAGGATCGTATCACTAACATTAACCAAAAAGGTAACAATTAGCTGACCAAGCAGCATGCGAATACATTGAGTAAGCCTTAAAAACAAGGAGAGACCATAATCACTTGCCTCGTGTGGGATCTTCCAGCTTTGATTTCTAAATCTATTATTAAAAAAAAATAAAAGCTATATGCCTCTAAGAATGTCCACATATGATGTAAAAGTTCAATTTGATTGGTCTACATCAATATTTAAAATTAGAAAATTTTCAAAATTTAAAATTATATGGTTAACAAAAAATATGTTTATAGAAAAATAAATATAGAAGCTATATGCTTCTAAAGACATCCACATAAGATTTAAAAGGTCAATTTTATTAATGTACATCAATAACTAAAATTAAAAAAAAATCTAAATTATAAAATTACAATGTTAATACAAAACAATATAGAAAAATTGTTAATTAAAACTATTCTATCATGAATAAAAATTAAAGCTATGTTATTTTCAAGGCATCCACATCAGCATTTAAAAATTAAATTTTATTCGTATATATCAAAATTGTAAATTTTAAAAAAATTCCTAATTCTATTAAGAAAGTAAATTAAAGAATAAAAAATCTCTAATAATAAAAAAATATGATATTAAAATCTTCATTATTACTGTTTAAATTATAAATTTATTTTATTATCTATAAAACTATATATTACTTATACAAGTTTATGTTACTTGATTTTAAGGCTTTTCATGTAGAATTTTAAATAACTAATAATTATAATTTATATTAATTTTTTCACATATGCAAAACATATTTCCACATAATCTCATGTAATATATTATGCAAAAATGATCGAAAAATTTATATTTTGTATATTCGGCTTGGAATTGCAATAGATTAATGTAGAAGTTTTTAGTTTTAAGATTTCAATTTGATATTTCATTTTTCTAAATTTATATGAATTAAATTGTACCGACTGCCTACTTAAATATAATTAATAGAATTAAGATTGAATATGATGAAACTTAATATAATCATACAAAAATCATTGAAATAAATAAATATGATCTATTAGTTGAAAAAACAGATATAACAAGAATAAAAATGAACATGATGAAAAAAATTCATTCTTATCAGAATCAATGACGTATAATCATTGAAAAATTATTTAAACGTTTACACAACCAATTGATAAAAATATATTTAACTCACAAATTTTGTATGATTTTCTTTATTTTATATTTAAATATTATTTTGGTTTCAAATTTAAAGTTGTTATTAATCTCAAAGCAAATATTTTATTTATTAGTTTGTTTTTAAAATTATTATAACAAAATAAAAATTTGTATCGGTTAAACAAGAGAAGAAAAGAGATTAAATTTTAAATTTTATTATTGTTTTTTAAAAATACATATATAATTGGAAGAAAAGTGAAAATGATGAAAAAAATTATCTTCATGATTTAAAGAAGTGAATGTATAATATTTTATCATCATGTCAATATTATGTTTAATAAGTACCATTTGACTAATTTATAAAAAAAAATAATTGATTTGGATATATTAACTTATAAGTGTTTGACCAAATAATATGTTTTTGAAATATGACATATTGTATATAGATTTAAAAAAAAACCGTTAAAACCTCAAAATTTACATAAAAAGTATTATATTAACATTATAATATTTTTAATATATTATTAAATCACTAATATATAAAATTTATATCTTAAAAAATATAATTGATTGCATATAATTTTTTTTAACAAAATATCCACGCGTAACGTGGACTTAAAATCTAGTCTAACTAATATTAAAAATTCTCAACTTACATCAACGTATAATGAATAAAAAACTAACTGGAACGAATATAGTTATTATTATAAGGTACAGTATTAGAATGAATGTCTAAAATATGTTTTAGCGTAAATAAAATTGTGAGAGTCCTAGTTGGGCCTCCCAGCGAATAGTCCAATACACTTTCAGTTTTCAGCCTTTCAGCTAAAACGTTCGTAACAACAGTTCTGAAGAACAATGCATGCTATGTATATTAAAATAAACGGCACACAGTTTATTTCTAAAAGACCGAAACAGTATCGCAAGCTTGGCAAATAACCCTCGCTTTTCCCTCTCATCTCTCTCAAGGCTCAACCACTTTTTTTGGCGGGAAACTCGACCAGAAAATCCTCAAGAGCAGAGAAGAGAGAGACTGAGAGAGAGAGAGAAGGAGAGAAAGATGGCGGCGGAAGAGGGAAAGGAGGAGGCGGGATTGGATCAGGTGGAGGAAGAGTTCTCTGTGTGGAAAAGGAACACGCCGTTTCTCTACGATCTAATGATCTCTCACCCGCTTGAATGGCCATCTCTCACTCTCCATTGGGTCCCTTCGACTCCGATTCCGTACGCGAAGGATCCTTACTTCGCCGTACATAAGCTTATCCTCGGGACCCACACCTCCGGTGGTGCCCCGGATTTCCTCATGGTCGCCGACGTCGTTATCCCGACACCTGACGCTGAGCCAGGGTTAGGCGGCAGAGATCAAGATCCCATCGTTCCTAAGGTAATTGACTCTTGGATGCTTCTCCAATTTTTTATTTTCAAGGATTTTATTATGCTGTGTTCGTGCACACAATGTGTTTGACGAAAGTACTAGCTGAAACTGAGAACGGAGCATCATTAACTTTTCTGAGTATTTTTACTTCTCGATTTTTTTTTTTTTAAATGCCATCGACGAGCTTACTCGAGTCTAGAGATGATATGAAATTGCGACCTTTTCATTGGCACTTTAAATTGATGAAAACTTTATAAGCTTTTCATTGGCATCATTAAGGACGGATTTTCTTAAAAATGTCCATACTTTGCAGGTGGAGATTAGGCAGAAGATACGTGTTGATGGAGAAGTGAACAGAGCGCGGTGTATGCCACAAAAGCCAACTCTTGTGGGTGCTAAAACAAGTGGGTCGGAGGTGTTTCTGTTTGATTACGCCAGACACTCTGCAAAGCCCCAAACAAGTGAATGTGATCCTGATCTGAGGCTGATGGGACATGAACAAGAAGGCTATGGATTGGCTTGGAGCGCCTTCAAGGAGGGTTATCTTTTGAGTGGTTCACAGGATCAGAAAATCTGCCTTTGGGATGTTTCAGCTACTCCCAATGATAAGGTTTTGAATGCAATGCATGTGTATGAGGTATGTTGAGAGTTTCTTTGCTTCTTTTTCTCTTGAATCTCAGAAGATTTGGGCTTGTTGCATCTGATTTTATTTTTATGACATTGTTCTAGGGACATGAAAGCATCATCGAAGATGTAGCATGGCACATGAAGAACGAGAACATATTCGGGTCTGCAGGTGATGATTGTCGATTGGTGATATGGGACTTGCGAATAAACGAAATGCAACACCAAGTCAAAGTTCACGAGAGAGAGGTATAAACCATCTCTAACATTCCAACCCCCTCTTATGTCTAATCTGCAAATTAGAGATACCTGCTATATTACCGAGGTTTAATCGCGCGTGATTGATGTCTCGTTACAGATAAATTGGAAATTTTGAGCGGAGAATTATCTTTCTTTCAATCTTCATGACCATTCACACTATCTTGTGTTTTGTAGATAAACTATCTTTCTTTCAATCCGTTTAATGAATGGGTATTAGCCACAGCTTCCTCAGACTCGACTGTTGCCTTGTTTGACCTCCGCAAGCTGACTACGCCATTACATGTCCTGAGCAGACACGAGTATGGCTCTACCATAGTTTCTCACTTTCTTCACAGTTTCTGTATCCTCAGCTTCTTCTATCTAAAGTTATTCGATCAAATATTAGTAACTGAGGAATCGGAGGGATTTGTAACAGGGGAGAAGTTTTCCAGGTGGAGTGGGATCCCAACCATGAAACAGTGCTTGCATCTTCTGGCGAGGACAGAAGACTCATGGTCTGGGATATCAACAGGTACCATAGTTGATAAATCCCTTTGCTTTTTTTTGGTTCGACATTGAAATCGGATTAGTGAGGTTGAACTTGATGGATCGTTCAGGGTCGGGGATGAGCAACTTGAGATAGAGTTGGATGCAGAAGATGGTCCACCTGAGCTGCTTTTCTCTCATGGAGGCCACAAGGCCAAGATATCAGACTTTGCTTGGAACAAGGACGAGCCTTGGGTCATCTCAAGCGTAGCTGAAGACAACAGTCTACAGGTCTGGCAGATGGCAGAAAGCATCTACCGCGAGGATGATGATGATGATGATGATGAAGATGATGAAGGCGACCAAAATGCACAACATACCAATAAGAATCAGAAATGATTCAAGTCTTTTCGTGAATGATGAATGAGTCGTTATAATTGTTGTTAACGTGTTTGGACCAATCTATATAGAAAAGATTGGGTATGCTATAATTCTTAAGTTTGATGGTTAACTAAATCCTATTTCAAAATCCGATTTTGAGATTGGCTCAAGTGAAAACTAGACTATTAATCACTTTGAGATCAACAAAATGTTTTGCTAAGCAACCTGCTATAACCCACTCTTCCAGGCTTGTGAGAACATGGCATTCTTACAATAAGGCTAGGGCAGAGACACTCTTTCACGATCTTAGCCATCCTCTTCACCAAGCAACATGATGCAATGGGAAGTCGAATTTTTGTCTTAATGCAGAATCTGGGTGTTAATTAATAAGATTCAAGAACCCTTAAGTACAGCTTTTTTTTTTTAATTATTCATACAAGGTAGAAGTTCTGAAGAAATCTTCTATAACTCACCTGTTCAGATATCTCACTAGGAGCCTCAAGAAAACTCCACACCAACACCATAAAGCGTCATTCAGCAGTTAAAAATTTCATGCATCTTATCTATAAACTTCTCTAGCCAAAAACAATTGCTACTTAATAGACTACTGGTTATGCACAGCCAAAATTCAACCAACTTCTTCTACATAAACTTCGAAAGAAGGCTACTCAAGTATGCCAACAAATGGTAGGAATACACGGAAAATTTGAGTTTGTATTAACAAATCATCCTTATAGTACGGCACTCAACAAGAAAATACAAGGGAAGGAGAAGAGATTCAAAAAAGAATCAGAAAAAAACAAAAAAATGCAAACGCAAAAGGAACCTGAGTGAAGCTGATTCTGCAGCTGAACCCTACAACTTATTTGGAATAAAAATATCTATCCTGGTGGAATTAGATGGTACAATCTTGATGATGCCTCAAACTGCTTTAGGTGCACGATGCCCACCTAAAATGAAGAGCAAAAAACCATGAGTGAGCTCCTACTAATTCTATGACGCACAAGTAGGCAAACAATGATAATGTCCATCAAATGAGTCGTTGATCGGCAAACTAAAAGGAAATATCACAAAGTTTGTTTCGCATTATCTGAAACATCCTTAAGACAAGAGTTGGCGAATACAAGAGATGAGAACGTAAGGTATAAAAGAGTCACCTTTTCTCTTATTAGAGGCAGACGCAGTGGCGTTGTGGAATGATCCGTTTCCATTGCCAACGAAGTTCTGATTAGCGATGCATTGTAGCTGGTCAAGCTCACAACCACTTAAACCTTGGTCATTGATCGATGCACCTTCTTGGCTATTCCCTCCAAACCCATTCTGAAGGCAATAAACTTCATCATCGCACTGTACGTTACACGGATTCATCATGTGCGAGAAAGAGGGGATATTTGCAGCCATTGGTTTCTGATAAGGGAAAGATCCAATCTCCCCATCTATTCTTCCTCTTAGATCAACAAGCAAACACTTGAGCCTCGAGACCTCAGCTTCCAAGGTAGCCTGACTTTGCAACCTCTTCACCAGCTGCTGATTCACAGCCCTAAGCCTTGAGACCTCATCCTCCAACGAAGCGGCTTTAGCCTTCTTCTTCTCCCTATACTTTCTAACGGCTTCTCGGTTCCCCAAAGGCCTCTTCTCGCCTTTCTTCCCGCAGGACTCGGCCGTGTCATCGGTGGAAACCTTCTCATCGCTATCCTCCGGCAGGATCTTGGTGTGGACATGGAAACACGTGTGGGTATGCGTGTTCTCTGGTCCCGTTGGGTTACAGGTGTGAGTGTGGGTACAAGCAGCTTGATGAGAATCCATGAGAAGCCCTTCAAAGAAACTATCAATCGAACAGTTGCTAGGCGGTAACTCACCCATGTCCGAACTCGAAAACACTTCCTGGTTCGAGAAATCAAGCTCGCCGTCTTCCATTACTATAACCAAGCAACAAAAGTCTTCTAATTGACCACACCAACCTCCCCAAAATCGATACTTTCTAGATACAATACAAAACCTCGCTCGAATCAACTGATAATCTCGAGCTCCCAAATCAATCAAAAATCCCTAATTTGACAACAATCCGAGCAATTCAGCAACACCCAGTACTCGATTTCTGCAAAAAATCGAGTTTTTGATCTGTAAGTAAGAAGAAAACCCGTACCTTTTTTACCTCCCCTAAAGTTCCGCAAAGAGAGATCCAACAAAAAAAAAACCCCCAAAAAGATGGAATTGGAGAAGATTGATGGGAAGGGGGAGAGAAGTTTTTTCTAAGAGTAACGTAGTCGTTGATTTATAAAGACGCACTAAACAGATGGCATCATTTCGATGGCCGGAGAAAAGACATGGACGTACGAGAACGATTTCGAGTTGCAGAGAGATTCTCTTTTTTTTTTTACTTAATTAAAGTTTAATTATTTTTCTTGCAAATGACATATCTGAACGTGATTGGAGCTCCGCGTCTTGTATCATTCATATAATTAGGAGCAGATTCAAAACTTTTGTATTATCACCATAATAATATATGACTAACATTAAACAATTTACATGAGAGAAAAAACAAAACATTGACTTCAAAGGAATAAGATAGTTAAACAATAATTTCTCATGTACGGTCGTTTATTTGTTTTTCTCATTTGCTTTTCTTTTTTCTTCTTAACTAGATTTGTACCCGCATACGCGCAGATTTTGTTTCACATATTATTTTTAAAAATATGTTTGTGTTGATATATATATATATATATTTAATTATAAGAATATGATAATTTGTTTGATTGTTTAATATTAGGTTTTTGAAAAATAATTTTTTTGTAAAATAAACAATTTTTTAAGGATTGGAAGTATGGTAATTAGGAAAATTATTCTATTATTCTAAAAATCATAAATATGATATGAGTAAAAAAGACATAGATAAAAGTCATATTTTTCTGTTTAAATTGCTTAAAAACATATAATTACTTCTGATTTTTAATGTTCTAAAATTTATGACGTGTACAATTGCCTTGATTCTGCAAGAACCACCCCATAATTTATTTTTCACATTAAAATGCAGCTATAATAATATTATATTTAACCCATAAAAACCGTCAAATCTTTGAATGAAGATAACGCTACATTTTTATATTTTTTCATATAACAAGCTTCGAAAAAAGTGTTTATGATGAGGATAAGCTCGAAGAAAAATATCGAGTTAGTATAGAAAAATGTTAAAAAATTTTAGATGAGTACCAAAAAGTTAGAAATGTAAAAAGTTAGAAAGGTTGTTTATTTATTTTGTTAGGAATGTGAAAAGCCTTAATATTAATGTAACTTAATAGCTATAAATATAAATACATATGAAATAAACATTAAATAGAATAGTTAAATTAGAAGTAGTGGTATTAATTAGTTTTTAATTTTTTATTTAAAATTTATGATTTATTAATTAAATGAAAAGACAGGTGTCCTCCATTTAGATGCTGATGTGGCAGCAAAATGGAGAGAGTTCACCTAAAAATCATATATATGATTTGTTTTGTCAAGTTGACAATTTTTTTTTTTTTTTGGTAGCATTATCTCAAGTACGGTCGTTTATATGTTTTTTTCTCATTTGTTTTGTTAGTTTTTTTAATCGATTTTGTTACCTATTTTTGAATCCGCATTCTTGAAAATTACATGCTACAATCTGTACATTTGTTTATTTTATTTTTGTAATATTATTTCATTTAATTTTGTCTCGTGAAAAGAAAATATTGAGATATAATGGAATATATGTAAAGTCTACTTTCGAGTCGAGACATCGGAAAATATTGGACGATATGGAGTGCTCTGTAGCTAGTAATGGTAAATTTGTATCGGTAAAATTCCCAATATGTATTGTTGTATATAACTATTTATATATGATATATTTATTTAAGACAACAAGATTCCACTTTGTTATCAGAAAAACAAATATATCCTTTGTGATTAAGAAAACAATTAGATCGTTAATCACCAGATGGATCAACTATATATTTTGTGATTTAAAAACAATTAGATCGTTAATCACCATCTATTAATCTATTATTTTCAACTTGTATTTTTTCTCTCTTTTGGAAAGCTTCTTTTACTTAAATGGTTTGTGATCGTGAGAGATGTAGCTTTCTTTTAGGGTTTGTACTTTATATATTTTATAAAATAAAAGTAGGGTTGATGCAACAATTCTATTTCTTTAGGCTAGTGGCCTGGGATAGTTATTTTAATTCATATTTTTATTCGATATTCTCTATGTTTTTGATTCTGCCCCCGACCTTTTGAAATGAGCTCGTTCTTTCTAACATTTGGATACATGATGATTTCTTCAGATCTGATTAAAGCCTCTTTAAGCGATTGATTTACATATGTGTGTGAAAGAAAGACCTTCATATTTCAGATCGTTCAGAACTTCGAAATGTGATAACTCCACATTTTGAATAGCGTATCACTATTATCATTTCTTCTCAATTCGAAAATTTTCAATCCAACAATGTTTTTTTTTTTTTCCTTTTTTTTTATCAGCCATCGGTAGGAGGAGTTTCACTTGCAAAACCTAATAATATTAGGGTTATAACTACGAGATCTACATTTGTATATCTTACTGTTTAGATTATCTGAAACTAAAATCATATTTAAAAATTAGGAGTATTCAATTGGTTCAAATGATCAACTTTTGCGTTTGCTTTAATATGAGAAAATTTTCAAAAAAGATTAAACGTTTTAAACTGCTAGCCTGATGGGATGTTGTCGCTCCAATCTTGTCAAGCATAGAATGATTGCTCGAAGTTCACTCGCGTCAAAGTCGATGCAAAACGCTATCAGTTCTTACAGTAACATTATAGGTTTGGTTCTAAGTATATCACTCGCGTTATATCATAATAGGCTTGGTTCAAGTATATCATTTATGCTTATTTCAGTAAACTACGTCACTGGTAATTTATGAGTTTGGTTGTTATATTATCAAATAGATGAACATATAATTTGAACGAATAGGTGATAATAAATAGCCAAACTCTAATCGAAAACGCAAACAAACAGTCGAATTATGGGTGTTGTTTAACGTGTTAATTTAACATTTGTAGGCCATTTTCCTCCTAGTTAGCTTGAAATCTTCAAATTTTAATAGAGCCCTCGTTATCATTATCTTGCATTTTTTTTTTTTATTCAGACCCGTAAACGCCAGTAAACTCGCATGACACATTGATCGTATTAATTCGTATGCATTTAATTACTATAGTTCCTACTATATATTAAGAAAGTCCAAGCAAGAATATAATACCTCATCTTTTATCTATATATATGATTGCACCAAGAAATAGTCGTTTTTCTTGGGATCTCAAGCAACCCGAATGCGAACAAGGACAAATATATACACAAAATATGCGGCATGTCTCAAGCCATCAGTTACTTTAAAATCGACTAATATCTATAATATCTAAATATATATTACAATATAACATTGACTGAATGTTTCTTATAACTAGGCTGTGTTGTAGCTGTGAATAATTTCAGTAAATGTAATATATGTATTTAGATATTACATATTTTTTTAGCAATTTTGATTTAGATTTAAAGTTTTAATCCAAATATATTTTATATAACTGATACTAGAGAGTTGAGTTGAAATATTTCTTAACAAAAAATTGACCCAAAGATTTTAATTTTAATTTATATAGATTCGAAATATATTTAATTATTCGTGTTTCTTAGTTGATTTTTATATAAGTATCAGATAAAGTAACAAACAAGTTATCTAAATTAAAATGGGAAAAATGTCATTTAAATCATGAACTTTCAAATTTAGGCCATTTTAAGCATGAATTTTGAGGTCGGTCATTTAAATCATCAACTCGTGTTGACTTTACGTTTGAGGCATGAAGTTTCGTTGACTCGGCCAAAGTGAGCACAACGTTAAATCGTGTGACGGTGCGATTTAAACATCGTTAATGAGTCTCTGTTAGTC